AAGCAGATGAATCACTTTCAATGCGGTATAAATTTGGCGCCGTTCTGAAAACCCAACAGCGTGTGTCCTTACAATTCTCGAGTATCATTAGTCTTAATCTGATTTACATAACCATATCGCTTATAGTTGAAATGGATTCCTTGTTAAATGGAAACAAATTTTAACTTCGATTTACGGATATTTATGCATGGGCTACAGATATTTCCCGACGCACGGCGAGTTATATATGACGCTTACTTGATAATTCATTTTATGTCGATTGAAATTTTCCAGTTGGATAAAATATGTCCATTGTGTCAGCTTTAGCGCATTAAGAAATCAGTAGGCGCCAATATTTTTTTAGTTCGGGAAATTGAAACGATATATGCGGTCTGCACCCAGACTAATGTCCCGCTGCGAGGCCTGCTGACGCCGCCTAATGTCATGTTTTGATATCGCTTTGGGCTGAGGTGGGAATTGCGGAAGGGCGAGTTTGAACATTTTGATTAACGACAGAACAACCAAGGAGTGGAAAAATTTCCCACACATCAGTGTTTAGTCTTATGAAGTCATATTTATCAAATATACAATTCCCTTCGTTCAAGTCTGCATTTAACAAGTTCATGATTTCAATATACTTCCGAGTTTCAAAGGAACTCACGTGTTTTCGAAATAAAATTTCTGTTGATATTTTTCGTTAAATTGTCTTGAGTTTCATGTTCGTTATAGCAGACGGTGATGAAAAATGTAGTAGAAATATTTTTTTTCAATTCCCGCACATGTCAGTCAAAGTGTGTTGCTTATTTCATTTTCATGTAGTCTTGTCGGAATAGATGATCATGTATGCCCATCATTTAACACCGAAGCGACCATGTCCTAGTTTTTTATGAAAATTGTTGCCAAAACGGAATTATTATTATTGAATATACCTACGTTATCATTTGTAAATTGTCACCGTTTAAAATACAGTATTCCTCAAAATTTAGAATTCCGTGACCTCCTTTTATAGACTCTCAGCATCCTACGATGATCCAGGGTCTTATATTGAAAATTAATTCCAAACGGGTTTCCATAATTTCTTTTGTTCACTTTGTTTAATAATAAAAAGCCGACAAAAGAATAAATGTAAATAATGTCAAATAACTAAACAAATCACAGTTGGTTTGAAAGAAAAAAATGCAATCATCGCATATGGTATCTATAGTGAAGACCTTTGACACCAGGAGAACCACTTCGTGACCCTTGAAGGGGTGCGAGTGACCAGTTTGAGAAACGCTGGTCAAATGCTTGTTGGATAGGTTTAAAAATGTCAATAAGACATTGGAATTTTGGCTGTTTCCTTATAATCGCACCTTCGTTTGTCCCCGGCAGATTCAGTCGTCAAAAAATTGTCTTTTTTGGTTTATGACCTACGTTTTGTTTTCCGCGGTTAGCGGTTTCAGAGAAAAGACGTGGAATGACGGAAGTGGATATGATCCGAAAAATTACAACAATACGACCAACGACTCGGAATTACGTTACCCCGTATTTACGCACTGTTGCTTATGAAAGAATATAGATTTTTGTCTTATCTGATTTTCGTTCGTGTTTGTATATGCAAAAGTTCAAAGATACGAATACGATAGAATTACAGTACCCATTTTGTTTTATTGTTTTGTTTAAACACGAAGGGTTGAAAGTTGTGAATTCCTTCTGTCGAAAGTCGGGAGTCGTTGAAGGTTTTACATCGCGTCGGAATTGGAGTTTCGGATCGGAATTTAATTTTTTCATGATACCGTGAATCGAGGTAGGAATGTTCAGACAAAAAAACATATGAGTTTTTTTTTCTTATTTCGTAATTTAAAATTCGTTGCCAGAAATTATGAGTTCCTAAATGGTTTTCCTGACTTTTTTTCGTTCAAATCAAATTGTGCAACCAGCTTTTAACTAGGTATTAATGAAAATGCAACACAACTATCATTTTGTAGTATAAAATTCACTATCGCCGATTGTTACTTTACAGTTGACGTTATTTGCTTGCGCTTGGTCGGTATTTTGTGAAAAGATGGTAATCGTTGTGAACGTAACTCTGATGGGAGATAGTGGATAGAATAGAATAGTGCTTTATCTTTTTGTTCGCTCGACATCTGGTCCAGTCTCCGTCTGTCTAATTATTTCGGCGTTTACAGTTCAGGTTTTTCTTCCTTGAAATCGAGATTCACATCCGCTCAAAATTTTGATATTTTCGTCGCTAAAAAGTGTTTTGGTTTAGAAATCGGTATACCTTGCATATTTTAGTTTTCTAGACATACGGTATTTTATGGTTATTTGCTTAATTTTGAGTAGGAAATTACCTCAATTTGAAATCATGTGTATAATATACTTTTGTATCATAAATACAAGTCATAAATACAAGTCAGGTCAGTTGGCGGCTGCTTTTGTACAATGATCAAGATATCGATATTTCCGGCGCCAAACAACATGCTATTAGCTATAGATAGCGGTTACATCGTCTTCCGTTTGATAATCGATTGCCGTGGGCATTTGAAGGACCCAAATACGACAAATATCGTATGTTATGTTTACTACGCCAAATCTGTAGTACCCTTGGCAAAGATAGATATTTGTCATAGTTCAAGCTTGGCAATTAATTGATTTGAAATTTAAAAACCTTTTATCGTCAGACTTGCTAGATTGAATTTATTACGAGGATCTGGGTGTCGGGGGTCTGTTTTATGGCCTTCTTCCCATTCATAAATTTGTAGTCCTGGTTCAATGCAAACAGCTAAACACCAGTTTTAAAAATCAACTTTCGTACAACGCAATCATGATCTATAAGTAATCCCGCCAAAATGAAGGATCTGACAAGCTTGGCAATGATATTGTTGTTTTCGTAGTGACGTCACTTGCTCGTCGCGCCGCCAGTAGATTGATTGGCGCCATGGCGAACTGCAGGCTTGTCTGTTGTCTTTGAAATATTAATGACTTGAGTGGATTAAAGGTCTCGCGCTTCGCGTTTACACGACGGCAAGATAGTCAGAAAGACGAGTTGTTAATTGCATTAACAAACGATGATTCGTTTGAATAATATTTACAATTGTATTTACAATAGTCGGTAATTATTTCTGTTGAGCTTACACGCAAGACATAAGCTACGATGTTCGTCAGATATACCCCATTCATTCTTATATTTTAGAACGATAATAATGTTTAAAAAATTGAGTACATATTAATAAATTGTAATATATAAAACGTTACCATATTTTGAAAATGAATTGTGGTAGGGAATTTTAAAATATCTGTTTGTTTGTACATGAATATACACATATGCTCCTAATTTTTTATTACTAGCATTACTATTATCAACATGGATCGATGGTAGTATTACCTAAAATGATTTCATTATAAGGGCCTAACCCTAAATTTTCGGAAATTCCTTTGCTATTGTGTGTTGAAACAAGACGGAGATTTTGCATTGTTTACCAGCTAATATATTCATATTAGTTTATCAATAGTTTTTATGCAAATAAGCCAAACAGTTTTCTCATATTATGTTCATTTTTGGTTTTAACAGTTTGGTTTTTATTTATTTTTGCAATCTAAAATTTTCTTGCTTAATATTTAAGAGAAATTATGTTGGAACATAATTGTCTTGTTTGTCAATTTTAGAATTTGGAAATGTTGTTAAACATCGCACTGCGGTTATAAGGCCGTGTATAGTGGTTTCATCTGGCCATGAGAAAATGATATTTGATATATTGAAACAACATTAAGATTATGTGGGAAATCAGTTATGAATGTAGCATAATGTTGAAACAAATAATTTCGTTGCTTTTATTGTGAAAATTAAAATTTTTTAAAAATAGTTGTAAGCATTTTACCAATCAGTCAGTCAACTTCATTATCATCAACTTCAAATCAGCTTCAGCCAGTCAGAATACATTCATTTATGTACTACCAACATTGATTTTTTATGGACTGTGCCGCCATACACAAAACTACTTTTAAGGTAATTTTACCCATTATTTTTTGCCTCTTTGTTCATATTAGTACATTTTTATTAAAATTATTTTCAAATTGCTGCATTATTTATTCAAATCGTGCGTCAAAACACCTTTTCAAGCACACATAATTTGTTTTGCTAAGGTATTTAGATATAAGAAAATTTGTGATGCTCAGAATGAATCATAAAATTGCAATAAACAACTTGTTTTATGTTATTAATAAAGGATTACTTGATTTTATAACGATAAATTTGCTTTGTTAAAGGTGTTTCCATGGTAAAGTATGAATAATATTAGCAACTTGAACGATATTTGATACCAAAGAATGTGTGTCATGTTACATATTGTGTCAAACTATTATGAGTTTATGAAATTGATATCAAGCTTTATCACATATGTGAAAATTTTCAGAAGAGAAGGTTAAGATGATAGTGTATTAGAGTCAATGAAATGGCATCTGCTATTTATTTATTAATATTCTATTAGATTAGATTTGCTTACAATAAAACAAAGTCCAGATTAATTTTTAATTATTCAGCTTTCTCTAAACCTATATGATTATCGTAATTTTCGAACAGATACTTATATATTGTTTAAATCTACGGCTTTATTTAAATATTTTTATCATTAGGTATACTTTAATGTGTGATTTATTTGTTAAGTTTTATTTTAGACACTAAACTAAATGAATTGGTATGAATCAAAAGGATTTACAAATAGTGTAAAATGGATATCATGTGACGCATCTTCCCGATATTTAAGATAGAGTCAATTCATTAAAAATGGTGAAATGTAGTAAAATCGCCACCACTGCGACATTTAAGTGTTATTATTTGATTTGGGTATCATATTCATATTTTTTTATTGCTATGACAATCTGAGTTGTCATACCTTCTGTTAGAATATTTTACAGTGTCAATATTCGTAGTTTACTAAAATTTTACGATGTTTTTAAAGGGTGGGTAGATATAAACCCAAAGTAAGTCGATGAAAAGTGGATTGTGGTTGAATCTAATTGTCATTTTTATCTTTTTGCAGAAAGGAAGTTGTTGAAGGTAAATAGGCAATAGAAAGGTTGTAGTTTTGGAATGTGGGCAAGTCTGTTCTTGTACCCGACAAGAGGTCCGACGCCTCGTTGACATGGGTAAAAAGACAATTTCAAAAGTACCCGTCAGCAAGTTGGTGTGGCAGTGGACAGAGAATGTTCCTCCTGATCAGATAACTGATGAACATTTATATACAGCCTACCATCTGAAACTGGGCAAATGCATCGCATGTCGGAAAAATTGCTCCAGTAATCCTATTTGTCTAAGAGGCCTTGGCGAAGGTTTCTGGCTTCGGGATGGTAATTATCAAAATGTGTTAGAAGATGATGTCAAGGATATAAAAAGTGGAGTACGAAAAGATGGAGATTTTGTTGGATTAAAAAATCTGGGAGCTACCTGTTATGTTAACACTTTTCTGCAACTATGGTTTCATAATTTATCTTTTCGTCGCGCAGTTTATAGTTATAAAGAAAACGTCACTGATGATCAAAAAGCCGAAAGTAATTCCAAATTTCCACACACAGTGTGTGGGCATCTTCAATTATTATTTGCCATGTTACAATGTGGTAAAAGAAAAAATATAGATCCAACATCTTTTGTTAATTGTCTTGGATTGGATACTGCTTTGCAACAAGATGCGCAAGAATTTTCTAAACTTCTGCTCAATCTACTTGATCGTACATCAAGTGTTGGGAATTTTCTTTGTCACGAATTTTGTGGCGAATATGACTACTGTACTACTTGCAACACTTGCGGTAATGTTTCAAAGTGCCCCTCTAAATTCTACGAACTGGATTTGTCTATACAAGGACATAAAGACGTCATTCAGTGCTTAAAGGAGTTTTTCAAAGAAGAACAACTCATTAATGAAAACCAATATCACTGTGCAAGCTGTGACTGTAAAAGAGATGCCTCACGTAGGATTGTCATTAAAGAATTACCTCGAACTCTTAATTTACAGCTTCTGAGGTTTGTGTTCGACAAAAAAACTTGGAACAGAAAAAAGCTTTCTAGTTTTTTAGCTTTTCCTGACACACTTGACATGTCAACATTTGTTACATCTGATAATGTAGCTGCCATTGATGCAGTTTATGAACTTACAGCAGTTTTGATTCATCGCGGACCGAGCGCGTCTTCAGGCCACTATATCGCTCATATTAAGGACTCTACGACACAGTTTTGGCACAGATTTAATGACGAGGCTATCGAGAAAATGAGAAGTGGCAAAAAATTGGATTTGGATGCATTAACTACTGATGATTATCAGGCAGATATGCCTCAGCCAGCAAAAAAGCCAAAGCTAAATAAAGGCACACACTCATCAAAAGATGCATATATGCTTGTTTACACAAAAAAACAACAGATGTCATCTTCCATTGAGTCACCTCCTGGAATACCAGAGCTCGCCAAAATTACTGTAGAAAAAGACAATGCTGATTTTTTTGCTTGTATGAATGCAATGATATTAGGAGCTGAAAAAAAAGCATCTGAAGAAACAAAGAAACATTCTGTGATGGGAAATCTTCTGAAACAAATGGTTGATATGGAACAGGCGGAGCTACTTTCAGATTGCTATTGGGTACCGACAATGTGGTTAAAACGCATGTTAAATGTATCCGCTGGCGTGAAAAATAGCTTTTCAACAGATAAAATATTTTGCACCCATAAGAAATTGGATCCACACAAAGTGGGTGGGATGAAATGCATTCCAAAGATTTTAGCAGACCACCTATTTGAAATGTACGAACAGGAAACTCCCCGTATCACAAACCAAATGCTTTGTCTTCAATGCGTAAAAGAACACTGTTTTTCACTTCGTCTTAAGTCAAGTTTAAAAGAAGATCAAACCACTGTCAGTAAGCTTTTGAAAGACTTTTCTTCAACTGAAGAGAATGAGTATTATTATATTGGTCGTTCTTCATTGCAATCCTGGAAAGCAATGGCAACAAGAATATTCGAATTGAAAAATCGAAATAATCAAATTATACAGACAGTACAATCAAATGAAGACAATGATGAATGGAATAGAAGGAACGAAAATGAAGATAGTTTTGAAAGTAGTGATGAAGACTTTAATTTCAATGAAGATTTACTGTGTGAGCATGGTAACTTTACTACTGATTATAAACAGTATCGAAAGGTGTCTTCATCAGTGTGGAATATTCTTGTTAAATATTTTCCTGATGCTCCTGTATACAAAACCTCAAGTGCTACGCCTTGTCACATCTGCAAAGATAAAGAATACGATGCTGAGCAGGCTGCAGAACTTAAGAAGATGGTGGCACAGGAACAGAAGTCTTGCCTTCACAATCTTTTTCTCAATAAAAACAGACCTAATTATGAAGATTTATATGCTATAAATGATTCTTCATTTTATATCGTTTCTGCTGAATTTGTGCGGAAATGGAGAGAATATGTCAAATATTCTTCAAAAAACGAGGTAGTGTCACAGGTACGGAACAAAATATTGATATGCCCTCATGATAAGTTGCTATGTGATCCTGTCATTTCTTTAAATAACTTTGACAATTATGATAAAGATGATATAAGCACTATGTTACTTTGGCCAGAAGAGTGGGGTTATTTAACAAAAAACTTCATTGTGGATGTACCAATATCCATACGGAAACATATCATGGTATCGGAAGAACAGAATGGGGTAAAAAAACATGAATGGTGTGAAATAGAGCACCAAGAAGGTACTATTTTGAAAGAAGTGCCAATTGCTCCATCCTCTCATGCAACTAATATCGAATCTAACAATAATGTTCCTCAAGCACCAATAGAAAACGGATCATCAACTGAAATCAAGGTAAATATTACTCCTGTTGTAATTCTTGATCAGATTGTAAATGAAAAATCAAGCCCCAAAGTTGTACTTCATTTTACACCCGAACTCTGTCAAGATTGTATTGTTGGCAGAGCAGTCCAGAAGGAACATAGTCTGCGTAATTATACTGATCGTGAAATTTATATTAAAAAAGTGATTTTAGACAAGATGAAATCTTGGAGCAATGAGTTCAAAAAACCTTCTCAAGAAAACTGTGTTCGGAAAAGTAAGAGAGCTCATACAACTCCAGGGGGAAAGAAAATTACAGTGTCTTCAAACTGGACTTTAAAAGAGCTAAAAATCAAAATCATGCATATGTTTTCTGTTCCACCATTTGATCAGAATCTCTGGCTTGAAGACAAGATACTAACGGACAATAGTGCTACACTTGGTTCTTTGTCAGTGTTACCGAACTGTACCATTATATTAATAGCTGATGAACCAGATGATAATGCTCAAGAAATGTTGCCTGTAATATCTAATAATGATCAAGTTTTAGAAGAAGGATTCAAAGGCACAAGCTTGCTCACTAATTCTTGAATTATTTGGTATTAATATGTGAACAGCATTCCATGTAACCAAATGTAGATTTGGTCATTGCCTCTTAGTGGAGCCAAATGAAAAAAGGTGTACAATTTTTCACTGAAAGTATTTTTAAAGTGAAACTATATGGAGCCCTCAGTAGTGGGAAATTATTCAAGAATTAACTTCTAGGTGTGGTCAGTAGTCCTTGTATTTCTTATACCCCACTCTCTTGTATTTCTAATATGGCCTATTTTTCATACAAAATCTCATTAATTACAAATTTAATAGATCGAACAGCTCTATATAAAAAGGCAAAAGAATAAATATTGGAAAAATTATAAACAATATTGGTAAAGATCTCAAATATTCTGTTGGATACGTGAAGCTGAAATTATCCAAATTCTGACTTTTTTTCAAATTGTTTGTTTCATCTATTGATTAATTAATATTTATTTGCAATATTTGGTAGAAAGTTAAAAAAATATTGTTATGCTAATGTGCAATTTAAAGTTCTAAATGAACTTGTTTTAATTGAGTCTTTTATATCGGCAACAAGGTACCTTTGTTTGCAGTTCATTGTTCATTTATTATTACTGTAATTATTACCCATAGTCAATTATTATTAGACAATCATACTTTTCATTAAGACTGTGAGCTTGCATATACCTGAAAGTTCTAGGAAATCGGTGAAACGTTATCTATTGGAATATTACAGTAAATCATCGAAGACTAACCATCTGTGTATTATGTCTTTCGAAGATATGTTTTTGTGTTAACTTTATTGAGGCAATGCTAGACTGGTAATAAAGATGATTGTAGTGCTATTTAAAACAACTTGAATACATGACAAGTGGCTAATTATACCATTAATATCCTGATGTACGCTTAGGTATACAAAGGCTAATGCAATGTTTTAAATCTGTGCCCGTTTCAGCAATTGCACATCGTTAACTAACCACGTAGAGTCTAAATATAAAAGTTCTATAGGATTGTGTATTTTAAGTCACTTACTTGAATGTAATTTATTTTTTGAGGACATCTTTTAATCGACAAAAAAAATTGAATGTTTCAACAATGTCAGCATCTACCTCCAACACTACCATTCTGAATAGTTATCTATCATCCACCAATTATTTTAGTGATCTGTTATAGTTATCATTCTGAAAATTTTTCTTATTCTCATTTTGTAACATAAAATGATAAACAGGTGGCTTTTGTACTCTTATCCCAATTGTTTTGAAGCGTTCTCCAGGGAATTTCAAGTGTTGGTCAATGGTCAAGTACCTTGACCTGATCAAGTTCGATGACTATTATCTCTCATTTTCCATCTGCCATTGCTTTGCTCATATCTTTACAAAAGCCTCTTATGCTTCATAGCAACATTTGGTTGGTTTTAAATGCTTTATTTAAAGGCTTTGTCATTGATCAAGTAGTAAGTTTGTTCGATGTGTTAAAAAGGTATTTTGGGGGTGAAAAAACAATTTAATATTTAGAAATCAACTTTTATGTAAAATGATTTGTACTCTGCAATAATGTTTTGTTTCACTATATTGTAAGTCTGGGAACTTCTCATGGAAGTTCTAAATTATTTTGGATTCTCAAATTTTTTTAGAATTTACTGGTATGTGTTATCCAAATCTCCTTCAAAAGATTTTTTCTGCAAATATTGTTTCGTTTATTTTACCACAACACTGTTCATTTTTTCTGGTGTTGCTTTCATTCCTGATTATTGATGTTGTTGTCGTCCGGTTCTTTTTCTATTATAGTTTTGATAAAGTATGTTAATCTTATAAAATAGAAGTAATTTTTGGATTTTTGAAAATTGTAAAAATGGATAGCATTCCTGGTGATCTAAACTTGGTTGATGATATAGCGAAAGAACCATATCAGGCAATGTTTTGCCGGTGCATCGATGCATGTACAAATGGAGAATACAATTCTACATGTGAATTGAAACCAAAATGTATGTTTGTTTGTTAATATCTATATTAATAATATACCGGTACTAACTTTTCTGAGTAGTATTTATTGCATAGCTTCAATCATTTGATGCAGAGAGTAAAGAGATTTATTATTTCTTCGAAGTGAAACTGTCTACTAGATAACAAACTAAATAACTTGAGCATGTCTTGATGCTTATTTCTATTACTTTACTCCATGACAATTGACTAGTATTCTTGACTATGAAATGCCAATTTTTATAGCGTTTTTTGATGCTGTTTGTCAATTCATCTGTTTTTTTATTCCATGTTCTTTATTCAAATTTTTAATCTTATTTTCTTCAGCCAAATGCTACAGAAAACTGGAACTTATTGATGGAGCTGAAATTGAGACTGCTGGTTGTCTGTCTTCTTTGGAACTCCACATCGATCAGTGTAATGTAAGAAAGTATTATTTAGTGTTGTCTTTAAATGTGTATTTTGAGTATTGAGAATAGGACATTGTTGGTCTTAATTTCTTCAACAATTTAGGTTATTAAAAGTTAAAATGACTTGTATGGAGTATGGGATAAAACTTCTGTTTTAATTGCCATATTTTTGTGAAGTTTGCATATTTTCACATTGAAATAATGAATTAGTGGTATGTGAAATTTAGTTCATAAAAAATATTGTGTGTTCATACTAAGGTTATACTCCCAATCCCAACACTAGCTTTTTCTGCTTTGTTGCCTCATCTTGATTTTAATAATAAACAAAATTTTATTTTACCAGCAAGCCGCGAAACCTGATTTTGTACAACCAACTGATTTTCAATGTTGCTGGGATAGCGATTACTGCAATGATCATTTAAATATGAAACTACCGACACATAACACAGAAGGGCCAGGTATGTTGCTGTACTGAGATATTTTTCAAACAGAGTAATTTGGGGCTGTTGCAAATGTGAGATTTTCCACTGTTTTTTGATCAAGCATGAACTATAGAGTATTTAATATATTTAAATTAATCTTTAATCTTAATAATTGTCATTTTATATTGCCCAACTTAATGTGAACATTCATTGTCTGAGAAGCGTAAATATGAATATTTTACTATTTTTTTAATATTTTTTAGATTCAACTTCAGATCCTAATGTCACTGTCATTATGATCGTATCAGTTTTGCTCGCATTTGCAGTTGGTGTCTTTATCATTACTGTTTGTTGCATACGGTTAGTCATTTTCTACTATTTATTTCACTTGGTGTGCACCAGGGGGAATGACTGAGGCCTCTGTTGTTTTTAGTTTTCAATCTTGGTTGTCGAAAAACATGACTTGTTAATAGCTCTGTCTGGCAGCCACAAATCGGTAGAAAACATCTTTTTACACATTTACTCCTAAATAGGTTATTTTTACTCTTATGCTCCAAACATGGCTGAGTCACTGATGGGTGACGAGCTAATAGTTTTAAAACGATTATAATATTTATTGTTTGCCTACTCAATTTATTTCACCCTGGGCATGGGGGTGAGTAACCTACTGTGTAAATTTCGTGATTTTACTGTATTTTTTTCCATTCTTTATATGTGGCCCATGGCTATCTTGTTTTAATGATGAATTGTCTTTATCATGGATTAAATGAAACAGTCTAACAATTCAGTGAACCTTTCTCGATGAGAAATGTTTTTTAAAATTTTACTTTTATTAATTCGAGCCAATTTGTAATTGTGAAAGCATGATTCAACTAATCCCAGCACAGAGAGGATGTATAGTGTAATGATACACATTACTAATACATTGTTTCAAAACATTTTAGTGGGATATCGTATTGTTATTAGGTGTGAAAATGCTTGTCAATCTGACACCTCCATTATATTGTGTATCATTCACACCTATGGGAATATTTTTCATTGAAGGGATGAATGTATTTTATTGCTATTTGTACACACTGGTAAGGTGTTACATAAAGCTCAACCCACGCTATATTGTCTTTGAAACTGGTATTTACATAGTGGTTGGACTGTGTATAAAATATACATATATTGTGGGTTGTGATTTACCTAAAGCGTGCTTGTTATCTAACGTCCATGCTTGAGAAATGTTTTTTATTCAAGGGACATTACTTATGTTTTTATTAACCTGGTTACAATATATTTTTTTTTAACTCTGTCGAGTATGGGCTATTAATATTGAAGATAGTACCATAGATATCGTTGTTCTTGTTCTTCAATTACTGGTAGGGTGATATCAACGAATTCCCCATTCAAATAGAATAAGGATCATCTCACACCTTCTTTTTACTTTTTAACAAAGCAATCAAAAAGGTCCATTATCGATATAACGAATACAAATGAGAAATCTTCTTTGCTATGACTATTACTCTTTTATTCTGCCTTTCGAAAACTAAGATTTGAATAGGTTATTTGACACTAATTAAACGAGACAAGTCTTTCTCTCTCGCAGACTATTGGCTCGTGTTCTCAACTATATCAATGTTACTACCATTTTGCCGGTAACTAATACCACATGCAGATGTCATTTGTTGATACAGTATTTCCTTAATGGATTTATTTTTTGTGTTTTTGTTAATCTTCCCAACATTGAACAAACGGCTACTTTTTACTATTGAATTGATTTTCCAAGATTTTGTAAGTTGTGTACTATTGATATATAGATTAGATATATTCAAATATAATAGTATGTAGTATATTGACAAAACTCGTTCTTTTTATAACTCAATTTTGAATGGTTTGAATCGAAGATTCCCAAACCTTTTATTTTCATAGCGCATACTTTCTCTATTATAAATCATGTTGCATTGGAAGAAACATTCTACTTTATTAATATCACATTATGACAGGGAAGAGTTATTTATTATAATATGCATTTTTAATAAGCAATGCCCATACATGAGCATGTTTTTTTCATAAATAATAATAAAATATGATATAGCCAGTCGTATTTCTCTCTCAACATTAACTTTAATTACAAATTTTATCATTTAATTTCATGTTCACTTCTAAGCATGGGTTAACCATTGTTCTAAATTGATCAGTAGTTGATTGAATTGATTGAACTTCACCCCTGTAACTATATATTACTCACCGCTTAGTTTTATTTCCATAACTGTCTTATCATCAAAAATATGAGAAGCCAGTGGAACTCTGAAATATTTTTTAAAACACTTCAGTAAAATATTGTTTTCGAAAATGTGATGTCAAATTTAATCTAAATTCATGTTTAACAAAGTGCAAATGGGGAGTCATATGAGTAATAATGATACCATGAAAGATATTACAAGCTCTTTCCAGATTACACGAATATTCTTTCAGTTTATTAATTACCTATTCTTCCAGTTCAATAATTACGGTGGTTATAATGACAGATGTATCTTATAATCATAACTCGTTCCTTATGAATATAAACCCACAGATATGGTGAAATTATCGACTTGTTCAGCGTTATTTCTGTTCTTTTCTGCTATTATTCTTAATCCATAGATCAATAGAACAACGTAAAACTAAAGTCGGAAGCCCAGGTGTGAGATTATTTACCTAGTCATCAAACGGACTATGGTTAGAAAATGTTGTTAATGTCAATAGGAAATTTCTGGTAAATTAAAAGGGCATAGCAGATTGGAATTTTTGATTGCCCCAATTTTGTTAATAATTGTTATTGTGTTCTTTATTAAAATGCTTTTCACAGATTGCCAAACTAATGCAAATGTAAGCTTCATTTTTAAAATAAAAATGTTGAATTTATAGTAAATTTTACATTATTTATTCATATCTTTGTTAAATATTACTGACTTCTTCCTTAGAACAGCGAACTCGTTAGACCGTGGATGTTTTTTGAATAGTTTTAAGTGCCACTTTGAAGCTAGCATTCCATTCATATCGACTTATTTAAGTATGTCAGTCATTATTTTCATACAATTTTTGATTCCTTTTAACCTAACCATTAATTTGACATCTGGATATTTTTTAATGAGATTGTTGTTACCCATAGTCGACTTCAATTTGGGTGTGGGTTACATGACATCATAATCACAACACAGATATCTGGGTGGGCAACCTGGGATTCCAAATACCGGTACACCTTATTATACTAGTTGTTATTATTTGGTAGAAATGCCTTTTTCAGAATTATGATCTGCCACCATTTTGATTGCACATGAATATGATAATGACATAATTTATGAACTTATTCGAACTCTCTACCACAAATACATTCGGAAATAATATTTTTACATATGTAATATAATAATTTAAATTACCGTAAGAGATGTTCTATGCACAATGTAATAATTTATAATAATAATTAACAGATATCGAATGCCCGAAAAGACAAATTTTTGAGTATAACTATTTTTAATTCTTAAAATCAAGAATCTTTTATTTTGTATATAACCAATTTCAAAAGCTGTCGGATATTCCATCCATTTTGACATCGATGTATGACCTATGCAAAGTGAAGATATATGCTATTCACCCTTGCACTAACTTTTGTACTCCCATATAACAAATATATGAAGACGTGTCATGAGCTTGAATTAAGTAAAATATTCGATCTCTGTTGAAAATTAACTTTAGGTGCACACATTTGGCAGGTGTTCACACTATTGTTTGCACCTCAACAGAAATAATTATTGAATAGTATCACGTAAGATCGGAAACTTCACACACAAGAAGACACCTATGATTCATCTGTCATTGAACAACCAAATTTATACAAACAAAATCAAATAACTTTTCCAATCTTTTCATCTCTATTTACCATATTTTTCTTTTTTATTATAAATTAACTTTCAATACAAATTGATAACTGGTGTTCTCCCAATCCTCTTATACAATGTTGGGATATACAGATCTCAATTCTGGTTGGATTTTATCAATTGAAGTACTTGTAATAGAGTACTCAATAGGACTGACCAGATAATATTGCTCCAGTGTTTTATGCATTTTTTAGCATCATTTATAGATTAAAAGTGAGCAATTTTAATAAAATTATCAGAAATGAAAAGTTTGTTTAGAGTTTGGATAACTACAATTTTGGTGGTTTACATTATTATATCATAATTCAAGATTTCTGGCATTGAAAAATATCTTGGTCATTTTCAAAAAGAAGTGCTACACTTATAGCAAGTACTCAGTGCTTGGTCTCTATATTCCAATTTTCTTACCACCCACAAAGTTTATTCAGTAAATTAACCCATTACATACAAGGCAACACATAATTTTCCTTTTTGCATAAACTGGCAATTGTGAATTATTTCTCACGCATTGAATCAGTTAGAAAATTACTCATTCAGACATGGGCTATATATAAATCAATGGAATTATCATGATATATCATACTTTCAAGTTTGATCTGTGATAATGTGATTGTTTGCATAAAAACTAGTTATATTTTTGGATTAACTTGACAAATTGCTACTGTCTAGCTTATGTGACGCAAAAACCATCCCTATGCCATTGTTCACCTTATTGCTCCTTCTATTGTCTTCCTAAGGCAGATGTTTTCTCAGCCAATATAACTTGGCTATAAAATTGAACCAGTGGGTCTATTTGATGATGTATGCTGTATTTATTTTGGTTAATCTATCTACTTGTGGTGAATCTGATATTGAGATTTTGTCAAAGCACAGTGTCAAGAATGACATGTGGTTTTTTCTTTGTATTCTTATCATGACATTGAAAGATTTTTGTCATTGAATTTCAAATCATTAATAAAAGTCTTAGCCTATCTCATTCTTTTATATTAACCTTAATACCGGTATTAAATTTTGGGAATCTTAATTTATCTCTGATATCTATAAAATAGCCTTGTAGAAAAATTCTAAGTAACATTACTATTGCCTGTAATTTGAAATTTGTAATTTAATAATAAGGATGTATTTGTAATGACAAATTAAAAGTCATTTTCATAGAATATGAGTCTTTTAGTAACTGCTATGCTAATTAACTCTCATTACTTAAAGACTGGTAAGAGACACCAGTATTAGTGCTTCATTACCATTTGGCCACTGGGTCTTTGAATTTGTTTAAAAGATGAGCTGTAGGAGGATTTTGAAACCTACCTTTTTTTCACATCTTCACAAATTGAAAGTGATTTTCTGATTTTTTAGTGGTTTCATTATCTTTTTCCAATCATTTTCAGATTTAAACAAAGAGAAAAGAAATTGAAACGAGAAATTGATGCAGAAAGTGACAAATATGGAATGAATACCAAGAATTTAAAAGATCTTGTCGAGGAATATTCAACGCCATGTTCATCTGGATCAGGAATTCCGTTGCTGGTTCAACGTACAATTGCAAGGCAGATTGAAATATTGCGAGAATTAGGAAGAGGAAGATATGGCACTGTAAGTGTTGAGTTTGAATTTTCTCAAACTTGCGCATGTTCACTGTTCAGTGTTTCATGGTTCTCTTCTCTATAAGATTTTCGTTACTATACTCATTGGTCAAAATATGATATAAATAAACTTAGGTTCTAGAGATGTCCTGTGAGTGTAATTCAAAATGAATTACATGAATAAAATTCGATTCTAGCTTTGAATTGATCTGTATTGAAGAATAATCACTACTAGCTAGGATACTATTGATAAGTTATAATAAATATTTAAAATCGTTTTTCTTTTAAATTTCATTATTATGAAACTAAATAATGTATAATATATTTTTTTTGGCATCGTATTTATATGCTTTTTGCTTCGAATAGGGCTGTTTTGGGTGAGGATCTACTTCAGTTTGGAAAGACCGATATCTTTCCGGTTCGGCATTTGCTATGGTTATTCACAACCCAGGTGAAGGGGATGGGCATGTGATTTGTAGAACCAAAAATTTGACCTGTGATGACATTGTTAAGTCTTAAGTCTTACTATTCTTCGGTTGCATTCTGCATATTGAAAAAATTGCATTCTGAAATATCCCATACCATGTGTGGGTCTACCTATCCCAGGCATGCATGAATGTACTATCACTAAATAGTAATTTAACTGTTATTTCCATAGGTGATGCTTGGAAAATGGAGAGATGAATATGTTGCTGTCAAGAGTTTCAATTCAACAGAAGAAAAAAGTTGGGCAAGAGAGACTGAAATTTATCAAACTGTTTTGTTGAGACATGAGAATGTCCTGTGTAAGTGTCTTGAGCTATATATCACAACTATTACATGCTTTCTACATAAAGTCAATTCTCATGACAAGGATCCATTAAATTAAAAATTGAACAGATAAAGTAATTTTTATGCACAGTGAGGCAGAAGTGATGAGTCCTAAAATAGACGAATGTTGGAATCACTGCTTTGCACTTATAAAACTAGTCTTCTTCTGTGACTCTCTAGATGTTTTGTTTTCAAAGTTTTTGGAGTGACTCATTCAGGAATAATGTTTAATATGCTATTCAGTGATTGAACATTCTTACAAACTGTATTTGAAAGAATAATTTTATCTGATTTTAGCTATCTTTATATACGATTCATCTTTGGGTCATACATTATATTTAAAATATTCAAACTTCAGTGTTTCAACGTCCCTATTCTCTAAATGCTGCCAAATTAAATTGACGATCCATAACATGATTTTTATATTATGCGTGGTTTCTTTGTCATGTAATGTTTATTTTTTTGTGATTCTTATCTTAACCGTTATTAGTATTACACTGTAGGATTAAATCTCAAGCAAAACCAAATTTCAATTTTTTATAAATTTTGAAACACCACACCGAGTGATTGATCTTCTTCATTGATATGTGACTGTTGCATTTCTCAAATCTTCATAAAAATACTGATTTTGGCCATTTCAAAGAATTTAGCAAAAATGAATTTTTTAAATTATATACTTCTGAGAAATGTGTTTAGTAATAGTTGGTGATTTTTTCTACAAATTAAGACATATTTATAATTTTATAGACAATACAAATTTGGAAGTGATATACATTAAAACAGTTGGTCTAAATCTCGTGTCATACTATTTTTATAGTAGCATCGTTTTGAATATGGATATGAAAACCAAAAATTGAACTATGTAACTATAAGATACAAATATTACTATGTCTTTCTTATTCACCTTTTTTAGGAAATTCCAGTGAAATCATACATTGTTACCAGAAATAACAAATATATCAACCAAATGTTGTGTTCATTACCCACTATGTGATTTCATAAAATTTTTGAATATATTTGCTTAAAATCCAAAAAGTCTAAAAAGTTTGTTATTTTTATTGATCAATCCATCCAAGTTCTGTGAAGTTCAGATTGAATTGGTTTTGTGCAAAATCATCTTGATCCTTGATTCCAATTTTCATGAATGCATCACTAAATTCGTGTCAATTTAATTGAGTTTCCTTCCCTCATTTTGTATAGGTTTTGTTGCATCTGATATCAATGGAAACGGAGCATGGACCGAACTCTACATTATTACTGATTATCATGCAAATGGTTCATTATATGACTACCTACAGGGACGGTCGCTTAGTTTACAAAGTGCTCTGCAATTGGCCCATACAGCTGCGAGTGGTAGGTTAAATTGCTTATCTAATCATATATAAATCTGTAAGTGCAAAAGTTGATTATTTCTGTTTTATCATACATCAACATATGTATAAGGATGGCCCAAAACCAAATATTTCACTGTTTTAAATACGCCGAATAAATTCTAGATTGGGGGCACCTTCATGTGGAAAATTAGGAATGTAAATCAGTATATTTCCATGTTGATCATATCTAAAATAATGCTAATATAAAGTTCATTGTTTACTCTGTGTTGTTTCTCACCATTTGAGCTATGGTATGTTTTGATCGCCTTATCTGATGGCTCAAAATACCTATTTTTTAAATAAAAATGTTCTAAATTGTTCCTAAATTAAAAAAATTACAATATCAATATAATGAATTTCGAATGTATTCAAATATTCGATTCCTCTTGAACATTCCTGCATCTCCATGTTGATAATATCTAAAATAATGCTAATATAAAGTTCATTGTTTACTCCTGTGTTGTTTCTCACCATTTGAGATATGGTATGTTTTGATCGCCTGTTTTGATCTGATGGCTCAAAATACCTAATTTTTAAATAAAAATGTTCCAAATTGTTCCTAAATTTAAAAAAATTACAATATCAATATAATGAATTTCGAATGTATTCAAATATTCGATTCCTCTTGAACATTCCTGCATATGTATCAGGGAATTTATAACGTTTCCATAAAAAGAGTTGGGAAATTTTGATACACAAGAAATTCTGCCATTATTCAGTAATCAAATTTCTATATGGGGTTCTCATAATGGTATCTGCGGAGATTCAATTAATGGCATATTCAAACATTCCAAATTTATTATACATCAAACATCAAGGCATAGTTTGCTATGTTAAATTTTATTTACAAGATTTAAGATTCGGATTATCTGAATTCATGTAAAACAGCATTCTTGTGTATTCGGTATTCCTAATTTGTATTTCGGTATTCCTAATTTGTAAATGTTTATTCTAATTTCTCATTTGTATTTTAAATTGTAATTATGAAATTTACAAAGGAGTTTAGTTATTCTGTTTAACAGGGTTAGTTTATAAGTAGAGTTGCAGGCAACACAGACCAATTATAGAGTATGGTAACTCTATTTTTAGCTCGTCCTGTGTGTTTAAACTTGTAGCATATCATTTGTCAATGTCAGTCGGAGTTGTCAAAATATTGTGTCTATGTCAATCCAAAATAGATAAACATGGTATGTGTACCCAAGCGCATTGTCATGGGTCTGGATTTTACAAAGTTTCTTATGGGGTCATGGCACAAATTTTTCCACAATATTTTTTATTTGTTTTTCTTGACACAACGGTTGTTTAAATATTATATTAGTGTGGTTTTGTTACGGGTATACTAAAGTTATAACGAAAGATGAGAGCGATAGTTCGTTTATATTTACAATAATATGTATTGTACGTGCCGGTACACGATTTTAAAAGCAGGGCTGGATGGTGGAATATTAACTGTCACAAAGGCGATAAAACTTTCGAACCCAGATCAAATTTTTTTATTTTAAAATTATATTCGATCATGCATGGGACATTACTTTGTGATATTATCAAGTAATGCCCATCTTTATTTCATACTTGATAAGAATAAGTTGACAGATAGAAGATATTGTTTACATTGTCGTCGTGCACAACCATAGAACCATGTTTTTATCTTCTGCGTCAAACGAACAATGTTGACAGAACACTAAAACTAATCCTAGATAGAAAAGTACCGTCCGTTCGTTGCTAGAATGGACTATACAAAGCATTGTGTGATTTCTATCTTTACCTTTTTATGTCTCATCAACTTTTTTTCACGTTGCTTTGTGGACATTTTAGTTTGTGGTGATGACTGACTCAGAAATCTGTTATACAGATGTCGGAGTTATGTCGATACATCATCTGCTTTCGATGAAAAATAATAAAATAATATTTTCAACTTAATATAAAAACCTTTTTGAGCTCACGCAACCCCAGCATTCACAATTACTACATGATAAAAAATCTACATTACATGGAAACCCATTTTTTGTGATTTCAGAAATTAATAAAATGGTATTTGTGGCTAATATATAGGCTACATCAAATCTGCTAGTCTACGCAAAATTATTTTAGTGGCTTGTTATGTCATCTAAATTGCATAATCCTCGTCAAGATGGAAAATCTATATTTTGGTATTTTTACAAAAAAAATTAATTTTTCAAAAGTAGCTATGCATTTTTTGAATAGTTGCCAAGGTTTATTAGGTAGGTATTAGAACACACCAATGTTAAAGCAACCATTTCTGAGTTCCAGTTAATTAAAATATTTTGACTATTTTAGACTATTTGGAGTGAATTTTTTTGAAGGAATGAAATCATTTTCATTTCAAAAAATTTATTTTTTAATGTGTAATGAAGTGGCATGAATGCCTAGCAGTTAGAGTATTAGACTTGCTGTTAACTGTGATGTCATCGCAGATTGCATTCCTCGGGGTTTAAATTCCATGCCCCCGCCCCATCCAGGGTGTAATAAATTGGGTAGGCAGGTGAGTTGAACATAGATTTTAACCTCATAGTTAAGATCTAGCTTTACCCATTCGACCATAAATCATGCATTCACTGAACTATAGAATGCTTTGAACTTCTCAAATTGGAATGGATGACAGAGAAAAATATGGAACCTTATTCATACTACAAAGCTAAAAATAATTCTTGTAATTGTTATGTTTGTGAACTTGTTAAAGTTCAAAATGGGTATTCGATAATGATTTTACATGATTTTAGTGCGTAATACTGTTCTTTGTAATGTTCGAGGAATGTTTAACAGAGTAATCATCTTGTTTTTCCCAAAACAATTATTTACAAAGTGATCGTCGGTCATTCATCTTTTGGAAACCATACGCTATCAAAAAAAATCAGTTGAATTTTTTTGAAATTTTTACAGTATTCAAAGAGCTTAGTTCTAATTATGTTTATTTATTTATGAAAACCAAATATAAAAAAATCATAATGTATTTTGATTTTCGTGAACTTGAAGACTGATAATTTCAAAAATCTTTTATTACATTTTGTAAATTGTAAATTGAATTTTACTTTCAAAAATTTATTAAAAGAATTTATTTGTTCATATAGTTAGGATTTTAAACAGAGTCTATTCCCAGATTAATCTTGTTTTAGTATTTCTTTATTCACACATTCAATCCTAAAACAGCCTACAACGTTTTAGTCCACAAGTCTGCATTTATTAAAGATGTTTACAAAAATTTTGAAGAGAGATAAATACAAATATATTAGAAATAATACTGCAAAACTGGATCATGTTTTTGCAATTTTCAATTTCTGTTGTATATACCCGCAGCTTTTTCCTTAAAAGTTCCAATTTTATTGTTGATTTCGATCGTTTCGTATGTTTCTAATTTTGAACATAGTAAGTTTGATTTATTCCTTGCTAGAGTTATCTGATTTATTAGTTTAAAAATATGAAAATTTAGTTTCAATTAATTGATTTTTCTCACTTTGAGGTGTTCTAATCTGTTCAAACCTTAAACATTTCACTGTTGTTAAGTTAGTGAGATAAATGGTATAAATATAGGCTATTTATATACGTATATGATAAACCAGAAAACAGTTTAACCTTTGGATAATTGATTTATCAATGTTAAGGTAAATTATCCGTGAACGCCAAACTTGAAAATGCTTCAGTTGGTTTAAACTATGATGTTGTGTTGGCAGAGACTTCAGTAATTAGGTGGTTTAGTGGTGATTAATGTGGTTCAGCGCAGGCATAATAATAATTTGAATAATAATAAGGCAAATTATAACGAATATGGAATAAAAGGGGTTGTTCATAAAGTTCATAGGCTTATTTCATAAGATTTTTTTTAATTACAATAGAAATTTGTTGATCCCCTATATACTGCATTCGTTAAACCCTACAGCTACAGGTGTATTGAATGAAGTAAAAAACTCAAATACACACTGATTAAAATGAAACGAACCTGGTTTATATTTATTGAGACTGACCTAATAACTAAATTAAAATTGTAATGACTTAAGGGACAACCTGCATGATTTAATGCAGGTATTGCTGAATTTGCTTTTTCAAAAATTTTTGATAAATAATTGGATGATTCAAATATATGGAAATTATTTGTGTAAGTTCGCCTTTAGCGTGAGCCCTCAACTTGAAGTAGGAAGAGTTCCAAGACCAATGTTTCGCCAAGTGTTTATCCTTTTGGCACATAATATGTCGGTACATGGGATTGGTTCAGCAAAAAAACACTCTGCAACGATTTATAATAGGCTCACCATCATTATTCAAATTATATATTCAAATTATAGCGTAGGTAATCAACACAAATAAATATTATATGCTTAAAATTCTCCATTTTGAATGAAAATATTAGAAAACCAAAGAATATTTATATAATATTTTACACAGTTGAAATTTATTTGAATATTAAATTCATTTCTGTTCTGTGTTCACACACACTAAGATTCAACAGTACATATTTATTTTCACTGACAGGATATTTATTCAGTTGTATTTTAGCTTTTTCACATGATTGCTTATATTTTTTCCAAAAGTCTTATAACAAATTGAAAGGTTTTTATTTGCACCTGATTCCTCTGTCGTTTTCTAATGAGGCTACACATTGGGAAGTTTCCTTTATCCTTTCCAAGATTTTATTATCCTTATTATGACAATCTTGTTCCAATTTACTTTGTAATAGTTTAACAATGTTACCACAATCATTCCATTCGTTATCTCAAACACATGAAAGCAGAATTATCTTCCTAGTTCAATAATGTCAATAATTGTTTAATAGACATGTACAAACATTGAAAATTTATGTTGTATTTACTCGTACTTTTGACTTGAAAGCATGGCTGGTATAATTTATTATCATAATTATGAATTCTATTTTTTTACATCAGTTATGCTCGGTAGTCGCATGTTTAAATTATGCTTGGATGACCAAAATCGAAATATTAAAATAATGTGTCCATCACAGAATATCGGATATATTCTAAATTGAAGTCAATTTATATTCAATGAGTTTGTATTTGGAAATGTAGGAAAGTTAGATCATTCGTCCTATCATGAGAATTTAAAATGGACTAATTTTTCAAATAAAAATTTTCGAAATTCTTACTAAAATTATATATTCATATGTTTGAATATCAGGTTCATTTCGGACATGCTGGGTTAGCATATATAAAATATTTTTATTTCATTGCCATTAAAATCGCTGTTCATTTTTTCATCTTTTACAAATTCAATATACATCTATATTGATACATGACTTTGACGAATTCACAAATACTTGGAATGGGAATAATATATTGAGAATGCATTCGGGAGTATAAACTTGTATTTGTACTTCGTCAAATAACTTTCTCTCTCTGCTCTGTCTTGTGTGAAGTGAAACCTTTTCATATTATTCTTAATAATATTCCGTCATCACCTTCTTTGCAAAATTAATTTGCAATAGTATTTCTCTCTCGCGGTCAAGTCTACCAGACAGTTTAATTTATTTTTGAAAGGTGGTTGCTTTTATAAATTGATATGAAATGAAAGATGGATTCATGGTCTTATATTAGAAAGTGATTCTGCGCCTTCAAAGTGAGGTATAACACGTTGTTGCCAGCAGAATGTATCTTCAATTAGTTATTATAAAACATGAAACGAACCTCTCAAATAATTCTTTTCGAATTTTTAAAATTTAAAATAGGAGAAGTTGCTAAAAGGTTATTACATTAATTTATTAACTTGTACAGGGCTCGAAATTTCACCACAAAATATATTTTTTTTAATATTCATGATATTCAATACAATCCTTTTCCCATTTAGCTTAAATTTCGCTGATGCTATGATGGCCATATTTCCAGTTATTTAAATATTGTGTCTATATATAAATTTGAATTTTTTTTGAGTGGTTAATGGTGACTTATCAGAGTTAACTAACTTTGCATTCCAGGTCTAACTCATCTCCATACTGAAGTGATTGGTACAGTAACTCAGGGCAATTCTGAAAATCAATGTAAACCTGGGATTGCACATCGAGATATCAAGTCCAGGAATATTCTGGTGAAAAATAGTGGGGATTGCTGCATTGCTGATATGGGATTTGCAGTTATTTATTCAAGGTTTCTTAATTATAAATATTACTAATTAAACTGTTATTTTGCATTCTCTAAGGCACAATTTTTTTCAAATTCATTGAGTTATGTGGTCGATTATAGGTTCAAATCCTATAAAAGACAATCCTGCGTCATCAATCACCAGCTCCTGAACAAGGCTCTGTATATTGCTATGTAATAAGCTATAATAGTTGGGACTTGGGACCATTGTGTATCCATGTTATTACAACCTGGTTAAGATTATATCTCTCAGTTACGACCATGTATCAGAACAAATTGAACTAGCGAAATCATTCTGTATATCACCAGAACTAGCTTCGAAAGTGAGATAATGGTTTGTTATGTGATTGTGGAATGTTATATCTCGGTTTTGGTATATATCAAATCCTGTGCTATAGAAAAAGCCAATATTAGGACTCTAATTCATGGTTCTCAAGCTTCTGGCATCCCTTGCCCTATCCAAAGACTCTCAACACTTGTGGCCCACTGCTTTTTCTATAAAAATGCCTAGTTTTGCTTTTAACACATTTCTAACAGTTAAATTTATGTGCCACGTTAAAAAAAAATCCAGCAAACAGAAGCTAAAGAATAAATGTATTACAGTCAATAAATTGAACAAATCATAATCAATTTACCCTAAATTAAAGTAGTCTCTGCTCATGGCACCCAAGGAGCCCTTCCTTGGCCCCTCAGGCCCCCGAGAACCTAGTTTGAGAAACTCAGCTCTAATCACCTATTTCTATCTTCATCATATACTTTAGTTCCAAAGAAGATGGCAACGGAAAACTTGACAAGGGTCATTATAAGAAATCTCGTAAACAAGGTACAAAGAGATACATGTCTCCTGAAGTTTTGAGTTCAATGATAAATGAAGATTCTTTCGATGCTTTCAAGGCTTCTGATGTCTACAGTTTTGCTCTCGTTTTATGGGAGATTCTAAATTGCACAACTGTGGAAGGTATGTGTGAATACGTTGATGTTCTATTACAGACTATTATTGATAGTTTATTGGGTTGTTGGTCAGCAAATCTTATGTTCTAGGAGAGTTGTAGAGTCCGTTAAAGTTCGAGATGTTTTTATTAATTTCGAAGTAGGAGCTCGAGTCGTATTTTTAAACTCTCCAAAGTCGATATAGAAATTTTGAATTTTTCGTATTTGGGAATCAGAATTTGTAATGGTGATGATTGGAGTCCAAATTTTCCACAAACTCTGGAGCATTTAAATGATCAGGCATTGTTAAAAGACAACCAAATAAGTTTTACATATTAGATTTGTTCTTCTCAGCTACGAGTATGGTGTCCCAAGTCGACAGTAATTTCCCTCGACTTCATACCCCTGTCTGAAATACAGTTTTACTATAATCTGACTTTTCAAAACTCGCTATTACGATTTGTCTAAATTAATATACTTATCATCAAATCCAATTTTTCTATAGGATCTATGCTCTACAGCTTATAGTCATTTTTTAGATATTCTTTAAAGTTAATTCAATGTATTTGTGAAAGGGGGCTGGCCCTTGATGATTCTAAAAATTCGAATTCAAATTTAATTAGCTCATAGAAGCTCTTATGAAACACCAGAAAACAAATTGGTATATATATATAGTGTATATAATATATCTTGTAATTTTGTTTTAGGTTTGATGGGTGAATACAGATTGCCTTATTACGATGATGTGGGCAACGATCCTGACTTTGAAGAAATGAGAAAAGTAGTCGATGTTGATAATATTAGACCTGAAATATCATCGGTTTATATGGAACATCCAGTGAGTTATATTATATTAACTTTTTTACTTATCATTGTAAGTTTGAAAATTTTTTTAAATTTGATGATTCTGAACAATTTGGACTGTTCAATTTTTTTCTCAGTTATGTATGAAAGTTAGATATATATGGAACAATTTTTCGAAATCGACTGTTAATCTTTAGTTGGAAGATGAATATTTAAAACATGCTGTTTCTTACATCTGGCTTTATCACAGCAAGTCTTTAATTTAAAGCAGGGAATGAAACCTTTAATACAGAAGGGCCTGATACAAATAGCTTGGTGTAACCGCGGGCCCTTAGCTTAGTTGCAGGCACAATTTTTGTGACATGCGTTGTTAGATGTGCATAAGCTATACCAGATAGATGGTCCAAACAATTTTTTTGTGGGCCGCATTTGGCCCAAGCGCCGCAGGTTGCAAACCCCTCATTCAAAGCATAATAATTTTCAACATATCTCAATATTTGTTATTAGTTTGGGTTAGGTGATACAACCAACCCTTTTTCCCCTTCATTCTTTTGTCCTGGCGGATCCAGATGTGTTATTTTGTGCAATTGTCTAGTGGTTAAAACGTCCAGTCACCGGTTAAATACCTAAGATTCAAAGCTCCTTCAGGGTGTAATGAATCGGGAAGGCAATGCTTAACTGAAAGAATCGAATTCCATATTAGCGTTGAGGCACATGGAGACAGAATTCTCAAATAATGTTTTCACCTATGAACAATATTATTCACAACATTTTCCATGAATATTATATATCATTTTCTTCCAGGTTTTGTCTCGTTTTGCTGAAGTAGTGTCCGAGAGTTGGGTGAAGCGTCCGGATTCAAGATTAACCATGTTACGAATTCGAAAAACTCTTTCCATTCTTCGACACGGACCTCTCGAAGATAATCCGCCCATTATCACAGACTATCATCCAACCAATGGATTTACATATATTTCAGACAGATCAAATAGCTCGGGTTTTCCAACACAAAGTAATGATTTTTATCCATTAAAACTTCAACCGAAAGATCGGGGCACTCCACCCGGAGAATACGAGCAAAGAGTCGGCGGATATAGTTATGATCCACAGTTACATAATGGTAGTCATAGGCTCGTTAGTAACGGATATAGCGACAGTTTCGGCTCTGTGTAATTTCTTATATCGGAAAAATATCAGGAATGTAAAAGTATAATGCATCAATGCAATGATGTAATACAGAGTTGAAAACAGGGAAAAGCAATGACTGCCCAGTGTCTATCAGAATAACAAGCAGGGAAGGTTTCATGTATTTGTATTTTGGGCAAAGCAATAACCAAAACTACACTAAATTTGCTATTTTGAAAACAGTTATATTATGCATCAAAAAAGGGAATCTCGTTTCATTTAAGCATAAAAAATATTTTTTTTATCTGGGCATGTTTAAATTCAAAAGTGGCAAATTCTCAAAAAATGAATAATCAGTGTGGTATCTAAAAAATGGATATTCAAATGTTTTACATTTTATCGATCTGCTATAACTAGTATATGTTATTGAAGTTTTTTTATCACGGACCCGCATGCATATAAATTGATATGAAACAGAATATAATGTATCTATGGATATCTTTCCATGAGTCCATAAAGGAAAACTATCCTAGAATGTATTTCTTGAGGACAAAACTTTATGTGAATTGGAGAAGTTGCACAGCATCTAAACTTCGCGGCCACTCCCTCTGTAGCAGTTAATCCATCTTACCAGATTCAGCCAATATCCATTACCTCATATCTGGTCTTTTAGTTCGTTGGTTTTTGTATTTGAAATATCAAAATCACTTCAGCAATTGATTTATGGAATCTGTTTTTTTATTGACTCGTAACTATTTAAAAATCAGAAAAAGTTAATGCCTATTTATGTTTTACTTCATTTGATAAGATCTTCTTTCTGTAGCAATTTATGTGGTTTTTGTTTTTATCATTTGTTTTTCGTAAATGAGCAACAATGCTGTGTGTTTAACAAGATGTTGCTGAAATCCATATTCATCCAATTGTTACTGAGTTATTTCTTCATTACTCAATAAGCTGAGATGTGAAAACTCGAATTTTAGGAATGTTATAAAATTGTGCGACTTTTTCACTATCTACGTTTTAACTCACAAATTTACTTATGTTTTTGACATGAATGTTATTTGAAATAAATTGTGAGAGACAAAAGGGCCAAATGTCGAAATTTCGAAAAATAATATTCAAAATTATTACAAAAAACATCTTTTTAAGCTTCGCCCTTTAGGGTTAAAGCTCCTGAATTTTGTTTTATTGGTTGACTACAAATTGGAGATGTTTTTGGTGTGATTTCTCAATCTTCCTGATTCCAGTCATATATGAAATTGGTCAGAATTTTGTATTCTAATCATTCTGGTAGGCTGGAGTTTTTATACTCAAATTACTTGTTTTCGAGCAAATTAAATTTTTTGCTTTTTATCGAACAGAATATTCAAGGTGTATTTTTAATATGTAGCAGGGTTAGCAAAAACTTTTTCTTAACTTTTCATTTACGGTAATTGAAAGCAAATTTTTCAATTGCTTCTTTAATATACTGGTCCTGGTTTGATATTTGCCTCTGTAATTGGTATTCCATCACATATTACGTCAGATAGTTATATTTTTTCATTGACTAGAATTTAAGTTTTTATTTCTTGGCCACTAAGACAATACAGACCTAAAACAATATGATTTCTTCTAAAATGTTGCATTCCTTTTGACGAAAATAATTGTTTCCCCTTCCCCCCAAATATGAATATTTGTCATCTAGAATTACTGCGCCCAGCTTTATATTTATTGGTGGTAATGTTCGGCCTTGTATACAATGGAAATGGCAGGTGGAAATTCATATTGATGTGACTTGATACCGTTTGTTGTGAAGTTAAATGAATTACACTCTTGCACTGGTTCGATATCCACGGCATCAGATTCATGATTACGGCAATGCAATTTTAGACTCGCTTATTGGATAAGACCAGTGTTTTTCAAACTTTTTTCATCTTGACCCACTTGTCACATTTGAATTTTTTGCAAGCCGCAGGAACCCCAAAAAATTAAAGTAAAATTTGATAATACAAAAAATTAAAAAAAAATTAAATGAAATTGACAATAAATAACCCTTCGATGAGACTGATGTGCTTGCGTATTCTTGCACAAAAGATAGAATTTTGTCTCTATTTCGGTGATGGTGCATCTTTGTACTGGTTCCAAATTTGTTAAATTTGATCGATATTTTGTTGTACCTTAAGTTAGTGCCAGAATTTTTTTTTATTGCGACCTCTATTAAGCCCTTTCTCAACCAACTGGGGGTTCGAGACCCCCATTTGGGTCCTATCTCCAGCTGTGTATGATACTAATTCAAAACAAGTGGAATGAATGATCCAAAGAAGTGAATTTTATAAGATTAATTTTAGATATCGAAAACAGGCCTCACATCCAAATTTAGCAACAATTTAATTTTCTAAATCAATTTTAATAGTAGCAATAAGTTATGAATATTCCGCAGCTGACCAATTCTAATGTTATTCTGTTGGTTTCTGATTTCAAAAAGCCTCAGATTGCAGTAGGAAATAAAATAGCCTCTTCATATTATAATTATTGTTATAGACAAGCGAACTGAACTCTTGGACTTTGTTTGTTACTGTGAAAAGTGTGGTTTCCCAATTAGTAAGACCCTTTCCCTATACTTAATTTTGTGATAAATTCGTATGCGGACTCAGATATTTGGAATTGCTCAACGAGCGGCACATTAATAATTCGGCATAAACTTGTGTACCTACGAATTTCATTCAAACAATATCTCATATGCTTGAAATAAGATGAATTTTTATACATCCTTCAACTTCTCTTTACCTGGTTCTAACGTTCTTTCTAACCTCAATAATGCAAATGTTTTAAGTGAGTAAACTTTTTTATATCTTTCAGTTTTTCTTTGTCATCGTACTTTTTACTTATCGTTGTTTGTTTGTTTTTTATGATGTTTTTATAATGAAATTTCTGTAAAAATTTTCTTGTTTGCGGTGCCTCTTTGTAGTATTTTCTGTATTTTTTTGTGGCCGTGTGCCGATTTTTATCATTTCTTTTTCATTTTCTTTGTATTCACTACTGATATGTCCATTTTTCTCACGGCGTTCGATTTGGTACATTTTATCAAGTATGAAACGATTTTTGTCTTATTGCCTTGAATAAAGTATTTTCTGCCATCTGCTTTTCTGCTCGAGAAAGATTTGAGGGGAGAAATTGTTGCGTCAAATCGAACAAATGTCGTATTTGATCGGAATTTATATCTATCATGGAAGTACGAGGTGTGGCTAAAAAGAAACGAGACTGACGTCACAGATTGCGCAACACGATTAACCATTGGTAATCAACACTTTTACAGTGTGGTGTAATATGTGTTCTTTGTTCAACAGCTTTTTTGACACAATATCGCAATTATTTTTGCTCTTTAGGAGCCATAGGTGAATGTGATTAATTGCTTGTTGAAAAAAAAATTGCCGTGCGAGATCTGATTGAGTTTTTTGGCGATAGGGGGTTCAATTGCAGAATGACGATTGAGCAATGAATTAACATTAAATTTTGTGTCAAACTTGGAAAAACGGCGACTGCGACTTTGAAGAAATTGTGTGATGTTTATGGAGATTCTTCCATGTCCAGAACAAGAGTTTTTGAATGGCACAAGCGATTTGTGGGATGCAGGGAGGATGTGGAGGATGATTCGAAGTCAGGAAGGCTTTGCACTTCCACAACTGATACCAACATCGAAAAGGTATCAGTTGTGAGTTCAGTTGTGAAAGGCAGTTGATTCGCAGCGACCGTCGCTCAACAATTCGCGTCATTGCGAAGTTGGAAAAGACAAAAAAAAACGGTTCGCACCAGTTTGGTTGACACTTTTGGCTTGTGAAAGGTGAGTGCCAAAATGGTGCCAAGGCTGTTGACTGAGGAGCAGAAAGCTCAACGATTAAATGTTGCCCAGTTGACATGCATTTTTCCAAGTTTGACACAAAATTTATGTGTTGCGCAATCTGTGACGTCAGTCTCGTTTCTTTTTAGCCACACATCGTAATGTATAGCTCAGGCGTTCCCAAACTTTCTGTGTATTAGTATCCTCCGGTAGGGGCGAAGCCAGAAATGTCCGAAGTGGGGGGGGGGGGACGTGTGTTTTCATGAGTCTTACGGGTCTAAAAATCGTTCCAAGCTAATTAAAGTTGTTTTGCAAGCTACAAAAAGATGCTCTTATTATTTTTACATTTCAAAAGGGGGGAGAGGGGGTCCGACTCCCTAAACCACCCCCTGGCTACGGCCCTATCATCTAGCCATTTTAAGATTCTCTCGTGTACCCCAAAAATTATACTGCGTGCCATCAATGCCTTGCATTTTACAATTGAGATATCATATTGGAATATATTTAAGCCGGCAGAAGAGTAGACCGCGAACCGGCGGTTGAGATTCACTTTGCTAGAGAAATCCTGAACTGCTCCTTCCGCCGCAGGGTGGTTCACGTAATCGCTGGTAGGTTATGGCTTCCTCCAGCGTCAAGTCCGTGAATTTGTGTTTTAATCGTTGTTTTCATCAGTGGTGTTTTAAGTTGCTCGTAATTAACAACGTCTAATAGGTACTATACGACGCATATTATTCAACTTGGCTCCGTGGCCAATCGCATCATCTTTAAACGTGAATATATATCAGAAAATTATCCGTCGATCGTGAGTAGAAATCAAGAAAAAGAAAATGGAATCACGCGAGAGTAGTCGACGGTTGATATTTTTGCATCATTCAAAAACTATGGGCTTTTTTGTTCGAATATTTACAGAAGTTGTTACCAAAACATAATATCATTTCATTCAAAATCTTCAGTTCAATTTTAGTTTCAATTAAAAAGTGGACACAAATAGGTAGTTGATATGCCATATCCACTATGACTACACTATAATATTAAAGGCATGCATTATTCGTATTACTGTCATAATTCACCGTTTGCGTGTCAGAGTGCATTGACAAAACAAATCGCGAACGTCTGCGGTATGTCATACATGTATATTTTTGCTCTTGTGCGCTCGGTGGAATTGGACTGGTGTATCTTAACGCATTTTTGCCTACTTGGAATTTTAACGTATTCATTTCTTGTTTCCTATATGAAAAAATTCCACTGGTTTCATAATTTAGACAAATGTCTTTGATTGCAAATTGCTGGTGGTAAACATCGGCTGTGCACATGTAGGAAAAATACTATTTCCTCAAATTGCCCAAATTACTAACTAGAGAAATATATATATATTCAAGTGGAAGGCTAGTAGTCTATATATGTTCCAATAGTAAAGATTACTGACGTTTCTTGGAATACACCGTTCGCTCGTTAGAATTTGTTGAAATTTTCAAAACCTGTAAGCAACGAATGTTAATAACGTTTTGCTTTATCCGAGAAGAGATTTTGTAACTCATCACAGATTTTGTGATCCCATAAGAATACGTTTAATAATAGAATAAAAAACAAAAAGTGAATTTCTATGTTGTTACAGGAAGGCACTAACACGGAATATCCAATTGCAGAGCTCTGTGCATTGTTGCGGAATTGAAATATAATATTTGAACATATTCTTTGCACACAAAAACAACGAGGATAATGGAAATATGGCGTGAAACACGGCCATTTCAACTTTTTTTAAGGAATATTTAGCGTGTGCATTGTGCTTGCTTAATGATATTACATTTCACAGTAGCGGATGTCAGCTCATTTTTGAAAACCTTCACTGGTTAAGCCTGGTCTGTAAATAATATCGCCGTTTATGCATGTTATACCACCGGCAGTTCAAAAACTCTTTAGAGAAATTAAAATATTTTGAATTGACAGTGCTTATAATATTGTTTGTCGTTAATCCAATTTTCTTGTATAACATTTGCTTTGCAAAATGTAAAAACCGCATTCGAGCGTCTATCAAATGTTTCAAAGGACGCAGTAAATTTAGACAGGCAAAGCAAAGGATTAAATTATATATATATACGTATGTTATATTTTGGTCTCTCGTGGCCATAAACCAGGTAGAAAATATCTTTTCTGGTATAACATAAAGTTTCTTTCTGTTCATACTAGACAAATTTGAATGACAACTTTTCATAATTTCAAGATGTAGGAATCCGGTAGGAGGCTTTTGTTTTTATTCCATTATTCCCCACGGGGACCGATATTTCACTCAAACTTTTGTTGTTCCATTTTTATTCATGGCAACACTGATTTGACATTTGACCCCCGTGTATATTTGAGCATTGCTTCCTTGTTTCATTGCAACAATATTGAATCCCAAAGACTCCGACGTCCCTTTCTTTTCCTAGTATTTTCCTAAAAAGCTGCAGTAAAAAAAGTTGTATATAGTAAAAGCAGGATTAGAAGAGGGTAATTGTACAAAAAAGAATCGAAATTTCCATTACAGGTTTTCAAGACAACGTTTTATTATTAGGTTATTGTAAAGCTGTTTTCCACATACGTGATATTTATAAGACAGTCGGGTTAAAATAAATCAAAATGTAAATAACTTTCTAGAATAGAATACCGTGACCTATAAACAATCTGGAAAAAATGTTAAATCGGGAAAGGTATTCAATATTTTTAGCACGCCAAACATTTTTGAGTTAGGAGCATATAAATTCAATGTGTATTTGACTGAAGCGTTTAGCCTTCCTCTTATCCGTTGCCCTTCTGATAGTTCGGTGTGGAACAGTTGTTTTTGTAGGCCGTCCTCAGACTTCCGAAGAAGGTGACCTGCCCACCTAAACTTGTAGATCGTTTTTGTTTTAGTGAATCAACAATTCTTGAGTTCAAGAGTATACAACGACATATATAAATATATAAAACACCCCCGAACGACATTCCTAGGTATATTGTATTTATGTTGTCATATGAGCTCATACGAGGAAGATTATTTCCGCATCTGACATACGATATGACACAGAAATTTATTTCCGCTTGTAGTTGAGGACCTGTCATATCGCATTGCCGCAAAACGTAAACATTTGTTTTTATGCACCATGCAGATTGCAAAGGGGACGTCGATGCAGTATTTCCTTGAAATATGACCCATTTTGTCTGACATATTTTGTCTGTCACCAAGATACACAGCAACCAAAGAACCTTAAATATATTCCGACTATTCAGTACAGTTCATATGAAAAAATTTGGAGGGTCAGTGCACGATGTCTTCGACTCACCTTTCAATTATATATATTAAATTTAGACCAGATATACGCAGTATGCAGAAGTGTAATGAAGTATTTTTAACCAAATATATACATGAAATTAGAAACGGATGACTTAAGGCGAAAACTATATATATTATTATACTTTAGTTTTATAGCGTCAAATACAGCAATTTATTTTTGAACAAATTTGATTTTTTTTTCTGGGGTTTTCATCAACGTGTTCATTCATATTCATGTAAAACACTTTTTCGAATCGTCGTAAACTTTTATGTTATATTTACTATTGTTTTTTGTGTAATATTTATTTCCCGAGTACTTTCATTACAGTTGATTCTAACAATTAGAAGCCCAAAAAATGTATATATAACTTTGTGCTAGATCCTTATCTTACATAGCCATTTATAGCTGGTCCACGAAAATGCCGAATATTGGGATCTAGTAGCTACAGTAAAATGAAAGTAAATCAGACGTATTTTTTTTATAATATGATCAGCGAGAAGGTGGTCGGTTAGACGCGGAAGTTAAGTTTATGATTGCCTAGAACAGTCATTGACGTTCTATTTGTGGTTCTATATTTTAGAGGGTTAAAGCGTAAAAGCTGTTTAGGACAGGTCTCAATTTTAGTCTGTGTTTTTATGGACAGGTGGTCGGTACATTTCACTTTCCGTGACAGGAGAACTGTCTATCTAGTATATATCATAATGTGAGTTCGCATATAAAATGGAAATGTTATTTATTATTAATGTTAAGGTTCCGACTCGACCCTGCTGACTGGACGTGATCAAATTTTGCTATAATGTTGAACAATGCTATTATCTTATTTGTACACCATAATTTTGCGAAAAAGAACAAATTTTTCTCGGTGCTACTGATGCATTTCTGTCGGTATTCCGATTACAACCATTTTTCTGTATGAGCTACAGATACAATGCTCAATAGTTGATTTTTTTCAGTCTTATACCTAATGCTTCGTTTAGAATGAGGCACTGTGGTAAACTATTGTAAAACAATTTCCTGCAAATGCAGGCAATCTTCTCGGAATTCGAGAAAATATAGGGGTCACGTTATAGCAAAGAAAAGCTCGGCATTCGAAATACAATACCAAACACGCTCTCGATTATGAATTGAATAAAATTAAAAAAGTGAAAGAGGTCGAACTTTTTTTTACAGCATTGCCGATTGTTCACGTCCTAGAATACCAGATGAAATGTAAACTGTTGCTATTTAGTCCGCTAACAATTGGTGTACGAATATGATCTAATTGTAGTTTCTCCATATTAGTCAAAGTGATACGTATATAGAAAGTCATATAAATGCAAAGTAGACATTCGCAAAATATTTGATATGCAAAGTAGCCATTCGCGAAATGTTTGATATAGCAGCACACACATATATAGGCCTATATATGTGTGTATGATGGAGATTTAGCAGGTGTCACAGGCCCTTATTGATCGGCACATTGACCCAACTATTTCAGTATGGCAGTTTAAACATCTCAGTTGAAGCTTTCGTCAGTCAGACTACCATCGTTGGCCAGTCAATGCCGGAAGCATTATGACGTTCAAATCCATCAGTTCTGAAGTTTAAACGGTAATGGTATAGGCAAGGTAATCCATTACCGATATTCAGTATGGTAGTCGGAAGCAATTTCAAAACGGCTAACGGGTTACTTTTAAGCTCTTATTTGACATAGTAACGAAACAATTATTTCCTTATATTATTACGATATCTCGCCACATTACGGGAAATAAGACAAAGAACATATTCATTGACGAAATGCTAATGCTAACAATTTCGAAACCGCTACATTGGTAGTTTCAGATTCCCATTCCAGCTGGCAACGTTAAAATTATTTTTTTAGATTATTCCGAAATCTCTTGGGGAATGAGATAAACCACAAATCCAAGTGTACGTTACAGTTTCCGTATTCATTTGCAAAAAATAAAACAATTGTTAGCTAGGTTCTTTAAAGTTTTCAGAAGCTTTCAATAAATTACCAGAATTATCGCGATAAATCGTGTGATTGACACTTTTTGAATTTTTGTAAAAGACGATTATTTCCAAATCCAACAATCGCTGGCAGTAAGTGTTCGGCAACCATGCCCCTTGCAGGTTCATGAGGATTTGTTACCTACCCGTATAGCTTACTTCTCCGGGCTAAATACCTTCGAAAAGTTTTTGTAAGTGTAGATGCTATTTTCGTCGGACGTATAAAAAGTATATAAAAATGAAATTTGTTCACCCAATTAGTAACATCCTGTCACGAATCTGACGTTGGAGACAAAGGGCCGAAAAACGGAAAATCATTTTTAAACTCCAAGGTGATACTGGAAATCGCCAAACAGACTGGACCGAGATACATATTGTATGAGTCGTTGAGTTCCATAATTCTAACGTGAAAGCATCTCGTTGCGACAATACAAGCGCAAGATTCTCATTGATGAATAAATTTCAGTTGTAATAAGATATTTATTTTTTGAATAGTTGGTCATTGCGATGTATCGTATTTTGAACAAACTCACTAATCTTAGTTCAGTGAAAACAATGTTAATATTGAACTTCATTACTACAGTTATATTGATTTTATTTTAATATTCAATCATATTTATGATTATCGCGGTATTTATAACTCTACAAAAATTCTTACTCTTGGGAATTTATGCAAAGTACGATTGAAGCTTAAAATTTCTGTTGATAAAGAGTTTAAACCACCGATTTGGCATATTTGTCAAGATTTAAGAGAACGTCGAAATTTCCAATACCGTAAAAACCAATTAATTATAGGAATGTAACTGGTTATGTATTGTTGTGTACTAAATGGATAGCTAGTGAGGCACAAACAAAAAATACAGATTTACTTTATGCCGTATTTGTTGGATATTTTCAGCGTATAATCACTCTTTGTGACACTGCACTATTTTCATTTAAGATTTATTATTATTGATTTTTTGGAATTTAAAATATTAGCGACACAAATTCATCTGTTTTCCCAGATATTATAAATAAATAAAATATTTGAGATCGTTTATGTGCATTTTACGGGTTCGTTTAATTGAATTTCTGAGGCTACCATATACCATATATTAAAAAGTTGCTTCCAAATGTTCAAATGTTGACTTAACTCAAACCATTGAATATCATTATATGGTTTTAAGTTGTGCGCTCTATTAACATGGTAGTCTATAATAATGTAAAGAAATATTGTGCAAATATTGAAAATAACCTAAAAACCAATATTTTGGTATTTTAATTTTTAAGGCTGGACCCAGACGGATATACACGCCTAATTATAGCTGTATTTTTGCAAAAATTTACTACGATATTTTCTTGTTTTTATTTACTCATACATACATGGGGCAAGCTAAACCCAACCCGACAAGCTATACATCATAATTCACATAAAAAATGAATAAACTAACCTAAAATAATAGACTGACACGATAAGAAAGGACAAGTAAATTCAATTGACATTTCAGAAAAATTGAATGAAAAAAGGCTAATTGAGATCAGAATGAATGCGACCTGGGAATCAGCCAGGACAATACGGTTTGCCTTCGATTAGTACGGTCGCATACATACAAAATCGTTTTCTGACGTACTGATTTAGAAGCGGTGAAGATTAATCGCTTTTGCTAATGTCCAACAGGTATTCGCGGAAGCAAAATTGTAGATCATATTGTGGAAATTCCTGGCATGTCGCGAAAATAATTACGACTAAAAACGTTTTAATTCAGATGATTTTTTACAATATGATTAAATGTATCGCTTTCTTGGATACGCTCTTAAAATCATTCAAAGCTAATTACTTTGCGTCTAATACGTGTGAATATTTAAAATTATTGGTTTGGCATTATCGATTCATTGTTTTCAATTTCCAAAATATGTCAAAATTTCTATTTTATTATTTTCTCCTATTTTGGGATTCAACAAATTTTAGTGTTTGCATTTTGCAAAGCCGTGAGGAAGCTATTGTTACAATGTGTTATTTTTCAAAAATTATTCCACAAGGTAGATATTTTTTTGAATATTTAAGAAATCTTCAGGGAATTGCGACATCAAAACAACAGTCTCAGGTTAATGTTTATGTTTGTAGAACAAGCATTCGTGATACTCAAGAAATTTGAATTCAGTTACTGAATACATTTTTAAAACTACCTAATTATATATATATGGTATATAGTGATTGAGAGTGAGTTGTATTTATTTAACTTGACACCGTAGTTTCAAAATCTCGGGTATGCCCCCCTTCCCTCTTCACCTGGGGTGTAATAGTAAGACCCCGGTCCTTCTAAACTACAGAAGCTTGTTACCTAGCATTCATTGGCTTATAGCATACAGCTTTGACATATTCAAGATTCCGTTAGTACAGTGTTGAAAAACAAAACATCAACAAAGGTAAGTTTGACATAATAAAGCGGGATTTCCTTCCTTATTTCGGCCCCACTCCTAGAAGAAAACAGTGCCCCAGTGCTCCAAACACTCTGGAATGGTTTGTGATTTTTAATGACACATTCACTTATACTTATAATCTGATAATATTTTTTGTTTTGGCGCTAGAATAGCATAATCTTCTTAATTGCACAATAAGTTCATTACTCTGATTCAGAGTTTATCTTCTTGCTTCAACGTTGATAGAAAAGTGAACGAAAATGAGTGGAGTTACAGAACCATATCACGAGCCTGAGGATTTCGATAGTAAATTATTTTACATTGCTCTGAATTATTAATAGACTATGTAAAATTTTTAGTTATTTAACTAGAATTTTCGTCGCTCCCGAAGTTAGTGCACCAAGATGGCGCACAACCTGAACCATAACCTGGTACACATACTATGTTCAGGATGTGCGCCATCTTGGTGTTATGTGATACGTCACCCCCACTATCCACATCTAGTTTTTGCAACATTCGCACCAAGTCCTTTTCCGGGTTCCGTATATGGAAATTACACAGCGGGTCGTTTTGTTTTCTTGTAAAGGCCAAAATACTTTTTGGGGCGTATACACAACAACCGTTAGGCGCATGATAACTGATTGCTCGATGCGTGTCAGCTGCATGTTATATTCCTTACTTAAAAGCGTATTCAATAACTCGGTCGGACTGTCAAACTTAGACTTTTTTCCTTAGAGAACAGCATGTTTAGTAATTTCAAACTCCCATTGGCATTTTCTTCAATTCAATATAAATTCAAATTATAGACAGCACAATATGATTTACAGCGGACACGAAATTTAAATTCACATAATTATAATTCGAGACAATCCAGTTTTATTAATGCTCATAGACAAAGTGTCCTTTTCATTTCTTTGCAGTTTCTACACTTTTCACCCGAGATTATCCTGTCAATGAAGACAATCCATCTGGTACAGCAACAGCAGCGGTGATGGGTTTTATTTCAGCTGGGGGATTAATTTGCAATCTCGTTGTTATTGTTGTTATTTGTGTGTTGAAGGATTACAAGAAAACAACTCACTGGTAAGCTGAAACCAAAATTTATTTAATTTTTTGTGAAGGTTTTTTTTTTTCATTTGTTGTTTTCTTTCCAGCCCAGTGAATTCCCGCCAGCATATTGTTAATAATAATTATCTGAATCGCCTCATTTTTCTTTGTAAATTTATTCCACTATCAACCAAATTTTAAATATTTTTAGAATACTAAATGCAATAGTTTGAACTGGAAAATTTTTTTTTTTTCAATAGAATTTGAGGAGGGCATTTGTAATCTTCTCATTGGTCTATGAAAGTAAATAATCATCACTGCGCCGTGCCTACGTGTATTTTTAGACATGCTCTGCCTTCTCTGTTACGGGCCCTGATTGCGATGGGCCCAGTAGCTTATGGGTGTAGAGGTTAAAACTGAAATTTGAGATTTTGTAATATAAAATGAATTCACCTTTACGCCGTGAGTACAAGATTAAGATTGAAGTAACTTTACTTTACTGGCCTTGCCTATATAGGAATGAAAACGCTATCCTATACATGGTTTTATTTATGGTGGTTAAAATTAGTAATTTATTTACACCTAGCGAAGTCTATGGAAGTGCGGGGACTAATGCGGCCGCATAAGGTTGCCCCGTTTGAAAAATTCAATTCTGATTTACTGGGAAGTTTTTATCATCAATAAATGAATAGAAAATGAATAAAAAAAAGTGATTCAGCTGATTTGATCTGACTACAAATTTTTATCAGAGTGTGTATCAATAATTCTTATATCTACTAGATATAAAACATATCGTGGTGTTTAAAGCTAATTGGTCAATGACAATCAAGAGAGCACCATGAAAAAATAGAAGCGGAGTAGATTAGTCGGAACTTACATCATTTGGCCCTATGTTTTTTGTAATACTTTGAAAAATAATAGCAAAAGTTTTTAGGCATCGTTCGTTCTTACTTATCAATCACTCTATATACCCCCAAAATGTAATGGCTAAATTATATCAGTCTGAAGAGTACATTATAACCTTCCTTTTAACGATCGATTTCATTTTCAAATTTGTAAAGCATGAACTTAGTATTCCGTGGTTTCATTTACGCAGGTATTGATTTTTTATTTCCTTCTTTTTCTGTATTTTCATTTGTCTGACTACCAATCCTAGTGGTTGACATTTTCCGACATGCATAATCTGTATCGTATCATCGTGCATGATTATCTTTGGGTTAAATATATCGATTTTTTCCGTAATCGAAAACAAGGTTTTTCTAATTTCTAACGTGAAATGTGGGTAAGTAGAATACTTTTTGGTAGACATGTTTGGTACAAAAAAACTCAAAATCTGCATTTTCCACATATATACAACAATTTTGGATTTTCATTAAAATTTCAGTCGAGTGTTATTCAATAAAACACACCACATCTAAAATGCCAACTGCGCTTTTATTTTAAGAAATCAATTTGTTTTGACTGAAAAGCCCTGTAAATGAAGCGCAAACATTTTAGCACATAATTTAAATCACACGTAAAATGGGCTGGAATGTATATATAACAACATGTAATGCATATGCTCGGCATTTTTTTGAGGGGAAAAGTATTTTTATGATCCAATTGACGGGAAAAACTCAGAATATAAAAAAAAATTCATAACATAAAAGGCCCATTGAAGCGACCTAGAGTTCAGGCGGATGCATTAACGAATGTTGAAATTTATACATGTACTTTTCCAGGTATGTCCTTAATTTGGCTGTTGCAGACGGCATGTTTTTAATTTTGCTGCCTCTTCATCTCGTGCAAAGCTTATGGAATAAATGGATGTTCGGATATCCTCTTTGTGTAATGTACCAGGGAGCATTCTTTGTCAATTACTACGCGGGAGTCTTGTTTCTGGCGGTGAGTAAAATACAATTTGGTGAATGAAATGAAGACAATGTGGTTCTTCTAATAATTCCACTACTTATTTATAAATATATACAAATACTCTATGCACTAACTACAAATGGGTAATTTCTTATATAAAAGATGCTACTTTATAAAAAAAAATAAAATAAACGTTGATAAGTTCTCTTCGCAATGAGGCCCCCAGATAAGGAACATCCAGACGGAGAGTGTTTGTACGAAAGTTTGGTCAAAAGTACCAAAATTATTCTCTCCTTCGTGAGTGAGGTGTTGGCGTCTGAGCTAGGCTGGATATGAAATCCATATATCGGACATGGGCAAACTACATTCAGCGGACCAAGTCCGGCTTGTTAGGTAATTCAATCTAGCCCGCCCGATGCTTCCATAAATTTTACTCTTACCCAATTCCGCATGTACCACCACATAGTTAATGTTATTGAAATCTATAGGTGCAATAGACTTGTTAGCTTATAACCGTAGTTTGTGTAAGTTGTATTTTAGGTTGCCACAGACTTTCATGTTATGGGGAAGTTGACAAAATTTCACGTTTCCTTGTTCACTCGTTTCGACAGTTTTTTTTTCACACCTCTTTCTTCCGCCCTTGCGCCTTTTTTCTCCTCTCCTGTTATGACAATTGCCACAACCAAACTAAAACCAAAAGCCAAACTAAAAAATTTGCTGTTGTAGTTCAAGGAATTCGTTGAGATTGGGATTAAATTTAGTTTTTGCACGAGGATTATTGTTTTCCACCTTCGCTTTTGTAACACTGTAAATAAAATTATGTTTATATAAAGTTACTTTTACCTCACACATGGCCCGCCAGTCTGAGTGGGCACATTTTGACTCCTGGTTCAAAAACCTTGCTCACCTCTGCTATAGACTATAGCCATAGTCGAATATGTTGTCCTGGATTTTAAACGTTTTTCTTGTTTACCATAAAATAATTGAATTTGAAAAAAGTAATTCTGATTGTATTCTCATTGCTTCTCGCATAAATATGGAAATAGTTGTAAATACAGAGCGCAAGACAGTAGTTTTGGACAAAGTTTGACAAACAATTTATATTTTGAAGTTTCTTAAATTTTTAATTGCTAATTGCTAATCTAATTCTATGGTTAAATATGTATTTCCGGTACTAAAAATACAAATTTCAGATCGTTTGCTTATGTTTCTGTTATATAATGTATATATTTACTCTTCTGTTATGATTTTAACGAAGTAATGTTTATTTATTCAGCTAATGTGTTTTAGGTAATGAGTTTTGATCGATACATTGCTGTTGCTCATCCTGTGTCAGTAAAATGGAGAACAATACGATCAAGAATTGGAAGTTTTGTCATGACAGCGGCTGTGAGTTAATTGTTCCTAATAAAAATAAAGTAGCAAAATATTATGAATATATTTTTATGTAAGTGTAGTTGCGGTTACGCGAAACTAACTATCATTCCCTGCTATTATGCCTTTGCGCAAGTATGTCTGTATGCGTATAATGCAAGGATACGCTAGCAATAATGAAATGACCATTCTTTTGATTTAAGGGTCTTGCTGCACACTAACACAAATGTATTCTGTAACGTTTCGTCTGACTGAGGCTATGACATTTAGGCCGAAAATACTGTTTTTGCATTGTATGTTCAGTCTTGGTCGATGCGAACGTTCGCTCATGGCTAGTCTTGAAATAGGTACTGTGATATTGTATATCTTTTCCTAGGTTTGGATTGCTGCGATCGGTGCCGCTACCCCTCTGATGATGAAAACAACGCTGGAGGGAATTTGTGATTTTAATTTCGACACTTTGGATCCAAGATGCGTCGAAAATAACATTCCAGTTAGAGAATGCAAGATATGGCTTAGTAAGTTTACTTATTTTTTGCTAACGTCTCTTTAAAGGTGGGCCGATGTGATGTTATTTATTTTACCCGTGATCAACACTTAACGACATGAGGGCAATAAAAATTGCAAAGGGCAAAGTAGAATTAGTTTAATCAAATTTATGCTTTTTAATGAATAAAATTTTGATATTTCAGCACTTGAAAACAGTCCTGCAAACATATCGGTGAGATTTTTTTTATTTCAAATGCATGCATGCACCATGAACTCGCTTTGAAAAATAACATGGGCTTGTCATTTGTTTCAAAGCAGACAATAATAGATGTTTCTCCGACAGTTTTGACACCAGTAAAATGCTCCATACAATTTACCAATGCAAAATTTCTGATGCTCATTTCAAGATTGTTTCTGTCAGTTCACGTTTACTCATCGGTTTACATTTCCATAGCCAGCATTTTGATTTAAAATAATTACTCAATTGCCATTTAAAAGCACCGCTAGATAAATTTGGCAAGTCTAGCATAGTGATCGTTGAGACATTTGATTTATACTCAAATTTTGAAAATACAACTAAACACTGACGAATAAGCACGCAAAACCATGAAAACGAGCCAATGTTTACAAGCATGCTTGGCAACCTAGTTACGTCACAGCCAACGTATTCCTGATTGGCATTGTTACAGAAATAAACACGGAAGTCATTGCTATAGGAAAAACAACCATTGAGTTTTTGCACTATTAGTTATTCTGCGGTAAATTACCCTTCAAATAGTGGCTTGCTACCAAGTGTACATTGATATTGGAATACGGATAACTGTAAATTAGTATAACATGCGTAGTAAACAGTTAATGGCATTTGTCTCAATTAGAAATGTGTATAAAACGGTACGTGCATGCATCAAAATATGGGGCAAATTCGATGAAATTTCCACTTTACAGGGTGACAAAAGTTTTGAAGAATTTTTTGACACACATTACAAAGATGGATTTGAACTTGACTACGAGAGCTTCGAAAGTGAGTTTTTATCATATACATTGATATATATGACTGTCGACTGATTTGAAACAGCAATATCATAGTGGCTACGTTAGCATTGCAAGTTGGGAATCGTCCTACAAACAAGGAAATTCGATTCATTTGGAGGGTTCGTATATAGTCATGTTTGGAGTAAAAGGGTACAGCAACTTTGATTGGTTGTTTACCTCATAGTGGCACCGGATCATGATATTTCCTAAATTGTTACAGATTTAAATAGTATTTATTTATAAATGCTGCAAAACGCTTCTTCGATTCTCATTTTCAGTCTGAAATAATGAGAAATTTAGGAAATTTTGAATTTACTGTTCATCAATAGACAAATTTGGGGGAAACTCGGCTCTCATTATTCGAAACATAAGCATAATAAGATATGCCTAACTCGTTACCAATATTATCATCAACATTTACATTTCGTAAAGGCGGTTCTAACCCTCCAATAACCCAAATTTTCTTCCAGCATTATCTATGAATGAAAAATTGCCACCGAGCCAATTTATTTACTCGAAGATCAAGGTCGATAAACATGCTTTTGTCTTGGGGTTATTTTGAAACGGCGTCAAGTAATTTCTATAATGCCAACGGTTTAGATTCCAATTGATTTTAAAAACTTGGAAGTTTCCACAATAATGAAAACATTATATATTTCATGGAAATGTGTGAATCACTGAGCTGAATACCAAATATCAATATAGGGTGAGCTCAACTTGCAAATAAAAAACGAGAGATATTCAAGCGGCATTCTTTTTTTGGAGGATGATTTACCGCGCTTTTGACACTGCTATAAATGGTTATTTTTATACTGGATTTATAAGGTACAAAAGACCCACAACATTTATAAAACCTCGAAATAGAACATTTTGATACACGTAAAATATTGCGGAATTGCCTCATAGGAATATGATCTTCCGATGTTGACATAACGAATGGAGTTGGTCGCACTTATTTTGATAAAGATATGTCACCCTTGACTTTTAGATTGGTTTTAGCGCGACTGATTAGGCTATTTGAACTTTTGAACTATTTCGGAACCTTCATTCAAAATTTGTCTCAAACTATTTTTCATATGGCCATACCTGGTGATGAGGTGAATTTGAGTGTATTCTTTCTTTTGATTGATGGCAAAATATAAATTATATATAATAATTATTTTCTTCATTCAAATATACACATAATACCAATTTACTTGCCTTCTATAAATTAATTTTTTTTGTTTTAGGTGGAACAAATCTTCCATATGATTTCGTCAGTCCGGAGGTATTATGTTTGTTGCATGAAACATATTTATAATTAACAAAATTTCTCATATGTGAGTAAGAGTTTGAGATATCCGCGTAACTCTAACTACCACTCATATGTCACGAGATAGCTTTGACGCAGGAGTTATGTGTATAGAATAATCTTGAAATATTCATTGAATACATTTATTTGATTTGATTCATAAAAAAATCTCACTGTATTTTGCAGTCTCTGTTAGTATCGTTTTACTAAGACGGAAATTAGGGTCAGGGCAATAAGTAAAAGAAAGAGATATATATGTTCATGGTGTATTAACATGTGGGGCCTAGGTGGCAATTTCTAAAGACGCTCAGTCTATTCTTGTATGATATTGATTACTTATAATTCCAAGTACTAAAATTGAATTTTCAAAATAAACTTACGAGAAATTCGTATTTTTCAGTGGATTTGACGTATCCACTGAAATATTGTGAGCAAAATTATGAAATGAATAGTAAAATGATATGTATCGGAAGTGCGTAATGGGTTTGAGTCATCCAAAGGCGAAAAATAATAAATTTCATGCCCGAAATGTGATTTTGATTATAAAAACCATTAGTCTCACTGATGAAATAAACCAATCAATGAATAAAATGAATGAATGAAATTAATGGAAATAAACTTAAAATTTTGAAACCTTGAATAGAAATTACAATTTTTATTTGAAATGATTTTTCTACATTTTCGGCCATTCGACAGTTAAACTCACGAGGCAAGCCCTTTGACATTAATCTGGTTCCGAGAGCTCTACCCAGATTGCAAATTTAAAAGAATAATACTCGGATCTTTATATTATACGTAGAATCTTTATTGACTGTATACAAATTTTGAATCCAGCAGCAAAGATGCAACTAGGGTTAAATCATTCGTAATTAGAACGGATTTTACCCACTTGTTAACATCATCTCGTTGAATAAGCAGGGCAGACACTGGAGAATCGGGATGTCGTTTTTTGTTTTACAACAAGAGTCGTAAAGGTGTAAAAACCCGCAAAGAATCAGACTTTAAATAATCTTTGTTGGTATTGAATTTGCAAAATGTTAATAACATGAAAGACAAAACGATGTGGTACGGGTATGCAATCAGTCACAGCAGAATACCGGTACCACAGTCTTCACGACTTCGCCTGACCACTAACGCGAACGTGGAACAGCCACAATGTGCACAGTTTTTAGTTTTACAGTGCCACGCACAAAAAAATCTTTCTATATATAATATATGTTTGAGTCTGTGGCATTGGCGATAGCGTAAATACGAAGCCTTCAATGTGAAACGGGCATAAATAATTTTGGATGCGCGCGACCATTTGGGAATATTACGCGATGTGCGGCTAAGGATAATCCACGAGCATGAAATTATGCACATGTGTCAACGAACATTTTCTACTTTGGTGGTTTTTGTCGTTCTTGATAGGATAACCACATCCCGACATTATTGGCAGTCCCTAAGAGATGTTTACGAATGAAGCACAAAGGACACGCTGCACTCGATGCAGCACTCAAACAGTAGTGAGGCGATAAAAACTAGTTGATTACATATTACTAAATAATAATAAAACTGTTATTGAACCAAAGTGTTAATGCTGCTTTTACCAATATAATTTATAAAATCTCATGAATTATGAACTCATTACTTATCGATCTTGATCGGTAAGTATGTTGGTAGGTATTTGTCTGTTAGATGAACGCGATATCTCACGAAGGCGAGATTGAATCTGCTCCAAATTTTGCATGTGCATTCATCATATCTCAGACCAGAAGCCTATTGATTTTGGATGAATTAGCAATTATAATTAGCGAGTTATTGATAAATTAGTGAGGGGACACGCGGTGTCACTACAGAGTCATGAATCGAAAACTCAGTTTCGATCGTTAAGTCTTCGGTCTCCGACCGATATTCTCGTTTGTTTGTTTGCCTGTTAGACACTTTTGTATGTTACGCAATATCTCACGAAAGCGAGGTTGAATATGCTCCAAATTTTGCAATGTGCATTCATCATATCTCGGACCTGAGGCCTATTAATTGGATGAATTATGTCGTATAATTAGCGAGTTAGGTCTTCGATCGCTATCTCGTATTTTGTTTACTCGTTTACTATTTCTTAGTCTACATCTGAAGTATCGTATACTGGCTTCAGTACTCCAATTCAGACTAAATTACAATTCTGTTATGTGTCTGGAGCACTGCAACACAATTTATGGAAATACCGTAGTTCGGCGGGGTTGAGATTGTTTTGTTATGTGTTAGCGTGAAACGATATAAAATTACATCAGACCAGGGCTTTTCAACCTGGGTAAAATCCCTCTTTGGGAAATAAAGTTGATCAGCATAATGGTGGATTTTGCAAGCAAGAAAGTACATGGCTGACTGCATCTCTTGACCTACATAGCAGATTGCGATATTACTTACTCTGTTGCGCAATATATGGTATTAAGTTCTCGCTGTAAATAAAATGTCTGGCGTAGTGGAGCCATGTTTCTGATATTTCGCTCATGGAATATATACTGGAATAAACAGCCTAGATCTAAAGTTTGGGGATTGAATTTAAATTTTGAAAAAATAAAGGCTGAGAACCGTCGCACAACCCCTTTCTCTCTCTTGGTCACTCAAAACCTTTACCAATTTAAATATGTAAATGTGTAAAAATTTAAAACTTTTTAAATATTTTAGGCACTCAACAAACTTGAAGATTTCAGCTGTTCACATTCTGACAATGCCTACTATCGAGCATGGATATACGGGAATTTTGTGCTGGCTTTTGTAGTCCCATTGTCAGTGATGGGTGCTTGTTACAGCGCAATCTTATGGAGAGTCAGACATCCCAAAATTCGGTCTTCAAGAAACAAAATTGTGGCTTCCATGAGGAGAAAACACTTTACATCCGGATCTGATAAACGACCATCTACGCATTTGGACAAAAATACCAGGATAACGGTACTCGTGGTGAGTTGAAATACTTTCTAATACCGTTTTATGATTATACGATTTTTGCACATAGCTGTCAAATTGTAAGGAATTATCTATGTAAAAAAAATTTCAGGTGTCGCTAGTAGCGAGTTTTGTTGTCTGCTGGCTGCCGTTTCATGCAATGGTTCTTGCAAAAATACGCGGTATAAATATGCCACCAGGTGGATGCGATAAATTGCAAACTGCAGTCCTACTAATCGCATATTTCAACAGCCTACTGAACCCAATGCTGTACACGTTTCTCGGTGAGTTTACATCAACGTATTTTTCCCTTATTCACGAATTCGTAAATGCAACAACTTCACCTGGACACTTCGAGAAGAGTGGGTGTGTGCTCTGCAATTTATCTGATTTTACAATTGAACCAAAGATCTTTGTCACCAGTGGTTATACTCCTAATGAAGCATCTCTAAAGTCAAAAATCGAAACTGAAACTAATTGATTTTTATATTTAATCAAATTGTTGAAAGCTATTGCAAATTTGCTTTTACGGGCATTTTTTGTTTTTGACAATTTCAGGAGTCAATTTCTACAAAAGGTTGAAAACAGCTGGATCTCAGATTTTGTCTTTTTCCAGGCGCGATGGAAGACATGGTTCATTTAGATCAAAACACAAGACAAACCGATCAATAGGTGGAACCAAAGTTACAAAGGTTAGGCATTGTTACTGTTACACAATATTAACCTTCAAATGTAAAATTTTTCCTGGTTCAGTGTTAACTGAAGGCTATGCTGATAAATGTAGTTTAAATTTAAAATTGTGTTGAAATATCAAGACATGATTCAGATAAAATACCATCTGCATGGCTATGTTTCATAGACAGTTCAATCTTCTACTTTTAGTGAGGTAGCATGCATTGCGCTGTATTTCTAACCTGCGATTTTCGAGTAATGGTGACCCTATGCTAAACAGATCACAGTTTTTTCTGCCACGAAACTTGACTTCCTTGTCCGATAACATCGGGTTCACCGCACTTAGCTGTATTACTTATTCGCTTCCACCATATTGCTAGAACTCCATTGAACCTCAACTTGATTTTGTATGTGCGGAGTCGAAGCCGAAACGATGGGTAAGCAAGCCATTTGTCGCATGCTGTTGTCGCGGTAATGTTGCTCATATTTGATTCAATCTAATATCAGGCTACTATGTATACTGTGATACTTGATCTCGTCGACATGTAGTTTTTGTGTATTTTTAATCCATTACGAATGTAGATGAGGCACATTCGTACTAATAAATCGACTTCCATTGATTTAAATTATTTATCATGTATATTCTATTAGGCATTGTGTTTCGTTTCCCTGTTGGTTGTAGTCAGTTTTGGAATGTAAAAGTAAATTCTATTGACCATTGCTAAAATGTCGTCAGGATGTTAGGTTAGTTGTCATTTATTCAAAACGAACATAGGTATTCCACATTCCAAGAGATATTTTACTAATTCAATCACACCATATCACTAGCCAAGTACAGATGTCACGTCTGGTAAAAAAGATCGCTTGCCGAAAAAATCATGGTAAAGAATGTATAACATCCTGAATTACTTTCGCATTACGCATTCTCTATATCTATTATTTCAAAGCAAATGTTTTTTTGTTACTCCTTATTTATAATTTGTCAATATGACAAACATTGACGTAAACGCTTTACTGACGCCATGTTTACGACGCGAAAATTTTCTGGCAACTGTCCATTGAAGACGGAAACATCCGTTACTTTTCGTAGTACTTACGCAATGCTGTGTACGATGAATGTGCAATTTATTTTTGTCGCTGCAGCTTGTTTTTTAGCATGCTTCAATGTATGATGGTTATATTTTTTAGCGTAGCTCTAAATAGCTATGATTGTCAACGACTCTAACACGACTAGTTTTGAACCGCTTACGAAAACTGCAGTTCATGATATTAGACGGTATTTGTTTACGGTTCTTGTCCGATTTATATTTTTGATCATTAATTTGAAATCGAAGTCGACTTACGTATTGAAAGTGTGAGTCATAATTTCCTAACACCAAGTCGGGATTCAGATTTTTCAATATTTTTCCGACAACACAGCTCTTGCCCAGCCACTACTTCCAGGAAACTTACAAATTAAACGTTTGTAGTTGTGATGACTTTATTTACATGATCTGTAACGCATATTCAAATGTAAATCAAAACCGTTAAATATCGTTAATTAAATATTATCCATGACTAACAAAAATAAACGAATGAAGGGCATATAAGACAAGAGCATATTTTGATTATTTTTCCTGAATGGCGAAAGGTGTTGTGATAGATGTATAAGGAGAAGCATGACTCACTTGACCTTGCACACCAGCTGTTAAGCTTTGTTTTCGAATGCGTATGTGTGATTGATACTTTGTTTGTTCATGTTCAATAGTGGCTCGTTTGTGGATCGTTTATACTTAAAATTTTGAGCATAGTAAAAACAATTGATTTCTTGAACTCTCAGCAACCCACCCGGCAGTAAAAGGCAACGGAATAAGTATCTTTTCCATCATCAAATTGAAAAAAGGTCATTTTTTCAAAAACAAGATTTATTTACCTGATTTAACTATAAATAAATATTAATCAATGCGTATTTTTTCTAGGATTTTTACTAACTATTTGATTAAATCAGGCACATTCACAAAATTTTCGGTAATTATCTTGGTTTATATACCCAGTATTCATCTTTAATCCTAGATGTCGGAAACATCAAGCAATATTGCTTCGCCACACCAGGTGAATGTGCAATTGAAACCATTCGTTTATGATGTTGAAGAAGTGCCAATAACAATGGATGAAACAAACAATAAAAATATGAACCACATTGAGGAAAGTCACGCATGTGAAAAGGAAGAGTTATTGAATGAAACACAGTTGTAACTTTCTTTATCTTCTTTTTAAGCCAACGACATTCAATATAACAAGATTGTCTTGATGTGTAAATATGAGTGTGTGCTATTGCACGATATTTTTTCAGTTTCAGAAGATGTTTTTTTTACGATATCTAATAGTAGATGTGTGTGTAAGATAATGTCACAATACGAAGTGAGCAGACGGCGTACTAGGGGCCTAATGAAGCGGTTAAATAGATAGAGTCACATTCGCAAAATATTTGTACGTGATGGATCACGAATCTCTATCAATCGGGCTGCTCACATCTGTTATTGTTAACGGACGTGGAAACAGAAAAAAAGATAAAAATTATGAAATTATGCTCCAATGTAATGAAAATGAATACACATGGAGCTTTTGTATTTTACGTGGATGGCACCTACACCTATATGCTCCCTATTTGTTTTTTGTATATTCCGCCTTTGGCAGATGCTACTGGAATGAGAATTTGTACACTATCAAATGGTGTTTTGGAATTGTTTTGATCTTGGGAAGTTATTTGAACCATATTTTGTTTGTTCATTGATATATATATGTACGATAATTTGTACCCATTTTGCCTTACACATACACCACCCGATATACTACATTCTAATCCAAGTTCACTGATTCTAATATGATACAAATTTATATGCGGTAGCGGCTTGTATTTTGAAATTTCCTCATGGATGATAGGTAACCGGGCTTTGTTGAAATTGAAAGATATAGGTGGAATACCCGATTACTTACGTACTTGGTAGGAAATTGTGGACAAAATATATTATTGCATTTTTTGTAATTTGGTTGCGACCAGGAAGTTATATATACAGGGTGGGCCAAAACAATGTTACTCTTTTTTACCAATGGTAAATGTGAAAATGGTAACATTTTTTGGTCACCCTGTATATGGCTAGAGTGAATGGTGTTTGTAATATTGTGTACATGAATTTTTATTTTGAAAACGGAAATACATGATTCTAAGTTTAATAAAAATGTAGATTTTATTATCTTGTGTGTATCTAAGTTCAGAAGGTGCAAAAAAATGGTAGACGTCTGTAGATAGTTTTTGGGGAGTATTTATTGAGTTAAAAGTATGAACTTTTCTCCTTTTAATTTTTGAGAGACTAGTGGATGGATCCTGACCAATCAGAATCAGGTGCGCAATAACATTCAAACGATTTTAGATCCATTTACTAGAATTTCATAAAAAAAAATGGCCTACGCTTTTTTAATACTACTTCTCAACTCTTTCTATTCGAAATCATGCCTTTCACACCTCTTTGCTCCTATGATGAATACAACGCATAACATTCTTTACCAGATTGATTTGTTTACTCCTATACCAAACGCATTTTCAATATATTTATTATATTTTATTAGTAAAGTTAGTAAAAAATTTGGTATAGGTTATACTGACATCATAACGTGCACAAATAGACAAGGTGTTCGTAGTTGACCAAAAAGAAATTCAATAAGACTTTTCTAATTGAGATACTAATATTCCGATGAATAAGTGCAAGATATAGTCAAAATTATCTAAACAAATCATATCTGCTTAGATATGATAAGGAATTGCATGGGCGTCAGATGTAGATAAATTTCGACGTGCATTTTCTAATTTTAATGTTAATTTACTAGCGTAGAGAATATAAAAAAATTAAACTACAATGATTAGTTTGCTCATACGGCATGAATGTCACACTAGTCATAGATGCATTCATATGCAACTTCGCACTAAGGGAGGTTGTAAGGATTAATAGATGAATACACAGATTATTGGCAATAATGAAATCACATACTGAGAATATAAACCAAATAAAATCTGTCTGAAATATATAAATTCTTGAGCTCTTTTCTTTGGAATTGTGACGTTATGTTTTTTTACTATTGCATTATATATCGAGTGTCATACGACACTTGCATAATGATGATAATAGAAAGTGACATGTATTTTACTTAAGGTTAACAAAACTTATTGAGGTATCGACTGGCATAGTAGCAAAGCGAATACCAAGTCAAGTATGGAATGAATTTTTGCAGCAGATGATGTCGTCATCAACTTGGTAGTTGCTGTGGTTTCTAAAACATGCAAAATTTAAAGTATACCTTTTATGAAAAATCAATATTGTTCCTCAAAATACGAATAATAACCACTAATCTTGATTAAATTAAATTCATAAAAAATACTGATTTTTCACATCCTATATCAAATTTCCTCGTGTTTTGTCGCTACCGAAGCCGCTTTTCGATAGAAAAACATCTAACTTCAAACAATTACTTTTAATACGTCTTATAGATTGATAACTTGTATAAAATATTGTAGGCTACATTTTTTAGGCTGTCTCACATAAATCTAATGTCAGATATACTGTTGATTTAGCCAATAACGTTTTGATTTGGTGATACTGGGACTTTATAGAAAGATTATGTAAACGCGAATGCATGAGCAATTGCTGACTTAATAGCTAGACTTGATGACGATTTCACGTCGGCTGGATGAAGTGAGGAAATGGAATAACGGTATAATAACATTTAAATCCAAAGCTGACATTCCGAGAAAGTTCTAAAATGTGATACTGCTTTATGACATTTTTTAGAAAAATATTATTCAAAGCATATTAAGGGAAGGTGCATATCCGGAGAGCACATATCACCACTATTATCATTTAGCACTTACCTGACGCATTCATAGCGGATGTGCCATTCTGGGGTGGTGTACCTGAAAGATAAATATCAATTAAAACTATTAATAAAAATTTGAACATAAACATTAGACCTCCTGTATGGACACTTGTGGATGTTGGAATGAGAAGAAGATTTTATTGTATAGTGAAAAATTAACGCCATCATTTAACCCTGACGTCATAAAACGAAAATACGACGTAATGTTAAATTTAATATATTTTTGAATAATTTGTTTCGCAAATTTAAAAACAGCATTTGTGAATTTAAAATTTTTCTATATTAATTATTGTACTTTCAAACTTGACTTATATCATTCAAAGTAAGACGTGTGTTGAAATATCTCGAAACACTACGGATAACGATCACATCATAATTATATTACACTGTTCAAAGGTAGAACAAAGTACCACAATTCAAAAGAAGTTAGACAAACAGAACGAAAACAGAATTTGGACTTCTTGTAAATGTGTTAGAAAGCATTAGTTTGATCAAATAGACAATTTTATTCAATTGATATTTTTAAATCAACAAGGATATCTTAATAAAATTTGAAATCGAATCTGACTCAAGACACCGGGTTGAAAAAAAAATTGACTCCGAATCCGACTCCTGGTTACGGAAAATTTGACTTCGGTTCTGGGTCGTAAATAATTTTGACTCCGACTACGACTGAAATCGGAGGAAATACAACTTTGATAACAAAAACATTGACGTAAAAACTTTATGCTTTCCGAGTAAGTTTCTGAAGAAAAATTTTACGTTTATTATAATCATTTAAGGCTGAAATTGCGTCTTCGACAAAATCAAATCCTTGGAACCCAACTACCGACAGTTTGAAAATTTGACTCTAGCACAGATTCCAGTGAAAGTGCATTTGTTCATTTTTAGTGATTGTTTCTCGCCAATTTTTTTTATACTGGCATGTGTGATTTGTGAAAAGTGCTTTACCTGTTCACAAAAACATTAGCAAATATACAAAATATCTGATTTGAAAATGAAGCATTGTTTAATCGTGTTAACAGCTAGCTACAAGCTCAAAATAACATATAGTTAGTAAGATGTGTTAGTGTAACTTAAAAAACCGAACCCTCGGCTGTGAAGATTTCCGATGTCGTTGAAGACGAAATAGATGTCATGGATGCTAAATTTGAATTCGAGGTCAGTTTATTATAATATATATAAATAAATTAACTAAACTTGAACAGAAAAATAGTCATTGACTGAATTTTAATATAAATCGTTTTACATATCATCATATATCTAAGGCTGACACGAGCAAACTGCTGCCCGCGGGCCAAATCCGGCCCGTTGGGTACTTCATTATGGCCCGCCTGATGCTGCCACAACCAAACTAAAACCAAATTTAGATTTTTTTAGCTGAAAATAAGTCAAGGAATTTGTTGAGATTGCGAAGATATCTAGTTTCGGCACAAGGCTTATTGTTTTCAATTTTTGCTTTTGTAACACTGTAAATATTGTTCACAGGATGTAACTTTTTACATCACACTTACATGGCCCATCAGTCTAGGTAGGCAACATTTTGGCCTCTGGTCTAAAAACTTTGTCAACCCCTAATCTAGAGCAAACTAAACGAATGGAATTACAATGTTCTACTATTTGATGAACATTCTATTTCATGAGTCACAAATTAAAAATGCGAGTATCAATGAGAATCATTTCATAGACCGAAAACGTGAAATCGTAGTTTGTACAACCTTTATACGACAATCACTAATGTTCGCCGTTATATCAAAAAACCAGTAATTGTCATACTCTCACTAGTACCTGTCTGATTGATTTTGTCTGTTGTAATTTCTTCAGTTGTTGTTGCTTCTGTGGTGGGCGGTGTTGGAATGGGTAGCTTGTCTCCAATTGCTAAAATGAAAATGTAAAAAAATATAAATGGGCTTCTGTGAATAGTTTCTCATGGAATCAACTTATAAAACGTTTCATTACTTGACCAAATGCCAACTTTAAATTCAAGATATATCGGATTCAAATTTTTGACCATCGTATGTTTTTTCTCAGTTTGAGCAGGTGCCTAGTTTTAAATTGTACTTGCATGGATGCGACAAAATTAGACAAAACCAGATTATTTATAAATTCTGAGTTCAATTCGTACTTGCTTCAATCCACTCCTTATAGTAAGATACTTTTGTGTAGAAGCTTGGAAGCCTTGATATTCCACAACCCAAGTTTGATGTAACAATTCCGAATTGTTTCCAAACGTTATTACGGAAACAAACCAGTGGTCCTCCCACGTCATTCTGTGATATAGAATTTATTATTTAATTTATTGTCTTCATTTAGCTTCCCCGGGGTCGCGACGACAGAAGTTATTAGTCTTGGAACTGACTTGAGGATTCAAATCGTAACAAAAATTCAAATCATAATTTCTTCTCTTGGGTAAATACCTTCAGTCACATCACGATCAAGTGATCCGACTTGTATTAAATCACATCACAATAAGGTCAATGAGGTATGTGTATTAACCATCTTTGCATGACACGATTCAGAAGTTTCAAAATTGGCTCGGCTTTTATTTTGTCGTCTTGATTTGTGCCAATTCATTTTTAAATAAGACGCTACTCAAGTGGTTTAATGCCTACTCCGTCGCATTCTCATCTTAATTCTGGACCCAACCCCTCGTTATTTATCTTTCGTTTCACGTCTTTTTCTCGGTTTTTTATAATAAAAACTGTTTACCGAGCACGCGTCAGAACCTCCCGAAAGATCTCCGGCACAAAACATTGTATCACCATTGAACTCAACATTGTGTGTGATTTTTTGGCAAAATTCAGGATTTGCTATTGGAATGCGAGTTTGTCTCAACAGTTGAGAGCTATCAAGAGAGGTTGAATCATCTAAAAAAATGAACGAATACTTCATCTAACAAAACAAAACACCGTTCTTCGGTGAGTACATCAGTACATGGGGGCATGAAAGTCAAAAACGAAGCTTGTCACAATTTTTTAAAGAAAAAAATAAATTTGACGAAGAAAAAAAAATATCCCCTCAAAATAATTAATATCCAAGTGCACAATAAACATAATAAATTTTTCCTTGAAATCTTTGGACAACAAATTTGCTTAAATAGGGTCAACTGCAAATATATATATATATATTTAGAGCCCTTATATATTTGTGAAAAATCAATACTCTGATCTGAAAACATGGCGTTTCTCTCTTTATATGTGTACACAAATAAAAAAAAATTACTCACAAGTAACACCCCATCCAGTAACGACACATGTTTCTCCCGTGACTAACGTATCTTCGAGATTAATACATATTGGCTGAACGTTTTTTTGAAAAGTTATACTTTTATCCAATTTCAGCAAAGCAATGTCATGTTGTGAAGTTTTGAATCTAATGATGAAAAAATATATTAATGGTATTGAAATTGAATCCTTTAATTTTATGAGCTATATGATCAATATGTCAGTTTATCCTTGTTGAATATGGGCAGGTAATTACGCGTTTATTGGCCACAGAGTGTGCATACAGATGTGTGGCTTTGTTGTTGTTCTTGTTGGGATATATGGGTTGTTGATATAACACTTTTCTATGCAATTAATCGACTAATCAATTTTCAGCAAGTCACAAAATTCGCTATAAAGCTACTCCTGTTTTTCAAGTTTACTTTGAGACGCGAACGGCAGTAAACCGAAGTCTCTCCTGATTTGTCAACGATGTTGATATGACGTTGCTACGGGTTCACGTTGTTAACCAATCAGGAGAGAGTTTGGTTAACTGCCGTATAGGGCTCAATATTTGAACCGAAAATATTACTATATTGCGACCCCACGCGATATTTTCTACAAATAATAGTGATCAGTCTTTTCTGATGTCAATTTCTAGGTCGGTAGGATTGATAATGATTTGATAACATAAGTCTGTTCTGGTATCCCGGGATACTGCGATTTTATTATAGTACTGCGATTTTATTTCGTTCGTATATTTGCACATTTCTCCTTTGTTTGACTATCAAAATATTAAACCTACAATGCATGTATTGTTATCTTACACTGCGAATAATGGACGAAGTGGAAATACAAATAAAATATTACTTACGGGTCATACAAAATTATTTGAGTAACTGCATGCAATCTCGATCTATCTAGCATACTCAAATCATACTGACCAACTGCAACTATGACTTCAAACCTAAAATTTAGAAATGAAGATTCTTTAAATGTTTTCTTTTCACTTTTACTTGAATTTTTGTTCAATGAAGTGTCTGTGAAATTACGACGGTAATTTTCAAATACAATCATTTCGATCTGAATTTGCATAGAACTGCTGTCAGAAAGCATCATCTCAAATGTAATTACTGTAACTGACATAGAAACAGCAACACTTACGCAGATTTGTCAGCAACGCATTCGGCTGAAGTTAAAACCCAATTTTCATTGATAATTGATCCACCACACAAAATTTGTTCATACTCGTTTGACAACAGAACTTGCCATGGCCACGAGCCCTCAACTGCAATCATTCCACCAACTACTCTTGGGGCCTTAAAATGAAGAGTTAGTATTTTTATACGATTATCCATGCCACGAATATCGCTTTGAACAAGTACAAGCAGCAACATATAAGTAACAAGCTACTATTTATTAAAGAACTGCAATTTTTCCGGATCATTATTGGCATTGCTCACCAATTTTGTTGCACTCTGGGCGAGGTGATGGGTAATGAGGGGAGGGATGGAGTGAGTTAATCCAAACGCTTTAACCACGAGGGTAGACCATCGTGCTTCACGAATGATTCAAGTAAAGCAGAATTATGTCACCTGTCCATTTGGGGTCTAAATATTACAACATTGTGTGCACTTATAGTGAATAGCTGTATTAAAATAGGTATGGTTACCCCACTGTATTTGTACTTATTAATTCTGCGCAACGTTATCAGCCCTATAATAAAGAACGTAACGTTCCTGGTCGCCGTTTATATTATTTATATATACTTAAGAAAAAGAAATATTGAACACCAATTTAAATGCATCAATTTATTGTTCTCTCATTCTTATTATGAATTCATACTAAATTCAACCTTACCCACAAAAATTCAGGAACAATTGTTTGTTGGCCGCATTCTTGTCCATAATGAGCTAAAAAAAGATTTGTACATTAATAAAGGTAATGTTATGTTCTTTTCTTATTAGAATTCTCTAAAACAAATTTCAAATTTTTCAATCCATATATTTCAATTTTTTATTGAATAAAATAGTGCATAATCGCAAGACCAATATACTCATTTTAGCGTAAAGGATTGAAACACGGCATCTCGATCATCACCATTACAAAATTATAAAGTGAAATATTTTAAATTCCTATCTCGTTGGAGTTTAATAAACTGAGTAAATTTCATGGTATATCGGATTTTAGAATGTAGTCGGAATTCCAAATTCAAAAAAAAAATTTCAGGATATTTTCGGAGTGGTCTAGTCTAGTGTTCGATTATGGTGATGCCTACTTTGAATAATTTCATACTAAATATATTTATTTTTATAAATTTGAGGTGGGTAAATTGTTAATAATCATTACTACAATCTGAACGAGTGTTCTTCAACCTTTTGTTTTACCGTGGTATACCTTTTACAGTTTTTTCAAGAACTTTGCATACCTTACAAGTACCAATGTTACCAGATATTGTACTGCAATATCATCATGCAATTTAATAGACTAGTGTCCGCAAGTTATAAATTTGACTGACGGCTTTAGCGTCAACGGGAATAATGTTCAACGTAAATCAAACGAAGTGCATGGCAGCCAAAATCACCAACCCAAACATGTGACCACATTATCTATATTATTTGTGGTGTAACAATGTGCTCACGTCGGTTCTTTGCGTAAATGACATTTTATATTTCATGTGCGCCGCGTTTGCACAGTTGTCTCCGCTTGAATATTTTATAATTCGTTATATTAGAGTTTATAATCCCTGACTTAGGCTGTACACCCTTTGTATACCCTTTATTAGTTGTATACCCAACTAATGGTCCGGTATACACTTGGGTATATCGTATACCCGGTTGAAGAGCATTGATCTAAACAACAGGGCGACTTAAAAAACAAATCAGCAGTATACAAATATCTTACGGCATTCAATCTCATCGCTTTTGTCCTCACAATTGTTAACTTTATTACATTTCAAATCACCGTTGATGCAAGATCCATTCCAGCATCTGAACTCATTGGAACCGCAGTTATCTAAAAGGGAAAATAGCTTCGGCAAAAACGTTAAGGTTGCAAACAACCGAATAATTTAATGACCCAAAGTCTAGATAAAGTGCATGTCGGTTGGACTACAATTTTCGTCACAAAATTCAAAACCACTTACCGACAGTTTCCCAGGTAATCTCAAAACCTTTGTATTGCAGAACATTATCACTTGTGAACGAAATCAAAACCTCATTAGTACTCGATTCAAATCCTCTCAATGATCTATCTTGTCCACACAAGGTTTCGTCACGAACCTATAAAGCAGTGTAACCACGATCCAATAATCAGTCGACCTAATTAGGTATCTAAATTTCAATGAATATTGCGCAGTTGGCTCCAATTTACTCCCAATGATGACATCATCATATTATGAATTATTATTTATACGTGAATATTGTAATTTTTATTGATCAAACACATAGAAACGTATGGTCAATGCTTCAATTCAATATTCTAATCGAAGACAAACAGACTTTGACATAAACTTTATTCTTTGTTTTTGGCTAAATTCTGCAACGGAAGCAATTGTGCAAAAATAAGTTTTTTATTTTAAATAGATAGTTTTATTTTATTTATTTGTCAGAGGTTTGTCCATATACGATACTTTAGGATTTTATCAAAATTAAAGTTGATTGCGAGCGAATAATCACCTACGAAAAAGTGACTCCAGTCCGGCCAGATTTGGTATTTTTTCAAACCTTTCAAAAAAATGGAAAGTGGACTCTTATGTAAAATATTCACAATATTATTAAAAAAATACCATTAAAAAAATAAAATCGTCAAGAAACAAAGAACCACAGCATACCATTCTTGCATCAGTCGTGTTTCCATCATATATTTTTAAATAATCGTACTCAGCAAAGCTACAGTCTTCCACGTCAAAAAATGTAAAGCGAATGACAATTAACTGAAATTATAAAAGTGTTATCGTTCAACAGCGAGATGTCTTTCCTGTTTAGATCATATATTCATATAGAAAGCATTAGCTAAAAATTCAGTTATGAACTGCTTTAAATCTGCTTTGCTACCGCACAATTCTACACTATAATTCATTTTAGTCTCAGCAGATATATGGGCATTTTAGTGAGGCCTGTAACTTCGCTTCGAGAAAATTTCCTTATAAAAAATTTAAAAAAAAAACAAGAATAATTTATGTACATTTTATTTATATACCTTATCGGACGGAGCACGCAAAAGCCAAGTGCAATCGAGATCCATGATGTATTCTCCGAAGAATTGAGGTATAGTCACAGTTCCTCTTGTACCTTCACGTACTTCAAAGTCCTTACACACTGGAAGTGCAAAAGTCACGATGCAGTATTGCGAAGATATCAATTATATTGAATCCCCAATAAAAAAAAAAAAACTTTGAACATCAAAAATTAATACATAAGAAATTATGTCTTCAAGGCTAGCTACATCCGGATTTAAAAAATTAAAAGTATGCGGTGTGTTCCATGATCACCCCAACTCTCATTATATTTTTCACTTATGCGTTTAGTTTGCGTGATGGCTGTTGTCGCTGAGAAGAAATCGTCACTATTATTCACTAAATATTGAATTAATTATTTTCACGTTTTCAGCTATCATGAGGTATGGAAATCCACTGCTCTTTTTTTGCAAACATTTCAGCTAAGGCTCTATCGGTAGCTATGCGCGACCTCCGCATCCATCCTCTCGTGTGAAAGAGTAAAAATTCAAATACTTTATTTTTGATGGATAAAAAGTAATGTACTCACCTTCAAGATTCAAAACTGAAAAAGAAAAAATTCAATTAAACTTAGCAAAAATAACATAACAAAATCTTTCTTAGCTTAGTGTTAAATTTGATCAGCACTTGGGGTGCATAAACAACAGTCACAGTTTTGTTACGACACCGACAATTGTCGATCAAATTTTACATTAAAATATTTGAGAGTTATTTCCATCTGTGGCAGCAAAAGTCTGAATTTTTTTTCATATTTAAATAATACAGGGGTCACGAAACTAATGAATACGTTACGATCAAATATGTTATTTTTTATAGAAAAAATGAAGGCATGTTTGTTTTGATGATATTGTTAAAGAATGTAACATCCCCCTACATACCAATACTTATACAACTAGACAACTATTTTCATGATTATTTCTCAATTTTTTAGTAATATGTTGAGTCTTAGTTCCACCTCATCGTACTATAACAGGGATGTGTTGAGTCCCAGTGGTTTCCAAAGTTGATTGACCGGGGGCTAAATTAGAAGCGGAAGGATATTTGCGGGCCGGAAGCGGGAAACACTCGCAATGGGGCCGTACGTACAATTAAGATACCGGTATAACTGTTACGAATATACAAGTGCTTAAACTGTGATAACGGCTTGGGAACCACTGTGTTAAACTTACCATCATTGATTAGGTCGAGAGAGTTTGATATTCTTTCATAGAATGATCTCTGTCCACAAGAAATACCCCATGACGTAATGCCATATTGTCGCCAAACACCACCAACGTGACATACTAAAGGACCACCAGAATCACCCTAATATAAACAACAATTTTAATAATTGATAAAAACCAATTTCTGATGTGTAGCTTACAATATGTGTAGATCTAAACAACTGGTGAATACGTAGGAAAAGAGGGTACTCAACTAATCATGCCGATCGATGTGGCGAAATTATTAACAGACATAATGAATCAAAATAAATACAAAATTGCTGTTCTAAACGGTGTACGCCAAAAAATTTTAACGGGTGCGTTTATGACAATGGTAGTTATTTTTAGTTACAATATTAAATTTGTAACTTCCTCGTGATGATTTCAGTAAAACTGATTTAGTTAAAACAAAATTAAAAACTTCGAATAATCTGGCGATTCACATTCGGATATTTTCTACTTATGAACACAATTTTTAGATTAAAAGAGACAGTGAGGGGGTAAAGATTGTAAGTCAAAAATTGACAGGTTGTAACCTCATGCTAAGATGCCATATTATCCGTGGTGCAAAGACCCGTCTTCAGTACGCTTGTAAAGCAGTACATTATTTGATTGCATGATATAGTTTACTTAATAGTATTATAGCGGTAATATTGCAAAAATATGTTGCGCAATCTCAAATCTAGGATTACTCAATTATGATAATTACAATAGAATTACATTCACAAACTGACATAACAAGCGCCTGTTCGTTGATCCAAATCACCGAGACAGATATAAGCATCCAAAGGAGTATCTTCTGGTAAGCCAAGGTAAAAGTCTTCTTTGCATACACTTCCATTAAGAACATAAACGAACGATTGCTGCATTGTAGAAGGAATGTTTTCTTGCCTCGTGCCACCTACAAATGTTAAACAACATTATGATGTAAAGATTATATATACTTCATTTTAATGTTCCATTTTTTCACGTTTTGCGATTTTTACACCTTTAGCCAAGATAGCAAATTATCTGGACCTAAATTTAATACAATTCATGGGTCAGCATACCTCATTTTGATTGGTCACTTTTTGTGCTAATTCTAGTTGAATCCCAAAGTATTACCAACTTTATATTAAATATTGTACATTTTGTTAGAGGGTGGTGGTTGCGCTTTTTCATTCACAAAAATTTCTTTATATTGATTAGTTTTTTAGTACAGCAATAGCCAACGTATGATGCCATAATACCCACAACAGATGGCCGCTCATATTGTGAAGAATGTGTTTCTAACGACAATGAAATTATTGGTATATATATATGTATGATGAGTTGACTGCATATGGATAGGACCCTGATGTATTTTGGCTGTATATGTATATAACGTTACCAACACACCCCATCGTAGCAGCGACTCAATCTCAAGAGTCTGAATGAAGATAAATCGTGATACAATTTCATTGCTGAGTATTTTTTTATTTTTTTTTTCTGGCGGCCTATCCGCAAAAAAAATGTAATAAAAATTTTTATTCACTAGTTATGAAAATTATCACTACTGCAGTATTGACTTGATCTTGATAAAACATTCCATATTGATCTTTGCTTCAAGCAAAGGAAATCTGTCTTTAACTCATTAGTAAACTTGCACTTTGTTTTCGGCATTTTAATGATTCAACGGCAGTACAGTTGGGTGTTGAATTAATGCATGGTTCTTACTCTACATCATAACTATGATAACCTCAATCTTTATCTGAACTAGTGAAGTGAGTTGCAAATTGGTGGTAAATCGGCTGCCATCGTTTAAAATTTTCTGTATATCAATGTCGAATAAGAAAACATTTATTACTGCCATACTGTATAACAGGGACATTCAGGTCTACCGGTCGGGACGGTGGGACAACTTGATAAAATCGGGACTGTCACGACTAAACCGGTACGTATGGTAAGCCAATCTATGAGTAAATCCTTCACTCAATTAGCAGTGAACGTAGAGATAATTATAGACTTTTTACAACTCATCACGATTCATTACAACCAACCACTATAATAGCAGTAAATGAATTGAGTACCTATGACGCCCCATCCAGTTATGACGCAAAGGCTTCCTACTGGTGGTAGATTGTTATCATTTGACTCGGGTAAACAAGCTGGTTTGTACCATTCCGATGTGAAATCCACAGGTTCTTCCAAACGAACAAAGCCAATATCATTTGTAGAAAAGCTAAAGTGAAATGGATTTCCAAATAAATATAATATTCATTTGCATAGACGCCCATAAACCACGTTTAATAATATGTAGTGTCTATAGAATTTTATCACGATTTTTCTATGACCATAGTGACTGAGGAATATTCATTCAAGGGTAATAAGGAGGAAACATACAGAACTTGCAACGAATTGGAGTATTTCATTTTTATATACGAAAATTGATATCCAATTAGTTATATATATATAAGTGTTTCCAAATCTGAAGGTTTCAAAGCAACAAAAATTACTTTTTTCAATGAAATAAAAAATCATATTTTATTTAAAAAAAAAACTAATAGGTAATAGATAGCTCACTATTCCGGATGTGGTAATACAAAAGAAACGTTTAGTCGTTTTTCATGTTTGTTGAATTCATCAAAGTTGTGAGCACCGATCGCCACCTGATATATTTCAGAGCTGCATTCAACAAAATAACAAATTTCAATTTGAAACATGCAGATTACAGATAATGCTTGTTTATTCCTTATTCTTATAATAGAGTATCAACCAAAAATCGTACATCAAATGTTGAAATGTTGCATACAACCGTACTGCTTTTAAGAAAAAAAAATCTACAGACTAAATTTGGTTTGAGATAAATAGTCTGACTACACTTTTAACTTTGGAGTTTATAAAAAATAAATATAATATGAAATAATAGCACATATATACTCACAAACTCAAGCAGTGTGCGGCTGACAAAACCCAATATTCCGAAATCAAGGTACCACCACAAGTAAATCGCCAACCAGTTTCTGTTAGACGGAATAAACCGATCTGCCATGGCCAAGATCCTTGTATTACGTCGTGGCCTCCAATAACAAGAGGATTCTGAACAGTGTATTAATAGAAATGGGAAGAGTTAGTAATGCAAAATTATTATGTGTTCCGTGTACTTCATTGGACACAAAGTGTACATATAGTTCGTTTTGTTATTAGTATGTTGTTGTTGTTGCTCTTATTTTTCTTCTGCTTGTGAAAAAAATTGCCTTTCACATTTCAACTAAAAGACCAATTGCTCTGAAATTTTCATTGATTGAAGATTGTATTTTTTGCTATAAGGTTATTACTTTTATTTAGTTCAAAAATGTACATGGGCTCTAGGGAATTCGTTTTTTTGTGTGGGACCACGTAATCAAAATTTAAAATTATGCACCTTGTGGCGGTTCGCCGTTCGCAGTCAGCCAAAGCCGTGAAGCAGATGGTACCGGTAGTCTAATGCAGTGGTTCCCAAACTTTTTTATCGCGACCCCAATTTTCATAAAATCAAAACCTACAGATACTCGCGACCCCACAACTAAAAACTTTCAGCAACTTCGAAAATCAGTATATCAGTTTAATTATCTCAATAGGAACATACCTGTATATCAAGCAAGTGGACGTTGACGGTGAATATTGGCCCAAAAAATATACGAACAAGTTCGACAATGCGCCGGAAAAACGGGGAAACCTCAAAAGATTTGAAGACACATGGCATTGTATGTAAACCATGGTGTAAAAATCTCTTAAATCAGAATTATAACGAATCTTTGGCTAAACTTAGACGGACTTGATGAAATGTGGTAGATTGTAAGGAAGCGTACGATACTTCGAACATAGCAAGATCGCTTCTAAATATGCATAAATTTAAAATCCTATTGTATTGTGCTAGAACTTGTTGTGGTTTTGTGTTTGACTGCTCGGAATGCACGGAAATTACGTCTACTATAGTAACTACGTAATATTGCAATATGAAAATGTTCACTTTTATGTGGAGCCGATGGGGCCAAAACACGTAGACTACTCGTAGAATTTAGACACGTGCGCGAATTAAAACCTGATTGAAACCTAAAGTGTAATTACTCTGCCAAGACACCGTCTGGCAAACAATACCATACTTGTCAATAAAAGGACGCAGCCAGGGGGTGGTTTTGGTGGTCGGAAATTAACAAACCAACATAATTTATAGCAGCCTGGCAAAATCCGATTTGTGTACCAGCGGGTCAGCTACTCATTTGGATGTAACATGATCAAACTATTGAAAGGAAAATAGTACTCAATTACATTCACTAATACCGGTACCTGTTGAGCAGCTGGAAAGGTTAAGTACCACATGGAAGTTTTACGAGCAATTTTGGCGCATTTTGGACAATAAATGTTCGAGTTATTGCTGAAAAATTCGAAGTTATCACTTTTACGGAACCCGCCGACCAAAACAAATTTCACTTCCAAACTTTCAAATCCTGGTAACTTGTGTGCGCATGTTAGACAGAAATTAGGCGACCCCGGAAAATCTTCACGCTACCCCATCCGGGGTCGCGACCCACAGTTTGAGAACCACTGGCTAATGCATATTGGGTTAAACTGACATTGGGTAACAGTTTGTTTTAACAGGCGTGTTTTAATTTGAAATTGTTTCTAATTTGATAGGAACATTAAATTTAAAATCAAATTAAATTTGGTCTTTGTGTTCATATATTTCAGCATCGCGCTCTTTTTATCAATACCGACAATTGATTAGAATCCGTAAACTGGCGACAGCAACCTCGTCTATAAGCATGACCATTTTGGCATGTTAATTTCCAAGTCTTGTCTTAAACAACGAGGGTCGCTTGGGGGTAAGATGCCCTAAACTAGAGGATTTGGGCCTAATACAAATATGCTATAAAAATATTGTTTTATTCACTACATATTAAGTTAATATTTCCGCGTGAAAGAAATGCATTTTAGGGATCGATTCGACTATCGCGGTAATGTCTCTAGACTCTGTCCAGCTAGAGAGACAACTTTAAGTGGTTAGAATGTAAGTAATTTAAATGCGTTTGTTAGTTAAAACTTGAACTAAATGCAATAGAAATACCAATATCTGATGCATCGATTATAATTATAGATGGTTAGCCTGAAATAATATGCTCGAAATTCCCGCATGATTACTTACTCTTGGATGTCGTGCAAAGCAAATATGAAAGTGTGACGACTTGTATTTTTAAATTTATATCATCATTATTTGAAGGCGCTGTAGCACTCTCAATGTGTATCCAGTCAAGATAGGCTACCGGTTACAGCAATGAAGCTGTTGTTGTTTTAGTCAGATTTCTAATGTTTAGGATCTTTCATGTCTGCAAAATTCAGTTGGAAACCAAGTGCGGTTATTTCTGATTAATGATCATTGATTTTGGTTTCGATATTTTTTTTGCTAGTCAGAAGAATGATATTAGTGTTTCTCCGAGTACTGTATATTGCAATTACAGTTGATTAGGTGTTTTATTATACGGAATTAGCTATTGAGATTTATATCAGACGATATTAAAGGATATTTCAACTGGGAAAATTTATATATAGACTGACAGTACGTTACAATAGCTTTTCAAATACCCAAAAATAGAATGTTATACCTGCGTGATGAGCCAACTATATCAATGCAGATCAATAATAAATAGTAATTAAAATCTGTTTCAATATCGACTGCTTACCCATGGAAACGATGGTGATATAGCGGGTTTACCACATTCAGTTGTGGTGGGATTTCCCAGAACTAAAAATATAAACAATCTGTAATATAATATTAAATGATTTGAATCTTCTCCCATGTTTTGTAATAATAGAAGAAACACATCTATGGAATATCGTGAACGCTAAAAAATAGCACCAGACTATGGTATAATGAAAGATTTACGCTGTTTTATAACACAAAAACCCGACCTTCAGAAAATCTCAGGTTACAGATGTTGTTTATTCATTATGAGTAATGAAAATAAATCCTTAGAATAATATATCGAGAAGACATTTTTATGACACGGATTATTGGTATTATACAAACACTTACCACACTCAAATTCATCTTCTTTGTCGTCGCAGTCATAGTTTCCATCACATTTTTTACTGATTGGAATACATGTTTTATTGTGGCATCTTTCTTCAGTAATTTCACAGTCATCTGATAAAAAAAATCAAATCTTGGTATCGGACACGAAATGTACATATTACTCGTTTTGTTAGTTTGTCGTTCTTGTTTTCCATTTCCTTGTTCGTTTATGAAGTAATCGCTTTTCTCTTTAATTAATAGACAAATTGTTTTGAAATTCCCAATGGTTAAAGATCGGGGTAATCAGGTAGTATGTGAAACAGATGGCGGACACCGGAACATAGTATGTGTACCAGGTTAGAGTTAGGCCATAATTTCAGGTACAAATACTACGAATGTCACTTTGCTATTCCCCGAACTCGTAATAGAACTAAAATAAGGAAAATTAGAATAAAATTATGTCCTAACTCTAACCAGGTACACACACTACGTTCCGTTTTGTTTGATGATCCCTTCAAAATTAATAATATTATATATAGCGGTTTTGCAACTTATCTTGTGCTAAGCGAGTCAGAATTGTTTAGATCGTACCGTGCAGTAGACCAGATAAGGCATGACACTGTAAGATAAGATAGTCTACTGCTTATCGTTGGCTTTCGTGTCCATTCATTTGAACATCGCGCTTCTGTTTAATGACAACAACATTAGCGAACGCTAGTTTTTTGGCGGAGTGTTTTGTTTCCAATTTGTTTTACCAGATTGTTTGTAATTTCAAGTTTTGGGCGCACTGAGTAATTTAACTGAAGCCGAATCTTGTTCGATACGTGTTCGGGCTTTGCTTTCACTCTTGTGCTCTGGCCTTTTTTAAATAACTGATATCTTTCCTGATCTTCTATTGAAAGTTAATGAGATCAATTTACAAACACTTTTTTAAATTTTAATATTTTTTAAAACTTTAGGTTATCCGAATGCATTACCATTTGTCGTCCAATTAAAGGAAAACCCAGCAGCTTCAAAAGCTCCATCTGACCAGAATTCTGCAATAATTGAGTTCGAGTTGGATTCAAAATTAGGAGGTGCTCTAGTTCCGCAGTTTTTCTGATATCGATACTGAAATGTAAATATAAATGTTGAGTTTTCCCCATAGATTTGTTGAATTCATCCAATTGGACTGTTTCTCTAAAATTCGTTCTCCTTTTGTCGAAGGCTAAGAACATTGATTGCTGATTCAGTAATTGAACATACTTTGCAAACCTTGCATCGAAACTCAAAGAAAATCTCTGAAATGACTTCAGAAAATTGTCGTAAATTGATATAATTTGAGTAAATAATAATATGTATTTATTAGATTTGATAGTGAAACCAGCTAAATATATATATATAAAATAATACCGTGAGTGATCCTGTATCAGCTCCATCGTAGATAATAAGATAGTCAGCAGAACAAAGCGGTGAAACATCGTTAAATACCCCTTCTATGTCAAATTTGGGATCAAACCTCACGCTTATTCTCTGTAGATAAACGGAAACAAACACAAAATAAATATTTAGTAATTCTGAAACCGCATTTTTTGGAATCATGTTTTATATTCTGTATTTAGACAAACCCCACCTCATTATTCGTTTGTTTAATCAGAATATTTCATGATGAAATTGGCAAGATCTAAATCTGAAAACTGTCGTGCAAAATCATAATTTTTTGCATTGGGCATTCATAAATCACACATATAACGACGAAATATTGTAAACTTTTGTTTAAGAATTTACCGTATTTTCAGGTCCAATTATATACCATCGTACGTAAGTATTCGCCGGATAATTGGAGGGATAGTTCGGTGACATTATAGTACCATTTGTCTGATCTTTGATAACAAAAGACTCTGTTGATGAAAATTGATGAATTTTGTTTATTATATAATAACAATATTATGGTATAACGCTGCATTTATGTAGCCTTATTCTATAGTGTAAAACAGTTCTTTCGTTCGTCCTATCCTTCTTTCGTGCTTTTGCCTCGATTGATCTGTATGCATATATTGTGTATTTCCAGTGTGTATACATCAACTACCATTTGGGATATGTATGTCCGAGAAATTCTGGCCTTGGTGAGACGAAACGTTACAGAAATATATTTGTGTTAGTATGTAGCAAAGCTCTTGGGTTTTGTATTTGAATGATCGGCTTTCTCAGTAGAGAAAAAATAGGTTTTAGTTTACAAAGTATGAATAAATTTCAGTTAAAATAATATACATGATATATCAGCATATAAAACAAACGACTGCTATTGCTTATTTAAGACATTTCTGATAGGATCATGTCATGATAGAGTAGACTTGATTTTCTGATTCTGTTTTAGGAAATAAATGATTTATTTGAATGGGCTAATCTCTGTGTTCGTGAGGGTGTTGTTTATAGAACCCCTTCCACATCTGAGTATAATTAATTATGTATGAGATGGCAAATTGAAAATTTTCTGTTCTAGCAATTCCCTAAAACTGATTTATGGTTTACAGCCTGGTCATGAGTAAAAACTTTACGCATACCATTCGGAAAAATAACAGACAGACAAGAATTAAAGAAATTGTAGTTAGTTATATTTTGGAATGATGTCAGAATAGTTAACCATAAGTGACATTAACAAAATGTATAATATTTTGAGTCAAATATACAAGTTTACTCACGTAAAACTGGACGAGGATTTTTGGTTTCCAGAACTAAAAATACGTTTATTATCATTTAGAATAGTATCGACAACAAACCAACAAATCTAAATATCAGCTGGGGCTCAATTAATTAAGCTGGATTCAGCTAATAATTAAGAGTTGCGATGAATTGGGTGATAAATAGTTAAAACAGATACAAATTAGAGTTAAATCTGCGTAAACTATAAACTTATAGACAAGAGTGAGTATATTCGATAATAACTTGAATTTAAACAAATTAAAATGTTCAAAATTGTAATAACAGGTTACGGTAACGGAAAACGTCACAATACTCGTTTCTTCTAACGAAGGTAAATCGGGGCGTGGAGTTGAGCGTTAGTTAACGAGAAGTGGATGTCGCGCAGTATAATTTATCGTCATTATCGCTACTAAATTCATTTTTCAAGCTTTTTAATATAATTCATGAACGAATATTATTTATATATTAAACAAACATTCCGTTTATTAACCGAAATAACTCACGATTATTTATGAATGTTAGATGAGCCGACACGTTTACATATGCTGACGGATTTCCGGGAACTGTTCCGCATCTGAGACCAAATGAAGCTAGTCCAATAACTTCCCATTTGCCATTGTTGAGATGGGCTACTGGTCCGCCGGAATCGCCCTACAATAACAGATGTAATTTTATTTTATGTTCCCAAAGCTAAAAAGGTGTATATTAGGAAGTGTAATTTTACTTGAATTCAACTGAATAACAGCAAGTATTTTTATTTATGAAATAAATACTAATATTGGTTCAATCAGAGTAATAACTCTTTGAGCAGATTTCGAAGCCACAATATAATAGTCAGGAGTAAAGTCTGCGTTCAGTTGAACACAGTATGATCAAAAATCTCGAATGTCAATTGACATGGTAAAATTAATGAAAACGAGCGAGAGGCAGTCTAAAAACTGAACCGCTGAAAAAATTTATTGTTGAATCTTGAATATTTGTATTGCTGAATACTCAAATTGAATTCACTCTAATTATGGTCACTAGTCCAGAAATATTTTTCAATAATGTCGAACAGTCGGTTTCACATACACTACATGTGCTAACACCCCCAGTCGGAAATCCAACACAAAATATATCGTCTGCTGTTACTCCTCCCTCGATGATTGGTTTCAGACATTTATCCTGGGGAAATATCGGTAATGATGCTTGCTTAAGAACAATAGAACCCGGTGCGCCCACATCTGAAAAAGGTAATATATGTAACTTTTTTTTTCATGTTGTTGAATATTGACAATAATTTTGTTCTAACCAGCATTTTATAGATTGGGATTTACCTATATACATTTGTATCACATTTTTACATTGCAGCAACTTTAAAAAAGAAAAAGAATGCGAATATATATACAATTTGGCGCATGAGGATGACACTCATATTTATGTAGAGAATCCACAGGGCGAAAAATGCAACTTCGTTTTTAGCAACAGATCAATTTTCCGATATCCGACCAAACTTATTCAATGCGAAAGTTCAAATTCACTTACATGTACGACCCCAACCAGTGATAACTATGTATGTTCCTGTGGAAGGAAACATGGTGGGAAGGCAAATGGGTTTTACATATACAGTATAGTTTACTGGAGACGAAAGTAACAACAACGAAATATCTTTCCCCTCGCTCCATCCATTTCCGTCTTTCCAGCTGAAATAAAAATGAATGTTCGTAATTTTGACACTTAATGATCAACTTGTCGGAAATGAAATACGTGGCTTACTTGAATCCGGGTTTAGCGAAGATATTTTCAACCGTGACGTTTTGTGCAGTTTTTTCGTTATATTCGCTAGTATTGTAATTACCAAACACCACCAATGCATCAAATCTGAAATGAAAACACATGACGACATGAATATAAAAAAATAAAGAAATGACGGAATAGGATAAACAATGGATACAAAATAAAAATTTGCACCCTTTGTCCACGCAATGTGTTGCTGTTAACGCCCATCTGTCTGCAATCAGCACTGTACCACAAGTAAACTCCCATTTATCCAGTCTATAGTACAACAGTCTGCCTTGCCATGGCCAAGATCCCGGGACAGCGTCATGTCCTCCTACTATTCTTGGATCCTGTATATAAGTTTATTCATTCGCAAAATGCAACTGGTCATTGTTACCCCTTTTACTTGTAAACCGTACCTGTCAATTCTACCAACAATTGGCCATAATTGTAGTTAAGATATTCGATTTTACAACTCAATTTTTTTTACTTGAATGTCATCTCTCCATTAAAAAATTTAACTAGTCTAAATTTCTTATCATACTCAAATTATCAGGCCTCAACATAATACTAATTTATATTTCTAATTTCTGCTCGATAAGATAATGTATGCACAGTTACGTATACGAACCCATCTGAATTCTGGAGCAATGTCTGAAACTCCACATTTGCTCACACTTTCCAACTCTGAAAAAAAAAAAAATTGTGTCATATATTTCTTTGCTTTATGCTGACCAAGAGTTGTAAGTGAGATAATAATTAGGTTCGAGTCGGACAACTTTTCCATTGTTTTTAGAACATGTATATGATCAAGTTCATACTAATATTATCTTGTATTCGACTGGATTTAAACAATTGAAGTGCAAATAGACAACTCTTTATTAAAATTTAAGAACGTGTCCACTAAGCTTAAAGGTAACAACCTTCTTATCAAATAATCTAATCAGAAACTGAAAAAAAGGAATTGTCATCTCTGAATACATTTGTCATTTCGATAAATTGATTTCCAAAATCTTCTATTACGTCAATTGGTACTGGAAAGTTCAGAATCACGCATGCTAATGCACTGTAGAAATTGCTCGAATTGAGAGTGAATTAAACCGCCCTTGGATCACACTAAATCTTTTATTCATTCAAAGTTTTGTGTAACTTACTACATTCCACTTCGTCAGCGTTATCCACCGGACAGTCAACAACACCGTTACATTTTTTTGTTTCGTTGATACATGTACCATCCCAACATTGAAATTCACCAGTTTTACAGATTTCTTGAAGAAAGATATTTTTTATAGTTTTTTATGCATAAAATTTTGTAATGACTCATTGTTTCCACTAAATTGAGAGTTTATGAATCTGTTAGATGAAATTAATGAGAAAAAATACATATATATATAATAAAGTAGATAAATAATAAAAAAAATAGGTTGCAACGAATTTCAAATAGATTTAGCACATTTTTATTAAATATACATTTATTCTTCAATGTAAATAAGCATTTTAACCTTCTGCCGTCCAGTTGAGAGAAAACCCCATAAAATTATCGTCACCAAAAACATTGGGAGATGAAAAAAATTTAATTGTCACTTGATTTGTTGTAGACAGAAATCCTTTCGGAGGGTATGGACCACAAAATCGTCTGTCCAGGTACTATAAAAGTAAGAGCAGTACAAAAAGTACAATTAGTTTTGTTGTGAGATAATTTTTAAAAACGTTCGAGCATCCTTAGATTAAGTTAAATTAAAATTTTCACTTGCTAATGAATAGAACACCTTTGAAGATAGGTTTGATATTTGCACTTGAAGTAGGATGCAAGATTGGCCAACTTGCATTCGGCCGCAATCGACTAAAATCTTCAAAATAGCTCGCGATCGACTTCTCGGTATTAAGGTCATTCACATAAAAAATGAGTGCTGAATATGCAGATAACTACACACAAGCATACAGACATTCTACCGTTGCCAGTAAGCTCGGCTCCGTGGGCACATTCTTAATGAAATCGCCACAAAAATTCGTTAATTTGATAATCTCATTGTATCCAGAATAAATGTTCCATGATTTATTTAAGATTTATTCAATCCAAATACAATTCAGATCTAAGGCCTGCCTACTTTTTAGTCATAAGTGTTGGAAATTTCTCCAAAAAAACTTGCCAAGTATCCATGATTTATCTAAAAACCATAAATGTCACATGAATGGTCAAACTTCAGTATCTAATTTAAATTTTCGCCAAGTCCGAATCTTCGCTTGCTTGGAATTAGAAAAATTGGGCATTGTGGTGCCACTGCTCCCGTTGCGAATGAAATTTATCACACTAGTCATGGAGGGAGACAACAACTTTCGCATGCTACTACTGAAACAGTTTAATGTAGTCAGACAAGACACACGATATTTGGCACGTCAACTCCCAAGCCTTGAGGCCAAACTTGCACATGTTACGTAAAATAATCGCAAAAACGAAAATCAAAAAACGTCATTTTTATTATTTAAGTATTTGCATAAAACTTACCTTCTCTGATTTTGTTGAAGGCCCATCATATATTTCAAGATAATCCCCAAAACAGGTATCCGTGTCTTCTATGTTAAAGTATAGACTAAACTTGATCGCAACTTGCTAAATGGAAATAATTATCCTCAAGATTTTTACAGTCACAAAATATTATTCTGTTTACGTTATTGAAATAATCGTATATTTGAATATATTGGCAATTAGAAGGTACAAGAATATCATGATTGATGTTTTAAAAATATACAGTGTGTTTTACAATTCAGAGTGATTCAATTTTAAGTGACAGAAATATATTTGTGTTAATGTGCAGCAAGAATCTCGAATCAATATTCAATATTGCTACAGCATCCTTGCAATATATGCATACGGATTCAAAGGCACAAAAGCATTGAATAAGATAAGTAGTTACTTCCACAGAAACCAAATTAATAACGTTTTATTATTCATTATTTTAATATTTTTTGCTTTGTGCAGTTTTGTAATGTAACACCTTGATGAAAGTAATTCTCAATTGTTTGAGAGATTGATAACTTCTGTGCATTTGTAAGAAAATTGGTTGTAAAAAAATTGTTTCTGAAACGTGCGATGTTTAAGATGGCAACATAATGACCAAAACAATAATGTATAGGGTCACGTGTTGATCATGGAAATATTGGCTGATGATGAACAAGTTAGATTTTTTTACCGTGTTTTCAGGTGTTGTAATGAACCAAGAGCAATTTAGGTCGCGCATATACGGGAGTGGATACATAGGTGTGGATACGGTGCCCGATGTACCAGTGAGATAATTCGTTTCAGCACATGTTGGTGGGTCTAAAAAATATAATTAAAGTATACAGATAGTTTAACAACAACTGAGCAATTATAAAATATATATATATATGGAAAGAATGTGGCAATATCATGACCCGTTCAAGAATAACTTACTCCTCCAAGAAATCTTTCGTTAGAAAACCCGCATGGTAGGTTAATATGATTATAATAATGCATTAATGAGGTTCAATACAAAATAACGTTCCTACAAGGAGTTCATAAAAACTGAAAACCAATACATTCCCATTGAAAAGAGTTGCTGAATTCTGAAAGGCTGTCCTGTAAAAAGTGTTCAGAGAGACTAATTCAGATACTTTAATAATTACTTTATTTCAATCGGGCAACCCTTAAATATGGTTCAACTCACCGATTGCAGAAAAATTAAACGAAAATCCAGATCCAGTAACATCAACATCCGATTTGAATACGACGTACATGCCGTCATCTTTGATGAGTAGTTTGCCGTGATTTTCATTCGAACATATGACTATTTTAAAGGTCTGAAATAATATTGTGTGTTTGTTCATTTACTTTCAAATTTTGAATAGTATCTTTTTTTTCTATCTATGTATATATCCATCTTCTAAATCGTTAATTCTTAATTCCAAAATTAACAAACTGAATAATAATTAATACGTGAAAATAAAATTGCACTCATTACCCACGGACTCGGTGGTTCGACTCCTTCCGAAAAAGTTAGTGAATCGAACGGACACGTTGTCCCGGTTCCTTTCTCGATGCCATATATTGTATCAAATTCAATAAGGATGAACTAAAATATATAAGAATCTCCTGAAATAAGAGCAATAAATCACATTTAGGAGGAAAGATTTAACCCTGAATGGAAGATGAATTTGTGCATGATGCTAATGATATGGTGGATTCAATTGAAATGGTGGCTAACGGTAATATAGGCTAATTTATGTTGGAATATGCAGTCAACTATGTTTGTTTTTGGACACGAAATGCACATATGAATCACTTTGCTAAATCCTTGTTTATGTTGTTGGTCAGAATTGGCAAATCGATATGAAATTTTCAGTGCATAAAAGGACGTGAGAAGTCGCTAGAAGTCAGGATTAGTACTTTTTTTTCGCGTGCTCTATTATACCCTTTATTTCACCAAAAAGTTTTTCTATTTTTCAGTCAATTAATGGAAACACTTTTCATTTCGTCGTGCTTTGCCAGCCCTGTATATAAGATTCAAGTAAATAACATAAAGTAATAGTATCTATATACTTTGATGTATAGGACAATGAATGTTTGATCAATTCAATGTTCCACGAGTTGCGAATGTAATCAAAAATGTTAAATTTAACTTATCAGTACCCAAATTCTATACCTTTCCAATTTCAACATCGACAATCCATGCTTCTTCCCACAAATTATTATAATTATCAGGATAGTTTAGTGATGAAATTGTTCCCGAATTGGCAACGATCGTTGTTGTATTTGCTTTCGTCACGTCTGCTTTGTCTGAAATATCGTAGGAAAAACTTTTGATTTAAAGTACTTTTATCATAAAAAGAAAACATTATTCCTATGTGAGAAACGAGGAGAAAGTATATTGCTGTTTAGTAGGGCTTGGCATTTTTGAATACCTGCTCATTTCAGAATCAAATATGTTTTACAATCGAATATTTGGTAGATATGACTCTTTTATTGTAAAAAGTCCTACAGTAAATTACTGTAAACATAGAATCCATCACAATCAGACAGTTTTCTGGCCGCTCACACACAATAGGCAACATGTCTAACTAAGTAAGAAGAAAAGAGGAATTTGTGTGTAAATAAATTGTTCGAGGGTCAAAAAACTTTGTTTGGCCCGCGGGATGCAGTTTGTCGATCACTGATATAAAAGATATCCTCAAGTCCTGAATTTTGTTCCCTCTTCCAAACTACATTTCGATTTCTCCAGCGTGTATTTATTTGTACAAATCAACTATAAGTGGAACCAATCACAGGGACATATTGACCTAATTGATGCACGTATGGTAAATATGTGATGAAATGGTGGTAGAAGTGAACGCTTCGTTTTTCGTAATACGTACCAACTGCGGTCCAATTAAATGAAAATCCAGCAAAAGTGACAAAAGGATCTGTAAAAAATGTCACTCCCAATGAATTACTTTCTGATGTCCAACTTGGATGAGGCTCGAACCCACAAAATATCTGTTAGAAAAAGAATAATCATCATGACATCGTCTGTTCCAAAACAAATCTCGTATACTCTCTCTTTGCGAGAGTAACGAGTGATAGTATTGAGCTCTAGTAAATCAGGATTCGGAATTTGCCAAAAAGCGTATAACTTTGAGAAAACTAGATAGCGATCGGAGACCGCCGACTTATGGATCGTTCGCAGCGACGAAAGTTGGGGGATCCTCAAAACAGAAACTGCGGTTTCGATTCCTTCGCTCTGACCTCAATAGCGAACATTGGGCATTTTGTAATGGTGGAGTAGGAGGAATTTTTCTTAGGGTCAACGGTCGTGGAAACATCCTTACTAAGCGCACATGTATTGCCCGAAGCTGTCACTGCTGCTGCTGTCTCAATGGTAAGTTGCATGCTTGCCAATATTTCTAGTATTTTACATTGGTGATATGTTACGGTCTTTTCCTGTTGCGTTTGGGTTTAAATGACTAGTTTTCTTTTTGCTGAGCATCGGTTTCGAGTAATATTTACAATTTTTTCGGTACAGCAACAGATTTCCGGACCGTTAAACACGTGTGATGAGATTCTTGCTGGCATAACGTGCCGAGTGTTTTAACTTTGAAAACATTTCAAAAAAAATTTCTTGAAGCTTTCAATAAAGCAACGAAATGAAGACCAAAATGGCATATCCTTGATGGAGAAGGAAAATAAGAAAATTACTCACCGATTCGTATCCAGTATCTTCTGAGAATTCAATATGATCGTAGCAGCCGGAACCATCCGGTTCAATTTCAAACAACGGTTCAAACTTCACTGCGATTCTCTAATAAAAAAAGTTATAATACTCAAAAAAACATGAGTCTACATACAAAACCACGGTTTATTGCAGGGTTATTGCTATTTTGCACTTGGTCAATAGCTCCAATGAGTTTCTGCGTTACTAAGTGTTTTTATAAGACATTTATTTAACCTATTTATTTAACCTAAATTTACCCTTTTAACTTTTCCCAAGTTTTTAATATTGATTTTCGTTTAAATTAAATTACACATATTTAACTTTTAGGAGAATGTTCCGTTGTGTCATTATCATATTAAAATTTATTGCCCAGATCGGTACAAATCATTCAAATACTTTATAATTGCGATACTGTTATGGTTATGTGAATCACGAGGTCACGTTTTTAATATTAATTCGCTGTTTGATTAACGTGTGCAGAAACTGCTCAATATCTTTTTAATTTGGTTACAGTTTTGATAGAAAGTTTATAAATGTATTGTGTATATCGTCGGAAACGAAAAAAAAAGAGATTTTTTTTACATTTATTCGTTACCGTTGCGGTAACCAACATACTGTGATTGTTATTTCACGGTTTCGTCAAAGAAACCTAGCCAGTTAATCATTAGATATTTTGAGCACCCCGACTTGATGTAAACACGCAACTTTCTGTCAAGGAAGATGTCAGAGCTGTGTCTGTGCACCATGGGTCTCGCAATCAAGCTACGCTTACCGTTGTAAGGCAGAGTGACGACTCGGCCCGACCTAGGGTTTTCTCGTGTTTTTATTTTAGGGTTTACTAATAAATCTGACAGTGGCAGGATTTTGTCCTTGAAGGCTCGTATTCAACGTGTTTATATTTTTTTTCGCAAATGTCGCAAACATCGGAATATTCAACTTGATTTTAAATAAATTAATTAGAATGAATCGCTTTTAGTTTCAGGCATAGTTCAGGTTTTCATATTTCGCTTCAAAAAGTAAACTCACTACACAACGGTTTAACTAAACTTTTGAAAGCCGAGTAGATAAACACAAGTTAGAATAATACAACGATCATACCAATGAAATGGTCGCATTTTTCACATGGAGTACATGGGGCTTCAGGCAGTAACATTACAATCGATGAATATTCACTATGATCGGCAATATACATATATATATAGTTGTACATCATGCATAAGTAACAACGAACTTATACCGTTCCATTTGCTGTGTTTATACGCCATTTGCAGTTGAGTAGATTTGGATGATTATCTGGATAATTGGGAGACATAATTGTTCCTCGCGTTCCAGTGACATCAAGCCCTTCTGAACTACACGCTGGCGTCAAACCTGAATTTTAAAAAATCAACTCAAATTTTAAAAGAGAAAATCTAGTGAGTATTTTTGATATTGTTCTCAATACGGTCTAGGACTTTCCTCTTTTGAATTATGGTGTTTGGCGAAGTCTTTCATTTTCAGGGCTCTACACACTGGGGTCCCGACCCCCGGTGAATTCGAAAACGGATCAATAAGCGTCCCGTTGAAATCTTTTTCGAGACTAACGTATGTTGAAACACAATATTGATTATATTTAAAAGATTTGGAACCAGTACTAAGACCAACCATCACCGAAATAAAACAGATATTCAATCTTTTGTGCAAAAATATGCAAGCAAATCGATCTTATCGAACTTTTCGTCAGTTTTATTAGTCTTTTTTAATATTATTATTAAATTTTACATTATTTTTTATCTCAGTTCCTGGTGGTCCTGAAAAAATTTAGCCTTTCCAAGTGGGCCGTGATGAAAAAAGGTTGAACAACACTGAACGCATCGCAGATTAACTCTGAAATACTGATTGTACCGCTTGGCTAACTAATAGCAAACTTGGTAATTAATTGAGCGTACAACCAAATCCCTCCTGAGTAAATTTCGTTTTTTAGTAACTGATGATCGTGAAAAAAATCTAAAGATTTTATATTTACGAATGGCAACATCAGATCATATAAATACCCTAGCAAGTTATGCAAATAGTCTTAACCATTACTCAAATATGGGATGGTGGGTGGATTTTCCCACGAATCAAAGTTGCTATTTTTGCTTTGACGCCGTTCTGTCCTATGTTAAACAACAGATATCACCTTAAAACTTTAACTTTTGGCATTGTGTTGAAGCAATATAACAACACGAAATGCCTGTTTTATGGTTGATATAACAAACCTAGTTTCACATATGATTACAGTCTTTGTTAGGCTTCTGATCTGGGTTATTACCTCCAAGTGCTTAATATAAAAATGTACAGTCTACTGACTTAATACTTATTCAACAAGTTTAATTGTTTGATAAATTATATTTATGACAAATCTCTTCACCTTCTGTTGAAACAGTCGTTTGTTGGATCGTCAGACGAGGTAATACAACGCCAAGAAACAATGTTGACAGCATCCATATGTTTGCTTCCATAGTTCAATTATACTTACATTAGAGTATTAAAGCAACATTAAAACATTCAATAAAGAAATGTGGCATTTGAATTTTCTATGGCTATTGGTAATTACATAAAGGACAAAACTATCAATTAAATTATATAGTTCTGGTAAGTTGTAAAGCATGTTCCATAGTCACCCATTCTATAAAACTTAAACAAAATGCGCCTCATTTAACGTAAAGCTATTCCAATCCTCGACTCATCTTAATTACGTCACACTAGTCCGACAAAATGAGCTGGAATAGTTGAGAATTATTTTGGTTAGAACAAAATCTGATTTAATGATATTTATTCATCTGGTTAAAGTATCCCATAAACTAGAGCTAATAGAAATCCAGACATGTTGAACGTCATAAAACGAAATGAAAACGTAGTAAAAGAGTCACACTTCGCCACGTCGTTGAGCATTTGTTCTCAGAGTCTTGAAAATCTACCGTTTCCCGTACTACTTTATTCTAATATATTAATGACAGAGCACAGGTTTGGTAAACATTAAAGCTATTCTTCATACTGCTAGCGTCTACTGCAAATATACTGTCTCAGTTCCACTCATTTTCTTTGTAAAACCCATTTTTGATAAATATTTGAATAGCAGCGCATATAGTTTTAATGAAAGCCCAATCGTAGCATCTTAGAAATTATCACTAAAATTTAATCCTCCTAAAATCTTTTTACGACTATTTTTTTCACGTAAGGACGTATCATAGATCACAAGCAAATGCAAGAAATGGACTATGGCAAAGTTAGACTGTTATTGTGCCTTTTTCTATAAAATAAACTGACGTTAGAGCGAAAAATTGTTTTCAATAAACAATTGGTTTTCATTATTGATGAGAGATGATTGAACGATTGTAAACCTGACTTGTTTTTTCGGAACAATTTCGATTTTCCTAATGCTTGATTCAAAGTCCAGGGTCGAATTTAAAATGACGAAAACGATGATATACGGTAACTTATATTAGTTTCGATTTCATCTCATTTGTACTGATTCCAACAACGTGTTTATCCGTGAATATCGTGGTAGCAAATGTACTCACTCTTTTAATATATACTCTAGCCCAGTTGTTCTCAAACGGTGAGGAGCGCCTCACAAAACGACATAGACAATTTTTTATTATTTATTAGATTTGATCTTGCCCGCTTTATTTGTTTATAAAACCTTTCATTTATTTTTTTATTCACGTTTTTTCACGTATTCCTAACGTGTTTTTTGAATAATACATACCTTCGCCTTACTATCTAATATTTGTAGCTTATTGTTAGCTAGTTATTTTAAAGGGCGGGGCGCAAGACTTGACAAATTCTAAAAAGGTAGCGAGGCCTAAAAAGTTTGATAACCACCACTCTAGCCAGTACATATACCAAAAAGCAACTGACAGGACAAGGTTTTACAAATTCGTCATATACTGTAATCACTATACCTGATCATATTCGCTGGCCTCAGTGTATACACAAGAAGAAAGTGTATATATACTGCCTGCTTCAAACGGATAGCAATTTTTCGCAATTTGCCGTTTTTATTTTGATCGACCATCATCTACTCCTATTTGACTTACTCACTGAGATATTCTAATTTTCATCTAACTAAATTTCTGGAGTAAAAAAATCACAGGTGATTTATGGAAATATCTTACGTACTTGATACTTACTCACATAATGAGAAACTAAGAATCAGAACCAAACTTATACTAAGAAGCCCCCTGACGAGATTTAACATTTGCGTTTTTCCGTTGGCCGTAAATCCGTCACGTTTCAACTGCTAAATCCACCTGTAATGGGTTCCAGCGATGGCAACTATAACGTGGCATGACAAAAGCCGATTGATCTTTCTGCATGATTGCAGGACGTCGTACTGAACAATTGGTTTAAACATTTAATCGGGTGCTGAATCTATTTGTTTGTACTAATTTGTAGATCCCATGAAACAGACCAGCTGAAAATAACGTGCATGCAATTTTATTCATCCATTCGTTATTGATTGAATTGTGTCATCCCCAAAAAATTCATATTCAAAATTGAAAACTTTTCGATGCCATAAATAGTAATTACCATAGAGTGTTCACAAATTATTAACACGGTGTATTTATACTCTTCCCCGAACAAGGCTATGTACAAGCGTCTTCAATTAGATATGGAGCTACTATAGTTTGGATGAACGGAATATTACGGATCCGCTTATCCGATTCAATACACCTTGATAGTCCGGGGGTGAGCATAGGATTTGAATCCTAGATTTTACCCCCTATTATTATCAGATCCTATTTTTACAATAAACACTTAAATGCAAATAGTTGCCTCAATCCTCATTACTATATATATTATATTTTATCACAATCGATCGTATTCCTGATTTCAGTCTGATACCACACATAAGAGTTTTCTCTGCTGTTGTTTTCCATCCAACTTTTTTAAATAAATGAAGATAAAATTATCGAGATGCCACGGCCAACTTTTTTTTTTTGCGCGCGAGAGAATTCCCAATATTTGTTCTTGCCCAAAATCACAGTCATGCTTAAATGACACAAAATGAAGAAACAAAATAATCAGTCAAAATCCTGAAAATCCTATTCATGTTTTTTTTACAAGTATACCGTCTTTCGTACATCATCATTGCAAGGCACTTTTTCAGTCCACGGATTCTTATGTTATGGACCCATGCATTGTCTTTTTTTCTAAACTGCATACAATAACTGTCTGAAATTTAGAAATGTTATATGATGTGCTTTGCCAGAAACTTTTGATATAAATAAGATAAGTGTCAAACGCCATTTGATTCAATTAGATAACTTGAACAATTTTTGAAATGACCAAAACCATTCATTCACATGAGCAAATCTTGTAACCCCTATGGCTTGATTTATAGAGTTGTACTGGATTGTCGTATTTTGCAAGTCTGCATTAGAAGAGTAGTTTCATTTTGTAGTAGTAAATTCCGTTATACGCGTGCCAAATTTCTGTTTACCACGGGTTGGGGATCGTTGTCCTAGAAAAAAAAAAAACAGTGAAAACTTACTGAACTGTAAAACAGCACGTATAAGAAATCTTCCTTTTTGCACGTTGATACCCTCACCTCACTGTAACAGAGATTACCCAAGCGTTGAACTCCCGCGCTAAGTAGGTTTGCGTGATCACGAGATAGTGATTCTCGAAATATTTCTATGGAGCATCCAAATTTTCAGACTCCATAAACTGTTTTTAACGTGAAGTTATTGGATTAAAGTTGTTAGTTCAAATCTGCAAATTTCACACTCGAATGCATATATAAGTTGGCAATGGAAACAATAAGGGATAACGATTATACTAAATTGAGCTATCGTCATTGCTGGCAAACAGTAAAACGTGAAAAATTAAATCGCGTTCAAGTCATGGAGTTGGGCTTAAATAAAAAAAAGCACTAATTTCTCTGCTGATAACTTAGAGACTTCTTTTCAATTATAAATATTACCAGAAATTAATCAAAATCGAACAAAAATAAATGTGGAGTAGTAGTAAAAGGCCACTCATTTCACGCGCATCCACGTCATGTCGATTACTTGACTTATTCGAGCTTGAAAGCCAAATTCGTAATTTTTTTTCGTACTCATTCACCATAACGATAACACATAGCTACGCAAAATAAACATAAAATTTTATTTTTTATTTTGTGCGCATTTCCAAATAATTATATCTTATAGATGGCAATACGTATTTGTTGTAAATTTTTGTTTGTCTATATACCTTTAGTCAATGTGAACTTCATAACGTTTCAAGATACGTTGACTTCACTCTATAATCATTCCCTTGCCAAGTAATCTATTTAGCATTCAATGTAATGACTAGGGGCATTGTAAAGCCATAATACATTTGTACATGGTTGTTATCTCGACAAATCCAACAGCACGAGGAACATGCGGTACCTGCGGTATAAACGTTGTAATTATCAGTGTCCGCATTCTTTATATTTCATCACTGTTTACATCAACGGTAATTGTATTATGCAACAACTAAATGATGAATTCACATAGAAGATCCCAATGGTAAACGATATATACAAAACCGTTATAATTTACTAAAGACGGGTCTGCTGGTTCTTTCATTGTAACATCGCTAAATATTGTAAGCTTGAGCCTGCTATTCCGCTGATCATACAAATTTTTGCATGATCTTGCTCTATATCGCAGTAATAATAAAGATCAATATTATTATTTCGATTTCGGAATCTTTTATGTGTAATCATTAGACGTTTCAAAAATTGCTACTTTCTCTTTTCAAGTGTAAATATAGAATTTGTTTTGATTTTTTTCGAACTTCATCTGTTCAAAATACTTTATAGAGCTTTTAATATTTTATTTTTGTTCCCACAAATGAGAAATTCCATCCACCAAGATCAAAAATACAATAATTTCAAATTTGAATATGCATGACATTTCAAAAGTTACTGATTTCTCTTTACAAATGTAAACACGACGTTTGTTTTGAAACGTCACTAATGTAAAAATTTTATCAAGGTTATGACATTTTATCCTTGTTTCTAATATTGATGAATACTCCACCATGTTCGAAAATATAATAATTTTAAATTTATAATAATCCCATTATCTTGATTCATTTTACGATTTTAATTCAAGTTTCCAAATTTTGATTCCATCCTAGCTTGGAAATCAAGAAGCACAAACCACTCCCAAATTATATTACAAAATGTAAATGAAAGGTGTTTCATCGTCTTCAAGCGTGTGCTAAACTGTGTTTGGTTTGATCTATCATGAAAAGCCCTAATATTTAATTCTTATCATATCGCGATAGACTGATTGTAATTGACCATGATTTTCTCCGAATTTATTTGTTCACCTGTCTGGAACGTATACCCGGAAGTTATCTCTCGTGTGGTTACAGAAACCCAATTTACCCTAAATCTGTCAACGCTGGTAAAGCTTCAATTGATTTTTAAGCATCTTGATTCTCTGACTTTCTTTTCAAAATGTAGATCAAGGTTGGTGATGTATAAAAATAAATTACACTTCAAGGTTTTTGACTTTATGTAGAAAAAATGGAATTGAAGACATTTACATTTCATATTGCAATATTTCGACCTATAAAATTACCAATGCACAACATAATCTTGTTGATTTTTTCAAACATGATTTTCTAATATGTACTAAAATTTGAGATGTGAAACTGATTTCTTCAAAGGGAAAATGATAAACATCATAGTTTTTTTTGCAACCCATGCGACCCACGAGTAATTCTCAGTTTTTACTTTTTCGGTCTTGCCTAGTAGATCCACGTGAAAATTCGTCCTATGTCATTATTTTTTCACCCTTCATTTTTATATCGTGTTTCTAAACGTGATTGCTTGGTATTTGTCTCGGTTGGTTTATTTGTTCCCCTGTCTAGAAGTTTTTGTGTCGTCTTCGACCGTATCGGCCCCAAATTAACTTTTCGTGAGGTCATCGAAGGACAAAAATTTTAATAAAGCTTTTAATTTTCTCTCAAATTACGTGCTGCGTTTTGTGTAAACTGTAAATCTATCATATTTTGTCTCCGTAACGTTAGTCAAAACTCAAACACGTAAAGATAATACAATTTTGGCCGCAAGAAACTTTGAATTTGAGAATACAAATCACGAATTTTTATAATCATATTTGCTGCACTATATCAGGTCTTCATTAAAATTCTACAATGAGCATCCATAAAACTGTAAATATCTTTCACCAAATACGCCTGTCGAAGCAGAAATGACTAATAAATCATATATATATATATATACAGACGCTTAAAATAACATTGCTTTTAGAAGTATTTCAATCACAAAATTTACTTTGATAAAAAAACGTAATATGATGAGGTTCGAATAAGTTTGATTTTGAGTTTAAATTTGGAGGAACTTTGGGTAGCAAAAGCGTCTTTAAATATTATGATATATACATTTGGAATATATTAAAAACTTAAAGAGTGTTGCAGCCCAGACCCGGAATGTGTTTCTCATAAGCTCAAAAAAGATTTAGAATGAGAATTTCAGATTGTCAATCTATGTCTTCAGAATGCAATTTGCTTGCACACTTCTACAGTTAATCGAATTATTCAAAGGTCTGGTAGCTGGCAAGGCATAAAGGCACAAAATACTGAATACGCAATAACAATTTTCTGGTAGATCAAAATGATCCTTCTTTATTAACGTGAGACTCATTGAATCGAATCGAGAAATTCAAAGAATTCTAAAAATAGATCGTTGAGTCACTACTACTACACTAGTCACGGAGCCTACTTTTATAGCCCTCCAACGCGGGCGTTTGTCCCCCTTGACTACGACGTTCGACAATCGTACCAATCCGACTGCATAGTCCTACAAAAGACTCGTTGCATGCTGCAATATTACTAGCGTTAACAAATATTGTTTAAAAATTTAAAAATTGATAGTCTAAGAAGTTTGTGTTGTGTTTGATCGCAATGGGAGCGCACGCTCCTTGATTTATTCCTGGAACATTCCCATACAAGACTTTATACTTTTACCACGAGAAATTCATGCTCATATCCTACTTACGCAAAAATTGTCATAAATTGAAAAGTTGAGTTTTTTGTTCATTCGGTCGTGACAACAATTTTTGGCAAAAATAAGTATAGAGTATTAAGATAATCTCTCCTACACAAAACTCAAATCCTTCAGGTAAATTCACATTCATTCACTAAGGAATTTTTTTTTTGTATTAATACATAGAAACGATGTTCACCATTAACGCAATGCGGAATAATGTAGTAGCCAGTGCCAAATTGCGGTGATTTCTTGCATAGAGTCTTCTTCTGAGCGAAATGCAGATAAAATGACGTAGAAAAATACTCCTAATATCTTATCGGACTGATTATGCTTTCAAAACAAATTTTAATATCTCGTTATTCACCCAGCATATGATTCTGAATCAATTTAGTAGATCAAAACAGTCTATGTAATGTGTTAAAAAAGTATTTTTTTATTTGCATCCATTAGTAATATAACAGTAATATGATTGTATCGTATCGTAGAAGTATTAGTTGTATTTGGCTAAATCACAGACGACAACAGAGTTGTTAAGTTTAACGATTTTGCATAAATATTAGTCTAAGAAGTTAGTATATATTAGCAAAAAGTTGATTAAAATATTCATATTTAAAACTAAAACCCAATGTAACTACAATAATATGGTTACTGTCTTGTTGCATATTTACACCAAAACACAGAGCAAACTTATAAACCAGAAGTCAGAAAACTATATGTACTACTAAGTACTAACATTTCGCTTCGAAATACGACGCACCCGCAACTCCCCTTTCTGGGGTAATTACAACTAACGGTGTAAACTACAATACAAATGCCGTACAGCGGCCATCCCTCCGTGCGCAAATTTTTAGAATTTCATGATTTTGGGCATCAATTCTAATTGAATAATTTTGTTTTTGTGCATTAAAAGTGAGGTTCGCTCTGGGGACACAAAATTGTTCGCGGGCCACATTCGACCCACGGGCCGCAGTTTGCGAACCATAGTATTAAACTGTATAACAAATCAAACATCAACGGTCCCACTAATCGAAAAGTGACGGGTTTCTGCTACGTCTATGTAGTTGGAGTGACTCGTCACTCGTAAGATGTAATTTATCTCAAATATTATTTCAAAACCGGATAAAGGTGTGGAAAATTCCAACAAAAATTAGAAAATACTTGTAGACACATAATACATATTTTATCAAAAAAGAAAAATACAGATAAAAGACAATAATCTAAATAGTTCTTTCTATTTAGTTTAAAGCCAACTAAAATGATTATTCTGTAAAGCAGGATTAATTGAAAAATTACAAAATTATTTAATTCTACGGTTAATTTTATGAAGCTATGAACTTTGCCCAACTTATTGGGCGCTCCAGAAGTATGTGTACCAATATAGAGGTAAATAATTTTTTTCGCCTACTTTACATCAAGTTGTGTAAAGGGACTTGAAGACTATGGGCGTGAGGTATATTCACTTGGCTAACACAGACAGTCCCCGAACTTGTAATAGAACTGAAATGAGGAAAATCTGATAAAATTATGGCCTAACCCTAACCTGGTACACATACGGGAGTGTACCACTTATTATGCATCCATCTTTAATTGAATAGTCCAAATAATAGCAGTTGACAAAGGAACGTGACCATAATTGTACCAAGTGAAAATGAGATGATTTTATAACCAGACGTGGTCGAAGATTGGGAAGTAGTAGTGATGGTAGTTGATGCAGTCGACTCAATCATCAAAGAATCTGCGTTAACGAAGTACATATGTATAGTGAGGAGAAATTACAATGAAAGGAATAAATTGATAAAAGTTTTTGATTTTCACGTCAGAGATATGTCTTTGCATTTTTGCTTTTAGTTATTCAACGGTAATCAATATTAAAAAATGACAAAAGGATTGCAAAATACACACTCGGAGGAATAATTATACCACACAAACAGAAGTCCAAATGCAATCAAAGATAAATTTTTCATTTTTGTAGCAGTAATTAAGAAATTTATTGGTCTCTTTTTTAGGTCAGCTTGTATATGAATAAGAACTGCGCTAAAAATCCAGCCAATTTCATACGTATTTGTTATAGTATATAATCGTACCAATACTGGTTTGACTTTCTGACGCGGTTGTAGAAGATGGAGTTGTAGATGCTGATGGAGAGAAACAAAAAAAGTTACTTCAACTTCAAAAGTTGTTTTTTGATTGGGCAAGCAGTTTTTAAAACCACGGTAGAAATTCAGTTAAAAAGATAAAATGACTGAAAGTTTTATATTTTTAATTTATGAAAATATGAAAGAGCTATTTTGTTCTTTATTTTTGAGCAACGAATGTGCAATTTGAACCAAATGAAAAATTTTGTTTCATTCATCTACATTTTATACAATATACCTCGAAACCAAGGTAAGTCTATTTTTCAAAGGGATATCACGATAATTTTATCAAAATGACGATTCAATAGAGGTTTAACGTGCTTTAATACTCCATAGATAACACATTTTAAGGTCAAACAATAATAAATTGTGACTTATGTTGTAGGCCTATATTTTCACCTAGAATGAAAGCTACGGCTATCTTTACGTGGAAGTCATGCCTAGTGAATTATTTGAAGACAATTAATTACCTTCTGTTGTTTCATTCTCAGCTTCCCGTTCTTGTGTTGTTGCTGTTGTATCTGTAACAAAGATTTAAACAAACTTAGATTATTATCTTTATATTTGTTATTTGTCCAGTGCTGAAATTGAGAAGGTGTTTTTCATTGATGTTGAGAGATGCAATAAAGTTATTCAATTTTGATTGTGATATAAGTGACAATACGGTCCCATAAAAACTTATTGGTATTTGCCATGTTAATATAAACCTTACTCATGTTTGATTGTGGTATAGTTATGTTGTTAAAAATTAATTTAAAAGAAGTTCATAAAACTATAAAACTGGAAACAATTTTATCAACATTTTCTAATATTATTTTTAAATTCAGTTGGAAAACAGTTTTCGTGACCCCTGAACCCTGACCAAATTTCGTTTTCTACCACAGAATGTGTGTTTTGGCTGTACTGCATGCCAAGTAATGGGAGTGCTAAATGAATTAATCTTTAGATCAAACACGGGTACAACATAGCAGCAACACGTTGTCATATATTAGTAAAATAAAAAACTTTCGAAGCTCAAAGCTACCAAATAGTGATGCTATATTTGTGAATTAGATAATCATTGATCAATATATCAAAACATTACCGATGGGCATTTTCATTGAAGTTGTTACTTGCCAGGGTGTTGACAACGGCTCCCCAATTGCTGAAATTTGAAGAGGTTGGCATTTTAAGTTTATTTTCTAGGATCTAATGTAGATAAAACAAGTCAGATCAAGTTAATTTTTTCAACTAGTAAAAATTAATTGCACTCTAACACCAGAAAAAAGTAAACACACAGTTTTACTGAGGAAAGAGGAAGCTGGGACCCAGAGGTGGTTCTAAGATTTATATGGAATATAAAAAGATTGGGCATTTTACTGTTGTATTACTGTTATTTTCGGTGAGTATGGTTTTGGGTGAGCTCTATTCGAATCCTCTAAATATATATATATATACTGATAGATCACACTAAGAATCTAGTACACAATACGTAACTAATTGAGATCGTTTAAATATCCGTACATATGGGGTAGATTCTCGAAATATAAATAACAATCGCAGTTGATTAATATTTATTTCTGATAGCTTACAGTTGACGAAAAACAATACATTAAAAAAATGTATCCTCAGTGTTTGGTACGGATTAACTTGACGACTGCTATGTTGCACGGATAAGAGCAAATGAAACTTCGGTTTATAGTTTAAAACTAATTTTATGAATCAAGCAACACGTATACAGTAGATCTTGGCTATCCACTCATCATTGATAAATTATTAAGATTCAAGATGCTTATTTTAGGCTCGGATTTCACCAATTCGTCTTTATTCGCTAACTCATATGAATATATTACACACAGTCAGCTGATATTGTATTATTGTAAATTAATATAATGTGGTTACAATTGAAAACTAATTACTTCTTTCAATCCAATCTTTGTAAAAAGAAATTTTGGTGTAATAAGTTGGTGCCATAGGATTTCCGCACCCATATTGTGAAGATACGATTCCGTATTGCCTCCATGTACTGTTTCGATAACACACCAGAGGACCCCCAGTATCATGCTGAAGTAGAAATATATTTTAAGAATAATACAAACATTACCACAATAAATAGAACGTGATATATTTCGACAATCCATAACTTCCTATCAATGTTTCATTCCTGTCGCTATACTTAAATTTCGATTGCAGGAGCAATAAATGATACTGCTGTTGTTTGCTGCAGAGTGGTAATTTTTTTAATTAATAAAGTGAAGGTGTCTATATTGAGGGGAGAATTATTTCTTTTTCTTGTAGTTTCACCCTGTCATGAAAAAGTTAACGGGCCACGGAATCCTTGTGCAACGAGGACGGGCCATGACAGAACAAAAGGTTGATAACTACTGCTAGAGCCATGCCTTTTTGAAGGAGTGGAAACCCAATAAATCAATCCGCGGAACCCGAGTTGGAAACCACTGGTTTGGACTGGTTGCATTACGCAAGCGCGTTTTCTAAAACTGCATCTTTATTTTAGAACAGATAGTCGTCACATGGTTATCCAAAATATTTGGCCTGCTATATATTGCTAACGCAATCTAATTGAATGGATTACTTTGAATTTCAGGTCAATTTCTAAAATTTAAAAAAAGGGAATAATTTTGTCATTGTATCGGGTTCTAACCTCCTGTTTTGGATACGTCAAGGATCCACACCTAAAAGGTGAACTGCATACTGTGTAGTTCATTAAAATCAGACATACTTTTCATAATATTGACGAGTTAATTGCAGTGATTTCATCATTCACACTTCTCTAATCTCAGTGTGTATTCATCGCCGTGGCAGGGAAACATCTTATTTAAAATAATGATGCAATGCCTGATGAACCACGAATAGGATACAATATACAATTCAACTGATCTATGTGGGATCTGTTAGATTTGTTTGGAATGGATAGTTTCTGGTAAATTCTAGCAATCAATATTGAATGAGTGATTAAACGGGGCTCCCGAAGTATGCGAACCAAGATTGCGGACATCGGAATGTAATATGTGTGCTAGGTTAGAGTTAGGCCATAATTTTAGGTATAAATACCACTGGAGGCTCTTGGCTAGTCTTCGAACTGATAATAGGACTAAAATAAGGAAAATTGGAAAAAAATTATCGCCTAACCTTAACCTGTTACCCATGTTACGTTCCGATGTCCGCCATCTTGGTTCGCATACTTCGGGAGCACCGATTAAACATATAAGCCATTTCTATTTACCCGACATGCATCGACACCTCCCTGAAAATCTCCAGCACAAAACATCCTTTCCCCGTCGAAAGGAATAAAATGTTCGACCTTTTGACAAGTATCCGGACTTATTATTGGAACTCGATTCTGTCTTAGCTTTGCACTGAATAGTCGATAGACTTCAGCTGTAAAGCAAAATATTTATATTAGAAAAAAAAAAAAATTAAAATAACTTTAGATCCTAGGCTAAACTAAACTATTTTTACCAAAGATTCGTATGCAAAACTTTAGAATTGCTTGGGTCCGGTCTTTCCAGAAATTATATTACGACATCTTCGTTTATCAAGATAGCGCTATTCGCATTGTTTATTATGGCGTTACAATTTTTTCATTAGTCCGGTGCAAACAATAAAAAATTAGGTGCGGCCTGGATCGAAAATTAAATTAAATTAATTAATTTATTTAAATACTCGAAAATTCCGGATTCAAACCGCGATGCGCCAGTTGATATTCCTTGTCTAGAATACGTTATAATTTATTCGAGTCGAAAAGAATCGTATCCAATATTCCTTGTTTCAATTAGATAATCTATCAATGTAGCCAATAACAATGATACTATTTTGTAAATACCGTAAATAGATTAAAAATCCTATTTTAAAATTGACAAATCTTTTTTTTTTCACAGCATTATTCCGATAAGTTTGTAAAAATATTTTGCAGTCGGAGTAAATAAGCCTGATTTTCTGCACATACCTGTCCATCCCCAACCAGTGACGACACATATTTCTCCAGGAACTAAGTCATCAGCCATGCTAAGACATGCAGGTTGAACTTTATCTTCAAATGTTAATTTTGCATCTAATTTCAGTAAAGCTATGTCGTAATCTTCTGTAAAAATCCTGCAAAATCGATAAATTTTTAAACACATCTAGCTGCCACACTTGTACGGCTTTCAACATGGATATTTTCCTTGCAATGTTGGTATTTTCCACTATATATCCATTGATGATGTAATTGGAGTGAATCCCATGTCCGCCATCTCACCCAGGGTGTAATAATTGGGTAGGCAACGACGGAAAGTGAAGATTTTTGATCTTACAAAAATATAGCTCTTCACATTGCGTTAAATATCAGTGTCCACTTGAACAGTGACATATTCGGAGCGAGAAGCGTTGTAAAAAATCTTTCTTTACTTGCTTGTTTGTTATATATATCCAAAACAGGCTACAAGCGTAAAACGATTTGAACAATACACGTAACATCTGAATTATTTTACAAAAACAGGTGATCATTGAAAGCTGTTGAAATCTTGAACTTTTGAGGGGCAATTTCATCCAAGCGGCTAAATTTGAGCTCCGCTTGAGAATGTGATTAACTATGACTTAACAAAATATTTCTCAGACAATGAACGGGACTCTCTGAGGGCTTCATATCAGCTTCCTGGGGCTCATGGGCGAAGACATTCACTATATACCTTTCGCCATGAAATATGACATATAATGTCAATTAATTTGTTTCATTTTTTTATTGTAAATATTTTGCTACGTTTGTTTACTTTTTAAAATTAAAAGTGGCGAATAAATGAACGGATGGAAATTCGTGTAGTACGTTTTTATTGCGGATCAGGTGGCCACGGAGTGTTGAAGAAAAGGGCACTGATGAAGTGACTGAACATGAAAGTTTGAGAAATATTGGACAGTCATAAAGACATTCATGAATGAAATGGTTGGATTAATTGAAACTGCAATCTTACTACGAACAATTTGACAGAAGAAAAAATTATTGAAATAACTTTACAATCTGTCATATATACTTACTCATCATAGTAATATATTTCTGCAATGGTGTATTGCTTCAATGTGTCAATATCATCTATGTCATATTGACCTACGGCAACGACGACTTCATAACTGTAATTTAGTTTATAAATTATTAAATTTAATGTCCTTCTATATGTAAACATATTCCACATTGATAACAGTATAAAAATTGCTCTATTAATGTTTTTGTTCGTAGCTCATCATTTCTCAGGATTACTTGCTGTCGATACACATGTTTTTAGTTTTTTCTTCATGTGTACGAGAGTAAGTTATTTCAATCATTTGCTTATTCGTATTTTAAACTATCTAATCATTTGCAGACAATAAATAATTGCTACTTTATCATTTCCTTTACTTATTTTCTAAATAATGAACCAAACTCGAACCTAATGTTTATATATCTGCTTTTATTGCATTGTCACCAACGTTGCAAATATTCTGTTTGTAATCTCTAATTTCTGATATTTGTAACCAATCTAATAAACCATCTTTCATGGCACGTGATCCACACTTCTGACAACAAATACATCAAGTTGAAATATATATTTTCCAAACCAAACCAATTTGTACTTCTATTTATTTAAAGCTAACTTACATATAAACATTAAGAAAGCATTCGGCGGCTGTCAAGATCCAAATTTCATTTACAATGGATGCACCGCAGACTACATCGCCATCGTCATCCAAAATTAAGGCTTGCCATGGCCATGAACCATCAACTGCTACCATTCCACCAACAATTCTTGCGGGCTGCATTCACAATAGATAAATATTGGAGAGAAACATGTATTTTCTCGTTTTACGTTAAAATGTCTTCAGCACTATCAGTATCTATTCCAAATGACGTAGCTTCTAACTATGCTATTATTTGTAAATGTATTCATTTTCAAGCAAGTTTATAGAAAGAACGACTAAAATACAAGAATATCATTAATTCTTACCCATAAAAAATCTGGCAAAATTTTTTGCTGTCCGCACCCGGCATTCGGAATAGCTGAAAATTATTATTTATTTCAGTTATAGGAAACTAATTTGCATATTGTGATTGATAACATAGTGTTTTATTATTCAAATTATATTTAATTGGTAAGTTGCTAGAAATGCTTCATTCTCAAATGAAAAAATCAAATAGATAAATTTGTATTTGAAATATGTTCGTAAAAAGCCTAGTTTATTTCAACAAACATGCCTAAAAAGTTTTGTTTGTGAGAGTGGTGTAACAAAGTAGAGTAGCAGAATGAACTACTGAACTGCTTCAAATTGTAGAAAACTGGTGACTGGGAAGTGACCAGAAACCACAATGAGCGATTATTTCATCACAATATAATGTTGTAACTAAGCGACTAAACCAGGGTGAAATCACAGGATGAAATCTCTCGCTCAAATCTCATGTCTCCCACACCACACCACACCGAGTGTTTAATAAACTGGAAAGGCAATGCCAAAGCCAAAAGGTTCTGGTCTTTTCAAGCTATACCTAGTATAGTATCTTACCCAGCAGTGGCTGCTTGTACAGGGCGTACGTTGTATAAAAAGTGGGTAATTAATATAATAAAAACCAAAAGAGTGACATCGATTCAATTACTTCACCATCGCATAATTTTGCATACTTTGAAATAAAACATATATAAAAAATATTTCTTTACCACATACGATCTCATCGCTTTTATCTGAACAATGATAAACTTGATCGCAATGTAAATTTTCTTCGATACACGAACCATCCCAACACCTAAATTCATCCTCATTACAGTCGTCTGTAATCAACCAATAAAAAATTAACGAGAATATCGGTCAGAGACCGAAGACTTATCGATCGAAAGTTAGGGGGTCCCCCAAAACAGCGCTCTTACTCCATAGTGACACCTTGTGTCCCATCACTAATTAATTAATAACTCGCTAATTATACGACATAATTTGCCCAAAATCAATAGGCTACTGGTTCGAGATAAGATGAATGCACATGCAAAATCTGGAGCAGATTCAATCTCGCTTTCGTGAGATATCGCGTGCATCTAACAGACAAACAGACAGACATACAGACAGACAAATACCTATCAACATACTTACCGAATAAAATCGATAAATAATAAGGCAATATTCAGCTATGAGCATGAAACTAAACGATTGTCTCAGTCGCGCACCACATGCATACGCTGTATACGCTATAACAGGGATGGGCTAGGTTTTTGGCCCAGGAGGCAAAAATTTTGCCAACCTATGTTGGCGGGTCGTGTGAGTCTGACGTAAAAAGTTATGTTTTTTGAACAGAATGCGTAAAAGAATGGTAAGAATGCGTAAGCAATGAACATAAAGAACGTTAAATGGGCGTAATGGGGACGTTAACAAAATTCGTCGGCACTAAATTGAAACTCGACCGTAATTGTAATCTTTCATTCAACAAATCATCTTGTTGCTATTCCATTTGATAATATATTTAAATATATCCCTAACAACAAAAGAGCTCTTTCAATAGCTCACCAAACTGTTTAATTGTTTTCTCAACTGATGCAAAGCACAATTATCTGAAAAGAACTTACCAACTGCTTCCCACTCAATGATGAAACCTTTTAAATCCACAGAGTCATCACTAACAAAACTAATAAATACTTCATTGGAGCTTGATTCAAATCCTTTAACTACTATGTCTTCGCCGCAAAACGATTTATCGCTTATCTGTTAAGAATAAAAATGATTTGAATGACAAGGTAAACAAAGAATGTATGAAAAGAATAAATTATATAGCAAAATTAAAAAGTAAAGATAATGAATTCAAGTAATTTTCTTCTGAAGTTACCTAAGGTACAATTTAATAACTTTAAAAATAAATTTTCATTGATCGATCTATATTGTCGAAAACCAGAAGGAATGCTTTTTTACAATTGTACATTTTTCAAGTATCCAACTGAAAATTGCTGATGTTGAAACCCAAATTATAAACAAATTACCTGTCGTGCTTCGGACGAGTTTCCATCATAAATATCCAAATAGTCATAGTTACCAAACGGAGAGCAATCTTCGATGTCAAAGAGCTTAAATCGTATGACAATCAGCTGAACATTAAGCAACGTCGGTAAGTAAGAACAGTAAGTAAGTAAGAACATGAGCGCAAGCACGGTCACTGATCCGACCATCCTGGAGTAGAGTAAAAGGTAAAAGGCGACACCTCGCACACGGAGGGCTATGTTAGATTGGGCATTTTCGAATATCTGGTGATTTCAAAATCGAAAAGACTATTTGTTCGAATCGAATTTTGAATACTTGGAAGGTATGTAATTGTATGTGACTTTTCATTGTAATGGTTCCTCCAGGCACAAAAAATATTGAAAACATAGAATCCATCACTCGCTGAATTGTGACACAAAATAAGAAACATGTTTTATTAATAACTCACGGCGATGGAAAGAGTCATATGTCAGAATTGCATTATAAAAATATGGCTTCAATGAAAAACCATAGTGCCTTGAAAGTTATTAGAATATGGATATTCAAGTAACATATCGACTATAGAAAGGCGACTCAAAATTATGTATACACACTGCACTACGTTACTTGATAAAAAATATATATATATATATACTAGAATTTTCTGCCATGGTATGTTAAATTACTACCCTGACTGAATATACTAAATGCGTTCAATCAGGATTCATTCTAATTTAACTACTGGGTTTGGCAAACGACGAGATAATTCAAAATTGAAAGCAGACCAAGGCCTCTAATCGGGCCAACAGTGAAGTTTCGGTATGAGAATAGTAAGTAATTCAATCATCCATTTCATATACATGGATGTGGCAAAAGTTTAAATATTCGTGTGATGTATACCTTGTTAGCAGGGGCCCTTAAAAGCCACGAGCATTGGGAATTCGAGAAATATTTTCCAAATAGTTGAGGTATAGTAACAGTTCCTTTTGTACCTTCACGTATTTCGTATTCGCTGCAAACTGAAAAAATGTAAAGTGAAAATACATTTCGTAAAGATGCATTAGCTGGAGTCTCATTCATCAAATATGAAGAAACGATCCCAAGAATACAGATGAATCACAAAAATAATTTGAAGGCGTCGGTAATTCTTATTGGTATTGTCCATATTTTGAATCAAGATAAAAGTAATTATTGTCTGCAATGGTAGTTAGTTTTTGACACATTGGGAATGGTCCAGTTTTGGTCTTCTAAATTAGGCTACTATTTGAGAATGGGTTGTATGAAATAGGCTAATACTCACCAATTCACACTGGTGTTTGTTAATAAAGAAAAAATACACTGTAAGTAGCTTATGCGATGTTTTAGCGGCTCACTTTTTGTATTTACTTTATGAAACATATACTTATTCGTTACATTCAATAATAGATCATTTACTAACAATATATATCTAATTGCAGACTCTTTGAAGAAAAGTTTAATAATCACATATCAGTTTCAATATTCTATCTCTTAATATTGCAAGAAATGATACAGTTGATCTAAGACTTTTCATTGTTACGGCACCTCTACGTGCCTTTTATTTTCAAAAAATCTTTGTACAATCCGTCCTGATATGAAAGGAGTTACAAAATGGTGGGGAAACAACACTTTTTGCAACATCACAACAAATCATACAATATTATAATAATAATAATAAATCATCTTACCTTCCATATTAAAAACTGAAATTAAATGAAGAAAATAAAACATGTTAAAGATATCCGATCAAACAAGCACAATTTAAAAAATGAGCAATTTTTTGCTTCTCATTGTTTGTTTCATGGCACAAGGCACAAGCTAAGAAACAGGTCGTAATTGATAGTTTAATTTAATCATTATGGAAATGTGTACAATTGCAACAATTTCCCTTATCTCATTTTGGGTTTGAAATTTTTTACACAAATCTGAATTCTTTCATACAATATAAAATTAAGTCACGAAAATTGAGTCATTTTGATGGAATTAGCAAAAATATGTAGTCCCTGACATTCGCACAACATATAGCGATGATCAGAGAATGCCCAGCGAGAAATGTAAGTGGCGCAATTGAAGTTTTTAGGAGTGGCGTTGTCTATAGTTGTAAAGTGAGCATTGTGACTTGGAATTGGAGAGAAAATAATTTTTTGTGGTTTCGATTTTCCTCTTTCTTAAGATCATAAGTGGAAATAAACGAAAATTATTTAATTTTATTAGATCTCATTCATCGACGTTAATTTGATTCAGGTTAAAAAGTTTAAACGCTACTGTATATAATATTTATAAAATACCTTGATCTATTAAATCTAAATACTCGGATACTCTTTCGTAGAAGCCCCTTGTATTAGTAGCAGTACACGAAAAACCCCAAGAGGTAATGCCGTATAGTACCCAAGCACCATCAACGAGACAAGAAAGTGGACCGCCTGAGTCCCCCTAGAATAAAAAGTAAATATGAAGATAATCAAATCAACAACACAGTAAAATTAGTGGAGGCATTTTCGTGTTGTGCATTTTTCATGTATATGACCTAATATGCACCATACAATTGAAAAGCTACAAAATATAAATATGTATATAAATACTGAATATTTACAGTATTCTGAAATAAAATGGGAGATACACCGCAGGTTAATATTAAAACAATATCAAACAATTACAAATGACTTAAAAAATTATAAAAGTATTAAACGAACGAGTACTTTAGCTCAGTCATAAACGACATGGGTCAAAATCGGGTCTTGATCATCTCGCTCACTCAAAAGCTATAATTATATCAAGGTATACTTCTTACTCTGCTGCAATACAAGTTCTAATATATTGGAAGTGTCATAAAAGTGGAGCAAACAAAGGAAGGAGAATAGAAAAACAAAAGAATTACTCACAGAACAGGTATCCACCCTTCCACTTTCGTGACCAGCACATATGTACGTGTCCAAAGGTTGATCAGCTGAGACTCCCAAATAAAAGTCCGTGATGCAGTAGCTGTCATTCAATATTGTAACCAGGGTTTGCTGCATTGTATCAGGCGTGGGTTGGCCTCTAATACCGTCTGAAAACACAGATAAATAATGAGAATAATGGATTTTAACACATGATAACATCGGATAATTACAAAAGATTTGTTATTTTCAATACAAATTTGTATACTCCATGTACATTTCATGACGGTGCGTCAGGTGGGATTAAAATCGGTTTGCGTCAGCTTTTGCGCATAGGATTCGAAAAATAGGTTTACAATCTCGTCTTCAGCTGTATCTCTGATATTTATAACTTTCAGCAGCTCATTTGATGGATGTAATACCAATATTGCAAAGAAACATACTCAAAAATATGAATATACTTACTTGTTAGTCCCCATCCGGTCACAACACAAACTGATCCAATCGCAGGAATATTTGTATCATTGGACGAAGGTAGGCATATCGGTTTGTGCCATTTCGAGGTTGTATCCACCTTTTCCTCGAGTCGAACAAAGCCTATATCGTGAACTTCACCACTAAATGAGTATAAAATAAAAAGTGCATCGATTACTATAAGATTAAAACAGTATAACTTGTTATCACCAATTATTCAATCAATTATTTTTTATAGACTCAAACATGATTTAATACGCATTACCATAATGCAATATGACATCATGACGTAGGATTAAAAAAAAATGATAATAGTAGCGACTGGTATTTCCTATATATTAAACAATAAATTCATATATAACTTCTCGCCAATCAAGTGCTGATCCGACAGCAGTATAGTATGCAGAAACGTGCGTAGTAAGATATTACATATAACAGAAGTACATGTGATTATTCTACGCGCGTTACGTCATTGAGGAATGAAATGGTATATATGTGTGATTTTTTTTAAACTAACCTGATTTGATTATGATTTTAAGAAAGTAGAAACATCTACTTGTTAGAATTCATGTTGTACGAATGACCCTTGTTATGTGACTTTTTCACATGTCTCCCATTTTGACCAAGGCTCCACAAAAGCATTACTGATATGATATGTAATGAGATGCTATATATTAACACGACCACAATGTTTTCGGTACGCTGTTGTCTACCCAATGTATTATACCCTAAGCAAGATGATGGACATGGGATTCAAACCGAATATTTTTAATATGTGATGATGAAACGTTATTAAATTCAATACTCAAAGCTACCGGTTCTCATCTTTGATAAAAATATTGGGATTGTTTAATCCAAAATGAAAAATCACCGTAGGAAAGGGATTCCGTAATTGTAGATAAAAATGACATATTGACACCAAGTTTACTGTTCCAGGTATCCAGTAAAAGCCAACCTACCGACTAGGGGTGAAACCTTTTTACCTCTTCTCGATCAGTTTAAAAATGTGTCGCTATAAAGTCTACATATATTTATGTATGTTGTATTCGTGTTCTCCTTGATTTCTTATATTTGCGCATATGTCAATTTGACAACTTTAGAGTTTTCTGACCCAATATTACACCAATATAACTTACTAATCAGGATGTGGAATAACAAAACTGGCGTTTATTCGCCGTTCGTCTGGATTAAATTCTGCTAGGTTGTGTCCTCCGATCGCAATTTGATATTTACTTGATCTAAATTATAAAGATATCAGAAACATAAGAACAACACAATTTATTACGCGAAATAGCAAGTATTTTATTAGGCTTTCGTTTGATCACATCAGGTTAACTTCCTCAGACTAAACAGGATATAACTCATAATTACAGCGAACCTGTAGAGTTGTTGTAATAAAAAAAATTGTAGTTGTTATGAATGAACTATAACAACCACAAAAAAGGCAACAAAAATGATCTAATGAACTCGATTATTTTTTATTATTTAATGTCATTATGTTCCAATTTGCAAGTGTTCGGTTATGCCAAAATTGCATTGCTGTAAAACGTAATAATCTTCTATAGTTAGATTAAATATTTTGAATCGAGCCAGAAGGCTTAAATGTAGTCTATATCCAATATATCTGAAGTCAAAATACTTAAATGTCAATTTTTTGGGGGGTGTGACCGAATGTTTTTTGTTTTAATATTGATACTGAAATAATCTTAAATGGAGACAAAACAAAATATCTGATTGCAAAATCAATAATTTCCAAAACTATTTTCATATTTGACCTAAACAGTCAATTGTATTTACCGTATTTACAAAATCACTTTACTACTTACATATCCAAGCAATGCGCAGCAGTTATAACCCAATATTCAGAAATCAAAGATCCCCCACATACAAACTCGTAGACACCCGGGCTATCCTCTACAAATAATGCCACCTGCCACGGATGAGAACCTTTTATCGTATTATGGCCACCAATAATAACTGGACTCTGAAAACATAAAAACGATATTTCCAGATATTTAAGCCCTTCTCAACTTCTTGCACTTTTTAAAAGCACTTTGTTTTACCCACTATGTCAAATTTTGTTATACGTTTGACTTACGACTGATGCGTTTACTAAAACCCCTTTCCGATAGACCTCTGGTAGATGAGGGTTTGAATCTCACGAGGCAAATAATAACAAATGACTTTTCTGGTCAATTTACATAGCCGTTTAATCATGCCCCTTCTCTTTGCCACGTCCATGGATTAGAAATAAATCAACTGGTGGATTAATAACGCAGTTGATTTAGACGAGAACCGTGTGAATGGGTATCCCTTAATATCAAATTGTGACAGAAATGAAAATATATTTTCATCCCACATACATAACAGTTGTTAAAAATATGCAATCATTAGACATTAATAAACAAGTGAAAAATCTACCCATGAATAAATGGGAGACACTTCTGGTTTGCCGCATTCTGTGTTCATCGGACTCGCTGAAACAAGGAATAAAATAAGTTTTTTTAGAAATGTTAAAAAATTTCTTGTTCATATTTTTTTACAAAAAATACCAACATTTTATTGCAATTGAGGATTTTATTTTCTATTGGCCAGAAAATTATTATTATACATACGAAATTTTTTGCTTAAGATCAAAAAATGAAGGTAACGTCAGATATCAAATATTTCTATGATATTAAGTCATAGCATGTCATATTTTATTATATTAATGTATATATTTTACTTCTTCAAATGAGGTCAATTTGAAAATAATCATATTTTTCTCTAAATTATATATACAGGTGTGCCTGTATACTATTTGAAAATGCTTTATTCGTCTTACCACATTCAAACTCGTCTTCGTGTCCAGGACAATCATAATTCCCATCGCATGTTCTGTTCATTGGAATGCACGATTTATCGCGACATCTATATTCGTTCGGATTGCAGTCAGCTGTGTATCATTAATACAATGTTATTCAAACATTATGTTATGTAGATTAGTTTTTTGCGCGTGAGACCAATTTTGGAATGGTTGGATGCTACATAAATGAGCCTTATTTATGTATTCATGTAAAATTCTGATACATACTATACATCTAATAAAAATTATGCAATTTTGAATACGTCCTGTCGGTCGCTTACAATCAAGCAGAAAGATCTGTCTTGGCAGCATATATTCCAAATATCCTGACTGGCTCATAAAAACATCCAAAGGAAGTAGTGAGTACCAAAAACTAAATCAAATAACTCTGTGTCAAAGGCAAATAATGGAAAAAATTGGGTTGTTCCTAGATTTGTGTGACCTAGATAAAAAGGGAGAAAGATTTTACGATATCACCATTAACGGCAAAACCGAACTACTATTTCCCTTTGTTTAGCTTTTTCAGATTTTTAAGGTTTACAAATGGCCGAGAATTAGTAAAAATAAGTAAGAATACCTTCTCGATAGACCATGTGTAACCTTGTTTTGTTCCCCAATTTTCAATTCAAAAATTATAGAAAAGTTGCTTAGTTTACAGGTTAAATCTGTTGACAATTAAATGATATAGCACATTGATTAATTAACAGCAAAACAATACCGCTGGTAGTCCAGTTAAATGAGAATCCCTTGCTGGAAAACGAACTGTCCGACCAAAATTCAACGACGAGGTGATTGGTTTTGGTCTCAAAATTCGGAGGTGCTTTTATTCCACATAGTTTTTTGTGATTATACTGAAATGTAGAAAATATTATTTTGACGATGTGAAAATATATAATACATAAACCTTAGGGTCTCTCGCTACTCATATTCATAGCAGTTTTCGGTTTTATTTTTTATTTTTTTTCTTCATTCGCTGAAGCATCGGCTCCATTGGAAGGGATGTGGAAATACAAGTCGTTTTTCTGAAGGGTTATCATTCATGTTTTCTCCTCAACTATGATGGACTTATTACTCTCCCATGGCTGCTACTTGTAAGTAGGGATGTAAGTTTCAAATATTTTTTTTCGAATCGATTTTCGAATCACAATGATACCGATTCGAATATTTCCGAATCTGATTCTATTCAGTATATCATCATATTATCGTTGACTAATCGTTTTTTTTTAATTTGGAGGAAATATAGTATAAATTTTGATAAAATAACAGTAATGAACCCAAAGAAGGAATAAAGTTACTAGAAAAACACTTCTCACGGATTTATGGACTACCAAATATATTCCACATGAGATTTATTTTTTGTTAGGGGTTACATATTTATTTATATACACTACCGGTTGTCTAGTATCTAGTGATTGTTTTTTCTAAAATTGATCTTCAAAATACACTCAAATGATACCGTTTGCGCCATGATTTTATAAGAAGCAATGGTAACGTGGGAAGCATCGCAGGCTGGTTTTTAATATATAAAGCAATGATGTTTTATTATAATAATATTAATTATATTATAATTTAAAGAAACCTTTATATATTGAAATATTTGTTGAACTTCGTAACATTTTAATTAATAAAAAAATGACCATTGGCCTCTCTAAAGCTGCTACCAATTTAAAAATTTACCAAATCTGGGAGTGTTAGACTTTGGAAAGCTGTAAACACAAGGAAAATAAACGCTTTTGGTCGATATCGAGACTGCGCCGCTGCGTCGTGCAATTGCCCCGTGTTATCCATGCAATTCATTTTTAAATAGAATCAAGCTTCTTTTTCCTGAATTGCTTCGAATCGATTCGAATTGATGTTGATTCGAATGGCTTCAATTCGAAATTCTGAAACTTACATCCCTACTTGTGAGGTTCTCTCTCATTTTGTGAGTGAGTGAATAATTTGAATATTTCAACGAATTGGAAGTTGGGCTGGGCATTTCGAATCGAAAATTCGAATCGAATCGAATAGTAAATTATACGAATAGGTTTAAGGCAAAATTTCCAGGCTTGTCCATGGGACATATTTTTCTGTCCCGTCCCATAGGAATTTACGCCTATCCCCTTCCCATGGAATTCCCATTGGAATAAAATTCAACAAAAATTGCTAAATTTGTGTTTATCGTCTACTAAATAGGATACGTGTGCGAATAGACATGCAAAATAACAAAATTTACGGACTTTGTTAACTTTATATTCATATCTTTTATACCTTTGTTCATCGCCTCCTACACGAAGTATATTGTCAATGCTGAATATATTTTGGCTTTTATAACTAACAAGAAAGCTATGCTCAAATATATGGACACAAAATCCATAACGAAATGTTTTACCATCATTTCCCGGAAAATTATACGGTCTTCGTCCCACGTGTCTCATGGGAAATACAAATGTGGGCTGTCCCATCCCATCTTTTAGGACGTTTCCTATGGGAATCTCATTCCCATGGACAAGCCTGAAAATTTCAAATTGTCGCCATCTTAGTTTTTTCTTTCCGCCAATGGTCGAGCTGAATTCTCCAATTTTTTTTTTCGCGATGCCATATTTTTCAACTCAATTCTGGCATATGACTATATTCTGTAGTGCGTTATTAATAAAAACGTGTTTTTTATTGTGTGTGACACTCAGCAATCTACCTGAGTGGTGTATTCTATGTTTTCAGTACACCATGTGTTGACAGAACCAATTACAATAAAAAAGTCGCATACAATTATATATTTCTCATTTACTCTCAAGTATTCGAAATTCGATTCGAAAAAAAAATTCGATTCAATTCTGAAATCATCAAGTATTCGAAAATGACCTGCCCAAAGACAGAGTAAAAAGTCTGAAAATCTGATATTTTAAAATATGTGGATTTAGCCTCTTTACAACTGTGTTATACAATTACTATATAATAATGCATGAGTAAGCAGCCTTACCTTCATCGCTCCAGTATTACTTCCATCCCACATAAGCAGGTAATCGAACGAACATGGTGCTTTATCATGGTTAACTACATTTTCTATAGTAAAGATGTCGTCAAATTTAACGGTAATCCTCTGTACAAAATAAATGTTTAATTCAGAAAAACAGTAATTCTTGAGATATGGGTTCTATTTATAAATTTTCCTTTTTAACATTTCGAATACAAACTCTTCCAAATTCAGATACATACCGTGTTTGGTGAAGACTCGATGTACCATCGTATATGTGTATTGAGTGGATATCTATCTCCGTGGTTTGGGGAAGATACCGTGCCATTCTCGCCGTTTATAACAAAACTTGCTGTGGAGAGAGTAATGTAAATTTAATAATAACTTGGAATGAAAATATCGCGCGATATTCATGTTTGTTATACTGAAAACTAAGAGTCAGAAAAAGCATGCTAAAATATTGACGAGTCTTTAAAACGGTTACACGACAGCGGAACACAATGCAAACCTTCTATCACAAATTTCAAAATTATAGTTTGAATTTTTTACTTTAAAATGATGCTTATAAAATTCATTTCTTGTTTTGTTGTTGTTGAAACGCGAGATTACTGGGCATACCTGGTTGGAATGCTTGACGTATTTATATTTATTTTCAAATTAACGTATATATGATACTGTATATACACAGTTCGACTTTTTTTTTGTTATTATTTCCTTGTTAGACTTGCTTATGGGTGCCGCTGCTCGATAACCAAATTTGGTTTCTCGCGGCTCCCCTCACCCTGAAATGCCTTTTTATTTATTTATTGCAATTTGTATATCAAGTGTGCATTTAGTATGGTGAGAAAATAAACTACTGATTACTGATTACATTTGAAAACGATAAAGACAACAAGTTTTTTTAGTTCACTTTACGTTCTCATAAAAAGTTATCGGCTTTAATGGCATTAAGGGTGTGGCTAAACATCACATGGAAAGATTATTTGTAACAAATACAATTGTAATTGCCTGACATTATTATTCACTGTGTATGTTTATTACATTTTTGGTCTTATCCATGCATACTCTGTTTAAATAGATGTGCCTCACGATACTCTTACTATTAAATAAAATTTTACTCACTCATTGGCATTTCCGATAAGCTATTTTCACGATCTAGAGAATAAAATGAGAAATAGTGGTTATAAAATAATAAAAAGGGAATATTTCAATTTGTGCTATCGATTGGGTTTCTACGAGACTAACTATTTCTCAGTCTTCTATGCTTTTTCGCCGGTAGATCCGTATGCATATAATGCAAGAATGTTGTAGCAAGGGTTGAGATAACTATCGTGCTGCACACTAATGCAAATATATTTCTGTAACGTTTCGTCTGACCAATGTTCCTCAGACATACAAGTCTGACCTTGGTCAGACGAAACCTTACAGAAATATATTCGTGTTAGTGTGCAGCAAGACCCTTGAATAACTAATGATATTTTAATTTGTTCAGAATTCATTGTACTTGCAATAACCTATGAAAATCGAATGACATTTTGGCATAGCTCAGTCGTGTTGAAGTTTTGTTTATTGTCCCTGTTTAAATTGTAGCATATTGCCAAGTTGTGCTGCTGTTCTCAATGAAAGGAGTTCAGATATATACGGCTTTCTATCCTAAGCAAATAGCAATTTAGTATCAAAACAGTGGTAATGTTCACAACATTGCAAAAAAAAATTTAATGGTAGCGCGATATGCCAAAAACAAAAACATAAAATTACTAACGTTTTTGTAAACTTGTATATAAAAAGTGAAACATATAAAATGGTAGATAAATTGAAACAGTGTACTTACAGTAATTTATAAATGTTAGATAGGCTGAAACGTTAGTAAAGCCTGCTGGTCTATCTGGAACAAGTCCACACGCTGTTGAAAATGAAGATATGCCGATAAGCTCCCATTTGTCCCCATTTAAGAAAACTATAGGCCCTCCGGAGTCTCCCTATTTAAACAGAGGAAACCAATTAAACTAAGCTATATTTAGCGATAATATATTTGTCTGTTTATAGAATATGAAGTTAGAAGGTGATATTTTTATTTCTAATCAGTTAATTGTGGAAGTATTATGCAATTATTAAGGCTATTCAGTGAAGCCGTTTTTATTCTGAATACAGTATCCTTGCTGTTAGTGAATACGGATCCACTATCACAAATGCAGAGAGAAAGGAGTTTGGTACACTGTGCACCATTCACGTGAGGATGTACATATACAGTATTAGATATTTAGGGAGCTTACCACTTTTACTTATCCCGGAACAATTCAATTGTGTTTGAAGGAGGCGTGTGAAAGGCTTCATAGTAATACATGTACAACTGGTAAAGAGCAAACGTCATAGCTAACTATATATAGGGTGACCCAAAAAACGGAACACATAAATTTCTTAATTACTCCTACGAAAATGAAAAAATAATACTTATTTAATTTTGTTTGCACGTGAACTTGCGTTCGTGTATGGCAGGGGTCACCAAACTGCGGCGTAATTTTATCCGGCCCGCAATAACACGCAAAAATGGCGAAATTTTTTTCCAAGGAAAATTTTCCCGAGCATTGTCTTCCTTATTTATTTGATAATAAGGGCCAATCAGCATAATGCAAATAAGTCAATCATCATTTGCCTCCTTAAGAGTTGTAGTTTTAATAGTGGTAATGAAATATTAGTCTAGAAATAGCTGTGACAAAATAGAATAAAATTATCTATAAAATTATCGGTGAGAAACGTTTTTCGCGAAAGATGCACTCGTATACTTGTGGCGCGTGCTTTCGACAAAACTGTTTAGTTTCTTGTGCTGAAATGAACGTCGAATGTGCATGTTGCGCTAACAGTACTGTGATCCCTCGCGTACTGCTGCAATTTCACGAGTCCCACTAAATTTTGTACTGCCTAAATGCGGATATTCATGTGGGTATGTTACAAACAAATTAAAGTTCATCCGATTTAAATAAAAACTGCGCCAGTGGATAGATCTGAGTGAAAATAAGATGACAAGTTTATAAAAAACGGTCTGGAAACTACGAAGATATCGGAATTTTAGTACCGCCCGACATGCCAATTTTTCCATAAGGATAGTATTACTTTTTAGATAATAACTGTAATAAATATGAAAAAAACACATATCAAACTCTAACCTTTCGATCTGCGTCACATCTATGGAATGGGGAGACTATTTCAGGATTTCATCATCGCAAATAAACGCTGGAGTTGTGCATGTTAGTTTGACAGTGGTTCATTGTGGGTAATAATTAAAGATGTTCTGATAGAACAAACTTCATAAAAATTGGTAAGTATCAAGTTAGGAAGGAAATACACACGTTCACATAAATTTTATTGGTGTCCATGGACAATATCAAAATTTGCACTACGTATAACTTGAAATTTATGCGCTAATGAAAAAAATCAAATACCAGATAATAGTTGTTTATTTTATCTAAATTATGTCAAAATTTCATGGAATTCCAAGGTACCGCAGGCAGTCCGTAGTCGTTTATATGAGAGGTATTACAACGCGGCGTAACGATACATAGCAGACGTGATGCGTACATATTTTTGGCGCAAAAAAGTGGATTTTTTAACATTCCTAATTCATGACAGCAACGTTTTGCTAACATCTAAACTCAGGATAGTTGAATAGATATAGAAATTAAATTTTGTATATTTGTTTTACTGGGATGTTCTCGATCTATTAAACCTTTATAAAGGTTTTTCCAGTTTCCCCGATTTTCCCAATCTTCTGTGTGTTCATTGTTTATGTTTTGTGTGTGATTTTTTTGCGGGAAAATCAAAATATACTTATTATACTTATATATTCTGTCTTCAGAAATGTAGATTGTATTTATTGTTGAATAAATTGAATGGATTTCCAAACTTTTGTGAATTTATTGTATTGCATTGACAAAAATATTTGTCCGACCCGTTTCAACACAGTTTGAGTCAAATCCGGCCCGCGGTCAAAAAAGTTTGGTGACCCCTGGTGTATGGTTATACGAAAAGGTTTCAGAAATCTAGGACGCTTCAAAACGTGGGTAAGTATGTTGATAGATATGTGTCTGTTTGTTCGTTTGTCTGTATGTCTGTTTGTTAGATACACGCGATATCTCACGAAAGTTGAATCTGCTCCAAATTTTGCATGTGCATTCATCATATCTCGAACCAGAAGCCTATTGATTTTGGATGATTATGTCGTATAATTAGCGAGTTATTAATTAATTAGTGATGGGACACGCGGTGTCGCTATTGAGTCAGAGCGAAAGATACCCGCCGCTAGATCGATGAGTCGGCGATCTCTGATCGCTATCTTGTTTGCTTCTCACTAGCGATTTCTTCAAAAAGAATTTTTTGAAACAATAATTTCAAATCAAGTTTTTTTACCCGTTTTGTTTGAATGCTGTCTTGTGTGTTTCCTTTATACTAAATACGTTTTAAAGTCGAAAATCACGCCGCTTGGGAATCAGGTGGGTCACAACCCCAACACGCAGTGGTGTGATTGACACGAGCATTGCGCAACAGCTTGAGATGGGTCTACTGGCGAGGCAAGAAAAACGGTGAGGTTTTGAGTTTTTACATCCATTTTATTCAAACTTACAGAGGAGCAAGTGTGGATTACCACCGAGCCAAGTGTATTGTCCGTTATTGTATTAACGCACTGGTTTTACCAGATTTAGTCGGTGAGCGGGCCCCCGGTTCACCTACTTTTAGATTGTGTTTAACAGGCCCGTGGTGTTGGTACTATCTTGGTGATAAAGCGACGCGATAAGAGTGGAAGTCGAAGCAAAATTTCATTTTTCCGTTTTCTCATATAGTCTTTGATAAAAATATATCGCTATAGTTTGTGATCTATAGTAATTTATACTGCAATCACCCAGGAAAAAGGAATAAATTTGGATATTTGTAAACTAGCTTACCGAACAAACGCTCACTCCCCCGGTTGCAAATCCGGCACATAGCACATTATCAATTTCGAACAATTCGGAATCAAGGAGTCTTTTTTTGCATGATTCTTGAGAAACAAGTGGTATTCGAGCTTGCTGTAAACTTTCCTTGCGAGGTCCACCGTAATAATCTAAACAAAAGTAATTAATTATTCACTGCAAAATTGCTGATTTCTCCGTGTGATCAGCTTTCTGGAACTTCCAAGTTATTCTATGAACTATGAATTGCGGTTGCTAGGCACGGTAATTGTTTAGATATAAATTTTATTTTATTTTATGAACCATGGATGTGCTATTGTTATGGGGTGTTCTTTATGAATTATTATAATCAATATACGAGATCTGGAATAAAAGGCGCAGTTCTCCCTCTAATGGTGACAACAAACCAGTTGTTTCACGATAATAAATTAGCATATGCTGGCGATGCTTGGTTATACCGATAAAATGTGATATCATAATTCTCCAGTTGGTTGATTGTAATCACCTGTTGATCCCCACCCTGTTATGACCGTCCAAGTTCCGGGATTCGGATTCAAGGTAGGAAGACAAACAGGTTCTACCCAGGCTGTGTATGTTACCGGTGAAGAGAATTCTATTAAAGCAATATCGTAACCTCCTGAAAATGCTTGTGCGTCTTCCCACCTAGAAGAATAGATGGATATAATTCACAATAATAGATTTATAATCTAAATTTATATATTGAACGGTATTTGAACCCTAAGTAAAATTCAAACAATCGACATCATCAGAAACAAAGACAACTGGAAATCAAGTCAGGATCAGATCACATATCCAGAAATTGTTTTATCTAATCTTTCTAAATACAAAATTTATAAAAGATAAATATACTATATATGTATTCAACAAATACAAAATGTTGATAATTTCAGCCAGTGGTCATGGTTATTGAATTTTTCGTTTCCTTTCTTGTTTCATATTCAAAGTAATAGATGGTTTACATGTATATATACTTACTTCCAATTTTGGGGCACAACAAAATTTTTTATTGAAACATTCTGTGTCTGTGGTTCAAAGCCTGTGCCATTGTAAACACCAAATAACGCTCTCGATTCTGATCTGTATAAAAGAAAATGAAGAAAAACTCATGAAAACGCGGAATAAAAATTTATGAAAACATTACATCATTTTGTTATTCACTTTACGACCATTCGTCCTCTCGCCGTGGCAACTGTGCATAGCGCTTATGATACAAGTTTTTACCAAATCAAAAAGCGCATTTGCGTACAATATTATATTGATATCACCATTTCCTTATACTTGAATCCATGTATAGTTGATGTCTCTAATATCCATGGAATTTCAGAAAATTAGAAAATCCGATACAAATGTTTTGTGAGGTGTTGGGTATTAGTATTAATAATAAATAGTGCTCTTTGTGAGAAGATGGATCTTCGGAAATGAGAAGATATAATAGGGTGCAAAAAACCTGGCTGGAGCGAACAAAAGATGACGGAAAAAAGTTTTCATACGTGTCGCTATTATTGTCGAAACAATAAAAACAGCCATCGACAGAAGAGGTGATTTTAGATTGTACGTGACCAAAATGTCTTCAAGTATTATAAAATCATGTTTATTAAAACGCCATGCACTATGTATGCAATTAATTTTCTTTGCAACTTATTTTTTCGTTCACTTTCATATAGCCTTAGGGGGATGATGATGTATAGAGTTCTAGTAGCGACGACCGTACATACAAAACTGGAAAGCACTGATCTCAAAAATTGTCGAAGTTGTAGGTCTATACCCAGTGAACGAATTTTCGTACCCGATATGAGAAAAATACATGTGTGAGAATGGTATGCGGTAAATAACAAATAACAAAACAAGAGAAATGACATATGCGAAATGAAAAACCCAAGATAAGAAAGTAAGAACATAACAATAATGGATGATGATGAACAATGATGAGTGCTACTTACTCTTTAAAAATACAATGAGCAGCCGTTAGAGCCCATCCTTCTGAAATCAACACTGCTCCGCAAACTCGCGTCCAATCTCCACGAACAAAATACTCCAGACGACCCTGCCATGGCCACGAGCCAGGCACCGCGTTTTCTCCTCCAACTATTCTTGAGTCCTATGTATATTTAAAAAAATTATAAAGCATTTTAGCAGAATATGCAGTATGCAAGGTGGTATACAATCTGGTGGTTAAGCTGGTGGATGCAAAAAAGTATCTGAATCGGACTCCTATTTCAAACTGACTCTACATTCAAAATATCCGAACTTTAAATACCAGTTTAAAAGTTACAACTGCAAAAACATTGGTGTTTGTCAATTGCAATTTGTTAAATAAAATTTAGTCTGAAAGTTTAGCCGAAAAAATTCAGTAAGATTAGAATTTTGATTCCGGGGATTATGTAAGTATTATTCACCAAAAATAGCCAGACTTCGTCAGCGACACTGACTGCATGTACAGAAATAATTTTTATGATTGAAACATGAATTCCGTAATAGGTTATCAATGTCTTGAAAAGATTTAGGTAGGCAAAACATATGATGTGTAAGATGTAGGTGGGCCGAACTTCTCATAAACAAAGAATACTGTATAACAAATGAATAGATTTCAGATTCGATAGCTAGAATATATGTAAAATATTGATACTTTATAACCTCCTAAAATGCTAATAAATGGTATATATATTATTTGATTTCGACGTTTTCGGTATTGTATACAAAGTGAGGAAGGCAATTTGTCAAAAATGCCAGTTCTCTAAGTAGCATCGATTTGAAGGTGTTGAGTTAGTGATCATTAATATAAACATGGTTTAGAATTAGATAACTTCATTCTGAAATACGCATTGAATGGTTCTTATGATGGCAATTACCCCTCTCAATGGACTTTGTATCAGCTCACGAGTCGTCGCCATTTACTATCATCAAAAATAATTACGCTCGTGCAATATTAATTAATAACTGTTTTGCCGTAGTGACAAGGATGTGCGAAATCAAGCGTTGCGTTGCAAATTAGTTGTATGATTTTCTTGAAAATTTCCTAAAAAAAAACTTTGGGACTGAGGATAAATAGGGATGCCTTGGGTCGCATATATGATACTATACTAGTCAAAATAAAAAAATTTTCAATAAGCATTTTTTCGAAAGCATCCGAGGATTCAGACTATTTATTCAAGTACATCTTATTCAACGGAAGTTTTCCAAAGTACATGTTGTAGCAAATGATAAAAATAGGACAATGAAAACGGGCCAAGCGCGGTACAAGCTCTACAAGACAAATGTGGAATGAGTGTGGTAAAAGTAGAACGAGTTGAACATACAAATGGTACAAGTCGCACTATTTATTCAGATGTACCAGAAGTATTTTGCAATTTGAGTAAGCATAGTACAAGTTGATTACGTGAGTTACAAGTGACACAATTGGGACAGGTGTGGTACAAGAGGAACACGATTTTTTTTTTGTCGTGTCTTGTTAACTACAAGAAACGGGGTTCCTATTGTACAGGTAAGTACCCTGCCTGGGTTCGCATGCTAGAACCTGTCGAGGTATAGTTATATGCAAGAGAATTGATGGGAACTCCGAAACTATGTGCCCCAAGATCACGCACAACCTGAACATAGTATGTGTACCACGTTAGAATTCAGGTTATGCGCCATCTTGGTACACATACTTCAGGAGCGCCGATTAATGAACACCCCACCGTGAATTTGATTACGTCAGTTTATCGACTTTCCCCTCTTTTGATATAAATAGGAAAATTAGATACTTCCATTGCCTGTGTGCAATAAGATCGGTAGGTGGATGCCATTGTGATAATGTAAAAGATATCATAAAACGTTAAATATTGTCATCAGGTGGGTATTTGTATTAATCAAAATTATACAGTTAGCAACGATAATAACACAATCCTATCTAATATATTAAGTAAACCATGCATGTTCGAATTGTGGATGATTTCGTAAACAGAAAGAACAAACCCATTCAAAAACTGGAGGAATTTCCGGAGTTCCACACGTACCGGAACCATCTTGTTCTGTAATAAATATGTTTCGAGGTTTATTGATAAAAAAAAAACAGTATTAGTATCTATGTGTATCAATACCACAGACCAAACAATAAGAAGTATCCAAAAACCTATGTTTTTGTAAGCCCTTACAAAATTAAAATCTCCAGCAACTGTACAAAACTGTCGGCATAGTTGCTGTAATATGATAGTAACTTATTCTCTCTTTCGATATCCCGATGCTTTAGTTAGCAATATTGTGATTTTTATCCTATACTTGGAGCTGCAAAAATGGTATTGAAATATTTGTCAAACTTCACAGTATTAGAATAACTATCCACAATTGAATAAAAAGATAAAAAAGAGATCAATCACTCTTGCCCACGTCACTCTTTGTAGTTCATTCAATGCTAGCTCTCTTTGTATGCTTTTTGCATATTATGCAGTTGATGGATTACAAATTCAGGAACTATCGATAAAATGGCCCTCGATAGCATGAAGAGATGCTTTTTTGCAACTAAGCTATTTGTGTTTAATTGGTGATCCTGAATTTTAGTTTCAGATCCAAAACAAAGGTTTAATTTTCATTTTTAAATAAAAATTGGATTGGTTATAATTATCAAAATTATCAAAGTTTGGAATCAATAAACATGTCCATCTTTAAAATAATATAAATTTCAAAGCGATCAATTTAGTAACTTAATAAAAAAAAACATTGATCACTGATGATAAAAAAATTAGGCACAGCCCACAAACCATTACAAGAATAATAAGTCAAAATATAGTCTAAATTCACTCACTGCATACAGCTTCGTCAGCATTATCAGCAGGGCAATCAATAATTTTGTTGCATTTCTTTGATCCGTTAATGCATGTACCATCCCAACATCGGAATTCCTCAGATTGACAAATTGCTGTAAAATACGCTCATTTTTGTTATTTAAATGATTAGTTGTTTTGAGTCAGAGTTACATTTTCAAATTTCTCAAAATTTTGAATGTGAATTACATGCATGATGAGGTTTTTGTAATAAGCATTTTGATTTGATAGCTGTATTTGAGCTATATTTACATGCATTCAGACGCGATAAGCGGTGTTGGAGTCGACATTGTTTTCGACTCGATTATGGAGTGCTATGATATGTTTAGATGGATTTTTTCGATTCTACATCTCTGTTGATATTATGATTTTATCTTGGTCATATTTGTATCCCCTGTATATATCAAGATTATAAATGCGTTTTGTATATACCCATATACTGAACAAATACATATACACTTAAAACTCAATCCACTACAGACAGAATTATATACAGGGTGGTCGATAGAAAAGCAGAAAACTGGTCAAACAGCTATTTATGTTTACAAAGAATAAGCTTACAAAGTTTTTTTAAAGGCATATGTAATATTGCACTCATAGATGCTCAAAATGTCGTTTGTGCACGTGCACAGTCCAAGCTCGTGTAGCGTTATGAAGGTTAACTTGTGGGATATCGTTCCGATTCAACCTATACCTATACATATTTATTCGTGATCTCATCTGACATTCAGTCTTATTGAAAAATTGTAGCATTTTGTAGAACGTGCACTATTGTTTTTCCATGGGTTGCAGATTCGCACACACATTCAAAATTATAACATTTAATCTTCGACAAATATACGTCCTTTCAATTCACACTAAACATTCTACTGACCTTCAGCTGTCCAATTTAGTGAGAATCCGGTAAACCGATCTGATCCCGAATAGCTGGATTGTGTAACAAATTGAACTGTTACTTTATTTGTGGTAGAAAGAAATCCCTTTGGAGGAAAATTACCGCAGAATGCTTGCTGATACTGAGAATAAATGGAACAATAATTCATTTGATATTTAGTCTTCCTTTTTCCTAGATTCGTTCGTTTTTGAAAAGCATACACGAGGATAAAATTCAAAAATGAGAAACTTAATAAATTTGAATGAATTCGATGTAATATTTATATCAGCAAGACTCACTGTTGTCCACAATTAGGTCAACAAAAATGAAATGCAATTAAATACCTGAGTGGAGGTTGTAGATGGCCCATCAAATATTTGAAGATAGTCACCATTTTCACATCCATCTGAGTTGAACCAAATATTAAAACGAAGATTTAGGCGTATTGCAATTCTCTAAAAACAAATGTCGTTATCTAATAACATAAAATATACAACTACCAAAAAAATATTACCTCGACTTACCGTATCTTCGGGCGTAGTTATGAACCACGTACAATCGAGATCACGTACATACGGTAACGGAAACATTGGAGATGATATTATACCAAATGTGCCGCTAACTTGATTTGTCTTGTTACATGTTGGAGGATCTGTGAAATATAAAAGTATGATAACACTGTTTTATTTCATGAATATATTATGGCATATTGAAAATCAGCGATGAATTGGACATCAAAGTAATAAATACGGATCGTCAAAACAACTTGGTTTGACATTTATACGTGGGGATCTGTTACGCTATATTTCTAAACAAAGATAATTGTGATGTGATTCAGCTCAACCTTAACAAGGATTTTTGGAATTTATTTATAATTTTTGAAACATAAATTTAAGCCAAAATTCTGACCTGCAAAAACAGTTTAATCTTTAAGGTACGTGTGCAATTATTTGAATAAAACTTTAAACTGAACTAAATAAAACTTTTATAAAACTGCATTACGACAAGTAATTTTTTAAAATCCCACAATACAAAATGTACGTTATTGTGTCTGAAAAATGTCGCATATAACTCCTGTCACGTGGCATTTCTATTGCTTGATAATTTGACTATACTTGACTAGTATAGTAGAAAACTAGTGCAAATGGGACAAGTGTTACTGATTATTCTGTGCCGAATCAGTAGATTACGACCACCCTAAATCGCAATGACGTTTTTAGTATAGTTGCAGTTTTTGAACCATTTACAAACGCACAGTTTTATCACAAACCAAAAATTATAATGACCACTCTTATTATTTCGTTTATCTGCAGCTCATTTCATTTTCAACTATTTGCGCAAATTTTTTCTCTTTCGCTTTATATTCTATTTTATTAGTTATTCTACAATCTACTATATACATGGTGATGGTGATGCAAAAAAAAAACTATAATTTTTTCAATTATATTTACAAAAATAAGAAACATTCATTCAATTCTGTTTGTACTTGAACTTCTGTTTGTGTATGGTTATACCCGGAAGTTTCAGAAATCTCGGACGCGTTGTACAAAAGTTATGTGAACTCGAAAATATGTTCCAAATGACTTCGACGCAGCACCTCCGAATGAAGTCTTACAGAGATCGTTCCACACAGTAAAGTGCTCGGCATGGGAAAACCATTTCCAAACATAACGTAATCGGCCGGTATTGATTTGAAAACGAAAATGAAAGAGCTCAAATGGCTAACCAGAACGTTTGTGTTTAATGTTCACTTAGTAGTTTTATACCTGGCTGTGAGACTTTCATGTATAATGAATTTCAACTTACCAACTGCTGTATAATTTAAAGAAAATCCGGCTCCTACGTTTTTTACATCTGACTTGAATGAAACATACATTTTGTCACCGATAAAAAGCTGCCTTTCAGGTTGTGTCTGACCGCATAATATTATTCAAAAATTCTGCAAAGAAAAAATAAAATTGGTATTTTAGAAATTTCATGCTCTAATGGGTGCGTAACAAGGTATGTGTTTGGTAACATCAAACATCCTCTATATACTATAGTACAGGGTCGTCCAACCCGTGGCCCGCCGAAGGTTTCCGAGTGCCCCGCGAGGTATTTTTCGAATCCCAGTGTCTTTCACAAATCTGAGCCACTATTGAAACCTCTAATAAAAAAATTGTCGTTCTAACGCGCGAGAAGCACCTAGCTATCGAAAGCTTCTTTTATGTCCATTTGTTTTCGTTCGTGCTAGTGAGTCATGTTTGAATTTATTTTTATTGTCTGCCATGTAGTTCAATTTGTTTTCCTATCTTTTTTCTGTGAAGCTAAAAGAGGCGGTTTTATGACCTCAATATTTGACAGCATTTACTTCTACGAGCAAGTTTTTACACAAATGAACCATGTAAAATACCCCGTGAGACCCTAATTTCTGACAGCCACAGCTCCGCATTGCTACATCGTCCATTGAACCCGCTATTGACAAACTTGTTGGATAAACGCAGTGCCATACTTTCCATCAAAATACCTATATGTGGCTAAAACTTTTGACTTTACTTTATTTTCGTATTTCCACTGTTTTTATAATTTAGGTGCTTTGTTTGTTTTGTCATTGATCTGTAGATTCTGTAGTCGGTGTAGTGAAAACTACAACATAATTATCAAGTCAAGTGGCGCGCGCAATCATTCGTATGATTTTGTGACTGCTTCAATGTAGGAATTGCAGATAATCTTGACGAAGTTTGTTTATTGGGGCGGCAGTATTTTGAAAGACCAGTTTAAAGTACATCTTTATCATGTTGATAACAAACTGTATCAAACAAATTTAATGAAGTTGTTGAATGTAATTATATTTCACTTATCGAGAGTACTGACAATGCGAGTAATTATGTAACGCACTGAAATAAAGTATATATATATATTGAAAAATATTTGATCGTTTTTGGATTCTGAGATTTAACTGACACTCACCCCAGACGATGCCTCTTCTTCATTGTCAGAAATGGTTAAGGAATCGTAAGGACAATTTGTTCTTATAGTACCTTCAATATTAAATAATGTTGCAAATTCCATTAGGATGACCTGTAAAATATTACGTGGCATTGCATTGTAGACATGCCTGATTACAAATACTCGTCTAGTAGGTATTTTGGCGAGCTATATCGTTTATTACCATCCATTCCCCGATTATTTGCAGAAAGGATATTTGATATTCCCGTAGTGTGTGTACCACGGCGCAAGTGAGGGTTATGCGATAATTTTATTCTGATTTCCTTCCCTTAGTTCTATTACAAGTTCGGGGACTATCTGTGTTAGCCAAGTGAATATACCTCCTGCCCAAAGGTATCAGCCTTTTTACACACTTGATGTACAACTTGAACAAAATTAGTTACCTCCATATTGGTACACACACTTCTGGAGCGTCAGATATTTTATGGTCACAGCGTTACATAGTTTATGACATAATGTCATGCTGAAATATTTCCTATTTGTTTAAAAGTTGGTACTATTTAGCGCAGACTTTTTTCATTTTTGACATGTTAGAAAAGTCCACCTTTAAGTTTGTTTCCATTTTTGCAATGCGTTGCTATAAATTGAAGTCCAATAGAAATGAAAATGGTGTCGATTGCTCTTAGTGTTTGGTACAACTATGTTGCACCGACTCATTTACGACAAAATAAATTCGAAAGGTTTCGTTCTTTCATAATCACAGCATCTCTTCCAAAGGGCTTAAACAAAACGTGTAACTTTCGGAACCTAATTTACCAGATGCCAATGTATTCAAGTACTATAGTGAAAACTTTCATAATTTTATTCATTTGCACTGGAATAATATCCATTTAAAATGCTCATCAAAAAATGCAGATACCTTATCCGACGATACATTAACATCCCAGTTCAATTCAGTCAAAGTACTGTATTCCGAAAAGGATAATTTCGCGTAGAAATTAAACCTCTATCTCCGCTCAACTTAACCGTTCTTTGAAAAAACTCGTCAGAATCTGAATTGGAAAAGTGAAATCACCATAATCGGTATAACTTTTTCTACAGTAAATCAACGTTTTTGCAAGAGTAGATAACTATTATTTTGGGATACGTTTACATCGTTCCACCATACTGGAATTTAAAAATATATATATAAATTAAAAACTTGAAAAAATGTAAGTATAAAATAAAATAAAATTTCTTATCGAAAATTATTCCCTTTGGGAATACGTAGAAATTGGAATAGATTTTGTCCGAGAAGATCATTTCAGCTTCGATCAATACAAACAATTTTCACCCGATTGATAAATAATCTAATAAATGTGAGTTCTATTCAAAAGATTTTCTGAACGTTACAATTCAAATGACGCATGGCATTTGATTCTTTGCGTACAAATGTCTCACTTACCAATTACCGTCCAATTGAAAGAAAATCCGGAAAATGCGACAGAATCATCAGTTTTAAATATAATTTTCAACATATTGCTGACCGATGTAAAACTTCGTGGGATTTCCGTTCCACAATACCTCTAAAAAGATAAAAACTTGATTTTGATTTTCTGTTATATTTTTCAATTTACTAGGGAAAGAGTATTTAGCAAATCGCACAATGGAACTCTGTGAGACTCCACCCAAACACTCATGGAAGATTCGAAGATTCATAGAAATGTAGCTATAAACCTATATACTGTATATATATGTATATATATTAATAGTTGAATATCCTCGCGTTGAATTATTTTGTCCAATTTAACTGTAAAGAAAGGGAAAATATAGTTTTAACCTTCTGAACAGCAGAGAAACTGTTGAAATATGAAAAGGAAAAATCTGTAGGTCTACTTACATCACCACTAGTATCATCGCCATCTGTAAATTGTATGTAGTCGAAGAAGCAACCAAAAAAACTGCCTTCTATTTCAAATAGCAGATCGAATTTGATTGCTATCCGCTGGAAATTAATTTAACTAATTATCACAAATTTCTCGTCATTAGTATTTAGTTTATATTATAACTTTTTGAGGTGTCTGTGATTATTCCGGAACTTAAAAAATAAGATTAACGAGGAAAAATATATTCTCTCAATTTTGATAATTTTTAAAATAGGTTTTTTTGATAAATAATATTAGTATTCTACCTTTTGTAAAAATGATTGTAAAATTTATCTTATTTGATGCCTTAAATAATTATTTGTCAAATTGAATTAGAAGTCTTTTTGATAAAATTAACTTATTGGAATCTTTGTTACAGTTTGATATTAGAATATTTTTACAATCCAAGCATCACCGGAAAATTAAAAATACTTAGAGGCATGAATACCGTATTATTTGGAACGGCAATTTGCCAAGTGCAATCTAGATCATGTTCATATTCATTTGGGTAGTTTGGTGACGAAATTGTCCCATATTGGCCTGTAATGTTGAGACCTCCTTCACCACACGCTGCGTCAGTATCTGTATAAAAATGTAGTAAAGTTTTCACGTGTATATAAAGATTAAATTAATATGATTTATTGAATTTATTACTTTTGATAGAATAGATATATGTAATTTACTAACACATCTACAAAAAAGCAAAATCAGCAAAATTCTTTATTAGAGAGAGTAATCTTTACACGATGAAGATAAGACTGTCATCTTTTCAGATTGTACATCATTGTTTAGATTTCTCTATATACATTCAGTGTTGGGTACAAGTCTCTGAATCTCGGGCCGCGAGCCAAGTCTAGTGACAAGCCATCTAATTGTCGAGTCAGGTCAGAATCTCAGCAAATTTTAAAATTTGAGTACCGAGACAAGTCATAACGCTCACAAGTCACAGGAAGAGTCAGTACATTTTCGAGTCACAAGTGAATCCGAATGACGGTAGATGGAACGACAGAAATCTAGTGAATTTTAGAATTACTCAATAAAAAATAAATCTGGTAAGTGATCTAGTCTAAAGTGCTGAATCATATTTCACCGAAATTATTCTAATCATTCTCTCGAAAATGTCTTTGACACTTTAGTCGAGTCTCACTTGCGTTAGTAGAGTTCGATTCGGAACTTATATTTTGATGACGCTAATCACTTGAATGATTCGACTCGAGTCTTCTCAACCCTGATATAGATATTTGTTTTTCTTTATTATACCAGTAAAATGTGTATTTTATTTTCCATATTAACTTGTCCTTTTGCAAATGACACAGATCATCATTGTTTACAGAAAATATGCTAGCAAAGTTTTTCCAATTTTTTGGTTTTATTTCTTTCTGTTTTTGGTGTATTTTGCTTTTTTAATTTTATTGCATAACATTACACATATACATCAAACTCATTATTGTTTGGCATTGATTTATTTTAAATAAGATCCTCACCTGTGGTATTCTGTTGGAAAGATGAAGCAATCTGTAGGAGCCAAATGATGAACGATAGCAACGTCCAGCGCAATTTGAGCATTTTGCTCAAACTAAGTCATGTGATAATATGAGTAACTATCTTAAAATATGAATTAATATACATTATATATTTTAAAACGTTGTTTTGTGAGAATAGACTTGCAAGAATATAATTTTTGAATTCTAGACAAATTTTATGCTCATTCTCCAGTTAGATTCTTATTCAAGCTTGTCCTGACATAGAATTATTCGCGAAAAAAATTATTTTTACAAAATATATCCGCGCAAAGAACCCATAAAACAACATTTTCGTAAAAATTATTTTTGCGAAACAACATTTTTGCAAGTCTAATATGTTGATTCGCTAATAGCGCAAATATTTATTTCCAGTAACCTTTTTCTTATGCTTGCACAACTCTCTTCCCTCAAAAGTTCATTTTTGCAAAATTATTCACTCACAAAATTCCTTTTTTTGGCAAAAAGCACGTTCATTTTTGCGTTACGATTAAACTTACTACGCTTCATTAATAGCATTGAATTTGCTTCGTCTGTTCTTAACTACGCTCCGTCGTATACGAGTATGTGTCGGTGCTTCATTCAACTGCACAGGCATTCTATCATTGAATTCCATTTATCATTGGGAAAAAACGGGTTATGGCTGTATTTTAAAATGAAGAAATATACGCAATGCCTCCTTCTGTATCTTTAAAGTATTTCTATAAGTATTTTGGGCCAGGCCAGGCGAGCTCACTCTAACAAAGGGGATTGTTTCCCAAATCCAGTAAGTGTGAATGAACATAAAATAATTTAATGAATCCTATTATATTTATATAATTTGGTATAAAATTACATTACTTCCGTGATGCCTGAGGATTTTCAGCACCATTATATTGTTACATCGTTTTATGTTCTAATAAATAACTAGTAAGTAGTTTGGCCAATCATGATACATGTTTAACCAGTTTTCTCATCAATTACATGGTCAGCACGATGTGAGATAAAAAGAGACGCTGTAGACCGAAACAGCGCAGTTCTTAGAATTGGGTGGATCCTATTTATTCAAGCGTGTAAAAATACTTTATCATGACCTTCGTTAGTCGAATGCGAGGAACGTAATTGGAAATCTGAGAATTTTCATCCTGGTTTTATTCGAATTTGAAGTTGAAAGAAGAAATGAGCCAAAAAATCAAAATCAATAATATGTTGACATTTATGTTGACTATTTATATTAACATAAACTTCAAATTGTTATTTTACGTATATTTTTCATTTTTGCAATAGAACAATAATCAATATGTCAAAGCAAAAATATCTCAATCACTTTAGATAGCCATTCATATAGTTACACAGTTGCTGACAGTAACAAGAACAAATTCGGCGTTAATAATGTTTAAAGCATATGCCAAGTTACAGGAGGTGTCACGAAACATCAATTTTACTTACCGTACTAATGAAAACACTACAATCGGCTGATACACCCGAAAAAGTTATTTTGCTTTCACATAATAGTATATTGTTTGATGTTTGTTGACTGCTTAAAACCATCACGTTGGAGACTGCAGTTACATTGATCGAAGATTTTTCCAGATTAAAAATATTGCAAGTTTAGCTTGTTAGTTCTGTTCCTATTTCCGCCAGCATAATGATACCACCTATTGCCTGCACAACATTCAGGTTGGAAAAATCTGTAAGCAAATGAATCTTTTTACTCATTAAGTTGCTCCAACATTGCGCGGTTTGATGGTCTACTGCACAATAACTACACACTTTGTATAAAAGAATTCAAGTTGTTGATCCTTTCTATCACGTTGCCTTAAAAATTGCCATCCTATTTACACCGCTTCAGCTGCGAAGGAAATGAAAAACCTAGGTGAAATGATCATGTACGCGAAGATTACTGCACACGTTCCCGGTGGGTGACGCCATCTATCTACATTTATTACCCGTATAGTATGACACAGTATGAACCTTCTGAATAGATCCAAAACAAACCTCGGAAACAGTTTTCGCCATATGATCTATCCGCCCATCTGCTATACTTAAAAGAATGAAACTAAAATTGTATCTTTTTATTATGGCTTTGATTTCCAAAGTACCAAAATTGGTTTGACATACCAGTATGTGTACTGGCAATCTCTCCCATCTTAAAAAACTGATCGATATTTGAAAGTGTCATAAAAGTGAAAAAATCACTGTTAACATCGACTTCGCGTCGAAAGGGTCATGAAAAACCAGAAATTACCTGAGTAGTAGAATTTACGTCGTTGTCTTTCAGTTTAAGAATATTAAATAATCTTTATTCTAAATTTAATTAAAAACCAAAGATATTCATAATAGCTATTTAGTACTTAATAGTTTCTCAAAATATTATTTAATGAAATTTTTATTATTGATATGGGGTGGCTTGAATTCGTGACATATATCATGATTTTTGCAATATATTTGTTGATATATATCGTTATATAACGAAATCTATAAACATAATTTGAATTGAAAATTATGAATCTTCTGAAAACCAAATTCCGTAAGATACCAGCAGAATTTGGATTCGTCTGGCTCAGTTTTTACGTTACTAAAACCCCGGGTTCGTTACATTTGCCCACGCGTCACGGACTCGGTTGAACACAAAAGAAAATTGGCCGCATTTGCTCCTTCCCCTTTTGCACTTCTCATTGTGATTTGCAATTCACCTCCGTGACGCATCTCAATTTCTCAGAAAATTACGCAATTTCGTAGTTCGCCGAATATATTTGACAGTGACCTAAATGTGGTATGTATTTACTAGTATGTGCATTGAGAATAATATACTACTATGCATGCCCTACTACAGGTGATCAAAATAAAATATGCAATAATTGCACGGTCAAATCTTCCGCACCCTGCCCCGTTATCCCTTTACATTGCCTGAACTGCATGGCATACACATGACAGATGAATAAACCTTGATGAATATGAATCAAAACAAAACTTCCATAATACAGATGATCAAATATCATCTAATATGCAATGAAGCGGGTAAAATAGCTTTGAATAGCATGTTATATTCGAATTCTCCCAAGTTGTCAAATATTTTCAACATGTTAATGTAAACATAAACATTCATTCATAGATAAAACCCAGCCAAATCAATCAAAAACACGCTTCGCTGGGTTATGTAAAACGTACACAGGTGGCCGTTTCTTGCAAATACGAGTTTGGTCATTCGATAATTTAACAAGTTATGACTCGAATACTTTGGATTCCATTACAATTACAACAATATGTCGTAATTAGTATTAATAAAATTAAACAAGATTTTGTATAATTTATACTACTGTTCGATCTCATTGAATTGTTTAAATTTTCAATTACATGAGCGAATTCATTTGTACAGCAAAATTTATCAACAGACAGTCATAAATATTACAATTCATAAAGTAAACAGAAGAATGCAGATTCGTGTTAAAAGTTGAATTGAGTCACGAGATAGTGTGGTCTATGAAATGTATGTGTGTTTTGCATCTATTGGATCTATTCAATATTTTTGATCACGACTTTAATGAAGAAAACAAGTCCCTAAAAAAAAGTTATATAATGTAGCAAATTTTGAATTTATATATTTCACGACAACATAAAGTTTGTTTAGTCAAATTAAAAATAAATTACTGCATTGTAGGAGAGTTTTTTTTTCAAATGTAAATTCATTCACTTCAAATTTGTAAAAAATTTTCAATATATCTTATAGTAATGACTATAATTTGTAAAATAAGGCCTTTTCACGGAGATTACCTGAGAGATCTCGGTAGATTGAGAAAATGGAGAATTACGAGTAACTTGGTACGAAAATGTAGACTACATAAACTATTATTAGGTATTTGAGAATTAGTCGTTTGCGCCAAGCCTGGTATTTTGCACTCAAAATACTCAACAATCCAAATATACAGATTAAATAAGATAGCAATTGATTCGCAAAAAAAAGCATCTTTGTGAGGGAGCAGTATTTTAGCAGCAACTATTGAATCGTAAGTTTTCACATTGCCCTGCCGTTGTTATTTAGTGCGTGGTCTAATACATGGAATCTGGGATCTCATCTAATACACGATCGTTAGTCAAAAACCGAAGCTACCGTTTGGTAAGATTATGGATCAGTCATATCATTTTATAAAAAATCCCCCAACATAGATTAGAGTTGGTCCGTAAAATGTGTGACCACTTTCCACAAAAACATAATATTTTAAAGAGAGTGGGAAACAACGAACAATCACATGTTGCTACTCGATACTAATCCAAATAGTAATATTCCAATCTATTACGTGACTTCCTATATATAGCAGAAAATTAAATAACAAGCAACGTGCCATTCGTCAATGAGGACGAAATTATTCCTAGGAAACCTGAATTAATCACTATAAAGGGTAGTTAAAATTAATATTTAATGTGGATGACAGACGCTGCATTACGTATGCTTAATTTTCGTTTTGCAGTTTAGTGGCCTATCTACTTCTTGTCGAAGAGCTTACTTGAATTGCATAAACAGAAGCTTTCTTTGTTTGTTTTATTTGCAGCAATTTGGTGTTACGCTGTTATATAAAATTGCATTAGAAGGAAAATTAATGCTTTGTGACTAATTCTGAAATTCTTACGATAACGTTTAATTAATGGGCTTGGTCGTTGAGTTGTAATTTTGCCATTACAGCAAGAAGTTACAACAATTTTAATCAATACTTTGGCCAATATAAGAAACCTTTGTAGAAAAGGTCGTTTGTAAACAGAGAAATTTGGTCTGACTAAATTGTTTTAACAGATGAATAAGGTTTTGTCCACAATCGTCACTTGAATTTTTCGTGAGTTAATAATGAGCTATCATATACGAAACACAAAGAGAGACCATTAAAGATATGCGCATCCTAGTATTATTGAAAACAATTAATTTATAGAATACAAAAATGTATATTTACTGCACATTTGGAATCGCTTTTAATGGTCTTGTCAATGAATTCAAGAAACTTGAGTTGATTGAAGCTTTTTCTTCGATTTTGTTCGATATGTGAACCCAATTTGCACCCTCCTGTGGTGAGCCTATAAAAAATTACACTCTATTCTTAAATATTAGCAAAGCAAGTTATTTCTGTTTATAAATATTTTGTTTAGCTATCCCAAACTTGTCATTTTAGTAAAACGTGATTGTTATTTCAAATTAACAAAAAGTTAACTACAATTACATTTATTTACAAGAGCTTCGAATGTATAGATTTTCCACTCGATCATTTTTGTTCAATAGCCTACTGAACTCGGACAGATGTATTTGAATATAAGTATAGGCTTAGTTAGATTATCCCTCCTATTATTAAAAAGGAATATTGCATAAATTCAGCATATTGTTCTATAAAATAGAAACAAAAGTTGCATATATGTGATGTAACAGAAGTTCTATGATATTAGTCAAATAATAAATATCACACCAAGTGGTTGAACCTGTCACGGATCACCGCTTGAAGATGTCGAGTTTGTTCTGGTAACGTGACGGCATTTTGCGCCTTTAGTTTTAAGACAGTTGCAAATTCTGAACGATTGCGTGTCTGTGATGGGCATGATAAAGACTATGCTACAAAATTGTACGGAAATTTCAGCTTCAATCAAATGAACCCTTCCCATTTGCGAGTTGAAAGTTGAATATGTGATTAACAGCGTAGTTTCAGTGTAACTGTCTAACTGTAGTCTACTGTCGAACCTGCACACCAGTGGATCATGCAAAAAATGACAAAACGTAAGTATGTGCTTGTACCACTACCACTATTATAACAAAATTAAGTGTGTTGTTCAGTGTTCACGGTGAATTTATGATTTCCCCTCAGTGTATAATACCTCAGTAACTGTCTGATAATATTAGCAGTCTTGCAGTCGCAGTACCCACTTTGCAGAAGCTCAACTAGAGACGGTCTGGATACAGCTACATAAGAAATATATTTGTGAACGGTGATTAATTTAGCCTATTTGGTTTAAAAAGAAGCACACAGATATGAAAAGACTTTATTGTTCCTCGAAAAGGCAGGAAAATCGTTTACTCTAATTTGTTACGAAATCAATACTCAGATTTTAGACACATAAACACAAGTAGATCTATAGATTTATGAAAAATGTATGTTCAGTTAAAATGATATGGCAATGTAAATAAATCAATGATGAAGGTGATATTTAAATCAAATTAGAAATTGCAACAATGTTATGAGCTATGCTACTGCTATTTCATTTTATAGCATTTGATATTTAGGTATTGATAGACAAAGATGTTTTTCATATGGGCGACGGCACTTGAATAAATTCACCAACAATTACAGACTGCCCAAATGCTTTGAATAGGTTACCAAATAATATATTTGATATTCATATATGACCAGTTGACCATCAATACAAATTTTGCGTTTTCGATAAATTTCTAAAATTCGTATATATATATACCATACAAAAATATACATTACAAAACATAAATTTAAACACAAAAATAAGTGCGTTAGTATTGAAGAATTCATAATGCAGTATACTTAATACTAAATAAAGTAAAATATAATTGAACCAATAAAACTTACACCAAGCTAACCCGTGAAATGTTTGATTTAAGAATATTACTTCTAGGGCAGATGCAAATACATGCAAAAAGTATGACTGAGCTAATGTTAAAAATAAAAATACGAAATTGACATTTCCAGTTTTTTTTTTACACACAAGGCTTTGAATAAGATTCAAATAAATTTTTCCGAAATCGGAATATCCACGTACTTTCCAGTTTGTTACATAGTATGCGAGTTGAGCGGATTGAAGAGAACATTTACAATTGCTGAGTCTGATTTGAAGTGCTGAAGTGTTACCATTATCACTATGTATTAAACAAGAACAATGATACAAAATGTTTACACAGAATATACTGTTAATATGATTTATTGATTATTGCCTAATGCTAAAAATATTTAAAGAAATAAAATCGGTCGCTCGACTACTTCTAGAAGGCCAACGTCATATTTTCAAATATTCAATAATTGTTAATATTGTTTTCATCACTCAAGAAACGTAACAGTTTGTGAAAATTTCAAAAATTAGTCCGACAAAAGTTACAAAAAAATAAAAACAATACGATAATGGCATCAGTGCAAATGATGAACTTGTCGTTGACAATGACGATCCTTTTGTTGAAGATGGTGTCGCTGTTATATTTGAATGAAACATTGACGCTAAAAAAAAACGCACCATTACATAACATGAACTAAAAAAGGTAAGAGGGTCACTCAGAAACTATTACTGTAGAATGCTGAAGGATTTTGTTGTGAATTACTCGAGCTCCGTATTTGAAACATATTGCATGATTTACTCTGAAGAAAATCGGCAAACCTACAAGAATACTAGACACTCTAAAAGCAAGTCTCAAATTCAAATTGTTTAATTATTCCCTGCAATATTTATTGTTCAAAGTTGATAGTGATGTCGTTAAAATGATGATAGCGGTGTTGATTCGCATTTTAGGTAGAAATAGATGAATCTGAACATGGCTGATTGAAGTACTGAAGCTACATTTTTCCCATTTGGATACGTATATGACGGTAATAGTAATATCCTTTCACATCTATTTATTTTACACATGTTTGTTTGGTTACAGTGTACAGCCAAAATATCACAACAACTCAAGAGTTGACAGAACACAACTACAAGAAAAGTAAGGTAAATATAAGGTAAAACTACTGTGATACACATAAAATTAAGAAACGTCGACAGAAACACTGATGACAAATTTGCCAATCTAACTACATGTGAATTCATATAGACTATGTCACTAATTAGCTCAGAACGTAATGTTATAGGATTTACTCTTATCGACGTAGTCGCACATATTTCTCTTGGTGCAGTGTAATACCCGACCCAAATCAGAGGTAATAGCAATATACAAAGCAAATATGGTCGTTCAGTCGTTATTGACTTTTGTGTTTTTGTATTGAGTATTGATTTGTGACTGTAAAGAAAGTCTGTAAAACATACTGTAATAACATATACAAAGTATATTCAGCATTATAATAGGTATCATTATCATAAAATTGTCGATGTATTCCGATGTAATGCTCAATGTGATAATAGCAGAGGAGTGAATATAAAATGTGCATGCAATTTCTTGAAAAATTATCCACCGAAAATACATAATTTAAACTTACAACAACAAAAACAATCTACCCCAAAGTACAAACAAGATATTTTGTGTTCATATATCAGAATAAAACTTCGGAAAATTTAGAGTGAAGTATTGTAAAAGTATACAAAATGTCAATAAACCATATACCAAGCACAAAATGGTTTGACATGACAATGCCCTCTTATACCGCACAAGATGTTTACATTCTTATTATCTGGAACAAGGGTTTTCAAATCAGGTGGAGTGGTACCAAATGTAAACATTCCTTACTTAGAGGCTCAAGGAACGCCCGTGCTATGGTTTACCTGTATTTTAATATTTGAAAAACTAGGAGTATAAACAAAAGCACAAACCATACCAGCAAAACAAAATGACGTTGAAAGTGCAGCAGGTTTTGTAATAGTGGCAAATATTTTTACTAAGCATATTAATTGGTGATTATATTAAGGATGATTTTGTACTGCGGCAGTCTACGAAGTCAAAATGATACCATCAGCAATGCTATGTCTAATCAGATGCTCGCATGAGTACATAATATCTCATATATAAATATAAAAATATTACACAAAAAAGTTTTTCAAAACCAATTCCTATTGTATAGGACAGCGTTTTCCAAACTGTGTTCCGCGGGACACTAGTGTTCCGCGAGCGTCTTCCGAGTGTTCCGTGGAAAATAAATCAAAAATACGTCTAAAGGGGTCGCCATAGCGATACAAGGCGAATACACGTATAATAAAAAAATTGACTGGTACTGAACCGCATGCTACTTTAAATCACTTCCCAACTAATGCAAAATTTTGTATATGAATTCTACACATCATCAGCCACTAATTATAATTATCTACAAAAGGCACTTTTCAAACATAATATTTGTCAGTGTTAAACAGATATTTTCTCCTTTATTCAAAACACACAAAAAAATGCTAACTGAAGCGCAAAAACAAAATAGTCACACCATGCCCCCATCAATATAACAATCAGTAGAGGTAAATGTTTCTGAATCCAATGCTGTTAATGAGGTAAAATCGAATTATGTGGGGAATGTTGAATCAAACATATTATTTAAGGGCAATTTTTTATATATTGATATGTTCACTTCAGTATTTTAAGAATTATCCAACTAATTGAATGAAAGTATTGATAAAATTGTTGGAGATGACAAAACTATTCATAATTATTAAAAAAATATCATGTATAAATGTAATCAAATTTACGTGATTTTGTAATGAGTATTAAACAAACCACAAAACAAAAATCCACAATTACTAACAATCAGGCAACAATTAATAATCACCAGTAAAGTTATTTTCCCCTGAACCCGATGTTTGCCAAGAAGTTGCGTCGTATTTACTAGAAACTGTTGAACGAAAATAATTCTTGAAACACACTTTAACAAATGAAAAAAAGTCCAGATTCAAAAATGACAAGAGAGCAACGCTCAAATATATGGACACGTGGACTAGAGCGAAGCAGGGTTTACCTTTGACGTTACCGGTACCGTACCCTCAAAAAGTTCCGGGTTTTTAGTCGCATGAATTTTCACAGTCAGCCGTCACGCTTGGCGGATTAAAAACCGTGTTCCTATAATTAAAAATTAATACAGCGCAATTTTGGATGAAATATTAGATCTCATAAGATTCATAGAAAATTCAGGAATAAATGAAAGTAATAGCCTTCTGGCAAAAAAAATCAATCTTGAACCACTGAAAATTCCAAAGCAATTGGTCCAGTATTCGAAGAGAAAAGCGATTTTTTAATGATAATGACGAAAGAAAATAACAATAACAACAAAATTTTGAAACGATCGTTATGGCCACTAAACGTATCCAATTATAAAAGACTTTTGCAGTATCTTTGAAGCGCGATAACAGTGAACAGTCATGCTCGTATCAACAGATAACTAACGGATTATCAAAGAAGGTGAGTTTCTTTGCAATCAAATATTTTCTCCTTTGAAACACTAAAAAAATACTTTGATCGATCGGTAGAAGCACGTCAAATTCAGTGATTTATGCCTGATATTACCAAATCACATAAAACTGAAAAATTACACCGCATGCTACGCAAATCATTTCAAATACTGTACTAAACTGCGTTTTCTTTGCAAAGTGATGCAAAATTTTGCGTATTTATCATACATGCTGCACATCATCAGACACTAATTATAACAACAAGCCGTTTATAAACATGATATTTGTAATGTGTTGACATATATTTTTCTCCTTCCTCGAAACACGAGAAAAAATACATTGGTCGATCGACAGAATCACGTCAAATTCAGTGGTTTATGCTTAATACTACCCGAAGCACAAAAACCAAAAATTCACACCATGCAACCATCAATATACCTACCAGTAGAGTTGAATGTTTTCGAAGCCGATGCTGTCCATGGGGTAGAATAGAATTCTGTGGGAACTGTTGAATCAAAACTATTATTTTAAGGGGGATTTTTTAGGATTGAGAAGAATTATCCTGTTTGTAAACGACAGATATAGTAGCTAACAAATTTGCATTTAACTAACATTTAATATATATATGGAAATATTTGTTCACTCCAGTATTTTAAGAATTATTCAAGTAACTGAAAAAGACTTAGTGAAACGATTTAGAGAATGGTTTTTAAGCTTAAATATCGTATAAATGTAATTATATCTGACGATTTCGTAATAAGTACTGAACAAACCACAACACCAAAATCCACAATTACTAACAATCATGCAACAAATAATAATCACCTTCTCCTGAACCCGATGTTGGCCAAGAAGTTGCATCGTATTTACTAGAAACTGATAAATGGAAATAACTTTGGAAACACACTTCAACAAATAAAAACATGTCTTTCCAGATTCAAAAATGATTTTGTTAAATTCTGTTTCTTAAACACAGTATTCTACAGACTTTTGCAATATCCTCGAAGCGCGGGAATAGTAAATCATCATGCGCGTATCAACATTTAAAGGATTATCCAAGAAGGTGCTCTGTTGCAGTCAAACCCAGAAGCATTTAACAAATATTTAAATTATTAATTAAATGTCTTAATTTCGTTCAGATTTTTTTTCTACAGTAAAATATTAAATATTTCAGTGTATATTCACGAAACAAAATCAGAATAATTATGACTTTTTCCACTTTTTGCTCTCGTTGTTAATAACAGTCGAACTAAATTTAGATATACATGGATAAAACAGGTTTGTAAAATAAAATCGAAATATTAAGTATTTTCTTTGTTACATCCGCTATTTTGTACGTTGCATGCTCACCTTAAGTTTACTACAGTGTAGTCATTTTTAATGTATTGCTACTAAAATTTTTTTACCCATTCCTACCACAACGGATTAAAAAGTATAGGTATACAAATATTTTCAATGATATTAATATAATCGCGTATTCAGTTCACGTTTCAAATTTTTTCAAAAATCCCGTACCGGGTTGAATGAATATTGATTAAACAAATTTTGAATATATCATAATTACCCGAAGTGGTGGATGTATCTGAAGATTTTGCAGAAACTGTGGAATGTTTTGTGGCTGTCGCTGTTGAATTGGCAATTAAGGCTAAAATAATGTAATATTAGTTCCGTCTCTTATCAACAACTTCACAAACTAAACAACAAGTATTTCATAAATCGTTATACCTGCAACTGAGTGGTCGTAAAATACAAGCAAACGAACATTTACAATAAACATGTTGAACATAATGATATATGCATAAATCAGCTATCCTGTAAAGACAAGATTTCCCCACCGATCTTCAATATTGCGAAGAAAAATACGATAATAAATGTTATCTTATATGTATATTAACACGTCATCGAACAAGCTATACTCGCAAAATTGTGTTAAGTTGTCGATTAAGATGATTCCCATGTTGGAATAGGATTTTTGTCCAACAACCAATAATTTACCTACAAGTAAAAAATTTCAAAAACATTAGCACTTTTGAGTACTTAACAATATGATTCACGATAACTACAGACGCCAGATGCAAGACAGAAATACTGAAGAGAATCGCTTTGTCCAAAGACACATTCACCAAAATGAAATCCATCTTTACCAACAGAAATATAAAACCCAAAACTAATCAAGACTCTGAAAGCCTACATATGGTCCATCCTTCTGTACGGATGTGAATGCTGGACGCCGAAAAAGGGCCTTGAAAGAAGACTTGAAGCAGAAGAAATATGAGAATATCATGGACGGAAGAAATTCGAACGAAGATGTAATGAAAATGGCCAGGTACATAAGATCCCTAATCAAAAGCATCAGAAAAAGACAACTACATTTTTTGGGGCACATGAACATAGCAGATGGGATAGAAAAGCAAATACTGTGTGGAAAGATGTACCAAAAGCAGATGAAGACAACGCACAAAATACATCGACTGAATAACTAAAGAGGAAAGAATTCCGCAACAATGAACTCGTCAGGTGAATTGACAACAGATTGGAATGGAAGGCCATGATCGCCGATGTCTACAACAGACCTGGCACATGAAAAGGAAGTACGGCATCTAGTAATTATCCATGTAAATGACCATGCAAAAACCTAAAATTCAGCACACAGTATATAATTTAAAGTCAATAAAAAATTAAAGAGTCATTTAGTTTCGCTGTATTGTGTTTTTCCATTTTAGTGAAAGATTTTATTATTGTTTCTAATGAAGACATAGTCCTGAGCCCGATATTTGTACTATAATGTATATAATAGGGCGACTATAGTTTTGCGACTGACAATCAAATACTCAGCTAAAATTGGATTTAGTATTATCATTCAATAACTGATAGGCGGTTTGATTTATTATTGATAGCTTGTCGATGTTTAATAACTTAGCAAAACGAAATTTCTATGTACATTTATAGTTTACCACACGAGGGTTATTTAGAGAGGTTTGGTAGTCACGCATTACACAAACGTAGAAATGTAAATAATTTTGAATATTCTTATAAAGACTTCTTGACCTCTTGACTTTATTCTAGTACAAACTGTGCCAATATACAATAACAACTTCACACCATGCAATGATGAATCACCATTTTTTTTGTTTGCTTTTGTGGTAACAAATATTGTTATTGTACGAAAAGTCGATACCACACTTTCTGAAACGGTAACAAGAACAAATTTAATTTTTTTTTTTTGGTTTTGTGTACTCACCTGCGCAATAAAAGTGTGGACAGCGATGCCATAATATTTTCACACTTTTATACGATACTTTACCCAGATGTCTGACATTTTAAATATATTATGCGATTGAACATTTCGTCAAAACGTAATAAGAACGATTTATAGAAATGGTTTAAGAATAAATATTGTATAAATGTAACTTTCGTAATAAGTACTGAACAAACCACAACACCAAAATCCACAATTACTAACAATCATGCAACTAATAATAATCACCTTCTCCTGAACCCGATATTGGCCAAGAAGTTGCATCGTATTTACTAGAAACTGGTAAATAAAAATAACTTTTGAAACACACTTCAACAAATGAAAAAATATCTTGTCCAAATTCAAAAATGATTTTGATAAATTCTGTCTCTTAAAAACAGTATTTTATAGACTATTGCAATATTTTCGAAGCGCGGGAATAGTAAATCATCATGCGCGTATCAACATATAAAAGATTATCTAAGAAGGTGCTTTGTTGCAGTCAAATCCAGAAGCATTTGACAAATATTTAAATTATTAATTAAATGTCTTAATTTAGTTATCATATTATATTGAAAAACAGATTTTTTTCTACAGTGAAATATGAAATATTTCAGTGTAAATTTACGAAACAAAATCAGAATAATTATGACTTTTTCCACCTCTTGCTCTTGTTGGTAATAACAGTCGAACTAAATTTAGATAAATGAATAAAACAGATTTGTAAAATAAAAACGAATTCTTTGTTAGATCCGCAAAAAATATTGTTGTTGTACAAACAGTCGATACCACACTTTCTGAAACGGTTACTAGAACAAATTTAATTTTTTTTTTTTTGGTTTTGTGTACTCACCTGCGCAATAAAAGTGTGGACAGCGATGCCATAATATTTTCACACTTTTATACGATACTTTACCCAGATGTCTGACATTTTAAATATATTATGCGATTGAACATTTCGTCAAAACGTAATAAGAACGATTTATAGAAATGGTTTAAGAATAAATATTGTATAAATGTAACTTTCGTAATAAGTACTGAACAAACCACAACACCAAAATCCACAATTACTAACAATCATGCAACTAATAATAATCACCTTCTCCTGAACCCGATATTGGCCAAGAAGTTGCATCGTATTTACTAGAAACTGGTAAATGAAAATAACTTTTGAAACACACTTCAACAAATGAAAAAATATCTTGTCCAAATTCAAAAATGATTTTGATAAATTCTGTCTCTTAAAAACAGTATTTTATAGACTATTGCAATATTTTCGAAGCGCGGGAATAGTAAATCATCATGCGCGTATCAACATATAAAAGATTATCTAAGAAGGTGCTTTGTTGCAGTCAAATCCAGAAGCATTTGACAAATATTTAAATTATTAATTAAATGTCTTAATTTAGTTATCATATTATATTGAAAAACAGATTTTTTTCTACAGTGAAATATGAAATATTTCAGTGTAAATTTACGAAACAAAATCAGAATAATTATGACTTTTTCCACCTCTTGCTCTTGTTGGTATTAACAGTCGAACTAAATTTAGATAAATGAATAAAACAGATTTGTAAAATAAAAACGAATTCTTTGTTACATCCGCAAAAAATATTGTTGTTGTACAAACAGTCGATACCACACTTTCTGAAACGGTTACTAGAACAAATTTAATTTTTTGGGTAATTAATTTGGTTTTGTGTACTCACCCGCGCAATAAAAGTGTGGACAGCGATGCCATAATATTTTCATACTTTTATACAATGCTTTACCCAGATGTCTGACATTTTAAATATATTATGCGATTGAACATTTCGTCAAAACGTGATAAAAACGATTTATAGAAATGATTATTAAGAATGAATATCGTATAAATGTAACTTTCGTAATAAGTACTGAACAAACAACAACACCAAAATCCACAATTACTAACAATCATGCAACTAATAATAATCACCTTCTCCTGAACCCGATGTTGGCCAAGAAGTTGCATCGTATTTACTAGAAACTGGTAAATGAAAATAATTTTGAAACACACTTCAACAAATGAAAAAATGTCTTGTCCAAATTCAAAAATGATTTTGATAAATTCTGTCTCTTAAAAACAGTATTTTATAGACTATTGCAATATCTTCGAAGCGCGGGAATAGTAAATCATCATGCGCGTATCAACATATAAAAGATTATCTAAGAAGGTGCTTTGTTGCAGTCAAATTCAGAAGAATTTAACAAATATTTAAATTATTAATTAAATGTCTTAATTTAGTTATCATACCATATTGAAAAACAGATTTTTTTCTACAGTGAAATATGAAATATTTCAGTGTAAATTTACGAAACAAAATCAGAATAATTATGACTTTTTCCACCTCTTGCTCTTGTTGTTAGTAACAGTCGAACTAAATTTAGATAAATGAATAAAACAGATTTGTAAAATAAAAACGAAATATTCAGTATTTTCCTTGTTACATCCGCAAAAAATATTGTTGTTGTACAAACAGTCGATACCACACTTTCTGAAACGGTTACTAGAACAAATTCAATTTTTTGAGTAATTAATTTGGTTTTGTGTACTCACCCGCGCAATAAAAGTGTGGACAGCGATGCCATAATATTTTCACACTTTTCTACAATACTTTACCCAGATGTCTGACATTTTAAATATATTATGCGATTGAACATTTCGTCAAAACGTGATAAAAACGATTCATAGAAATGGTTATTAAGAATAAATATTGTAGAAATGTAACTTTCGTAATAAGTACTGAACAAACCACGACACCAAAATCCACAATTACTAACAATCATGCAACTAATAATAATCACCTTCTCCTGAACCCGATGTTGGCCAAGAAGTTGCATCGTATTTACTAGAAACTGGTAAATGAAAATAACTTTTGAAACACACTTCAACAAATGAAAAAATGTCTTGTCCAAATTCAAAAACGATTTTGATAAATTCTGTCTCTTAAAAACAGTATTTTATAGACTATTGCAATATCTTCGAAGCGCGGGAATAGTAAATCATCATGCGCGTATCAACATATAAAAGATTATCTAAGAAGGTGCTTTGTTGCAGTCAAATCCAGAAGCATTTAACAAATATTTAAATTATTAATTAAATGTCTTAATTTAGTTATCCTACCATATTGAAAAACAGATTTTTTTCTGCAGTGAAATATGAAATATTTCAGTGTAAATTTACGAAACAAAATCAGAATAATTATGACTTTTTCCACCTCTTGCTCTTGTTGTTAATAACAGTCGAACTAAATTTAGATAAATGAATAAAACAGATTTGTAAAATAAAAACGAAATATTCAGTATTTCCTTTGTTACATCCGCAAAAAATATTGTTGTTGTACAAACAGTCGATACCACACTTTCTGAAACGGTTACTAGAACAAATTTAATTTTTTGGGTAATTAATTTGGTTTTGTGTACTCACCCGCGCAATAAAAGTGTGGACAGAGATGCCATAATATTTTCACATTTTTATACAATACTTTACCCAGATGTCCGACATTTTAAATATACTATGCGATTGAACATTTCATGAAAACGTGAACAAGTATGCGTTTAACTATTGTCGCTAATAATGATTTGCAACACTTGCGGTAAAATCACGATTTGTTAGAACTCATAAGTCATAAGCACTTTTGTGCTGTTTTTTTGTTTGTTTCCGTAGCATAAATTGCGGTAGACCAGCCTACTATGTATACACCCTTATATATACTTGATATACATATATTATGATTTTTACTCACTGTTGTTTATTGTTGTTGCATTTTCACTTATTCCTATTGTTGTTGGAAGTGAAGAGGGGGCTGTCACTGGAGGTGGGATTACAGGAACTGTACCATTGGTCACTTAAAATAAATTGATTTAAAAAACAATTAAGTGTTTTCATAGGTAAAAGTAGGCGTTGACAACTAATAGTCGAACTTTTAAATTTCACCAAATTGAAATCATACCTCTCACTTTTTTTGTCAAATGACATCGTTTAATTCTTTTCAGCATGCGCTATTTTGAAATAAACCTTACTATTTTGTATCCATTCTTCGTAATATGTTACTGTTGTATAAAATCCGGCTTCCCCAGGTCTTCCGCAAAAACTACCATCTGATCCATACGATACGATGCCATATTGAAACCAGTTATTGTCTTTCAAACAAACAAGTGGGCCTCCCGAGTCACCCTTGAAATATTAAATAGAAATTGATAAATAAGACTTTATAATTAGGACACAATATTTAACTTACCATATCCATCTAAAAAATCTTGCGAGCAACACTCACAACATTCAACACGTAATGAAACAATGCCCTGTGCTGTACTTCGACATACCTCAAAAAAGCCCTCTTGAAGGAGGCCATTAAAATCACGAATCAGGGCCGTATATCTACTTATTTTCCGGACTATCACCGTACCGTACCCTTAGATGTACAAAAAAATATCATAGGGTATTAACAAAATTCCAATTGGTTCCAATGGCGGTTCAGTTGTTTTCCTCTGGTTCAGACCGTACGATCATTCCCAATGGCAGAAATCTAATCTATATAAAGATACGGTGCTGCAATGCAAGAGACCCGGAATGTTTTATTTTTCTTACCTGACATGAGTCGGCCCCGCCTGTTTCAAAGTATCCGGCACAAAACAGAAAATCTGTGTTAAATGCTTTTCCGTTTGCCTTTTCACATTGTTCATTTGGCATTATTGGAAGTCGTACTTGTCGGAGAACTTGTGAAACTACACCGCCGATTTCTGTTAACAGAAGGTTGTTTTAATATGAGAGGTTCTATCTTGTGCATAGCCTTGTTCGGGGCGAAATGCGTATAAATATGTCGTATAATAATAATAAAAAACAATAGAGACATTTTTGAGCAATTTACCTTTTGTTTAACTGTGGCCAATATCCAATAAATTTATTTTAAATTTTCACATACAATTATGTTCACGAAAACCTATCTATCAAATTCATGATTTTATATACAAACAGCACAGTAAAACAGTAAATATACAAATTGATTTGCCATCCAACGATGTCTAACACTCGGACTTACTAGTTAATCCCCATCCTGTAACAATACAATTATGGTCTGCAGATATTGCATCGACGTTGCCCAACGTTGCTATACATATTGGTTGAACGTGACGTCCAAATGTAATGCTTTTTTCCAGTTTGAAAAGTGCAATATCATATCCATTTCCAATGGCTGAATTACTGTGAAAGTGGGGGTTATTTCAAATTGATTTAAAATAATACTATTATTAGAATTGAATTCTAAAAAGGAATTTATAATATAAACATATAACGTATACTCACACATAATTTGGATGTCTGTAAACTTCTTTAACCTTAATGATTTGATCGTCTTTTTGATTCGTCAAATTGTAGCCTCCGATTCCTACCGTTATTGTCGGGCTGTCAAGTTAAAGATTTTTGTAAGCCTTACATAAGCAAGCAAGTGCAGTAGTATTTGGCAACTGTATGCTAACTCGGACACTAATACATGTTCAATTTGTGTTTACTTACAAATATGTGCAGTGCGCAGCGGTCAATACCCAGTCCTTGTCTATTACTGATCCTCCACATTTATAATCACCGCGATCATCTATGACATAAACTTGCCAAGGCCAAGATCCTTGAACTGCATAGCTTCCACCATTTATACGAGGTGTCTAGTAACATAATGATACTGTTGAGTAACGAGGAACTGTACGATACTAGTAGCACCACGATTATGGTTTTGACGTTTGTGTACATTTTTTAAATTGTTTTCGCTGATTTCTCAAATACGACATTTCGACACACGACACTATAAGTTTGAACTTACCCAAAGAAAATGCGGAGCTTCAAATTGCGTTCCACAGAAACCAACATTGTTAACGTGAGCTGAAAAATAAGTAACACGTTAGGACCAAATACTCAAATATAGTCATTTAGTTAATATCAATACAGTTTATCAAACAACTCGACGGTGATGGACATCAACTGTTTAAAACCAAGGTACCTCTCTAGTGAAAACAACCTAGGCTCACGTCGAGGTGATCACTGAAATATTCATAATAGTCAAGTGTGATGAATTGGCAATGTATTTATCAGTCACTTTTTGGCAAATAATAAGCAATTTGGTGTATAAATATGCTAAAACGAAGCAAATAATATTTCTGTAGAATTATTCTTAAATCCATTCATTTTTATATGGGAACGAAGGCGAAAACAAAGTAATATCAAATTTCACAGTACCGTAAGTCTACCTTATCAAAAACTCCTGACTTTGCTATGAATCCCATAAATCCCACAGGCACTTTTGAAATAATTAAAGTAATGGCTTTCTAGCGACCACAACGATCTGTAACCACCGGAAATTCCAAAGCAATTTGTAGACAGTAGTTTTAGAAAAAGGCTCCATTAGTTAAGAGAAAGGCGATTTTTTTCACAACAACAAAATACAACAAAAACAAGAATACAACGACAACAACAACGATTGAAAAACGATCCATGGTCATCTTCGTGTACAATACATCAAAACTGGTAAAAATAACTATAACTTACGACATTCAATTTCATCTCTGTTGTTTGGACAATCTTTGATTCCGTTGCATTGTTTGTCATCTGGTATACACGATCGATCCCAACATCGAAATTCGTTTGGCTGGCACGCAGCTTGAAGTAAAAAAAATTATCAATTCAAACTAAGTCAAGTGAAATATAAATTCAAGACACCAAAAATATATTTCTACATACAGAAAATCGAATGTAATTGGATATTTTGTCAAATATAAGTAATAACAGGTCAAATTTATGGAATAGGTAAAAAGTTTGCAGTTTGCAACCATTCGCAATAGCAGGGTTCACATTCACAATAATTACAATCGAATTCCACTCAATTACATTTTTAACTCGAACTTACGAATTGCTGTCCAGTTTAGTTTAAATCCGGCGTTCGTTGCTGATTCGTCACTTCGAAAAGTTATTAAAAGTTCATTTGAACTTGATTCAAAGCTACGAATTGTTTTATTATTACCACATAGGGTTTCATCAAATATCTGAACAAAATATATTTCTATGAAGTCAGATGCAAAAAACATAGAGGACCCACTTCGTTAAAAAAATTGTGAATAAAAAATATAGTGAAAATATCGCCATTTTTTGTCTAACTGACAACCAAGATATTTGAATATTCTTTTCCTTAGCATAGAATTGATATACAATATCTTTGGTATGATTAATTCAATGGGAGAAAAGTTGGAAAATAAATTGGATAATTTACATTCGTGTTGCAGTTGTTAAGTGCCGTTTTCGAATTCAGTGTAGTTACTCACTTATCAGAGGCTGCTTATACATAGCACAGTGTGGAGTAACGGCACAAAATGGCGTTTTGAACATCACCAAATATCCTAACACTATATATATTAAATTTCTAAAAAAGACGACTCATTTACGAAATATTGCAACCATCGTAATGTGCTTTGATACAGCTGGAGCCGGAATGGTAAAAATGGTTCGTAAAATACTTCTTATTAAATTTTTTTTATACCTTTCTGGAACTTTCACTATTCCCGTCATATATCTTCACATAGTCGTATGTGCATGTTGGGAAGGCTTCAACATCAAAATATTGAAAATCTACATCAATGAGCTTATCATATAGAGAACAGAAAAACAAAGTTAAGCTCGGAAATAGTAATACCAATGATGATAAAGTAAAGCGGGATTAAAAACACAAAGACAATCGATTATCGCGAGGTGACTATTACGAAATAGTTACAAAGGGCTGAGATATAAAATGAATTGTTTAACCCCCACCTGACTGCGTCATCCAAAAATTATGTCACAATCGTGTCATAGAGCTTGCCAAGGTATACCTCTGATCGCCTGTAATGGCATCTGCGCCGACAATGATCGCCGACAGATCTCTCTCACATTGGGATTGTTGTGACGCATAAAATAGCTCGTTCGATTTGGATGACAGTTCGTATAGTTTGAAGGGCCTTATAAAATCATCGTGACTAATTTTTGGATGACAGTCAGGTTGAGGTTAAGACCTTCTTATATAGGAAATACGCTTTACGCTTTGGGCGAGCTATCCCTTTGGTGGTCGACACCTGGCACAATATCATTAACGTTGGCATGTATAATTCGAAAAATTTGCAGAGTTCTTGATCAAAGATGTTATAGCGAATTATTTTGTGGAAAAGGGGATTAAATATCGATCATTACAATACAATTGTCTTTCAAAAACCAGAGCACTTGGATTGATAATATTTATCACACAACTTGCGTTGTGGCATTATTGATCAGTTTGATCACTCGAATAGTATGCGCTTCGGTGATGCAATAGAAACAAACTGACCATGTTGGCTGGGGCACGTAGAAGCCAAGAACAAACAAAATTGATTGGATATTTTCCGTCAACTGTTGGAATTTCAACTTCCCCCGATTCTCCTTCCTGAACTTGACGATCTTCGCATTCTAAATTAACGTGTGTGAATGAAGACATGTTATTCTCAGAACACCGTTATTATAATAAATTATTAAATAACGACTAGCAAAGTTATCATATATCAAAATATTTTGAATCCAATTACTAATATATATATATATTGATTATAGAATTACTATTCAAGGTTATTTGATCTTTGAGCAACAGGGCAACCTTGAGGCATGTAAACAATATAAGAGAAGCATATATATGATTTATTTCAAGATGTTATGTGTGACAAAATCAATGTTCTAAAATATCGTCAATTTTATCTTTAATTATTCCCTTTCCGAAGCATATTGTGATTTCTACAAAAACACTGTCTCAAAAATCGCATTGTTAATATTTTCGATGCAAATCAATATAACAGTCTACTTACGACTTCGTGCTATAGCTGTAAATGCAAAGAAAATAGGTTAAACTCGAAGGTGCAACAATTTTATGATAGCAAAATACACGATATACATTTTACTGTCAATCGCACCTCAATATTCCTTATAATTGCACGAGAAGAGTGAAATAAATTTTGTTGGCCAACTGAGGCCCAAGACAAAGAATACGACAATCCAACAACGACAGCTCTCATCTGACTGGTGATCATTGTTTAGATTAAAATGATGATTGAAATGAACAACATATTAAAAATTTGTCATACTTCCGTCTATCCAATTCTTGTAGCTTGAAACTCTTTCAAAGAAGATGTGATCTCCGCACATAATGCTGGATGCAAACGAAACAATTCCGTATTGTTGCCAAGAACCGCCTACGAGACATTGGAGAGGACCACCGGAATCTCTCTGGAAGTTAACAATTAAAATAATCTAGTAAATTTTGACTGTTTTAATAAAAAAATGAATATCACTACAGAGAGAGTATTGCAAAATGCAAACTTGGAAGCATATCACAAAAATTTAATTGAGCAATACTCAGATATGTGGACACGAAAGTCACATGACTAATATGACCACCTCAATATCAACAATATTTTAGTCAAATGTTAAGGAATAGTACCAAATGTTAGAAAAACAAAATAGATTTGAAGTGAAATACTGTAACCTTGTAGAACTCAGTCAAAATTTGACAAAAAAATATTTATACATCTGAAAGTTAGGGCCCTCTGATTACGCATTGTATCCAACAACAATAACAGTATAGCGAAACGCTATAAAAGTAAGACGAGTTCTTCAAAGGGTCACATACCAAGCAAGCGTTAGCTCTTTTATGTTTATGTCCTGCACAAATCAGGTTGTTTGGTAAGGTAGTCAGAGGATAACCCGGAACTACTAGTCTGAAGTTATCTATACAATCAGCGTCACTTAGCACAGTTAGTTCAACTTGCTGAAGATATCTTGGTCCTGGCAGATTTGGAGCAGCAACTGCGGAATTAAAATTAAAATAATCAGACTGCAAGTAATGCAACTGATTCGTAACCAAAAAGTCAATGACCAGGAAATACAAAATTGCTTTACTTTTGTTTAATTAATACTTTTATGTCTATATGTTGTCCTCATGCATAAATTAACGGAGCAGAATATTGTCAAATCACACATGACTATTGATAGATGCACTGGTATGTGTGGCAACCATAAGCAGAAGCAAAAACTTGAGAGAACTCTTTCAGTTCTCGGTTGTGGATATCAATTTCAGTAATGCTGATTATGATACAAATTTTATCGTAATGAGGCAAACAAACTACACTCTGTGATCTTGTTGCTTTAGATAAAACTACGAATAACATGTTACCCTTACCCGGATTTATAGAAAATAATTCTTTATTTATTTTAAAAGTATGGTATGAACCGATTGAAAAAAGTCAATATATTATATTATGAATACTATACACACATGTAATTCCCCAACCCGTCAAAATACAAGTAGATCCAACAGCTGGATTAACGTCGTTCAATGAAGGTAAGCATATAGGCTTAATCCATTTTGAGTATTTTGCCTCTTGAGACAGTTCCAATAAAGCTATGTCATCAATTCCTGAGCTACAGTAATAGAAAATATATATGTGTTTGGAAAAATCCAGAAGGACTAATTTGAGAATCGTTATGAAGCTGTTGTAGATGAACCGCCTTTTTAAAATCATTAAACTAATTACGTAGTCAATCATATTTTGAATTTTATTTCCTAGGCGGAACAATATAAAAAGGTTTGGAACAAGTTTTCTTCCTCAATTCAAATCAAAACACAGCCCTTACAACTGTGATTTATTGGTAAAATTAGGGAATATTGAGTCTAATGCACGATTTTTCCACGACTACTTGCCTTATGTAATCTGGATTTTTGTATAGCTTTGCTACACTAATTCTTCTTTCGTTCAGACTGATATAACTAAGGTCAAAATCCCCCACGACTACATCATAAGATTTTGATCTGGAAAATAAACAAATTAATCCTTGGGTTGCCGAAAAAGCCCATCCACAAATCGACATGTGTTTTATTAGTCCTAAAGTTGAATTAAGAATATACTTTATCGTAATGCAATTAATTATTCAGCACTTTCTGATTGGTGAGAAGTTCTAAACGCCACTTACTCGTCAATACAATGTGTGGCTGTTAGAACCCAACTTTGAGAAATGAGAGTTGCTCCACAGGATAAGTTTGTACTACCTGATTCAAATAGTTCGACTTGCCACGGCCAACTTCCCTCGGCCGCATTACTGCCTCCGACAAGTAATGGATACTAGAAAAGCAATAGAAAGAATAGAGAGTAAATATACCAGTTCCACTTCTGAACAATAAATACTAATATAAAAATACTGAATATTTCGTATGGATAATTCTTTCATCAGACCATTTCAGCCCGCGATTACGTCGATATTACCCACATGAACACAATATTATCTTAAATTTATGTATGCAATTAAAAAATTTTGACACTTGCCCACGGAATAACAGGTGATTCTTCAGCTTTTCCACATTCAGCAGATACGTTTTGTGCAAGGGCTGCAAATATTGAATGATAAATGCATATTTATTTACAAAAGTTTGTTTCAGGTTCGAGTTAGAATTTTAAGATCTAATGTTGTAAAGCAAAAATTTTGAATCGTCAAATTTCACTAATTTTTGAAAACTAGCCTATCAGTTAAGTTAAGTTTTACTTATACTTACTTTAAATGCGTTTAGTTAACGTTAAACAACAATGAACGTTAGTTTCCTCCGTGTCATTATATTTTTATTCTGCTCTTTTGTTTAATTAATTAGTCATTTTTCTATTCGTTATTTTTAGTTGCTATTGAATCGTGTTGCAGATTAATTTACCACAAAGAATTTCATCTGATCCATCTGAACAATCGTTGTTTCCGTCACACTTATTATCAGATGGTATGCAACTTTTATTCCAACATCGGAATTCTTCTGGTGAGCAATCATCTGAATATTGATTATATATTTGATTATCGTTAACATTGATCTTTAAAATATTTCGTAGATACGATTCGCCTATGTCGTTACTCACCGAAATAATTCCAAGATATATACAAACATTTATTAAACTTTTAAGGCAAGACAAATAGGATTTACCATCAAGAGACCAAGAAATTGAAAACCCAGTTTCTTCGTAAGAATTGTCGCTTGAAAATTCAATTATCATCGAGTTTGATGACGATTCAAAATCGGGTGGGGCAAATGAACCGCAAAATCTTTTGTCCAAATACTGTGAAACGATGCAAAAAAAATTGATTTCCGGATAAATACAAATGATAGCACAAAATCATCATAAGAAAGTAGCACATAGTTTGAATAAAAATTAAAAAAAAACTTTAGGTAAACCAGAACCTATTGATTAACTTTCTTCTTAAAAAGCCTTCGCCAATATATTACAACTAGTGATTGTAAAAAATTGGTACCTTTCTTGCTGCCGTAGACGAACCGTCATAAATAACCATGTAATCATATGGACAAAATTCTCCGCCAAATTCGATATTGAACGAGTCACCGAATCTAATGGTAATCCTCTGAAATTATTTTTTAAGTCAAAAAATAATTTTCAAGTTTTATATGATTTTATAATCAATTTCGTCATTATATCCTACCTTGTTTGATGGAGCGTTTATGAACCATTGGTAGAACACATTTTGTGGATATTTTGGATAGTTTTCGTAGTCTAATGCGGGAAATATCAACGATCCATTTTGACTTTCTGCATTTATCACAAATGCCCCTGAAAAGTAGAAATCTAAGTTACGTTTTGGGTTGCATAAACCTTTCTTGAAGCCAAACAGACTTGTATTATGTAGCTTTTATCAACTGGTAATAGATGAGAACTCCATATTGCTAGAAAACATTGTAATAATAATTAAAGGGCATTGTATACTGATATTTAAGTAAGGTGTATTTTTTTATGCTAAGATATCCGTTGACAAGGCATAAAATGAACAACGAAATATTTTTTTGAAAACTTACGTTTTATAGGACCTGGCTGACCGTCTTGTAAAACTGTAAAATCAATGTTTGTTTGAATATATAGTTAGATACTTTTACATTTATTCTCTCTTATAAGACAAATGCGATGGACAACATTAAAATAATTTAAAGAGATTGGGCTTTAATAACAAAGTGTCATCTCCAGGGTTGCTCTTTTAAAACCCTTCGCAAAAACAGTTTTAAATGATTTGAAATTGTGACAGACAAATTAATACTTCGGTTCCATGGTCACTAATAACAACTCAACCAATAAATTAAATGCCACCTTAAATCCTCTGGTAATTACATGCATAGATATCGAGGTATATAAACTTGACTAATAATTTTGACAGTGGTTATAGCAGCTTTCAGACTGTTCTGTCGTAAAGATGACCACAACACGGGAGTGGATCCTAAATAAAATTTCAAAACTTGTAATCTTCATATGCAAATTAAATTTTGTTAACTCTTACATGGTTGTAGGTAAGGAACAAAAGCCGGAATACTAGTCAAATATGTTGGTTTGCCTTGGGCTCCACATTGATGAGAAAAGGAAATAATTCCGATGACTTCCCAACTCGAATTACTATTCAGTATCACAGCTGGTCCTCCTGAATCACCCTGACATTTAAAAAAGAGCTTTATCGCGGATTGGAGTTATGTAGTGTGCGAAAGAAAGTAGAATTGTACTTTATTGCATGGCTTTTTGACGTTAGAAAATGTAAAAACCGACATAATATACTATGAGCAATGCTGGTACAATACAGTTATTTGACTGAAATGAACATCAACTGAAATCATCAAGTTAATGCGAAATTACCAGTAAATTTACAGAGAAAATTTCGCTAACAATCTGATCATAGGGTTTGTTTTGCAGTCGATACCGTATGGAATTGAACAATTTATGATACATATGTACGAAATGCACCAATTTCAACAAACTACAAATATTGAGAAAAGATCAAGCAGTTTATTGTTAATCGTCAGATCATTTATATTTTTATTACTTGCGATATAAATTAAGCACATATATATAATATCAGGATTAAAAAAAACGAGTGTTGGGTAAAACATATACCTGGCAAGCTCCCATTCCAGCACCATCGACGCCCAAACATATTGTTGATGTCGGGAGAAGTGTAGTGGGTGAAAGTTCACTGAACGATTTATTGCATTGGTCCAACATTAATACAGGAAGACGAACTTGTCGTAAAACTTCTGATAAACCAGTTTCAGTGTATGCTGAATGAAATCACAACAAACATATTGAAAATCCAGGAGCTTTATTGCTGAGTGTTGTTTTCGATGTATGGAATGCTTCAAAATTACGTTTTACTATGTTGTCTGGCAAGGAGACCTTTTTGTAGAATGTCATCAAACTTTATTGCTTACAATAAAGCTATGCCACTTGGTAGATGATTAAATATTAAAGCATATTTGAATTATAATATGTCAATAATGCCTCTACCAATATTTGGAAACACACGATTGTTTTTCTCCGGATATCAAGAGAACAGTGCTCAAATATATGGACAGGGAGGCCAAAACGAAATATTAGAAGGATGCAATATTTCACAGTAGACTATTTGTACCGCAGTCATCAAGCTACAAACGCGAAAGGGTAATCGCCACAATGTGGAAAATTTTAAATTTTGATCACGTCATCGCACACAAAAAACGAATCCCATAGGACCCGCAGATATTTTTGAAATAAATAAAACAGTCTTTCTAGCGACAATTACAATCTTTCACCACTGGAAATTTTTAGGCAATTGGTCATGTAATTGGAAAGAAAAGCGATTTTCTACTACCACACTAATAACAGCAAAAGAAAGATACTAGCAACATTAACATAATAACAAAACGATTGATAGGTCCACGCCTTGTCCAAGAAGATACAGACGACACAAAGACATTTTTAACTTTAATTCTGATGCAACAAAAAAATGTCGAAACATAATTTTAAAGCATCCTAAAATACTTCCGAGTATATCAAATAATTTCAATAGCTAATGGAACGCAATTTATCGTCGTTCATGCTATAGTCAAAACACTAGTCAGTTTGTTTACTTGGTTGCAACCTTCATTGATTGAATGTAAAGAATTGATTTTGGTAAAATACTCACAATTACGACCCCATCCAGTCACAATAGCGGTCTCTCCTGTCTCTGGATTCCGAGTAGGCAGACAAATACTTTTTACCCATTTTGTATTATTTGCTTCATTGGAAAGATGGAGAAGAGCTATATCGTTGCCTTCAAGATATCCTTGAGAGTTGTGATGACTAAAGTAAAATGAATTTGCTTCGAAACTTTTTGAAACATCAAGTTAAAATAATTAGTGGGAATGAATAGGAGATTTCTGACTGTGTATGAATTGGAAGAATTTGAAACGAAGCTCCGTTTATACTACAAGTCGTTCGTCACATTAATTCGGTCGAATTCGCAAAGCATCATAAAATATGATAGTATAAGATTTACATATTTATTCCGCGGGAAAGAAAGGCCGACAGGCCGGTTCAATCATATGAGGAACCACGGCCTCTCGTCCAGTTACCAGTCCTTGTCGGGTATGAGATTAGTTTGCCAGTTATTTGCATAGACTTGATGGTGGAAGAAGCTGTGAATAGGGCTGGGCGTTTCGAAACACTGTTTCGATACGTTTCGAAACACTGATATGTCGAAACGGCGCTGTTTCGACTTCCGAAACGGATATTATGACGTCATAGCAAATGCAACCAGAAATCAGTCAAGGTATTATTCAGCGATGTCCAATTCGAAATTAATATCCGAATTTGTTCGAATATTGCGACTCTCAAATATCGTTTTTAGTGTTTATAAGAATATTGGATATCGCGCACAAGTCCTAGCGCCGCCGTCCACGTTTTGATTGAAAACATTTCACAATTATTTCATTTTTTATGTTTTTTCGTAATCGGAGACACCATTTGCGACGCGCAATAAATGACTGCCGACATGAAATGATTCAAGTCAGCGCCGACTTGCAGTATTTATAACACATCGGGGAAGTTTTCGATTGAAAATATTTTACAATTATTATCGTATATTTCAACATTGTCGAGATAGTCTGTGTTAGCGCGGCAATAAATATAAAATCAAATTTTGTCGTAATTAACCTTTTTCATCCTTCGTTTCGATAGTGACCGAGCATTTCTTGCATTTACCTCATATGGAATAGCTCTAAATATTATTTAGTATCTATCGCAGATTTTATTGTTAGACTGCCGTCGTTAATAATAATAAAGTTCAGTTTAAGTTTGTGGTATTAATTTAACAACAATAATAAAAGCACAACAGTCGACATGAAATATTTAAATCAGAGCTGCCGTTAAGAAAAATAAAACGCGATTTTCAGTCTCAATTATCCGTCATTGGCGGATGGAAATTTGTGAATCGGGTCCACTCATTTGATTACGACGATGATCACGTTATAAGCAAAATAAAAATCAATTCCCACCAGTAGCACAACAGTCAATATTTGTGGGAAGGGGTAATTGTGGCCGAATTTAGTTGAACGATGTCGATGTCACGCTGACGATAAACAGTCAGTGAGTTAATGTTAATTTTACTGAATATTTTAAAACATTTCTCTGGGCGCCTAGTTTTTTTTCTGTGCTTAGCAAGATAGGCCACAATTCATAACTACTGTAATGTTTAACAAGTCCATTTCCCTAGAGCGAAAATAACTAATTTCACTCAATGATAATATCATAAAAGCCCATTTTCTATGTTCCTGGAGTTTAGAATGTATTCGGAATTCAGATTGAAAAATGTTTTTTACAATGTACTGGATCACGAGGATCTGTGGCGTCGGATAAAGTAGAAAATGAGCATTGATACGTTGAGAGCCTCATATGCTATTCTGCTTGTGAGCCCCATCTCTAACAATGACGTAATTCGTATTATTCTGGTGCCATTTGGTCACTGCTTTGTCATTAAGCAGAAACCTTCTTGGAATTATCATCATCGGTTCATGCTCACGAATTAGCCACCATTGCTTCCTTTTTGTGGTTTTAATACTGGAAAATATGTGCCATTGTCCATTATATATATATACATTAAATTCGTTGGGTAATATTGGTGACATGTTTTACTGTCTGTGACAAACGTGTGTTTCGTTTCGTTTCGACGGCGAAACTTCGTTCCGATTTCTAAACACCAGTGTTTCGAAAATGCCCAGCCCTAGCCGTGGTAATTTGCGAACCTCGTGATATGAACGAAATTGGAGTAAATTTGGACTAAAAGCCGAAAAAGTATCGATCATAATTTGTAAGCGATTGTAGGTATATAATAGTGAAACTGCTGGTAATTGGGTAACAGTTTCGTTAAAAACATCGCAGTTAAGTGCAGTACAAAATTGGCTAAAGAGGAATATAAATTGATGTCATTGAAAAATAAATAACTCAGTTTACTCAATTTACACTTTTTATTTATACTAAAAAAATAATTGACTTGATGCGCGTGAATTTGTCAAATGTCAAAAGATATTTCCTCGTGGCATTGTTAAAATGTCATAGCATTGTGTATGTTACTAATGTCAGAATTTTGTCCGAAATCATTAAATACATCACTGAAACAAGATGACTATTTGGTAAGAGAACATTGACTTCAATAACATTTCATGTTAAGTTCAACTTGTGTATAGAACGTATATCATAATTATAATTATATATGTTACGCACTTCCGAAAGCATTTGTGTTTCGTATACAATGCCTGGGATAAAGACGTTTTTATTTAACCTAATCCCAATAATGATGCTACTGAGTTATTTTTGGACGCTATTGAATGAAACAGAGTTCATGTGCACTTTTCATTCAGCGGATTCAGTGGGAGCTCATAATACAAATATCGACTTCATCGCTTCTGAATAACTGAATAAAATGCAATTTGCTATGAATTTCAAACGTTTTTCATAATGTGGCAGTCTTGATTCACTCCAGAAAGTTTTACGGGAAATACCATAGCATTACACATCAATGGGGGTCAGTCTGTAAAAATTATTTCGAGTGAATATCTTTATGCAGTAAAATTACCGAATATTACAAGGTGATTCGCGATGAGATATTTCAGAAAATATCTTTGAAACCACCTGACTTGATTGGCCGATTTTTCGCGCCACTTTTTAGCTTCCCGGTGATCATTACCGGTTATCTTCCGCGAATCTGTTACTGCATCAAATGGTTAACTTTTTACCACGAAAATCTTCCACAAAAGGATAATCTCTTTGGAATTGATAATTATTGGTCTTACTTATATTTCGGATGAACGTAAATTTCATCTGCTGTGATTATCTGTTCTTTTGTGACGTCAATGGTTGTGGTATTATGATCACCCAAAACAACGGACATCGTGTATCTGAAAATATCAAAATAATTTGTATGACGTCATTGTTTTACAAAAACAACGGAATAAAACATGAATATCGAATTTGCGATCATTTGTTCATAACTGTATTACTTTTTGAAATTTTGTCAAATGCCGTGTCGAATGTTTTAGCTTGTATTTAACAAATTCCGCAAATAATAATATATACCCTTTGGTTATGCAATGTGCCGCAGTCATCACCCATTCGTCAGAAATCAAGACTCCGCTGCATACCATCTTTCCTGCAGATAATACACCAGTCTGCCAAGGCCATGAGCCTTGCTTTGCCGCGGATCCACCTATTATCCTGTGTTCCTGAGTATTTAATATGGCATATTATGAGATTATCATACAATCAAAAGCATCATAGCATCAGCGACTATGATTAGACGACTTTGAATGTATATTTGCCTGAATGCCATGGCCTGAAAGCGTATCTTAAAGGCCGTAGTGATGTATGCATTCGCTGTACAATAGGCAATTTATCTCCAAAATAATCTGTAAAACGTTTTAAGTTGAATTTTATTTAGAAACGAAAGAGGGAATCTTACCCATATAAAATCAGCCGCAATTTCTGGCTTGCCGCATTCATTTTCCGCTTGTGTAGAGGCTGTTAAACAATATTAAAGAACACTTTAACATGCAAATGCATGCGTCAGTTAACAAGCGTAATTTCGCTTTGGTATGTAATTTATTTTTAACATTTTTGCCATAATCGAAAATATTTAGTTTACTGCGTTTTTAATAGAAAAAAAGACAAATATTTATCATGAGAACCATTCTACACCAGATACCTTTACCTAAAGAATTTAAATACCGGTGAGTGATCCAAATAATATAATCAAACTTATTAATGCTATATCAAACTGTACAATACACACCGTAGCCGTGAAGAACCCGAATAAATGGGCTACACTACAGTATATTTTTATGCACGCACTTGAACTGATACCGAACAACTTTTGAGATAGGTACGGGCTCTCCAAACAGTCTGTCGAAGTAATAAAAACACTCTATTGGACACGCATTCTCTCACCTGAGTACCCATAGTGCAATATAATGGGACGTATTCATCTAACTTTAGGTCTCGACTACCATACAATTGTAAACGAATAATGAAAGTGATGAAACTCACCACATGATGCTTCGTCGGCAGGATCATTTGGGCAATCTATTTTACCATCACATTTATATGTTATATCAACACAACTTCCATCCCAGCATTGAAATAAATTGCTGGCGCATTCCACTGAAAGGGTAAATTTAGGAGCTTATTATTTATAAACGCTTTCAAAACTGTGGATACAAAATAAATAAAACTTTTATCATCCAAAATATCTAGTGAATTATTATCTAATATGAATACATCGAAAACAATTTGCAGCACTGAAAAAAAAACGTTGCATGAAAGGTTATCGTGAAATTTATATATATTCAGCTATATATTATACTCTTGCTCGGTGATGTTTCCAGTGAGACTTAAGTAGCCGTGCACGGTGCGTTATTTGATATTTCAGTACAGTGGTTCCAAGCAATGAATGCATGGACTTTGTGTATTCATAATAATATGTTATGGGTTCGTGAGCTTTGCATGCATATTGTAGAAAAAAATAACGCGAGAGAGCAGTGCTCAAATATACGGACACAAAAGACAAGCAAGTATCTACGAGGATCTTTTACAGTGAACCACCGGTGCCGCAGTCTTCACGACTTCGCCTGACTACCAGATAGTAGCAATCGCGATCCGGAACCACCACTAGGTGCGCAATTTTTAATTTTGATATTGTCGCACAGAAAAAAACAAAAAATTTTGAAATAAATAAAGCTAATAGCTTTCTAGCGACAACAACAATCTTCAACCACTGAAAATTTCAAAGCAATTGAGCAATTGAAAGGGGAAGTTTTCGACGATAACTAGGGCGAGGCATTTTCGAATACCTGATGATTTCAGAATCGAATCGAATATTTTTTTCTAATCGAATCTTGAATACTTGAGAGATATATATTTGTATGTAACTTTCTATTGCAATGAACATTCAGGCACAAAAATTACCGAAAACATATATTACAACACTTAGACAGATTGCTGATCGTTCACACACAATAAAAAACACGTTTTTCTCACATCTCACTATCAAAAATAGTCATATGTCAAAATTGCGCTGGAAAAATATGGCTCCAATAAAAAGTAGTTGAGAAATTCACCCGACCATCGGCGGAAAAAAAAAACAAGATGGCGGCGATTCGAAATATTGTTCTGAACCGATTCGAATAATTTACTATTCGATTCGAATATTCGATTCAAAATGTCTATCTGTACAGATGACATATGAGCCATCCAAATCCAAGTTGGTTTCTATGTTTATCATCATGAAAATTGTTTCTAGTATAGACTACATGACACAGCCAGTATTAACTAGTCCATAAGAAAATCTCATAACATACCTTCTGATGTCCAATTTAAAGAAAACCCAACTGCATCCCCAGCTAAAGTGCCGCTGTTGAAAACTAACGTCAAATGATTTGTTGATGACAGAAATCCTCTTGGTGCATGTTCACCGCAAAAATTGTGCTGAAACTGCAAAAAATATGAACACAATAAAAAATAATAATGGGCGATCTTCAATTCCACTTCATCAAAGGAAAATTATTTTTAGTCAGATGTAATTAATAAAGTTTTTTGTTATAGGTGAAACAACAAATTAGACTGGAGCCAAAATAAGATTCGTTTCTCATTTGAAATCTTATTATACTTTATTGTCGATGTCTTTATTGTCGATGTTCAGCAAATAGCGAAGAAATAATCCCAATGTGTTTTCAATAGCGAACAAAATACAAACAGATCAAGACTGGAATACCTCAAACTTGTTATTTGTTTTCATTGCTAAAAGTACCTGTGGTAACAAGGTTTTAGAAACAATACAAATAATATGTAAAATAGTTCTGATTATCTATCTATAATAGTAAATTACTCTTTAAAATACCCAAATAATTACTATGTGGTAGTCCCACACGCATGAAAGATGACAGTTCTATTAAATAACCATAAATTATTTTAAGACAAAAATTTAGACGTGTGTACTCAAAGTCAATACCGTAAAGTTCTAGTAAAATTACTCAGTTTCAATAATACTTCATAAAATATTCAAATGTCATCATAATTACCGGTTTGTGTACTTGAAATTGGCTTTCAATAAAAGTGAACAACTAGTTTTAGGAAAGGTCGTCTTAACAAAACACGTTGGATTCAGAATTCATATCCAACCTAACCGTTAATCCGTGTAGACAAACAAATGAAAATTTCAAGATGATATTAAAATTTCCACTTGGTTAACTGATATATCAAATTATATCGATTTATATTATTGAGCTCGTTAAATGTATTTTTCTCTTATATATAACTGGAGATATGCAATATATTTATATATATATATATATATATTAACTGAAACACGGGCGATTATCGCAAAACAATAGTGTAAAAACTATTTAAGTAATTGCTTTCATGTATATATACAGATCATAAACATTTGATACAAATAGTATACTTTTTTGTGAACACATAGTCTTAAAAGAGAATGCCGAAATCAAACAAGAGAGCAATGCTCACAAGAAAGCCTAAACGAAGTAGTATCAAATAATTCACAGTACCGGTAGTCTGACCACCAAATTACTGAGATGTGATCACGGAACCACGGCACGGTGCGCAATTTTTAATTTTTATGACGTCATCACAGAAAACTGTATGAGTAAAAAGCTCATGAAGCCCACTCAAATAAATAAAAGTCCCCTTCTGGTGACAACAACAAGATTTAACCACTAATATTTTCGAAGCAATTGATCCAGTAGTTGAAGGGAAAAGCGAGTTTTTCCCAACAACAACAACATAATAAAACGATTTGTTATTGCTGTATTTGACAAACAACTGCAAATAACACAACACCATGAAGGGTCGTAAGACATAGGATGAATCGCATTTCATGTTCTCATTTCATCCTCTGTACGAGTATTGGCATATTTCCAAAAACTTTGTAGTTCTCCTTTCTAATGTAAATTTGTGAGCAAACACGACATGCTCAATTTATGGGTCAATATAAAAATAGTCTACTCACGAGCACAAATTTACTTAGACGACATCAGACCTATTTTAGACCCATTCAATGTTGCTGAACTGTTAACCCAATTCGTGTTCCTAAGAATTTTGTACAAATTGCTGTACAAAAAATTTGTCTGCGATGTATTCAGAAATCCAGACTTTCGCTTTAAACAAAGACATTGAAAATCACATATTGAATGGTATTTTTAAACGTAGAAAGGCGAACCGGCAAATGAGAATAACTAAATTTCAAGTCAATACATAGAAACATAATATTTGCTGAACTTAATTTTACCTGTTTGGAAGAAATCGATGATCCATCAAAAATTTGCAGATAATCAGTCGTACATGAGGATATTGGTTTAACAAAGAAAACATTGTGGAATTGAACAGCAATTCTCTGAAAATGTAATTCAACACTCTTAATATTTTTATATACGAGATTAATTGTTGGAATAATGTCTTTTTGCTATTTGCTAGTAGTACGAAACATATTGAGCAAGGGATGTCTGTTATTCTAATTTTTTAAATATTTTTTTAAAATAATATCTATTTATCTTTTTGTTGGCGCAAATAATTTAGTTCTAATTGTGAGATTTCAAACCATTGTCTTCTCTAATATACTCATAAAAACATACAAAAAATAAACAGTAAAGCACAATAAAATCAGTATTCTAAATAAAATAAATCATATAATTACCTCCCCAACTGACACAGAAATATGCCACACACAGTTCAAACTGTTTTCGTACGGAACAGGATAATAAGGCGAAGAAATCACCCCAGAAGACCCGTCTACGTATATCGGGCTTTGGCATTCCGCAGAATCTAATTTTAAAAAATAAATAAATGGAATAAATACGTAATTAAATGGACAGATTTCGACAGCATTATAAAGTTTCGAACTAAATAAACAATAAAGGCGCCGAAAGATAATGGCGAGTTGATATATTTGGGCATCTAAACCTTGATATAATTGTCACCCAAGTCATTGAAGATGTAAATCAAATGAGGACGTGCTTGGAGCATCACATCTGTATTTGTTAAAAAAGAAATTCCTCAAGACATTTTTCGGCAAATGGGATGTGTTTCGGTAAGTAAAGTAACACTTCAAACGAAATGAATAAGTCCAAATACCTCTGAGCAACCAGATATATTTAAATAACACAAAGTCTCTGAAGGACCAAAGTATCCATAGGAAAAGACCCAAGAAGAATACTTGGTCTAGTGAGTGAAGAAAATTCAGAAAATTACATCAAACAAAACACGTCTTCAAAAAGAACATTTAACATTGCTTTTTTCTCAAATATTTTTATATGATTTCTTACAATTTTAAGGATGATTAAACTAGATAATGAAACAAATGCAATAATTCTAGATCAAAGATGTTTTTCATTAGTTGCAGCTGTGACACTGACTAGGATCGGGCAAAATTGAAATAGCTCATGAATAGCGACGAATTTAGCGTATTTTAGTTTTGCTGTTTCTCATACAGCATGTACATTTTGTCGCGAAAGGGATGTAAAACGAAAAAAAGTCATTTTTGCCATTTTAACTGAAAATTCGGATGACGGATACATATTTTTGGTGTGTTCCCACTTTGTAATTTAAAACTGTGGTTTTCAGCGGGACATGAGAAGAGGCAAAACGAGTTTATATTACTTCAGTAGGTTGCTATCATTCTTGCTACATAGATTATATGAAATAGAATTATGCAATAAAGGCTTGACCCTAAATATTGAGATTCCATTTTTTGTAGAACTATGTAGTAATAAAGAACAAAAAAAAACAGAAACTGACAGCAAGCCATATATATAGAAATTTACTGTTAATAGATTTCAATCATATTGTTATTTCTTATAATGAATGAGTTTATTAACAACTATGGCGAGCAGGCTAGAAAAACTAACACACGTTGAATGCAAATAAAATTGTTATGTCGCTATAGAAACAAAATTCGTATTAAGCTATCTGCAAATATTCACAGAAAATGTAACTTTATTTATAAATAAATAACTTCCTGATTGATTACAAAAAAGATAGCTGCATAGTATAGAGGAATTGAAATTTGTAAATGAATTACAATGAGTAACATAATTTACCCTTGAGTCACACTACAAATTGATGAACTATTATTAATTTTACTAAATTTCACTATTTATATGTCATAAAACAATTTTGTAATAAATTTAGACATTTTTTTTTAAATGATAGAGCTATTCCCGAAATTTTGAATTTCGAAAATGTCGGAGTTGGATTCGAAGAAAAATTTAATGAAATGCTGTCATGAATCAGATTTTCTAAAATCGTTCGGAAAACTAAGAAGAAATGGAAGAATGTTCGACTATTCTATAGAAGTCGAAGACAAAACGTTCCCAGTACATAGGATTGTTCTTGTTGCGTGTTCAGGTCATTTTGAAGAAATGTTTTTGAACGAAACGAAAGAAATTGCAAAAACCAAAAAACTTGAAGGCGTTTCAGCTCAGAGTGTTGAGCAATGTATAAACTTCATGTACTCGGGAAAGATTAACTTGACAAAGGAAAACGCCGAAGAAATTCTACAAGCAGCAAGACTTTTAAAACTAGAGAGAGTGATTCAAGGTGCATTTGATGTAATGCAAAGTAATATTTCCACAGAAAATTGTCTTGCTGTTGTGACGTTAGGCCAGCAACTCAGAGAAAAGAAGATGACAAAACAGGCAGCTCAGTACGTTAAAAACAATTTTGACAAGCTATCGTCTTCACCCGATTTTCCATTTATTGCTAAACCGTTTTTTATTCATTGCCTACAAACGTGGAAAAAGGACCACTGTACAACATGGACGGCAATTATGGCTTGGTTGAAAGGAAGAAAAATTACTAACAACGAAAATCTGCTCGACTTTATGGATATCATCGATACTAAAAATTTCTCACTCGAATATATTGCTCGTACAGTGCTGAACGAGCCTCTCGTACAGAATTGCGATGTAGCTAAAAAAAATGTACTTGGGTATATATTCTCTGATGTGTTAAGGCTGAGAGAACAAATCACTCCTGAAAGTTTCTTTCCTATAAAGAAAGCTCAAGAAAAATACAAACTTGACAACGACTTAGAAGTTCTTGAAATCACAAACAAATTTGTTATGAGTCATTTCAAAGAAATTTCAGAAACTGAGGACTTCAAGCAGTTGACGCTGGAAAATCTTTTAAATTTTTTGGTATCGCCTGGAGGACGATTTTCTCACGAGGATGATAGATGGGGTGCTATGCTATTATGGATCAAAGGTAAACCAGATGCTGAAAATCGTTTTTATGAGCTTTTCAGAACATTAGATCTCAAACGTTTGTCACCAACGGGAATGGTTAAACTTAAAGCCGAGCCACTTGTGAATAATTCCAGCGAATGTAAAAATGTTCTGCTTGAATATATATTATCAAACCCAAAGGACAAAATGGTGTCTCGAACGAGGGATAAACGTATAGCGCTGTTAAATGCTATTGGACGAGAAATAGATGTTTTCAACCTTACTACAGCAGATTGGAGCAATCCGCCGAAAATTGAAAGATCCCCATATATGTGCATAGTTAATATTGAAAGTGATCTATATTTTATAACCCAAACTTCGCTTCTTAATCTTTCTAATTCCAATCGCTGGGAGAAGAAAGCGGATCCTGCATTGGATTGCGAACAGATTCAAGCTGTAGTTTTCCGGGGGTGCATTTACGTTGTGGGTGAAGAAACTATGCCGTTTTACGATCCTCGATCAGACAGTTGGTCTAAATCATTGCGAGGGTGTGGCTTAGAAAGTGGTTTCTGCGTGGCTGCGTCCGATGAAGGTATTTACGCAGTGGGTGGAATGTCATCCAAAGGATGCGAGGCGAGACGCTTTGATCCAGATAGCAAAACATGGAATATGATTCGCCGAATGATTACCGGAAGATTTGGTGCTTCTGCTGCTTGGTACAACGGAAAAATTTACGTGTTAGGTGGTGGATGGTATGGTGTTTCGTACGAAACAGTTGAATCTTACAAAATTACTGAAAACTTTTGGATTCGGGTGGCAAGCATGACTATCCCGCGTTCTTCGTTTAGCGCTATTGTCTTGGATCAAACTCTCTACGCCGTTGGTGGAGAACGTAATGCGGAACAAAAGGACATAAATTCAATTGAATTTTATAATATTAAACTAAAAAAATGGAGTGTGCTTCACACCATGCAATACAAGGGCATCATATGTGCGTGTGCTTACCCTTGACAACAATTTTTTAGATCAAACGAAGCATAGTGAGTGCGAAGATAACAGATGCAATTATACGCAAAAGAACTAATTAAAGATTTGCCTTTATCACAATAAGAACTGGTTAAATTGCCTTTAAGGTCCACTCTGTATTATAAAGTTACAGAACAAAAAATCGAAGTTCAACTTACCAACAGTCTTATAGTCGAAAGAGAATCCTGCTCCAGAGCCCGATACATCCGAAGTAAATTCAACTAATATTTCATTACTTTTTAAAACAATCGGACTTGCTTGTTTTGTACAAATTGTCTTCAGAATATTCTGAACAAAAATTTTGATGACAAGCTCTGTAGGCAATAATATGGAAAGACATTGCCGCTCAATGCCCAATATTATTTGCATAGATAAAACTAAAAAAATATATATATAATATACCCATAAAAACTTATACTATAGAACTAATAAATTTGAAAAATATAATATTGTCTTTTTCTGCTCGACTAGAGCTACGTTGTTACACCTGTCTGGAGTGGTGGGATGTCTGAAAGGGATGTCTTTTGTGAGCCTACTGTCCAAGCCATTTCTGAAATATTAGATCGCTAACCGTTTACAAAAATTTATACACAATTGATGACTGGGAATTTCATTTCGCTCTAAATAATATCTAAAGCGCTTCAATGTTGCGTGAGATAAGAATAAATGACTGAGCTTCTTTCTCATCGCACAGTCATATGCCGGTTCAAATAAAGCTTTACCCTGAAAATCATGCCCACGCATTGCCACCGTAACAGTCGACCACTGGTCATGTCCATAAATCAACGTGATCTTTGCTATTCATCTATTAATATTTTAGTCCGCCATTATGTTGTCTCCGGGAAACAAGAATACAACTTACGCTGGAATCTGCAGTTGTTCCTTTATAAATTCTCAGTGCATCATATGTACATCTTCCATCAGTACCTGATTCGATGTCTAAATTTGTGTCGAACTCAACAACAATGTACTGAAAATTAAATGATTAAAACTAAATAAAACTCGTAAATTTGCATTCTCATACAAGGTAATTAGAATAGTGTCTCCGCAAAGACCGTTGTTCGGATTCATAACCCCAATAAGCCTAATTTTCAGGAATATTATTGCCAACGGTCATATTTGGAGTCTTTTCTTCACTTTGAGATGAATTTTATTCATAGAGTCAGAGTTATCCAATGTGTCCCTCATAAATACTCAACGTACTTTTCCATCATCAACCATCAACTTCCACGAATATTTCAATAAATTTTGATAATTGGCTGGAAAACCAGGTGAAGTTATCGTTCCTTGATTCTCGGTTAACGTTACTTCTTGTGAACTTGGAATGCTGAGCACATCTGTGTAAATTAAAATACAATATAATATAATGAAGTGTACTGTAGTTTTTGACTCCCAACTTTCAAATACTGAAATGTGTAGACTTATTGATATTGTTGGCAAAACCGATGTAGGCCTAACCGCAATTTTGTACTCCAAATTCGAATTTCCAGATTTAGCAGATATTTTGATTCCTTAAAATGAAAACTAATTTTCCCGGCTTCCACCAATTAGAAATTTGAAAATACAGGTGGGATGAATACAAAAATAGTTTAAATATCATTCTTACATTTTTTTTATATTTCTTTAAATCACCAGGAGAAAGAGGTTATTCTGAATTTCCATGCAAGTTAGAGATAACTTTAAAATTATAGTTATTCTTACCGATTGTAGTCCAGTTAAAAGAGAACCCTGCCCCTTCAATATTTTCATTGCTGACAAAGTTGATTCCCATTGTATTTGTGTCCGTAATAAAACTATTGGGAGTGATGCCAGATCCACACATCTGAAAAAGTAAGTACAATAGCATGGGATTGGTACTTGTTCATGTACTATTATACCCCGAGTCATCGAATTAACCAAGGCTAATGTCAATTAAAAAGCAATGGTTTTATTTAATTCAATTTGTATTTGTAGTCCAATCAAACTGAGGTCAAATAGGTCAATATGAGACAAGTCAAATAAGTAATTTGGTATCTGTGACTCAATCTGATTCAGTTTAGGTTGTCCAGTCAGGATCATAAAACTATTTCCATGGTACCGTACATGGCTCACTGAGTGTTAAATTCATCTGGTTTATAAGTGTGATGAATTACTAATTTTTACGTAACGCTCGAGTTCTATCGTGGACAATAATTCTCCTCTGGTTCTAATAACTAACATATGTGAAATATGACACAAAAACACAAAAATATTATTTAACATTTAGAGGTCGAACAGGGGAGTAGTAAATTTCATATAAATCATACATTCCTAGTTGATATAAAATTGAACTTACTTTCATTGTAGTGCCCCCATATTCAATCAATAAATAATCTCGACATACTCCACTTCCAATTTCAATTGAAAATAATGGAGAAAACTTTACTGCAATTCTCTGCGAAAACGAGAGTATAAGAAAGTTAAAAATCTCAAGTTTAAAAAATTTGGTTGGTGAGGTTTCAATAACAGGTTGTGGTACCAGATACAAATGTTTTCGTAAGATGAGCATTAACATGTAATTTTATCAATCGTAAACTGTTTTTCAGCATTCGTACCAAAACAGACTGTCTGGGATTTTACATAACCAATACTATGCGGTATCACGTCGCTGGAGTGCTAACTAGATAATGCAGCACTAATAACAAACACCCCTTCATAAACGGTATAAGCAACCGTCAACGCGTATGTTGTCGGTAGCCCGATACCGTCTGCAAATCAGCAAGTCCCTATCAATTACATGACAACAACTAAACAAAATATTACCGTGTTGTTTGGTGTCTCAATTATCCAGGTGCAATTTTCTAATTCGAAATAAGCTTGTGGATAATTAGTGGACTGTATTGTACCAGAAGAAGCGTCGTTGATCGTTATTCCACCCGAGCATGGTTCTAAATTACAGTAATAGCGTCACATGTCTTACCAATTTTTTTATTAGATATGAACTTCTAATCGCTAAAGCTAGTAGCTTCTATTGTTAACAAATTTAAACTGTTGTTTTGATTCTTACACAATTTCGAGGAAGTTATGTTGTTATCTGATATAGTTTATCTCAGTAAGTTTTACCATCAATCCATACTATATATAAATATCATTGCCATCTGTGTACATTTTCAGCCAGTGTTTATTACATTATTATACCAATTAAACGTAAATTTCATTGTTAGTCGCTATAAGCTCTCGCTGGAATGTTTTGTACATATTTATGGTCCATGGCTGTTCTATTTATATTCTAACTATATGAACTTTTCTTTTGTTACTGTTTTCTATTGTAACAAATTTACCGTCTCCGTAGTCTGGATATTCGTAATCGCTTTGACAGGATGATTGTTGCAACAAGCTTAAACCAATAAGTAGTAAACACAGTGGTAGAAAATATCGTAATTGCATATTGAATAAGTACAAAATGTCTAGTGAAAAATAATAAGAAAATATTATTTTTGAAGGAGGCATACTTGACGTATTTTTGCCTGAGAATAAGTATACAACAATCGAGAACAAATATTTTTAATGGATAGGATCTTTTATTGTCTAACCGAATATAGAATTAAACAATTATCGGATGGACATTTGTTACACGACTTTTGTTACAGAAATGTTGTTGAAAAACGAACCTTGAATTTATTGAACCTGTACAAATTTGACATTACAAATTTACTGTGAGCAGAGCTATTTACAAAGGTGGCAATAGATATTAATTATTAACACGAAACTTGAAACGTTGTATTTGATATGTGCTGGTCCCTTAATTGGCTGACATCGTACTATACAAAACTGACAAATCAATACCGCCTGAAAAGCTAGGTAGGTAGTTTATTTTTCATATACAAATGATATGGTTGCAATCTGTCACTGGACATGACTGTGAATCAAACAAGTAAAACATTTGAAAGTTGCCTTTTTACTCGTATATTGAGTAAACTGACAAATGTGGGAGCTGGAAATTTAACGTTTTATCCTAAAAATGAAGGAGCGATAATGACATCACATGTTACGCTAAAGTTAAAGCAAATGTTAGACTAGAAGTAGTTTGTTCTTGGCATAATTTGCCACTGAAGTATTCAACTTGTGGTCTCAACTACAATACAAAATTAATATATCTAGACATCTCATGAACAATGAAAATTAGCCTCTACGAGCACAATCCAAATATTATCCCATATATTATCGGCATCTATTTCTTACGACTAATTTTCTCTACCAGGAGCGGACTACTCAAAACTATTTTATTGCTAAATCAGTTTTCGTAGATGGCGCGTGCCAATATTAGCTAAAGTTCCACTGAAGCGCGACCCACCGTAAACATTCTTAGGGATTTACAATGGCTATTTCTACCTTATAAATCGCAATTCAAACAAAATAGTGCAAACGTTTCAATAATAAGCTCAATAGCCTACGCCCTTACTGGAAAGACTTTGTCTTGCATTCTCATATTATGAAGAAAAGTCTTGCAACTTGTAGTAACGTTACGTGATTCAGCGAACTAAAACTGTTCTGCATGGCGAAGAGTCAATCTCCAATATCCAAAATAAATGACAATGATTTAGCAAATGACTTACAGTGACTACAGCAATGGGCTGTTGCTAAATGCGTCCAGAGGCAAATAGAAACTCTAAAATTCAACGTCTGGCAGCTTCTTTTATTATTTATCCACACTTGGGTAAGTTTTGTACTTTGACGTAATGTCTTTTTACTAAGGGTTTTTATGACAAATTCATTCGATATACTTTCTCCCATAAAGAATCAACAGACCAAAAACACCGTATAGATTTCATTACCCAGTAAAATCATAAACGTAGAACCCGTACGTGGAGTTTCTCATGCGTCATAGACGGCATTCTGAGAATTTAAAAATATTTGTTCAACACGACGTAATATACAGTTTTGGTTACCTGCCAATCTACAATTTTATTTCGATTCTACAACCATTATATCGTTCTCTAGCGCTAGAATAGCCTTAGAAAATATCTCAATAATGACGGGGCCAGTGACTGAACTACGAATAGTTTCGAGCACTATCACTAGCTATTTTTTAGCTACGATCTTGATACATAAAAAACGGCTATTGGCGCAGATGACATTTACCTGGTAATTCTGCGAAAACATCAAAACTAATTATTAGCGAGACAGGAAAAATACCTCGTACGTCGTGGAATAAAGCCTCGAAAAACGTCGGGATACCTCACAAATTAAACCTAATTTTCTTTTGAGTTAAGACAGACAGGTCTTACGCCTTCTATTGTGAACATTCCAAACGTGACGAGACCCCGTCAGATGATTTATTTTAGACCAAACACAGCCCCGAGTTACCTTAAAGGTATTGCTTTTCATGAAAATTCCTAGTCCAGAAATATAGTGAAGAAGACAATAGATAATGATGGCACCAAGCACAAAATCGGTATACTGCTACCGAGCGAGAAAACCAATTAAATCTAAAAAAATTGTTAAATTGTTACTATGGTTACCTTGTTTGCTAGGAACGAAGTGTACATATAAATCGTTTTTCTACTTTCTTTCCCCTTTGGGGTGTTTGTTGTTTCTGGAAAATTTACTTTTGTCTGCAACCATTAGACCAATCCATTTCAAAGATGACGATTCCTCTTTTTGGGGTACTGGGGGACCCGATATGTTACCCAATGTATTCATATATTGCAGTATTGCTCTTTTGTTTACGTTTAGTATTGGCCAACGTATCTGAGTGTGCTATTGAATTAATTAAATTTATAGGGTGCATGGGAAATTATTTCGGTGTAAAAGATGACAAGATTGTTCTTGGATCGTGAAAGCTACACGTTACTAATTACGAATGTATCAAAACGGTCACGATCCGACCATCCCAGACTTGAACGCCGTGTGATAGTTCGCGCATTCACTCTTCACAATTGGGAAAGAAATTGATATAACTTTGCAAAGTTTGTTTTTCGAGTGACCGGACTCGACAACAATAGTAAGTAGATCAAATGTCGGAAAATCGAATGATTTCGCTCTTTTTTATTCGAGATTTGGATTCAATAAAACCATGCAATACGAATTCCTGTACTAGTTAATAAATAGCTTATAGAAAAGGCAGTAGATAGTTATTACACTTTAACGGTATTTCCAATATCAATGTGCTTGGTCACCGGTGTCATTAATCAGTATCCTGAATGAAACGATCAAAATGAATGAGAGGATCAAAAGAGAAAGTGCGGACCATACAGATAGCTTTTAAAAAATAATATATATATATATAAATATATTTATTTTGTTATTCTCTCACTCTTTTTCTGCCTTCCTTCTCACTCAAGTAAAGTGAAACTGTGCAATTTAACTTTATACACCTGGCACAGCAGGTACAATTGCGGTGTATTTTCTTATCATGTCTCAACAATCGATCTGACCATAACATCTGGAATAATGGCGCCGGTATTCGTTAATGGGAGTCTGCTGCAAGTTAAAAATATTCAACATAGTTCATTACGCTTGAGTTTAGAAATAATCATGTTTGTAAAAGCGGTTACATATACAGCACAAGGTTGATCTGACATAAACGGAAGTTTACAATTTTGTTGTTTTGTTTATTTAATGACTAGTTTTGAATATCTGTGGGACGATAATTGACTTACAAATACTCGACGATTCATTAGTTACTCACCAATGACTCAAATTAAAGAGCTAAGTATCAGGCAAAAAATAAATACAGTCTCATAACTGAGATCGTATTTGAAACAACAAAAAATCTATATAATTTAAAGCCAGTTATGATAATTTGGAGATGTGATGTAATCGGATTGCAAAGAAAAAAATTTGGCTTATTGACTGCATTCGAACTTGAAATGTTACTAATAGCTTATTTTTCAATTGCTATTTACTCTATGAATCTATAAATGAGTTACCTAACTCCCGAGGATTCATAATCCGGATTTGAACATAATTTGAATAAACTGTTCTAACATCAAAGAACTTTGAATTTGATTTGCCAAATAAGACTGACAATAAAGTAGCAAATGCAAACTTCCGTTTAGAGTAGAAAGGGGTTCAAAGGTGCTCCAAAAAAGCGTACAGGAATAGTAATCAAAGAGCGCCAAAAAATTCGCCATACCCTTATTTAAAGAGTACATTTACGCAAGTTCGATTGGAACATCAATTAAAAATAAGTACTTTCTGAATTACCTTAACCATTTCTATTTAATAACATGGTGTAAAACAATGGAAATATTTGTTTAAACATCGATTTATTTGAAATACTACTAGGTATATCATATTGGAATCAAACGACAATCTTCCCTTTACCATAATGGTTAATAAACTAAACATATATATTCATGAAATTGTGTATGAAGCATATATATGAAATATATAAAATGGGTTTGATTAAAATGTAAATACAGCGGCATAATTTCAAAAACCCAATATAATATAGTACCTGTACCGTCATTTTGTTAACTTCACCACAAAAATAGAAATAGAAAAACGAATACAACAGAGCCCGCAGGAAGTTTTGAAATGAATAAAAGTGATAGTTTTCTGGTGACAACAATCTTTAACAACACAAAAATATCAAAGCGAATGGTCCAGTAGTTAATGAGAAAAACAAAACAAGAAGAAAATACAAAATGACAAAACGAATCATAGGTCCATGCACTTTGCGTCCAATAATTTCGTTGTCGAGTGAACACTTCAACTGATTTTTTCAAAAGCTAAAAGCATGTACACAAAGTTAGACACTGCAAAACAGTTAGCAATTTCGCTTTTTACATTTTTTGGAGATATATATATTTAATTTGTGTTTTATGTTTCGTTGCAAATGCTTCCTGTTTCTTGGTCAGCAACGTTATGCGCGCTGAAGATTGTTTGATTATTCATTCTAAATGAATCCGTAGACTGAGTTCTTCTCCATTTGGCTCGTCTGTTGGAAAACCATACCTAAAATTTGAATGTTGATATTTTGACTTGGAAATATTAAATTATTGATACATAAATCTTCAATAAATTGATCATATTACTTGTACTCTGGCTTCTGTGAGTTTTGTGTTTGACGCAAGTTCCTCTCTAACCCCAACAGGCGGATAATGACAAATTTTAAAAGCTGACTCCAAAACGGCTAGTTGTTCTGAACGAAAAGATTCCAGCTATTCAAAGCGATTTTGAAAATATTGATGATTTTTTGCCCATTGAATGTTTTCATAGAGTATAAACTAATAAACCAGCAGTGAGATGTTTGATAGATTTGCCAAAAAATGGTAGAATGAACCTGAGTGGAACAAAAATGATAAAAGCTGAAATTGCATTCTACATTTTGTGCTGAATTTGGTCGTGCGACTTTTATTACAACAAAATGTAAATGTGTTATAATTATATCGACCAATAACTTCTAATCGATTCAAATACCTAACACTATTTCGCACCTGTTGTAAACGTGGTACGACTACGTCTCTGTTGTTGCTGTGATTGCTTTGCTGTACTACCCATTAACTTTCCACTTGATGAGTAATAGCCGTGCTCATGTTGCAAGTTGAAAGACTCACTTGGAGATGAATTTCTTAGTAGCGATGAAAATTTGCCGCCAAATTTAACTTGTGGTAATTTTCTGTCCACAATTTTTCTACCATGCAAACTATTGGTAGATTTTCCAATATCTTCAACGATGGACGAAAATTCGAGATCTGACAATGACAACCAACGTCGAGGACGACGGCACATTTTGGGTTCAATCTGAAATCATAGTGTGATTTAACTGTTTATAGTTTTAAATATCTACTTTTTGAATCACAGATATTTTCATTCCCATATCGATAATAGTTGATTCAATGCAAATCTGTGAATTAAACAAAGAACTGTTTACCTTTACACTTTGATTTTTCATAATCTCTTTAGAAGAACATGAATGCATGGCGGTTTGTCTTTTTGCTAAAACGAAATCATAGTGAATATTTTGATTCAGGTTGTGTTATGAACGAGGGAGTGATTTGAAGTAATTCGAATTCGCTTTTATTGTGCAATGTATATATATATATTAAACAAATTAAAGTAGCTTTGTGGAATTCTTTCTGACTAATTATTAAAACTTTTTATGACAAAGTTAAAATATAATAGTCTAAAAAGAAGTTCGAACTTCTGAGTGAGAGCAAACCTAACATAAAAGGAAGTCGGCATTAATAACAAAAATATTATTTTTGTAATAATTCATTACTGCAACTATTACAAAAACAAATATTAAAAAAATAACAAAGAATATACCAAAATCAGGCATTGCCGCAAATAGAATATTGGCTAAAATCATCGAGGTGTTTCTAACCTTTCGGCTTTAAAATCTGATTCTTGTATACTTTCTTCGCCTGGTTTATTCTTAAACATCCCGCATCATCTGTCACAGAATTATCCAAAGAATCTCGAATGTAATTATCCCGCATTTCTGGCCACGACAAAGGCTTTGTCCACATAAAAGGGTTTGTTTCCATTGGATAAAATTGCTGACCAAACGACGCGCTTCTTGAGAGAAGTGTTCTAGCAATGAAGTTACGCGCTAAATCAAGGTTGTCCGCTGAATGACTGCAACTGGTCTGTGGCATAATAGATGACCACAAACAAAAATTCTGCGAAGGCTCGTTTGGCATAAACTGAAAACTGTCTTTAGAAGATTCGCTCATCTTGCTGTTGTTGCCGTTACTAGGAATGATATGGTGGATCCAGATCTTTTATATATATCTCCTACTCCCAAGTAGGCAGGAGGTTGTTTCAAAATGTAATAGTCATTTGAACAGGTTAGTCTTCGATTTATATATGGCAGCGTTATTTTCGAACGCAGTTCATCATTGACCTCTGCTTGATGAAATTGTGTGTCACTACCGATCCCGCCAACAGCGCGAAGTAGCCAACAGAAGATAATGATATTTGGATAAAATCCAATTGAATATACACCATTATACAACTCGAAACAATTTCTCGAGATATTTCAACGACTTAAGATCAGGTCATCCTAATGAAATTAACAGAGGTAAATTCAAATATCTATCACTTCATATTATTGATTTTCCGCATAATGTAATTTTGTCTTACCCGAGTATCGTTACATCCACCAATACTGCAGCTGCACTCCGTGATCTTTATTCGTGCAAATTAAATGTATTTTTAAATGAATTGTGTTTTTATATTTTCTTGCTTGCGCTTTTGATTCTGCAGATTCAATATCGTACTTCATTAGAATAATTTGATATCGGTTTCATTCGCTTTTAGATATATTTGAAGCGACGAATGCACATTTCCAGGTTGAGAGCACATGCATTTCCCGTGTTTGAGAAAGATCATAAAACCCAGCAACGTCCAACCCATCCATCAAGACAGCATTCCAATGTTATTATTAAGGGAATTACCCGACTAAATGAAGTGGACCATGATCAAACACTTAATCCATGCCTCAATATCAGATCATTTTGAATTGTCTTCGTACATCGTCGTAAGTTACATTAACTTTGTACGCCAAGCCTGCAATATGCAACTTATGTTGCTTACCAGGCTCATGTATCTGAAGCAAATAACCGGTCAACTGCTCACGACTTGGTCCAATAACCTCACCAGAGGCCGCGGTCCGCCAAGCGCGCTCTCCTCGTCCGTAATAGATTTGAAAATCTTATCCTATATAAGTGCACGCACATCATAAAGTTGACCTTACTGAAAATTATCTCATTGATATGTAGGTAGTTTTTAAAACCAATGTTGTAAAAATTAGGGTTTCTTAACCAGGAACCAGGTAGGGAGGAAGAACCAACCTTAAGAACCAGGTAGGGAGGAAGAACTGTGTCAGAGTATTAATTAGGAGAAGACTTTAGTCAGCAAACAACAACTAAGAAACTCGGAAAATCCTCGTGGTGTTGCGCAATGTGCTTAGCGTTCGGAATAGGCTCGCCACCGCACTTCCGATTACAGATTACCTGTGTGGGTTCGCATCCCTCGGGGATACTTATGTGCGAGAGGATTACTGGACTTCTCGCCGCCGTATGGTTTACTAACTTCCACAACGATAACGTCCACGCATCTGAAACAAGTAACTGGCTAACTAACCCGATACACGGCATAAACTGACAGGCCGTGGTCCGACCTATGATTAAGCCGTCTTATCGGATTTCCGGTCTTCCTGGATGAATATGTAAATCCTATCCAAGCCGTATATGTTGCCTATAATCACATTGAGTTGAGACGCAAAATCACCAGACTTCTGAAGCAATCGCAGATTTAATTTCGTCAAAGAAAACAAATAATGAAGCAGAACTAAATCAACATAGCATATGGCAGTAACAAAAACACAATCTCACAACCTCAAGGTATCATCAAACGAAAATGCTTTATTCAATGTGCCATGCAGCGATAGTCAGTTTCTGAGTCTTATTATCCCCAAGGAAAGCTCTAATTTAACCTAGTATGCTAAAACATGGGCTAAAAACTTGGTGTCTAGGTCTGCAGGTTAATGCGATCGTCCATTATATAAATGAATTGGTATTCTGTTCAAGGATGCCAATTTCTTGTAATTTTGAAAGCTTTATTTTTTGCAGCAAATACCATGATAAATATGGCAAATTTCATTCCTATCAACACCCCACATAGCATAGCAATACTAAAAGCTGTGGATCATGAGATAAATCATTCTTAAATCTTATGTATAGGCTGTTGATGAATTGCCCGAGATGGAGTGCTTATAACATAATAAACTCAGTCAAACATTACACAAACTCTTTTCAAATATCAAAACATAACACTGAAACATTAAGATATAAAGTCATAGACGAATAAATATAGTAACAAACAGATTTGTTGTATGTCAAAAATAAAATATATTTACTCCCTAATATTGTGAACTGCACTGAACTTCTGATCTGTAAAAAATTTGAAAGAACGCGAGAGGGTAGGATTAGAAGCTTGCATGATCAATAGCCAGTTTGAACCAATCACAAGAGCCAAAACATTTTCAGAGCCTTAATAGGAAATAAGTTTTTACACCATAAAATTTTTTCAAGCTAATAATTTAGACACATCAGAGCGGCAACATATCTTTTCATTGACCTGCACAAGAATCTTATGTTATCGAAAAAATAACCTATTCAATTCACATTGGGTATTAAATTAGTTTCATCATAACTTACTTATTGTTGGAGAGACTAGAGTCATTCACTAGACTTTGGCATGAGCCAACATCATATATGTGAGTCATCCGAATGAAATGATTTGGGACTTGACTCAACCGCCAGTGAGATTTAACGCAGTGAACGACTCGACTCTGGACACATGACCCAACTTGATCGACGACTCTGGGTTTAGAGACGTCTACCCAAATGTGATGTCTCGAACTTTTACTTAATCATAAATGTCCATCAAACTCAAAGGTATTCATAAAACAATTTCTAGGTATGAAAATTTACACAGGAATTTAAATTATATACATTGGAACTCACAAAAAAAATTTCAACACTTGAATAAAATTATCTTATCTCATGTTAACATTGAAAATATACCCAATAACAACAACATAACAGTAAACCAACACTGTCATACAAACAACAAAGGAAAACAAGTTTAATTTAACATATATTAAGGGTTGTTAGAAACATATATATATTATATGACTTTGAAAATAAAGCCTAATGTAATATTAGAGAAAAGGTATTCAAATGAAGGAATAGAACTGATCATTAGAATGAAAATTATATGAACCAGCGTCAATGAACTTTTTAAACTTCTATTTGAAAGCTTATTCATATTTATTGCCTGAACTTGAACAATGAATTATATCAGATAAATATAACAGTATGAATAGTATGACACCACCGAAAGGCCATTACAAAAATGGCATAGCTAACTAGTAAGCTGTTTCACTCTATAAAAGACAGTGTGTTCAACATTTGGTAATGGGGAAACCATTGCACAAACCCATGTGTAGAACCTGCGTTCGATTCATACTAGTTGTCTGAAATCTCAAAGATGCTGGTATATTATTTCCTATAGCTGTTAAAATACCTTAATGTTAATGATTTAATGACATGACGAATCTTGCTCTATCATTCTGTAACAAAGTCCTATGGATCAGTAAATCAATTTAATATTTCATATGCATGGATGTATCGAAAATTAAAAACCCCAATAATGCAATAAGGGCAAAAATTAGGTTTTGTATATGAAAATTTGCAATGGGACGAGACAAATGCAAAACAGAAAAGATGGCAAAGTAAGCAATGAAAACAACATATATAATAAATAAACCACATTTAAAAATCATCCGACACTACACAACATAATTTAAGGAACTATTTGGCATTATAATATGTAATAAATAAATACTACCAATAAATAACTACTCAACTACAAACAATAAATACTAAGCTCAGGCAGAGTGAAAATAAAACTATAATTTATAACGCGAAAAGCAAACTTTCACATTGTCGTCTATTTTTATTTGGCATTTGATGCATTTATGATATCCTGAAATAGTTAAATGCAGAAATGCTTATTTTGTCACACTCAAGATATTTCTCAGATTGGATATTCATTCCTTATTTCAAAGCAATGGAAGATGAAATAATTACGAAAATTTAAAAAATGGAATTCAAGGTATGGAACCTTGGAAGAAATCTATTTTTGACCTCCGAACCCAATCTACCGGTATGGGATGTAAACTTTCAGCAAATATGGAAATAAATTATGAATATAATGGCAAGTATGACAATGGAGAAATATCAAGAAGCGAACAACATAAAAGCATTGGTGCATCTCCAACAAGCAATCTCTACAAAAGCATGTTGAGAGAAATTGTTGAAAAAAAGAATGAAAGTCAAAGTATACCAAATTGTAGCGTATAAGTCCAAAGCAATATTTTCTCATGTTTTTTCCATATATAGAATTCTGTATTCAATGGAAAAAACGTTATACCAGTAGAGAGAAAAGGGAATGCAAATAGCATTTAAATTAAAGGAGATTAAAGGAGCCAGAATATTGGATAAGAAACTTAAAAAATATCCGGAGTAACTATTTTTGGTCAATATTAATACTAATAATAATATATCTGTAACATTGCTGTTTTTGCACACTTGTTTTCTATAGAATGTTGTTGAAAGCAAACACATCTGCATTTTAATACCGAAAACCGAATTTCACATATGAAGGCAACTATAAATATATCTTAATAACCAGGTCTGTATCATTTAAAGTAGTGTTTATTTAAGTTTTTCTACGTCATTCAATATACCTGTAGGACCCAACAAACTATAATGGTAATTATAAATCCCCTCCTCAATTTAAAAAATTTAAAGACTTTATTACCCTGTATTACTAAGACCATTGTGGTGAGGATACAAGCAGAGTTCTAACTATTTGGTTAAAAGTAAACATGTACACATTTATATAAAACTCCCTAAATTTATCTAATGAAAAATATCCTAACCCATTGAGCAAATATTTGAATATAATAAATTTGAATCAGAAAGATATGGAATAAAATAATCCACAGTGAAGAACTTATATTTAATTTTTGTAGTTATTGTTGTTACTTATATTACAGTTGTTATTCATGTCATCCTTTATATTCCTCACGCAGGTACCATCTTGCGGAGTCTTGTCCTTATGCACGAATCTTCCAGCAATGAGCAATCGTTTTTCCATAAGGTTGCCCATGCTCCGCACTCTAGGCAGATTGGCTGTCGTTGCATCCACTACGAATAAACGGGAGAACATTCTGTTTAAAAAAGCGAATTCACACGCTATGTTAATTGCTACTGATTTCTACTTGATCAAATTTGATTACTAAGTCACAAACAATTATATGGATGAATTGTGATCACACAATAGAATATTATAGGAAACAGTTAACTCAACTAGGAAATTTTTTTTTGATAAATCTGTCGAATATACTTCTCCAAGGAAAAAAATAAAAGAAATAAAAATATAAGCAGAATCATAAGAAGTAGAGGAAGTTGATAAAATGTGTGCTTAGTGCTGGAAAATCATGTTTTTTTTCATGGAATTCACCATATAATCGGCACCCAAAGTTTAATGACCATGGGCCAAAATTGGAAACCGAAGAATATTCGCGGGCTTGATTGTAGATACACCTAGTATCGCAGTTTTTATGGAATAAAATTAATGAATATATTAGTTAGGTGATGGAATACCTGAAGAATGACAAGAACGACTTTCAACAAGTATTTTGGAATTGATAGCGATTAATGAAATTACTTGCTCATCTGGCACACGGCCTATTTTAAATGCCTTGTTTTGTTACGCAGAAAACATCCCAATGTATATAAATATAAAAAAAGAAATGCCAACATAATTAAGCATTTTTGTATATACATGTTATTAGGGTTGGCTCGAAATCAGATGTTCAAAACGTGGTTCCAATTTGTATTCGCAATAACGTCTGTAATATATTGCAGGAAATATTGCAGGACTCATCATTGCATAGTATTTCATTCAGGTATTCTCACCGACTACATAAATAAAATGATATTCTACATGGACAAGTAACAACAGAATTTTGTCTGTGAGATAAAATGAGACTAGTATGATAAAAATCTTATCTGAAAGATGTGTTGACATAGGATGGCAAGAATTACTATAATAGCTCATTAGCTAGTAATGGCTGAGTGCGCGGAGCCTTGTTTAAAGCATAAGACTATGTATACATCATATAAAAAATACTCTATATTGCTATAATGGTGAAGATTAACAGTCAACAGTGAATTTTATAATTAGCCTATTAGAAACAAAACTTTATTTGATTCAGTTTCCAATTATAGTGTATGAAATGCTCATAAGAGGAGGTAAAGAAGTGATTCTCGTAAGTTGTCATTTTGTCTAATTTGTATTAAAAAAAATTAACGCAAATCTGGATAGCATTTTAATCTCATCAAATCATAAGAAATTTAAAGAAGTGAAAGCATTTCTTCACTGTAAAGTAAAATCCATGACTAGTTAACAATACATAATATAACTATTTGCAACAAGAATATCATATAGGGTGACAAAACAAAATTTCCTAATCACTTCAACCAGAATGAAGAATTTATTTAACAACTGAAATCTTAAAATTCTGTTTGTATATGATCGTACGCAAAAGTTCAGCATTCTAGGACACTTCTAGGACAAAAGTACTGTTCTATCTAGTATAGAATATGTTCAAAACCTGGGTTCCGTTTTCTGATATCACCCTGCGTTATTGTCAAATCTACTAAAAGGACAAATCACACAAAAACCACAAACAAACACTATACCTTGAGTATTCACAATAGGCGAATGTGGTCGTTTCCGTGTGATCGTTGGTAACTTCAATCTGATATGTGACCCTGGCAAACTGAAGGTTCTTTTTCTGCTCAACCACTCTTCATCACTGTCACTATTGTGGTCTTCTTCAACAAAAGTGTCTTTTTTAATTCCGTTGTGTTCCTCAATCAAGTGGCCATTATCATTTAACTCACCAGATTCTAGTTTTACAGGCGAAGATGTTGGTTTCGGTCTAGGAAATAAATATTAAATTTAGTTGAGAGCAATGCCCAAATATATGGACATGAAGACCAAAACGAAGTAGTACAGGTATGCAATCTTTCACAGCATACTACCTGAAAGCCGAAACACAACTTCAACTCCACAACTTCACACAACCAATAGAAAACAACCAACGCAAACGCGGAACAGCCTCAAGGTGTGTAATTTTCAATTTGTGATGTCATCGCACACAACACAAAATACGAATCTCGTAGAGCCCACAAACATTTTTAAAATAAATTTAAGTAATAGCCTTCTAGCGATGAAGACAATCTTCAACCACTGAAAATTTCAAAGCAATTGGCCCTGTAACTGAAGAGCAGCGATTATTTATAACAACAATAAGAAAAATATCATCAGGAAGACAGGAACAACATAATAACAAAACGATCCATAAGTACACTTTGTGTCTGAGGAAAAATACATATTTTTATTCAAAAGAAAATGCTATGGTTATTCTATTACCTGTGTGTGTTCACTGCACCTGGCCCCAGTGAAAATGTTTCAACAACACATCCATAAGCAATTGGTGTTAATTTTAAAACAGAATGTAGAGGACATTTCAAATAAGGTAATTCATTTTCATCCTTGTCAAGAAAATATGCGAGAATGCACCTCATGACAGCCTGAGAAAAAAATGGAAATTTTCAATCAATATGGTAATGAAATGTCTGTCTGGTAGCCATCTTCTGAACAAAGGTCAGTTTATGGTATGATCTCCCACGTATAAAACTTTGATCTTTAAACCCCAAGCATGAAATATTGCTAAGTATCCAATTTGCAATACCAATATGTTAACATTTGACTAATTCAGGGTGTAATAAACTGGGTAGGCAATGTCGAACTGAAGAGATTCTCCCAACTACAGCATCTCTTTACCTAGCAATGACTGTCGGTGCAGAGCCTTGTTCAGAACAAAAAATGTACAAATATGTCATAAAAAAGAATGCTCTGTTGACAAAAAAGGCCAATGTTGGCAATTGGCATACCGCATGAAAATATTACATTGGCTTTTAAACTAGATATTCCACAGTTCCTAATTGTCAGGATTCAAACGTTTTTGTTGAAACTTTTAAATAACATATGAAATTCAAATAATGTGTTATATCGAATATACTGTGAAATAGTAGTATATATACAGTGATACCTCGGTAGTCGAATGACTTGATACTCAGACAATTCGACTAAAAAATATAAGTCAAAAATTTTTTTTGCCGTTGATCAGGGTTCCAAAGAAAAGTAGTGATAAATGGAAGAAGATGAAAAACAGTGAGAACAACAATTCAATTGAAAAAGAAATTACGGTATGTTGTTGCGGTACAAGTTTTGTTAATATTTTCGGTATTTTGGAATATGTAAGAACGTATTAAAACAATGACCATTGTTTCTTATGGCAAATCGGTATTCAAACGCCAATCCCAAAAAAATTGTTCCACTGCCGAGGTATCACTGTATATATATGTATATCAAACTATAGCAATTGTTCTGCAATGAAATAGGTATCAGCAGTTTTGCCAAATTTCTCCTTCATTGCATTATGTTATATGAAGAGTTACATAATAATTTTTGATATATGATATCATCAGCATATTCTATGCTATAATATGGTTAACCAATCTTAATAAGACGATGGGTTAAATGATAAAGCAACTCCAATCTTTTTCCAATGCCCAATTCAATGCACTCTGGGTAAGCTAATTTAATAAAACCATATTTTTTTGATTTTAGTTTACAATATTATTGTTGTCAGATTTCTGATAAAATGGTCAACATTGATTAATAATAAAATAGATGAATAGAATAAATAAGGATGAACTCACAATGAACTGACCAGAGAACAAACAACATAGCAAAGTACAATATATGAAGGGAATATTAGAACAAAGAATGCTCACATATTTTCGTTATGAAATCTAATTAAGACTCAATTCAGAATACATTTGATATTTCATTTTCAAAAATATTCTTTTAGAATGTATTTTGATGAGTTAATCTTTCAATGCTCGAACAAAGCAGTTTTATGAACCTTTCCTAACTGACATGGTCCATTCATGATCAATACATAACTAAAGAAAAATCAGCATTTTGACTTCAATGCACAACACAACAGTAGTAAAGCCAAAATCAAAAATATGGTTGAAGCATGAAATACTCTATTATGACTCATAGAGCATTTATGGTGGAAACTTGTTTGCTATCTATGACTCAAAAGAAGGACAATGGACAATAACAACCTCTCCCATTTTGCTTTACCCATTTCAAGTGTATTCCAAAGATAAATTAAGCATAAACCAGTGCAGATTGAAGACAATGTTACAAAATGAGTCAAGAGTTTCAGTGCTGATTCAAAACATGTAGCAGACAATGTAATTGGTACCAGTGGATATTGACCTATTGTAACAGCATGAAAAATGTAGCAACAAACAGCCTGCTGTAGTATAATTAGTTACAGAGATGTGTCAAACACATTGAAAGTGATATGCACACATATGGTTTATCACCTTCCAGAGGGCATGTAATTCACACCTAATAGTCCACACTTCAAGCACTACAATAAACTATCACAGATGTCCAAAACGAATCGAATATTTGAAAATTCATCACATTCAATGTAGGTAGTAAATTTTGGAATTTAGGAATAATTTAGAACATTTTTATTCAAAAATTAGGGATTTTGAGACGTAAGACAAGTAGAACAATTCACACGATATCCCAAAAAACAAAAAACAACATAGAAAAAACAATGACTTTTCATATTTGTATCGTTCTAGATGTGATCAACATGAAGATTTAGTGATTTATATAAATTTCCATATGAACTTGCCCCAATTTAGAATATATTCAACATTTCATATTTAAACATATTATCTCAGAATGTATTCGAAATAGTAAAATATTCGGTTCTGGCCATCCCTGTGTACTATAATGGAAGATTTACTTGTAAAAGCCATTTGTATAGGGCTGGGAAATTTAGCCAAATCTATTTGACTAATAAACAAACTAGATAGCAATCAAAGACCGCTGACTTATCGATCTGCGGTTTCGATTACTTCGCTCTGACTCAATAGCGACACTGCGTGTCCCATCACTAATTAATTAATAACTCGCTAATTATACGACATAATTCATCGAAAATCAATAGGCTTTCTGGTCCGAGATTTGATGAATGCGCATGCAAAATTTGGAACAGATTCAACCTCACTTTCGTGAGATATTGCGTAACATAGAAAGTTACCGATCGAGATCGATAAGCAATAAAGTTAATCTGTTAACCATAGTTACTCTCAAAAGAATTGTATTTTTAAATAACAGTGATTCTAATATGTAGAACAAATAGGCAGAAAGTATAATATATAAATACTTGCCATCATAACATGGAAAATATTGTAAATGTCATTTGTAATTACCGTAGTGCAATGTGAAGCCCACTACAATTATCTCAATCAGTAAGGAATAAACCAAGGTGTCATCGATCAATAAACATTTATAATGAGTAAAGCTACCATTTTTATAAAAGGAGGCCCCTGGAAAAAATGAGTGATGAAGCTCTCCATCCGTCCAAATTAATATTAAGAGAAAATCTACTCTCCCAAATATTTGAATAAAAATATTATGTCTTACAAATAAGATAAGTTTCCAAGAATATTATTTTCTATCCATGTGAATAAATAAGCTGAATCCTGAGATATGAAAATGTGAATTGTGAGAAAACATTTGGTTTTTATCGGTGATTTGATTTCTAGAAATTATTAGGAGTTCCATGTATGATATTAAATCAATCAAGGATTCTAGGAAAATATCAGTGATTCAAGGAAATTCAGATATAAAAATAGGACCGTGCATGCAAAAAGAACCTCTGAAGCTACCATTATAAAGCAAAGAACTACAAATATAAAGATTCATGCTTAATGAAAAAAAAACTGAACAAAAAATAAAAAAAACTCAAGGCAAGCATAAGATAAAATCCTCACTGATGTTTGTTCTTCCTTCCTTATCAATCAACTTTCAGAGAAAATGATATTGATCAAGAATATTTTAAACATTTGAGCATGCTGCAAATTCAATTACCTGATGACAAATGACAAGAACATTTTCAGATCTTTCCAATTCCATAATTACTGGTTCCAGTCGAGTAACAAGATCAAAGTATGACTCCCCCATTGGATATCTGAAATATAATTTTGTTTGATACAAGAGATAAAAAAGTATTTAAAAGGTATTAAATAAAATGTTCAGCCATAAACAAGTCTATACACTCAGTAGCAGCCAAACTTGAAATATATTGCTCCTTTCATTAGCTGATAATATTTGATGTATTGGTTCCGAAAACAATTTGAAAATGTAACAAAATTAGTCCTGGGCCTCATAACTACAGAGCTCATTTCAGAACAACTGCATTTCTAGAGACGATTTGTAATCGTACAGAATTTCATTTAACCCTTCAAAGTTTTTTACCTGTAATGGTATTTATCTTGGTCTCTGAGTGCAAATTCTTCTGGCATGCTTTTTTCAATTTCCTCGTAGGTCATTCCTTCACATACTCCCGCACTTATCTCATTCAAAGCTTTCCATTGCTCCGATGATACATTAATATGTTTTGCTGTATCTTGCGTTCTCGATAACTGACTCGTCCAGAGCTGAAAGTATGCATAATTGGCAGAGAAATGAGAGAATGAAATACTACTCAGAACAGAAGTTGAACCAATAAAAATCAGATAAGTTCTGTAGATCTTCATGTCCATATTGAGTATTGATCTACTGATTTCAGATATATTTTCATTCTAAATTTAATTAGTTTTTTAATGTAAATGCATTCAAAAAGGCAACAAATCAAAACACGGGTACTGTGCTGTTCAAAGTTGTTTAAAGTTAAATTGGACTTTGCTGGACTGGACTTTGCTGTTTAAAAATCTTAGGTCTAATAAACCCAATGCCCACCGGCCACCACCTCACCGGTCCAGTCATCAATATGGTATAAAGCCAGACATTATGAAGATCAAAACCTACGGTATATCTAATTCATTATTCATTAAGTAAGTGTATGCTTTTCCAAGTAGGCTTTGAAAGAATGCCCATAATCGAGATTATATTTAATGGCACATTAATTTCTTAGGAATCTTCTATTATTCAACCATATGTTAAGGAGATCATACCATAATATTGATTAGGTCTGAATATAATTATATGCAATGCATTTGGCATCTGTTATCATACTTAACAAATCAATAACAACCCAGTATATATAAATGTACAACTAGACAATAAGCTTTATTGACTATAAGCTTATAAATATGCTCTATAATGAGACGAGTAATAATATAAACACGCTTTCTTAAATTTATTGATGCAAGTTTAATGACATTTCAGCACTTATTTAGGACAACATAAAACATTCAAAATCGGGCGTAAAAACCAAAATTTATTTGCTAAATATATTTTAATCACTTCAACCAGTAAATATCGCTAAATTTGGAAAATATTCCTTTAATGACTCTGAAGAAAGAATTACCGGTAAAAATCAAAATCCAAGTATGATTTTTTTTACCTTTAAATCTTTGATGTCTTGTTCCTCGATAAAAGTTGCTAAATTTTGTGCAAATTTTTCCCCGCCAGTTGTTAAATTTGAATTCCCACCAATTCTCATATTCAAGTTCATCCCGCTCTCACCATGACGACAAACATAAATGGAACGTGGAGTAATGTGTATGTTCATGAGATAGTAAATAATACGACCCTGTAGCATGAGAAAAATAAAAATGTATGAAACGAGAGGCATCAGAGAAGAAGAATTTCAAAATTGTTTACAATTCTATTTTAAATAAAAATAACATAATCTCTTTCCACAAAATATCGAGTATATTTATGAGCTTTCGTTAGATCATAGTCTAACTTCTTCAGATAAAACAATTTACATATCTTGTTTTATCTGAAGAAGTTAGACTATGATCTAACGAAAGCTCATAAATATACTTGACATTTCGTGGAAAGAGATTGTTATTTTTATTTATCTTCATAATACTATCTCAGTCACGCATCCTTGTGGCAACAGCCACATTCGGATCCGGAATAGAAAGTAAACAAGGAGAAAGGACCTGCAGTTCAATACACAATGACAATACCCTAGTACACCCAATTCTATTTTAATGATAGAATTTTAAAAAGTAGGCTAGAGTAACCATATGTCGATATATGTGAAAACATTTTCGTTTGAAAATTATATTCATCAGGTGTTTATTACTCAACAATAGAAAGGTCAGAAATGAAAACATCTTTTTACCAAACTCATATTGGCTTTAATATTAATAATCACACAATCTATGAGGAAACAAGAAGATAGCTAAAAGTTTGAGGGCAAGTTATTTTTATATTATTCAGTTCTTTGTCAAAACTATTAAATAAGGAAAGTTGAAATATCTCTTTATTTTGTGTTGTTACACAGTACTTTACAGAAATTAAACCTGGAAATGGGTTAATTCTCAGATAAGACAGGAAAAAATCTATAACAACATACCTGTACATGATCTGTAACACGGTTAACAATAAATCTTTTCCCAACATCAATCACTTTAATATAAGACAAATCTTTATCAAGCTCTGGATCGAGGGTTTCATACGCTGTTGCATAATGCTCGATACGTTTAACAAAATCATTCATAGCTTGCGTAGGATCCTGTCCCTGATAATCAGGTCCATTAAGTTTTACTTCAGTAATATTTTGTTCAATCACACTTGGATCATCACACAGTGATTCAATAAAAAACACTTTGAATCCCCATTCTCGCGCAAAATCTAAAATTATTCTCCTTCTGCCAGCGGTTGTGTTGGTTGCATCGTATACAGCAATCTGGCCAACTGTCGTCAAATATTTTTTGACATCTTTCAATGCATCCTGTGCACATTTAGCACGAATTCTCATAGCTTCTTTATTATCTGGTCGAAAGAAGTCATGATCTTGAAATTTTGCACATTCGTGCCGGCGATAATTTCCAACATTAAAGACTTTCGTTTTTACTCCAACCCAATTCAAATATCTTGTTAACTTTTTACTGATGTAAGTTTTCCCACGGGCGGGTAATCCGACCATAACAATAATAGTCGGAACATTGCATATATTTGGTGTTCGTTTGCCATTTGTTGTAGACATATCAGAAAATTAATTTATACTGTATGAAAAAATATAAGTAATTACATACCACTCAGTTTTAGGTAAAATCGACAAATTCATAAGAAGCACAATTGTGCAATTAGAGAATTAACAAATTTTAGCGTTTGAAAGTTTGTTGAGCAAATAAATCAACCAAGACAAATAGTCTATAATCATTAATATAAATAAAAAACAACTAGGCTACTAAAAGAAAGGAATCAAGCAATATATGAAAAGGTATACTAACAACATATTGCTGTAATAAGAAGTATCATTTTCAACTTCAAGGGTATTCAATAATTCAGTAATTAAACTGCCATAGTCGCGATAGTCTGATAATAATCAAGCAACTTGATTGATTCCTAGTCTATTTATTATTTATTAGGTACTTAGTCTGACTAATTTATGCAACGTCTGATCTTCGTGAATTTATTCAATTTTGATATGAATTTATTCAATTTGGATAGTCTAACTTCTACATGCTGACAAATAACATCCAGTAATTCCCACTAAAAAAATTGAAATTGCTGAAGTGTGATAACAGACTAGAATTGATTAGAACATCCAGTCTGTCCATGATAGTTAAACTTCTAAATGGCACTTATGCCATTGCGACCATGCAACAGTGTATTTGAGTAGTAATCGATTTTGAATTTATAACATTCAGACATTACGATATCAATAGATTTTTAGAGTGTCAAACTAAATGAATCGTTCAATACAGAAACCATCACTTAATCTGTTCCACAAATATATCAGTATACTAGTTTTCATGGCTTCAATAAAATAAAATTTTCAACACATGTAAAGACATAATATCACAAATAATCACAGTTACACGTGAACCACGATATTATCGGAAAACAAAACGACCGCCAACTTCGTCCTTCACTCTCGAATGGTTCTCTCATTCGTGAAGGCAGCGTGCTTAGCGCCTGGTAGGCAGCGTGACTAAATATCAATTTGTGTTCCCATGCGTGTGCATATTGGTTATCAAGAGCAAGATTGTTAACACGAGTAATCTCGGACGTAATATTGGTATTTGTTATTTGGTAAAACCGTCGAGTTCAACAGCGCAAACATATTGATTATTTTAAGGACTTGGTTTTTCAACATATAAATATTAAGTGAGCATTCTACGACCTTACGTAAGAAAAATCCGACATCGGGTTACGAGCATGAGTCAATAGGCTACTATCGGTCAAATGTCTCGTGTTGAAAACTCGCGTGTTTCGATTAATTACGGGGAGTGTTGTGGGAGGATGTAGACAAGGACAGAGATGGTACTTTACCTGGAACAAATACGCAATACTTATCTTGAATTTTTTGCATTTGTGTACATTTTATGTTAGTCAAATACAGAGTACAGTATATAACTCATAGAACTTTCACCGTTTCAATATACGAATATAACTTGGAGGCATTGCTAAAAAAAACTTCGCAGCTCCAACAATTTATTGAATGTCCAAGTTCATGTTTGGGCGTGGGCATGATAATGGATTCTGTACTTTCGCCTTGAAATATTGTGTATAGTTAAATGGTCGTTACATATTCAAGATCGTTTTTTATTGCCACCGCTCCCGGACATACCCAATCTCTTCTGGAGTTTCTCAGGGCTCAATTCCTGGGCCTGCGTTGTTTCTAAAATTCAGCAATGATCTACCTGATATTACCATTTGCAATTCACTCATTTATGCTGACAAAACAAAGTTTTGGTGACCGTACATTTGAACCCATGTGTATATCCGCGGTTTCAATCTATATGCGGGTGCTAAAACCCATGTGTTAGGGTTAGTATGGGTTCAAATATCCGTAAAACAAAAAAATTGTATGCAGGTGCAATTGTCGTGGGTTCAAATGTAAGAGAAACCAAACTTTTATTTTTGTCTCGTTGTAAAGTCTGTAGAACGACGCCGTTTGGAACGTCTTTAAAAATTGACTTCCAATGGGAGGTTTGTGACAACAAAATTTTGGTCAGTATGGTCTTGCCTTTTGTACAAACATCCCATCCCCAACATTAGATAAGTCAGCTTGTTTTTTCAACCATTACGAGTATATATCTTAATTTAGGTGAGTCATTCTTGAACATGACTGTCCGTTGCCGCAAGCTCTAATCTAAAAGAATCTTCAATGCTTTTTGAATGTGTGCTATTGATTTTCGATACGCGAACCCAAAATAATACAAATAACAGTAGCAAGATACGATATTTTGGTTCAGCTCCTCATTCTTCTTCAGTATGAAAGAGATTTCTTGCGACATCTGGAATAAATGAATATCTGAACCAGTAATAGATTTGGATTCATTATTTGGGAAGTAATGATCCTTCCGCGTCAAACGTTAAATGATCAATAATAATTAGCAAGTTGATATCACATTTCTACATTGGGTCTCGTCATTTTGCCGCCAAAAATTGCTTCTCAGACTAAGTGCAGAACACTTCCAAGATGAAATAATATGAAACCAAAAAAGTTCCAAAAATGATCATAAGCACTTCCACTTTGGCACCAAATTGTAGAAAAACTGTCCCTCTTTGGCGAAACGGAACACTAGTATATGACAGCCCTACCACGTCTAAAAAACTAAATAGCATCGTAGTAAAGTCAACTCAAAGGACTCAATCACCACTATGAAAGGTGAGCGATCATGTTAACCTAGGGTTACCATAGTTTTTGACTTCAAAGCGGGACGCCTCCAAAGACACGACCGCTTAGCTGTGATCCTGTATCTTTACAGTTTCCGATTTTACTACATAGGCCTACATTTAAAGCCATACCGACTTTCTTTAATTGACCATATTGTCTTCGAGAGTTCATGCGCATATCCTTGGTCTGGTGACCGTACATTTGAACCCAAGCGTATATCCACGGGTTCAATCTATATGCGGGTGCTATAACCCATGGGTTAGGGTTAGTATGGGTTTAACTATCCGTGAAACAAAAAAAAATTCCATAGGTGCAATAGCATACAGGTGCAATTGTCATGGGTTCAAATGTACGTGGGTTCAAATGTAATGGAACCCCTTCTGTCTAAATATCGGGTTCAGTTCGAAAAATAGAAATGAATACACACACGCTAACGATATATTGATCCGAATTTAGATTTTGTATTTTTATGTACAGCAAAAGAAACAAAGAGTAATGAAATAGTCTGCCGTTTTCAAGCATTAAGAATTCATTTATTCGCCCAAGCATGCTTTTCTGTAGATAACACCGTCAAAAAGACGTTGTTCAATGTTACATTCACGTGAACGTCCCAACAGGACCGAATAGAATTGATCTTACATGTGATACGTTCGCTAACAATGTTAGCGGGAAACAACGAAACAAACAAAATAACTCATTCACCTTCAGTAAGTAGGCTAGCCTTGCGCTACACAGCGACAACAGTAACGAGAACATGTTCGTGTATTATGCTGGATGGCTGAACGTCAAAGCGGGACTTTTGGCTGACTTGTCGGGACGGCGGGAAAAAACGCTAAAAAGCGGGACTGTCCCGCCTAAAGCGGGACGTTTGGTAAGCCTATGTTAACCGTAACTACAAGCATTAAAGAATAGACAGTGTGATTGTTTCCACCTATATAACTTGTTCATTAGAATTTGGTGCAAAACCAAGAAGTCTTTATTATGTCCAGAATGTAAATAAGATAGACTACCTACTACTGAGTTTCCAAAAACGTCGATCTTTTAGTAAGTTATTTAACGTCACGCGTTGTTTCCTTGTGTACTGATCTGACGCACATGGTGTTCCAGTACCTGACCATGACCTATAGATAAGCTTACCATACGATCCGTTTTAGGCGGGACAGTCCAAGGTAAATATGAAGGATCAACTGGTATTCACCAGGTCAAATAAAGGTCAACTGGTATCATCGGCTTAGGTGGGTTGGAGGAGGGGGATATTCTTCAGTTGAAACGGGATCAACTAAAGAATATTCACCCCAAGTAAGACCAACTAAAGAATTTTCCCCCCAGGTGAGTCCCACTGAAGAATCTCCTCTCCAGGCGGGAGCGGGTGGATTCTTCCGTTGATCCTATACGTGATTTTGTTTGTTTCGTTGATCTCCGCTGACTATGCTACAATTTGTTACGTTTAAGCCCCGTACGCCAAAAGGGTGCTTAACGTTAAGGTTAATTCTTTTATATTTTTTGAACTGAAACCGATATTTAGACAGACAGTGCGTGAACTCTCAATGACAATATAGTCAATGAAGACAGCCGGGATAGTTCTAAATTCAGGCCCCTAATGAATCGGTCAATTTAAAGTTGAAAATTCTTAGGAGGCGTCCCGCTTTGAGGTCACAAAAATATGGTAACCCTACCTATAGAGGCCCTAAGCACTCAAGACTTTGGTGCCCTAACAAGTATTGAAGTTACAGTGGAATGTTTATACGTTGAACGAAGCGTCAGTCATTAAATGTTTTAGGTGGCATTTCACCGCAACTCCAAAACAGTAACTGTGAAATGCTATTTGACTGTTAATCGACTGGCGCTTTTTACCAGTATTACTGTTAAAAGCGTCAATCATTGAACGTCTTAAGTAGCATTTCACCGTAACATCAATATCATTAAAAAACGTCAATCACCACTAAATCCGATATAGGCCTATATGTTTTTCATACATACCAGTTTTTAGAACTGCAGCAGTGTATTGGTACTTCTTGACGTTCAATATTCCTAATGGCTAAATACCAAAATTCCGATAAAAGTACGGTAGCCGAACCCCACTCAGCCACTCTAAGCAGAATCACACTAATTGAGCTCCTTACTAACACAACGCCTGTACTGTTCTGTTCCATGTTCTCACTTTGATGTGATGCACCTAAGTGTATCCATTACTTGTATGGTGGACGCTACGGTAATGAAGGCTCCTATGATTCAAAAGTTCAGTATATATATCCTGTCCGGGGCCGGATCATATCCTTTACAATTCTAGAGGCACTTTAGATCTTGATGCCCTATGTATAAGTAATAATAATAGTATAAACTATACCGTACAAATGAAATTAGTGTTCCTTGTGATCTGAAATTAAATATGCAGTTTCAGGATTTATTACTGATTGAAGGCGAGATTATGATTAATTTGCACGATAATTTATGGAAATAGTTCTCATGCCTACAAACATTTATAGAGGTTTAAGATGATACTTGAGAAAAAAAGCAAAATATATTTTAACCGGGACGAAATCGATTCATCAGACCAACTCTAATTATTTCATCAGACACTGAAGCGCAATTAAAAATTCGACGTTAAAAATATCTGTGGCGCCCCCTTTCTGGTGCCCTAAGCACGTGCTTATTTTGCTTAAATGGTTAATCCAGCCATGGGTGTCCTTGTTCTATTCGGGCACGCGGGGCAAGTGGTACACGTGATACAAGTGTGGATATAAACAACATTTCCGAGTCACCCCTGGAGCACATTAAAATTCAGTAACTACAAGATCAAAATTTTTAAGCCAAAGTTAGTCAAAAATGATATAATTTGGCTGAAAGAACGTTTGCCAACGTTCGAGTTTTGGGAATCGAAATTTTATTATTAAGTACATTGAGTGAATGTGCTACAGCTTGTTTTTAGGTAAAACCAAGAGATCAGCGTTCGATAATTGTGTCCAAAATGTGGGCTCGGAGTGATTGGCGTCCTCGATTATAAACTAACATGACGAGACACAGCGATTTTCCCATACTAACGTTGGCTTATGATAAAAATGTCTAGAAAAAATGAAAATCTTACCAATTTCCTAGATCCGAATTTCCAAGACAGTAATTACTACAAGTGATGGTATATTTATTATATATATTCAACTATACGTAAATACAAAGCCCACAATCCAATATTTTTTTAAATAATCAGAAAACAACAATATCGATTTAACCTAAATATATTCCCTATGATAGGTAATAGACACATAAAATCCATAGGCATTTGACCTCAAATTGTGACTTAGTGTGTAATCATGATTGTTCATATCGTACTTGTGTTTAAGATAAATAATGTGTATAGAGTATATTTTATTCTAAAAGCAATGTCATATTACATATGCGATTCGTAAAAAATCAAATATTCGAGTAAATAAAATACGAGAAAATGTATAGGGGTGACGCAACCAGTGCACCAATGACAGTCACCATTTACCATCTTATACTTTGTTACACAGCAACTAACTGTATAATAGTATAATAACACGATAGGATTGCGCAAATTATACAGGCTATTGGGCAAAATCTCAACGATTAGGCAAGCTGTAGATGATCATAAAAACGATCTGGGGTAAAAAAAAATACAATTTCACGTCGTTTTCACACCGGACCATTCAAATTTTAATCTTATTCAACATTCCTAGAGTCAAATTATCTACACTTATATCTTCTACGTATTCTTGTTGCTGCTTTCTCAAATGTTTGCATTTCAGTTGGAGATGATTGATCATAGATTTGCTTCCACCAATTCCGGACGAATTTGTATCCTCAAGAAAGTCATCCTCCGTGAACTCTTTCGTTGATTCCAAGTTTCCTTTTTCATTTTTCCATTGCTGTAGTTAAAGATATAGAGTGAATGTGTGTTTTGAAAGTAAATTGAGCATTAGCTATATATTTATCTATATTCTATATCGATCTCTCTTGGCGAGTAAATTTTGTCTTTGAATTGGGCAGAATATTGTGCGTCATCAGTCGTAACGTATTCTTCAACGGATATATTTCGACAAAATATTAGGTGTATTAATGCAATTACTAGGGCTGGGCATTTCAAATCGAATGAAATTGTAAATTGTTGGAACCGATTCAGGGGAGAATTTCGAATCGCCACCAGCTTGTTTGTTTTTTTGTCCGTCGAAGGTCGAGGTGAATCCATCAAAATTTTTTTTTTATATAGAAACCATCTTTTATAAATGCAATTGTGATATATGACTCTTTTCTTCCCAGTCAGTTATTGGTCTGGTCGGTTGGGGCGTTCTCCGCCACCCCAAGTCCATGACTGACAACCGAATATGTCAGTCTGAAAACTTAATACTACATGTCCTATCTTCATGACTCAAATCGCACAATTTAACGAAATAGACAACAGGTGAATCGGATATAGACAATTCAACTGACTCAAGTTTTTCAAACCTAAAGAAACAAACAACATCGCCCACCCTTACCTCCATAACAAATCGCATGCGTGCAATATGTTTCAAAAATGTGTCAAACTCTTCCGGAAAATCCTTCTCTGCAATCAAATGGGCGTGTTTGCATATTATATCCACAGCCTAATACAAAAATAAATAAAATGCAAATTTACAAATAGGGGGTGGATATAACTGTAGCAAGTCAAGAGTATCACGTTTTATTAAGACACCAGCTTTCGTCAAGTCTAGAAACTGTGCATGCCCACCAATATCTATCTGTTCCTGTGACTGAGTCTGCATTATCTGTACAGTCAAGCCAAATTTTGCGTTAATCCGATATATTTTTGTGGCATGGTTTTTACTTTGTTTATACCAGTGTACGTGGCGGTTTCCTAGCGACTGCGGCTACTTAGTTTCCGCGCAACTTTGTAAACTAACGAATACGCAAACGTTTCACTCCCAGTCATATTCTCCAAAATTAGTCATGTGGGTTTGACATATATGTGTATGTGTCGTACATATTCCGCGTTGGTTTCTATATGCCCTTATACTACTCCCATAGAATTGCTAATAGGTATTATCTGTAACTGAAATACAGATAATCGGGATGAAAGATTTAGCCATTTTCTCCGCCACACTATTTATTAAAAATACGCAAAATAAAATAAAAAGTCAACTACCTCCTCATCCAACGGGTAGAGAACAGTCCAAACATACGACCTCCATCTTTTAATCATCTCAGCGTCCCTTTCCTTTCTAGCTTGTTCAAGATAATTTCGCAATCCTCCATATTCTTTCATGGCTGCTCGATAAGACGTTTCGGCAACAATCCGGTTGCCGTACAAAGGCCCATAAAGTTCTTTCAGCTTAAAAAAACACAACACAAAACTTATATTTGGAATATTTAGAACAGTGTGGGCAGTAAGAAAGGTGAGAAAGTAAGGAACCACTGGTTTAGAATATAAAGAATAGGCATAGCGGCATATGGGCATAGGGCCAAACTATTACAAACAGAATTTCCATGTCGAAACTGTTGTCACCGAATCTGCTATGAACTTAATATAACAGGGGTTTCCTGGACGCACTGACTGGTGATAGGATATCTTGATTCTATATGCGCATTTACCAAAGTCCATGCCCGAGTTAGATTTGGGGATTGTTAGTGGCCTTGATTCAAGTAAATTTTTATGACTAACCTGGCTGCTAACCAAATTCATTTTCATTTGCTTCCTACTGTGGATTCTATCTTGTTTCGCATTAACAAACCATGACGCGATTCCAATCCCGATGGTCGTAATAATCTTCCATTCGTTGCTTATTGACCACCATTTTTCTTTCGAGCGATTGTCTTCCGATTTTGAATTTTTCGGTGATGGTGAGCCTGAATACAGACGACTGGCCGAAGCGATGGAGACCTGATATCATTATGTATATTATTAGGCAATATAAGTGGATAAAAAAATAAAAAGAGGCAGGTATCTAGAGCTATGTTGTTTCATTTACGTAGAAGGTGAAAACGATGATTGTATAAACCAGGGGTGGCCAACACGTCGATCGCGATCGACCGGTCGATCTTCACGTTTCGAGTGGTCGATCGCGTCTATTGTTGGTAAATTTAACAACATACGCCCAAAATTTCCTGAAGCAGTTTCATGCAGCGCCTGTTGTGTGTTTTAAAACAGAACGAATACAGTACTGTACATGTGCAAAAATAGACATTACAGTATTTGAGTCCGGACAAGCCCGATTTACATGTTATTACGTAAAAATGCAAGTTTCGCTGCTACGAAGTTTAAATTGAACTTGCCGAATATTGTGTGTTTTAGTTGACAAATGTGCAGTGAGTTAAATTATTGTAAATTAGATGCTGAAAATCGAGCAGTAGTGTTTCATTGATGGTTTTCGAAAATTTATTTTTCTCTATTTGTATAGTACGTTAATACTTGGCAAGGTTTTTTGAGAAATTCACGACACTCGGGGCTAAAAATAGGCATATGTTAGGTCTGAATTGTATGATTTGAATGAATGAATGATGAAACATTTACTCCGGCTACTATTACATAATCAAATTACCAAATTAAATGGAACATAAATAATACAAATTTTTGTAGTGTTTTAATTGAGAATGTGCCCACAGAGCTGAGCTTATTGGCAGTGCTGTATTTTTTGTATGCGTGTTTGCAATAATCTATGCATATTCAGTACCCATTCGTTTTTGTATATGACCTTATTACCAATCAGTCGATCGCGAGCTATTTTAAAGATTTTAGTCGATCGCGGACGAAAGCAGGTTGGCCACCCCTGGTATAAACTATTTTAAAATACCAAGTAGCATATTCGATTACAAAGAATATACCTATGAGCTCCGAATTTTTACAAGAAAATCGCAGACGACAAAATCGCAAACTCAAACTTATATGCCTTGCCAGAACTCTTCCGCAACAATAAGTTTAAACGAGGTTAACCATGCTTGCTTGGTTATCTTTTACTGCAGTCGCAGTGAGGTATTGGGATTAGCCGACCATTCACTGAACTCAGCGTAATACTCCAATACCAATGGCTACATTCATATTACTTAGTTGAAGATTCATTACGCCGACATGATCTTATTTTCATTTTAGCCCAATCACATTGACCTATGCTATAACAGTTCACCCAAGCATTACGATGTACCGCACCGCCGAGCCATTATCTTCTATTTCACGCGCACTTAGCTGGAAATTCAGCCTCTGTTTCTATTTCGAAATTTAATAATTTTTCTTTAAGCTATGTCACTGATATTTAGAACTACTATTTGAATTGTGTAGCCGGCTTTTCCTGTCACCATGCTATTAGAACTTGTCATATGTAAAATGTACTCACCGGTGATTTGGGTTCCCAATTGATTGACCGATGACAGATTCGACAAACGTGTGAAGAAAAGAATTTGTAAGAAATATTCATATTTGATAATGTTTTATCGGTTCCTGGAAACAAGATAAAAGATAGTAGATAATGCCACTCTCCTATCATCACTGTGATATTAGCGGTCGGTCTATGATCCCAGAACGTGTTAGGCTCTCGCGTCCGTCTGTCAATGCTCTTGTCTAGGGGTGTGCATAACTCAAATGAGGACCCGTGCGAAAGATTTCAAAATAATCTTATCGCGTGCAACGCCATGTTCGAACTTCCGTGAAACAAAAACCTACAAACTTCAATAAATTAATAAGTCTCTTATATATTAAAAGAGCATGTACGCAAATGTACTTATTAGGTTTGTTACAAACATGAAATATATTGAAACTGATTCGTCCTTGTGATATGACTTGGGGCTATTTAATTCAATTATGTCCAGTAACAAAACAAGTATTGACAGTTCATAATTTTAAGAAATCAGATTTACTTAGTTTTTACTCCGATTCATATTTTTAATTTGAAAAACAACAGTAAAATCTTACCAAAATACCAAGCTTGTCCTTATACTACCTTCCGATAACAGGAACGAACTAGCAATGTTTGAATGAACATGGTAAGTTTATTTCGATATAAACGTGAGTTATACGGATTTATGATAAATACACGAATTATCAAACCATTAATATTATCAAACCATTCACGTGCCCTGTTCGAACTTATGACGTCTCCTGAGCTGTGCATCCCTGGTTTAGACTTTATATCGCGAAGCTAAAGCATTCAAATATCCGAGGGTGGAGTGACTAACATCCTGTTTTTAATCGATTGAGTCATTCTGTTTGTTTGTATAAATCTATATTTTAGCAAGGCATTATATGAATCTCAATACTTGGTGTACCCTACAAATCTCAACTAGAATTGCCGATAACACCAAGCGTTATTCCCTCTGCACAGCGTTACGTAATACGGAGGTAATATACCAGAGGATTGTTGGATTTCTCGTATTCGAACGTGTGTTTACAAAACCCAGTCTTAATGGTTGCCTGTCACAAATTAGTCGTCACCTTGATCAAGAATACTGGAATATCTGAATATTGCGAGTAATTTGCGATGAGCATGGTTAACTGATTTCATACAAAACAAGGGGGGTTTCATTGGGGTACAATCGCTTTGGACAAATAACATTCTGACATTGCTCTGCCTAATGAATAAACCGCGGGTCCGTATTTGTAAAATGTTAAGGTGTTTCCGATTGAATTCCCAGTCAAATTGTAATGTACAAAGACCGTTGGCCCTTCTGTATCCACTATGCTAAATACTGTATGCCACCTATCATTCTAATAGAAGCACATCACAATATGTTACAACCTCACAAATAATTCAATCGGAAAAGCGGAAGCGCATTTCGAAGATACCATATGCTACTGCCTCACACTACCGACACAGTTCAAACCTGGTACTAATAAGTGGTATAATTGCTAATAAACTAACAGTGCTTATACTTGTGGCACACCAAATAAAGTAACACCGCTAGCCAATATGACAACGCATTCATAATTCTAAAGTTATTGCTCGCTCGGGTAAAAACCTACGCCGTTCGCCACCACTGTGAAGTGACTCTCACGGTGACCTTTGTGTGCAACCAAGCGAAAAGTTCAAATATCATATCAGAATCGGAGGCGGGACTAAATTTCCATACGCAATTAGGAAGCGAATGAATATAAAAATACAAAAATAAAGTTATATACGTTATTTCTGTAAATTGAAACAATAAGTGCGTGCCAGAAAAATATAAAATGCGAATCATCAAACAACAGCTTATAAATATGAGTTTTAAACAAAAAAAAATGCAGCACGAGTAATTACTTTAAAAGTAAATATCGTGAAACATACAATTTTCAAACATTAGTCACATGTCTTTCCGCCCAAGAGGGGCGAGATTTTATTGATTGATATAAAAAAGATTCATACACTCTACACAATACAATTTGAGTCGATGGGTACAAAATTTTAAAATTATGTGTAATCCATTGCTGAAAAAAGCCTATTTCGCCTATATCGTCATAGGTGAAAAATCGTAAATTTATGCACTTTTCAAACATTACTCACATGTCTTTCCGCCCAAGAGGGGCGAGATTTTATTGATTGATATAAAAAAGATTCATACACTCTACACAATACAATTTGAGTCGATGGGTACAAAATTTTAAAATTATGTGTAATCCATTGCTGAAAAAGCCTATTTCGCCTATATCGTCATAGGTGAAAAATCGTAAATTTATGAACTTTTCAAACATTACTCACATGTCTTTCCGCCCAAGAGGGGCGAGATTTTATTGATTGATATAAAAAAGATTCATACACTCTACACAATACAATTTGAGTCGATGGGTACAAAATTTTAAAATTATGTGTAATCCATTGCTGAAAAAAGCCTATTTCGCCTATATCGTCATAGGTGAAAAATCGGAAATTTATGCACTTTTCAAACATTACTCACATGTCTTTCCGCCCAAGAGGGGCGAGATTTTATTGATTGATATAAAAAAGATTCATACACTCTACACAATACAATTTGAGTCGATGGGTACAAAATTTTAAAATTATGTGTAATCCATTGCTGAAAAAAGCCTATTTCGCCTATATCGTCATAGGTGAAAAATCGGAAATTTATGCACTTTTCAAACATTACTCACATGTCTTTCCGCCCAAGAGGGGCGAGATTTTATTGATTGATATAAAAAAGATTCATACACTCTACACAATACAATTTGAGTCGATGGGTACAAAATTTTAAAATTATGTGTAATCCATTGCTGAAAAAAGCCTATTTCGCCTATATCGTCATAGGTGAAAAATCGTAAATTTATGCACTTTTCAAACATTACTCACATGTCTTTCCGCCCAAGAGGGGCGAGATTTTATTGATTGATATAAAAAAGATTCATACACTCTACACAATACAATTTGAGTCGATGGGTACAAAATTTTAAAATTATGTGTAATCCATTTGCTGAAAAAAGCCTATTTCGCCTATATCGTCATAGGTGAAAAATCGTAAATTTATGAACTTTTCAAACATTACTCACATGTCTTTCCGCCCAAGAGGGGCGAGATTTTATTGATTGATATAAAAAAGATTCATACACTCTACACAATACAATTTGAGTCGATGGGTACAAAATTTTAAAATTATGTGTAATCCATTGCTGAAAAAAGCCTATTTCGCCTATATCGTCATAGGTGAAAAATCGGAAATTTATGCACTTTTCAAACATTACTCACATGTCTTTCCGCCCAAGAGGGGCGAGATTTTATTGATTGATATAAAAAAGATTCATACACTCTACACAATACAATTTTGAGTCGATGGGTACAAAATTTTAAAATTATGTGTAATCCATTGCTGAAAAAAGCCTATTTCGCCTATATCGTCATAGGTGAAAAAATCGGAAATTTATGCACTTTTCAAACATTACTCACATGTCTTTCCGCCCAAGAGGGGCGAGATTTTATTGATTGATATAAAAAAGATTCATACACTCTACACAATACAATTTGAGTCGATGGGTACAAAATTTTAAAATTATGTGTAATCCATTGCTGAAAAAAGCCTATTTCGCCTATATCGTCATAGGTGAAAAATCGTAAATTTATGCACTTTTCAAACATTACTCACATGTCTTTCCGCCCAAGAGGGGCGAGATTTTATTGATTGATATAAAAAAGATTCATACACTCTACACAATACAATTTGAGTCGATGGTACAAAATTTTAAAATTATGTGTAATCCATTGCTGAAAAAGCCTATTTCGCCTATATCGTCATAGGTGAAAAATCGTAAATTTATGCACTTTTTCAAACATTACTCACATGTCTTTCCGCCCAAGAGGGGCGAGATTTTATTGATTGATATAAAAAAGATTCATACACTCTACACAATACAATTTGAGTCGATGGGTACAAAATTTTAAAAATTATGTGTAATCCATTGCTGAAAAAAGCCTATTTCGCCTATATCGTCATAGGTGAAAAATCGGAAATTTATGCACTTTTCAAACATTACTCACATGTCTTTCCGCCCAAGAGGGGCGAGATTTTATTGATTGATATAAAAAAGATTCATACACTCTACACAATACAATTTGAGTCGATGGGTACAAAATTTTAAAATTATGTGTAATCCATTGCTGAAAAAAGCCTATTTCGCCTATATCGTCATAGGTGAAAAATCGTAAATTTATGCACTTTTCAAACATTACTCACATGTCTTTCCGCCCAAGAGGGGCGAGATTTTATTGATTGATATAAAAAAGATTCATACACTCTACACAATACAACTTGAGTCGATGGGTACAAAATTTTAAAATTATGCGTAATCCATTGCTGAAAAGTGCCTATTTCTCAAATAATGGCATAGGGGAAAAATCGTAAAAATACACACTTTTCAAACGTTAGTCACATCGCTTTCCGCCCAAATGGGGAGAGATTTTATTATTTCATATTGAAAAGGTTCTAAAAGTCTACACAAAACAACTTGAGTCGATGGGTACAAAATTTTAAAATTATGCGTAATCCATTGCTGAAAAGTGCCTATTTCTAAAATGATGGTATAGGTGAAAAATCGTAAAAATACACACTTTTCAAACGTTAGTCACATCGCTTTCCGCCCAAGTGGGGAGAGATTTTATTATTTTATATTGATAAGGTTCTAAAAGTCTACACAAAACAACCTGAGTCGATGGGTACAAAATTTTAAAATTATGCGTAATCCATTGCTGAAAAAAGCCTATTTCGCATATGTCGTCATAGGTGAAAAATCGTAAAATTATGCACTTTTCAAACATTACTCACATGTCTTTCCGCCCAAGTGGCACGAAATTTTATTGACTGATATTGAAAAAGTTCTTAAACTCTACACAATACATATGGAGTCGATGGGTACAAAATTTTAAAATTATGCGTAATCCATTGCTGAAAAGTGCCTATTTCTAAAATGATGGTATAGGTGAAAAATCGTAAAAATACACACTTTTCAAACGTTAGTCACATCGCTTTCCGCCCAAGTGGGGAGAGATTTTATTATTTCATATTGAAAAGGTTCTAAAAGTCTACACAATACAACTTGAGTCGATGGGTACAAAATTTTAAAATTATGCGTAATCCATTGCTGAAAAGTGCCTATTTGTCAAATATCGGCATAGGTCAAAAATCGTAAATATATACACTTTTCAAACGTTAGTCACATCGCTTTCCGCCCAAGTGGGGAGAGATTTTATCATTTGATATTAATAAGGTTCTAAAAGTCTACACAAGTACCTATTTCTCAAATATCGGCATAGATTAAAAATCGTATATCATATATCATTCGATCGACGTACACAAAGACAACAAAATATTCTTAAAGTTTGAGATTTATTCATATTTATTCAAAGTCCCTAATGCATATTTGCTACATACAAAACAGACCTAATATTATACAGACAAAATTTGAAAGCCAAATCGTAGAGAATTCATCTAGAAAAAGCCAGGTTTAATTAATGAATATAAAACATACAAAAATACATACAATATATACATGTTATAAGTCTTTCGAATTCAAAATTTTTTGCCTAAGGTGCAATTAAAATACACATATTTAGGATGCAAAAAATTTAGAAGTCCATGTATCCACGCAAACAGGGTGAGATTTTATCATTTTGTGCAAATGAGCTATATTTAATTAATAAGGTATATACACTATACATACATCTCAAAAACATACATTGCGTATATATATATATGTAATCAGT